GATAATGAGCTATGTGAGGTCAAACCCGATCACTCGCTGACCAACTGTCAGATCTGGGACATCCGACCCAACTTCCACCACTTCACCTGCCACATCGACACCGAAGATGTTGGGATATGTGATATAATCCAAGAAGGCAGTATCTTGAAGCATGTAGTCGCACGGGTTAATTGCAACAGCATAGTTCTTTACCACGACTTCGTTTGGGCTGGGAAGGGGATAAGGTGCCTCCTTGACGATGAATGGTTTGGCTTTGGGGGTGAGTATCCAGGCAGCCTGGTTGGAAGGGCGATTGATCCCTCGATTGTGGGTTGCTGTCATGTTGACGATAACTTGGTAAAAGGATGAGGACTGAAAAAAAAGCCAATGTCTTCCCAGAAGCCGAAACAGCAATGCCTTCTCGTGTCAGCTTTGACCAGCTCCAGCAGCTTGCGAATAAATGCTGCAGCTTCCGATTAAGTGCTTCAGCTTGCCAATAAGTGCTGCAGCTTGCGACAAAGTGCAGCTCCTCAGCTTGACCGGTCAATCTATTACGAGATCAAAATAGGTGGGGCGGAGATCTTCCCAAGCTTTTTGATTTATTCTCGGGATCTGATGAACTACGATCCTGCAATTGCCAAATGTTGTCACACCATTTTAAAGCAAGGGAGTGGAGCCCCCGAATGGATACTTCACAGAACAAAAATTACTAGCGGGGTGGCTTGCCCGTACTACAGACGTGTATTGCGAACTCAAAAGCGGAAACTGGGGCTTAATGTGTATTTCAATTGCTCTTTACGGTACAAAAAGACAAACTTGAAAGCTCAAAATGCTTCAATATATAAGGTGCACTTAGTCGCCCTTTGACGGCACTATTTTGGAAAGCCCTCTTCTCTCACCTTCATTCCCTCTAACCTCATAACTAAATATCTTATCACAATGTTACTCACCACTGAGAGCACTACACCTACCTTCCTCTTCACTTCCGAGTCTGTCGGCGAAGGCCACCCGGATAAAGTCTGTGATCAAATCGCGGACGCCATTCTCGATGCCTGTTTGAAACAAGATCCTCTCTCCAAGGTCGCTATCGAAACTGCCGCTCGACCTGGTCTCGTCATTGTGTTCGGCGTCTTGGACACTCAAGCCCAAATCGACATTGAAGCTATCGTTCGCGTGGTCCTTCAGGATATTGGATACGACTGCCCAGACCAGGAACTCGACTACAAGACTTGCAAGGTAATGGACTATGTCGAGCGACGAACTGCTCCTGGCACTGCTGCGCCATCTCTTTTTCCAAGTCCGACTGAGACAGACGTCGCAGGCGACCAAGGAATTATTTTTGGCTATGCCTCAAACGAGACACCGCAAGGACTGTATGTTTCAAGATAGCCAGATCTTTCCTTTGAGCCTCTTGTAAAATAAAACACGCTAAATATCTCAGGCCTTTGACGATTGACCTGTCTCATCGTATTTCACGACAAATGAAAATCGCACGTTTGAACAAGACTCTGCCTTGGTTGCGACCAGACACTAAGACCCAAGTCACGGTTGAGTACATCAGACAAAACAATGGAGAGACGGTTCCATTGCGGGTGCACACAATTGTTCTCACAGCACAGCACACACCAGATGTGACAGTCGAAAAGCTGCGGCAGGAAATTTTTGATCAGGTCATTTGCAAGGCCGTCCCCGCAAAGTATCTGGACGATGATACCGCCTACTATGTACAGTATCCCAGAAAGAAGAGATTGCGCTCATATGCTGACCGATTAAAAGATTCAACCGACGGGAGACGTCGGAGTGACTCCATCGGGCAAGTTCGCCGGCGTCACCGGTCGAAAGATCGTTGTCGACACATACGGGGGATGGGGAGCTCACGGCGGCGGTGCCTTTTCTGGAAAAGACTATCGTCAGGTGAGACTGCAACAATTTTTCTTCGGCATGATCAAATGCTAACCATGAAAAGGTGGACCGCTCTGCTGCATACATGGCACGGTGGATTGCCAAGTCCATTACTCATGCCAGTCTCGCACAGCGTTGCATGGTCCAACTATCTTATTCAATCGGCATTGCTGAGCCACTGAGTATCTTTATCGATACTTATGGGACAGGCAAAATGACTGATGCGCAGTTGGAAAAGGTTGTGTATGAAAACTTCGATATGCGACCTGCTGCTATCGCAAAAACATTGGGCTTGATGAGCCCAATTTACTATCAGACATCAAAGAACGGGCACTTCACCAACTCTCAATTCCCGTGGGAAAAGCCCAAGGACTTGAGCCTATAGGGTCAGTTAAATATTTCTTTCTGAAAAACTTTCCTCTTAGGCTCTATGACCTTTAGATAGATTGTTCGAGCTAATTGAAAATGGTTAGTTTTCGGGGTTTTTTTTCTATGGGGTGCGGCCCGACCGGACAGAGAAAGTGGGGACATCGAAGCCAAGTGGACGAGGCTGAAAGAGGCTGTGCTCTATCCCCGCAGTAGGCAGTAAGCACGCAAGCCTGTCCAAGGGCGATTTCGTCGGATCTCTTGGGAAGGCGGAATATTGGCCCTGAAATCGGTATTATATATGATAACTTATACCTTCCTATTAGTTAATAGTGGACAACATCAAGTCTGCGCCACAAAGCTGAGCCTCTACTTCCTCTCACTTCCCCAACTTCAGTTGCTCCGTATTAGTTAGCGTATTTTTGGTGAAATTACCGGACGACGAAGCTCGGTGAGTGCTGGAACCATGTATATTAAGGACTTCGAATACAAAAACACTAATAGAGCGGCGATTCTTCTCATTCTTCAAAGCGGTTCATAGCATTCAGACGCTGGGCTCTTGGACATAATCAACCAAGTTCAGCTTTCACATTCGTGTCGAGGTCCTCCAACGACTCAAATTCGCCGAGTTTGTTACTCTAAACCTTCAATTAGTTACTAGGTTTTCTTTTTTGTATTTTTGTTCTGTATTGTATGCTGAGGTGGCCGGATAGATGTAGTATAGCTATATGGAGGAGGTCAGCCGGCGGGATGTTTGTGTGATAATGTGCCTACGATCTACTAGAATGGAGAAATGTGCGAAGAACAACGAATAACAACGTTGAGGAAAAGGGAAGAAGAGAGAGAGAGCTATGCTAGGTGCCACTCTCCAGGCCAATCATCTGATTGGTCTGCATCCGAGAGTGGGTCGAACCAAGCAAACATGCCCGCCGGCCGACCTCCCCCATGTAGCTATACTACAGCTGTTAGTAAACCACGGTTCTCATAGAACGGATCGATCAGTCTGGAGCTACATTGTTCTTGAAACTAGTAATCGTCATCGGTAGATTTATTTATGCTAGAACTCGTATGGCTGACCATACAGCTCTGCGTCAGCCGATGAGCGTGGGTGAATAGTAGGACCTCGTGTACATAAATCAACTAGTACCCGCCAGGCGTCCGTCTTCAACATTGATCAAGTTTCTGCGCAAACCTCAACTTGAAGTTGAAGCCCCAGTTTCAATCCCACAACTTGAGCATTATCAATTATACATCTCCAGGTAAGCATATCGAAAATTGAGAAGCTTTTGTTCCTATACAAACGTTTCCAATTCTAGTCTGCCAACCGTGAATATGAGGCTATCATCCTGCGCCCTCTTTCTCATCACTTTAGGCACCGCTTCCAGTTGGAAACTTCAAGCAGGATCACAAACGTGGTCAGGTACGAAACCACAGGGATGTAAAACTGTCCTAATTCCGCGAGGCGCAAATATTGCCTGGCATGGAACCCAGGGAGCCAGCACTGTCCAATTCTTTAATACGCAGGGTGGTTGTAGCAAAGTGTATCGCACTGTTCAAGGTGTGGGCGATATTAATGCTTCAAACAACATCTATGGTTTTGTGGTCAAGGCATGATTGCTTGCAGGATAGTATTGAGATGGATTAGTTTGTCATTTTGATTCTTGTGAACCACATCGTTGGGCTCTGTCTGCGTCTTTTGATATGAAATTCATGCTGCCTGGCACAGTGTTCTACATTTACAGAAAAGGTCGAGAAGAATGGTAGGAGTAGTCATTTCGCTGAGACAGAGTTGCTAATCAAACTACTACATTCGGTTTCATTTCCAAGAATCCAAGGCTAAACAGCCGTAGAGGTGCTACTATATTGATTTTTTAATCGTTCATCCCTCGAATCAATCAGACGAAAAATGGAGTAATTGTGGGTGGTAAGTATGCGAGTGCTTTCGCATTTGCGAACACTTTGGGCTCGAGGGGACAAAATGAATTGAGGGGCGACTGTGGTTTATTACAGCCAGAAGGACATTTGAAGCTTTCATTGATGTAGTCAATGTTATTAGATCTCGGAATTAAGTAAAATAATAGGCGCAGCTCAAGTCCGAGTGGCTATGGAATGCTGGAACCTTGGAAGTGATTTCGGGTGGCAATGTCAGCGGATTCCCGATTACTTGGACTAGATCAGTCGATAATTTATTACTTCCGGACCACCCGAGACCCTCCTGCAAAAATTTATAGAGAAACTTGGATGGCTCATCATTGATTCCCCCGTTCTAAAGATCGCGCGACGAAACATGCAGACTGAGTAGGCTCCCAGGGCATACATAGCGGCAAGCCGCGCACGCCCGAGTCGTGGGCGCTAGGTGATCACAACCTTAGACATGACTGTTGTATGTTTTTTGAATTTTTTTTTGCTTTTCCTTTTTGTTTTCTGTAGAGGGTCTTCTCCGCAAGTGTGATACTGTGAACTTGAAAAGGCACGTATGACAAAGCGTTGATTGCTGTGGCGGGGGAAAAGACTGCCGAGGACTGCCCCTGCTTGGCATGCATAAAGGGGGCCACGCTATTCCCCATCTAGCCAAGCAACTACTGTTTCAGACCAAGATGAAGCCTGCCAAACTGGAAAATAAGTGGGAACACAACAAAATTTAGCCCATTTGAATAAGTGCTACATTGGGGCCTCACACCCCTGCTAATTTATCGTGAGCTCCACCGATCACGGGGGGAAATCTCCATTTTCTCTTCTGCTTCACCCTCCCCATGTATCTCGTGCGCCTCGCGACGGGAGTGGCCGCTGCCACGATGGTAGTCACGGCTGTGGCTGATTCGCAGAGCACCACGAGCACGACGGCATTGACCTTCGTTTATAATAATCCGTCTCAACATATGCTTGGCGCAAGCATTGTGACGGCCAATTCTTCAGAAACAATCGCATATGTGAACTGCAAGTCAAATTATACATCGGAATGCAGTTCCCAGGGCTGGGCCTTGCCACTCACTGTAGAATTCGGTGGATCTACGCGAGACGTGACCTCGGATATTACCAGCTACTATGGCAAGACGCTTTTTCTCATTTATGGCTCTGAACTGTGCACTTTCCACAGTAGCTCGTCATCACTGCATTGCACCAGAAGCTACAACTCTTTAGTTACCACTGGCGCTTTATCCACTAGCACCTCGTCTAGCGGAGCGTACTGGTACGCGGGCTTCACATTTGCTACTATCGACGTCACCGCAGGACTAGAAAATATTGCCCATGCGGCTACTACCACCTCGGATGCATCACCCGCCAGCACTGCGACAACAACATCCGCACCGAAAACAACTACTGCGACTGCCACAGATGGCTCAGCCTCCTCATCCTCATCCTCTTCTTCCTCCTTCAAAGCCTGGATTGCAGGTGCAGTCATCGGCGCAGTAGTGGGGATATCCTTCATTATAGCACTGGCATATTGGCAACTTCGTCGCAAGCGGAAAGGCGCTGCAGATGCACAAGGCCTTGATACCGCTCGGGGTAGAAATGGAGTTGTGAGCGAACTCTTTCAAGAACATGCCCGAGAAATGGACGGCTCTGGGGGATTGACAGAGTTGCATGGTGATATAAAACCTACAGAGCATGCCCAAGAAATGGACGGTCGTGGGAGAGCTACAGAGTTGCATGGTGACTTTGAACCTACGGAGCTTACCCCAGATACTGCCAGGGTGGAGTTTCCCGTGGACCAGCCCGTCGACCATACAAAGCTTGATGAGAAGGACGAAAACATAGTGGAACAAAGCACAATATCCGAGCTGCCATAAGTGATATACAAATATTGCCCACTGGCAAGAGTCACACCTGAGCGGGCGACTAGTCCTGCTTTATTAGAGACCTTTTGGTCTTCCGGATACTAACGTCGCTATTCTTGGCTTATATGCATTATGGTACGGTATATTTTCTGAAGTAAAATGACCCGTGTTTCAAATTCAGTATTCCAAAGGATCGAGGATTAGGAAAGGATCAGTATAACGCAGATAATAGATTGGACTCAAGCGAGTTATGGCATCAAATAAAGACGACCAACGACGAGAATCAGAGGACCCTCGAAAAAGCGAATTCACGCTCGATTGTAGTCCCGACTCATTACACGACGCCTCCCCTTCAATTACTACCAGCCCCTAGTCTGCTAAGAATGCCAAGGGCATTCTTTTGGAACAGATCCTAGCTTGAAAAAAGCGAAGGAGTAGTAAACCTTTGGGTATTTGGCTATACGCACTATACAATTGAATTCAAAGAAGAGAACATCGGGCTCGTGAGTAGCTGGGGTATAAAAGGGGGATCGAAATCAGTTTCACAACTTGCACACGGAGGTTCTTTCTTGAACCCTTTTTCGAAACGCACTATTCCTAATATAGTTACTCTATGCCTGATCACATTTCTTGGCAGTATTCATTACATTTTCAAAATACAGAGCTTCTGTATGGGGCTCGTATGCTGCCGAATACGAGGATAGCAACAAGATATCGAGGATACCTTCTACGGGAAATTCCGCATACTGGACATGGCAGCTATGCTGACAAGTAATTAAAATTTCGATTGATAAACAAGAGCAAGGACCTACTCTGTCATTGTCGGCAGAAAGATTGAGGATAATTGTTGTCCGCTAACTCACATGAAAAAGACTGTGTAGGCACTTCGTTAATGCAAGCAGTTCAAAAGGCGATTTTCATGAAGCTATATGCGCTGTAATCATGTTTTTGCCTGCGTCTTCGGATTTCTTTCCTGCTGGTTGCGCTGTGCTCGTTCAGCTTTCTTCCGGTCGGCCTCATCTCGTTCCTGCTGGCTGCGCTGTGCTCGCTCAGCTTTCTTCCGGTCGGCCTCATCTCGTTCCTGCTGGCTGCGCTGTGCTCGCTCAGCTTTCTTCCGGTCGGCCTCATCTCGTTCCTGCTGGCTGCGCTGTGCTCGCTCAGCTTTCTTCCGGTCGGCCTCATCTCGTTCTCGCTGGCTGCGCTGTGCTCGCTCAGCTTTCTTTCGGTCGGCCTCGTCTCGTTCTCGCTGGCTGCGCTCTGCTCGCTCGGCTTTCCTCTGTTGAGACCCCTCGTTTTGTTCACATAGCTCTTTGCGGCGAGCTACTTTCTGTGTATACGAAATCTCCATCTCCTCGGCCATTCTTGCAATGTTCGCTAATTTCCTTTCCATTGCGGAATTCTGAAGCTTGCGCATATGTTGAATATTTGCTGCTTTTACTTCCAAATTTGCATTACTTCGTATACCGTGATCGGTCTGTTGCTGGAGACTTGGTCGATAAAGCGTTGTTTGTGGTACACCAGGGGTTCGAACATCCCAGAATGTCTCGAGAGATTGGTTCACCTTCCAAGGGAATGAAAATCAACAGAACTATAAATGCAAGGTGAGAGGACAATCAAGCATACTAATTCACCAAAAGACTCTTGAAACTCTTTTCCACCGAGGCGTTTAAGCATCTCTAATACATGTTGCGCACTCTTCGCATATTGAGCGATAGTAGCCGCGTTGACTGGAACTCGATGCACAGCGAAGTGCCGGATTTGACGAACTTTATGCAAATCGGAGCAAAAGGCTTCACGTTCATATTCTGATATGCCGCGAGATTGGAAGTACTCCTTATGGTGGAAACAAAAGTATTCGGTGACCTTTTCCGAAAGCCGACTCAGTTCGGCTGCCTCGGGACAGGACCAGTGACATTTGTCTGCCAAGGCTGGAGCTACAGAGCGAAAAACGTGAAATAAGAAAAATTCTAGTTGCTGCTGCCACCGACATAGGAGGCTGTGTCTTTTTTGAAAGCTATATGCTATTGGTCAGCACGAGATATTTTGCACGGAGTCTGAAATCCTTACCTTTCGTCTGAACAACTTGCTTCTTTCGAATCTAGTCCAAGGTGGCTCATATTGGTACTTAGGAAGCTTTAGCAAAAGTTAGGCCTTTGATAGATTCAAGGAAATGAAGAACGGGCGATATTACGTGTAGCCCAATTTATGCTGGAGACATTAGCCGCCACTCAACCGATATGACGTTAAGACTTCGACTGAAATAAAGAAATCCCCAATGAGATACGTCAATACATTAATACTTCTCATTTCAGGCCTATGGAGGACGCTGGTTCACTCTTTGACCAATTCCACCGAACTTATCATGGAACGATCATGTTAGGTCCGATTCCCATTGCCGGTGACCAGGGTATCACACAACTTAATCAACCAAGGGAAGGTTAAAGGGTGGTTAGGGTGATATTCAAATTTATATCGCTGCCAATGTATTGAGACACGTAGGATTGACGTCGTGAGGTTATGAGGTTGTCTTATTAATGCGCGTATTACAAGCGAATTAGTGAAATTCCAGCACGAGAGAATTAGTTTCAATACGATACTATACTTGAAACAAAGCTGATATGGGAAATCTATCTGCTTACTTCGAGCACGCGAGGCCGATAGCTGTAGGGCTTGCGCAGACGAGAGCATATAACCATAACAAGAAGAACCGCAGCTACGAACGAAGAGACTGAATGCAGTGTACTTTGCAATACATACTTCCTGCAAGAAACTTACGCTGGATTGCCGCTGGACGTAAATTGAATATGCTGTTGGATAATCCCATTCCACTAACGCCTAACTACTTAGTAACTTTGGATCGTTACTGGATTTAATCAAAATATGCTCCTAGATACTATCATCAAGTGTCTCCTACGTTGTCACATTTCTTTGAGATTCTTACGAGATAAAAGTGAGAACATATTTGAGATTAGGTTATAACTGTACGATTGCACTTCATTGGTGCATAGAATGAATATTTATCTCAAAGGGATTTTGTCTGCTTTGTTATTGAAAGGGCAGGAGAGTGAGTCGATCAAGTTTTATTCGTGGACGCTAACAGCCCCAGACACGCTGCCGCATGCTCTTGCATTTTTCTAAAATTTATTGAATTACTACCTCTTCACATATCCATGGATTCTCGATATAAGAAGATCGAGCCGTTTTGTATATTGATCATGATGCGTTCCAGTGGCTTTCTGTCCAACTCTTGATACTATCAATACTAAAAATTGAACCTTTTACAAATAATTCGGAGTCCAAGATAGAAAAGTGTTCTCTCAATTTAAAGTAAGAATAACTTAGCTAGAGCAAAGAAAAGGTCTGAGAAAAAAAGAGAAAAAAAAGTCTAAGCAAAAGGCAAAGAAAATAAGTAAAGTAAAGAAAAAGAGACACGAAAGTAGGTACCAGAGAACCACAATTCTGTCCCAAATGGTTCTGAGGGGAAAATTTCAAAAACACGCTCAGAGATTCTCTGCCCATCGCAGCACCAGGGGCGCCAATACTGACATCTCTAGCAGCCGCAATGGCGTACCTAGTAGTAAGTTAGAAAAGAGTAAAATCGCTACTTGTCAAATTAGGCATGGCCAATGTCGAACCGGAGGTGCCAGGTATCGTCGTCGTTGATATAGAGGACGTGAATGGCAGCGATAAAACGCTTCCGAACCGGGAAAGCATCAATGACAGTATAGCCGACGAGACGACCGATCCGGGTACCCATAACCGCCAAAAACTCATGCGACCTTCGATCGCGTATAATACGTGGACCACGACCAAGCGTCTCCAAAAACCCACATGTGTTCCGATTGTCGATATCGCTAACGCAAATGTAACGTAGGGTATTGGTACTGGTCTGGTCTCGTTCATAAAGCACAGCGAGCGAAGAGCTAACATGGGGCTGTTTAGAACCTTGGGCTCGGAAAAGATCGTCGATTACTCTAATTCCTGGTGCTGTACGGACATCAATGTGACCGCGAGCACCGAATTCAAGATTCCATTCTCTCATTGACAAGTTCTTTAGCCCCCCCCCCCCCCCCCCCCCGGGAAGATTATATTCAAGTAACCTAGTGCTACAGTATTAGTATGGGTGTCAGGATCGGATATAAATGTAGCGAACGACTGGAGTTCTTTCCATGTTAGTGAGCTACCCTCTGTTCGTCCCTCTAAAAGGGTGACCATGCGTCTACCTTGAGCTATAAGTCGAACGACGGTCTGGGGTGGGTCTCGAGTAACTGCTTGCGAGTAAGTTTCTGGGGCTGGGACTACTGTAACGACTGAGTCGTCGCTCCCATCGTCGGACACCGTCTCGTAAAGCGGTTGCTGCAGATCAAATGTGCGCACGAGAGGACGAACAACCTCAGAAGTATTCACAGAACCACCAGTGCCCGGATGACTGTCGCTATGCTTGAGAGCCTCAAGTCCCCGTTGATAAAGAACTGAAACGAAATAACCAGCGGTTATGACAAACACAACCGGAACTGAAAGCCAAGAGTAAGACGTCAAGATGTTTTCCCAATCTACAGAGATTAATAAGAAGCAGGGCCGAACCAAGGAACTGGAAGGAATCATAACAATCAGGAACAGAGCACCCCAAATAGAAAACACAATCCTAATGAAGAGAGCCACTATGAATACTAGAAGCTGCACAAGAGCCAAAATACCGGACAGAGCCACGCCCTGACCGAAGTCGTCGAAGCCAGGCATGGTAAGAGTTTAGTAGTAATGCGATTTCAGATAGAGCAAGAAGCGTAGAGAAATGGAAATCGTTCTAGGGAGGCGCAAGTAGCTCTCTTAAATAATATTCTACCTTCGTACGCTGCGAGTATCTCTTTCATCGATACTCTTAGCTCAAACATTGTATCGTATATTAGCTCTTTGTTTGACGACAATTGGTGCAAGTATTTAGTCAGGGATTTTTTTCAACAAAAGCGCTTTTGCAGCGGAGAGACTCGATGTATACAAAGAGGTTTTCTTTATCCTCGAACCAAAACTCGCTATCATAAAGAAATGTTAGGCGGGCATGACGTAGAAGGCCTCATGGACTAGTTCAGTGATTCTTGAGTCAAGGAGTTTGAGATTCTTTCATACCATTCTTGGACAAAGTGAAGATGTTACACATTTCTAACGAAAGTTAAACAAAGCTTGATACACGCTGACTACCTGGAGATTTAGTTATTTCGAGATTTACTACAATAAATCTAAGGTTTGGCGTTTTTTGTGAACTTGAAGAAGTAACCATTCGGCGGCTTATCACAACTCTTACGAATAAAATCTCCAAAGCGCAAATCTCTTTAGGTGGGCAGTAGTGGCTGAAAGCTACTAGGAAAATTGAATGTCTTGACACCAAAGAGACTACCTTTGCTCAAACCGGGCTGCTGTCCGTGAAGGAACTTTCAACCTTTCTGAAATCTTTCTCAGGGCCTGCCGAATAAGTCTGTCTCTTTATTCATTTTCTATTTCTCTCCTTTCGTGTTTTCAAACTTGGCAACATCACTTCGAGTCTATAATTAGCCATAAGGGATATGCAGAATTTCCGGCTTACTCCGTCGTCAGACTTACAATATTGGACGATTTGCAATTTGAAACGTGTCAATGTACGGAAACATCTTCTGATACTATTTCTCACAGCATGCGCGTGAGCGACCTGCTTGTCAATACGACTTCGGGCGTGGAGTGGATTACCATTTCGGTCTTCATGCATCGATTTGGGGCTGCCTGATATGGGGGCTGCTTGGCAAAGCACCCCGCTCCAAATCTCCATTTTGTTGGCGGAGTGAACAGTAACCATTTTGTACTTCAATATTCGAATTACTCGTATAGCTCTCCAGACCAACATTTTCTTTGCGCTTAGCCAAAGCCAAAAGTCATCACATATCCTCCAAATCCTTGTCATCGAAGATGAGCGACCCTAGGAGGGCGAATGAAAAAGCACTCGAAGCGATCAAAGTTGAACTCGACAAGCTGCATCTTCCAGCATGGCAAAGAAATCTCCTCAAGGATCTAATTGGAAAAATACCCAACAACAAAAACCTTTACGACCTTCAAAATCAGAGATGGGGCCCTGTTGTCCAGGTGGTAACCACCGTCTCGTTTGACGCTCGACCCACACGAAACGAAGTTGAGGTTAAGCTTGATGTTGACATTCCGCCGCCTAATTCAACACAAAAACCACATATCGGATTCGAAGTGAAGTTGAATGGGAAGCTATGGGGGAATGGGCATATTTGGGTTGATGAAAATGTCCTGCATGCGGGACGTCCTAAGTTAAAAAGCCCGGTGCAGTTGCAAGAGTATGGCTGTATGACCGACGAAATCATCAATCTCGAGCAGAATCTTCCATCGGGTGTTCAACTTGATGTTAAATTCTATAGATTTAGGGGGGCTTAGTTTCACATTGCACAAAAGCACATAAGCCAAGGGTCCCTTGGAAGGGATTTGCCTTTTATCTCATTTCATGGCTTAGCTTTTTGATCCAGTGTATTCTATTGAAATATTTGAGATTTAAGACGAAAGAAGTCACTCATGACCATTTTAATTGCCCTATGTAGTGAAGGTACAATCATCCTCCTAGTACTAACGACATGTGTCCTTCCATCTGAATCCTACTTGAAAGTCTACATGTTACATCAAGTTTAATCTGAATATAATATGGCAAGGATAGTCAAGTCATCCTAATAGTCGAAACTCAGGCTTTGAAAGCAATGCATCTCAAACTAGAGTATGTGATCCACTGAGTCCCATCCTCCCTCGTGGTACCATACCGCAACATCCGGCACATCTGCTCAATGGCACTATTCTTCTTCTCCTCACTATCCAGAAGATCTAGCATCTGTGCACCGATCAGTCTGAAAAATCCCTCTAGTCCGCCACCGGGCCCGTCAGTCATTTGCAAATGCTTTGGTTTGAGTTCAATTCTTTGTACTTTGAATCCAACCTTCTCAAGAAGTCCTTTCATGTATATCTCTGACGGCAGGAACCAGGGACACTTCTCCTCCAACGTCTCAATTGGAATTCCATGGTTCACTAGTGAAAACATAAAGGATGTCACCATTTCAGGAGCATTTCCGAATCCACACATTTCGAAGAAGAATGTACCACCTGGCTTCAGGGACTGGAAAATAGCTTGGAGTGTACATGTGCGTGTGGTAGGATCTTTCAGGATCCAGTGGAAGGCAGCGTTTGAAACACTATGTAGTGAACATTTGGTTAGTAATATGGGCGCATCTCCGAGAAGGACCAGCGAATGACAGATTTGAAACACTCACACTTTATCCCAGTTGCCGTTCAGTAGGTCGCTCTCCTCATCCAGTTTCCTGCAGTCTACAACGCGGAAGTCTGTCCTTGCATCCCCGTAATCCAGCGTCTTTGCAGTATCAATCATTGCCGGCGATGAGTCGACACCGAGCACAAAGTCCACCGCGCCTGAGAAGCGAGTTGTGAATTTTCCATCGCCGCATCCAATGTCTAATACTCGGTCGGTCGGTTGAAAAGATATTGTGTCCACGAGTGTGTCTGCGAAATGGGGAACAAAAGCCGCTGCAGCCTCATACGTCTGATACTTTTGTCAGTACAGGAATCGAACCGGAGAGAGTATGTCACGCAAACCTCGGTTGACCAATAATCTTTTTGGATTGCTTCAACTTGCGACATGGCGGTGAATATTTGGTTCGAAGTGATCTTGATCCAAAAAGCAGGGCCGTGAGAGGGTATTTGAAAAAGAAAATACAGTGATTTAGATGAATGTCCGGAAATTCGCAAATAAAAGCCGAATATTCAATCAGATGCCGGCGAGCCCCGGGGACAGCTCGTTATACAGAGACGCCATGTCGATCTTTGTAGTGTAAAAGCTGGAAGTTGGAAGATTGTCGTCACTTGCCAGCTGAAGCTTTACTGACCGCATCGTGAAAAATTTATGAGTGGATAATGATTTGGTGGGGTTCAGCCAGCCACGAGAACGCTTCAAATCCCAGTATCGCGGCGCAAATAGTCTAGTAGATACTCCTTACTGGGGACGATCGTTGCGATCCCAGCAACGTCAAGGAACTCGAGTTGCTTGCCGTGGTCTCAATTATAAGCAACCCCTTCTCCCTTGGCTCTTTGAGTGTTCTGCAGTGTTTGTTCTTATAGCATAATCTTTAATCGTGATTTTTATCGGGCGCAAATATGTGTCGTGTCACTGCGGATTGCTTTTTTTTGACTATTGGCAGGAGATAACCGGATGATTGCCGTGATTGGAGCAACGATGTCGATTAGTGAAGAACTCCGCCGATCACAAGCTCCACAGTTCTTTAGCCACAGTTCTTTAGCGTAAGCCACGGCGTCATGAATCTGTACTTTGGTGTGTGGCATAGATTTATTTGTAGTAGTCACGGTGAGGCCGGCTTTGATATAAAAGCCAACAATATACTACTTTGCTAACTAGAATTTTGTAATGATATTGTTCCGCCAATTCAAGTTTCTGTTCACCCATACCTGATTCAAATGGGAGAAATAAAACCTTTGAATTGAACACGTACACAAAGAAATGACCGTGGAAGTGGAGCTAAGAGGACCTTCCTCAATACAGCTCTCCGCTTTGGCATCAAGCATAAATGCAGCGGTCTCTGTCTATTCACAAACCACCGACCCATATGAGAAAGAGGCAGCGCTTCGAAACATAGAGCTTGCATCAAAACAGCTCTCACAATGCTCAGTAGAACCAAGAAGATACCTCATGGGATTTCACTTTCAGCCCCACCAAGTTCTTTGCGTGCGGCTAGCCATTGAGATGCGTATATTTGACAAGCTTCCAACTTCAAGTCCTTTCACGGTAGATAGCTTGGTCAAGTCAACCGGAACAGACTCTGAATTTACCGGTCGAGTCATACGTGGCCTTGCAGCCGTCGGCATTTTGGAAGAATTGCACGAAGGTACTTTCAAGCAAACGCCAGTCTCCAGAGAATGGGCGAATAAAAACATGCAATCCTACACCAAGCACGCGTGGGATAATATTTTCATGTGCATGTCGAAGTATATGGAGTTCTTTAAAGAAAGAGGCTTCGTTAGTCCTTCAGATCCGATGAACTCGCCCTATGCTTTTGCGAAAGGTGTTGAAGATATCGATTTCTTCAATATATTATCACAGGACCCCAAATCTGTGAAAGTATTTAATGAGGCCATGACGAGCATCAAGGATCCTTTAGGAAGCATGTATGACTTTGGGAGCCTCCAGGCTAGGGATGGCGATGTTGCTCTTGTCGATATAGGTGGAGGGAAAGGACAAGTATCCAAAGCATACTGTTCACCTATCCGGAACTTAAAGGAAAGTTCGTTCTTCAGGATCTACCTGAGGTTATTTTAGCAGGAGACAGAGTGTGTCCGCCAGACGTGATAGCACAGCCATACAACTTCTTAAAGCAGGTACAGCCTGTCAAAGGTTAGTCTCCCTCTTCTTATGCACCTTGATATCACCAACTTATACCATGATACTCAGGTGCTACCGCATACCTTCTTAAGTCCATACTTCACAATTGGCCCGATGCAGAGTGTCGAACTATTCTACGGAACTTGGCACCGGCAATGAGAGGCTACAGCTCGAAGCTACTCATCGTGGAGCTGGTCTTGTCTGACTCTAACCCAGACACTACAAAGGTATTGTATGATATTAACATGCTTTTCTGCGCGGGAAAGGAGCGCAGCGTAAAGCAATGGCATACCTTGTTGGAAGGAACTGGATTTCGAATTCAGAGAATTTTCGGAATAGACAATCCGGTGAGGAGTGTGATGGAGGTTTTATTGGACGAGTAGATTAATCCGGTTCCTGGTCATAATCTACATGTACATAGTCAATAACTTAGAACAATCTCTCAAATAATGGACTAATGTCTTGTATAAGTTCAATTGTGTTCATTTGAGACTTTGTGTACCCACTTCCCACCCAAGCCCGCATCAGTATACATAGATGAAATCCTCATTCTTGAGATCAGTTATATCCCGCAGCCCGTTATCATTCTCTACAGACGTCTGTTGATCCACCGGTGCCTCCTCTAGCTCAACAGCCTTAGCACCCTCCGCATTCTTTGTAGAGATCATTGACTCATCCACAACCACAGCAGACTTCCCAAGCTCTTCTCGGTGCTTAGCATGTTGTCGGTTGAGATACATGAGATAAAATGGAACCAATCTAAAAATACAGTTAGGCTAGTGCTCAGAATAGCTATAGTAAGGGTGACTTACGCTGAAAGAATCCCCACAAGCACAAACATGACTAGATTGGCAATCAATCCAGGTCGATATAGTGGTGCATCATCTGTGGAGTAAAGGAGCGGCCCGATGACATTGCCCGCGCACATGCCGACAAATACCATGGCTGATGTACATTTCTTCTTGGTATCACCTCCTGTGTTCTGGGCTTGCCAGGCATATATTAAAGGGGTGATGGCAGCCATGCATGAAACCTAGTTTTCATTCTAGGTTAGTTCACCATGTATTGTGATGCTAGTTTTACATTTTGGTTGCTGTGATAAAGTTGTTTGACTTACGAGATAATACCCAAATAGGAGTGTGCCTTTGTTTTGGCGGGGCAGAGTGAGCATCATAATAGCACCAATAGATGGGAGAACTGCAACACCTGCAATAACAAGACCCTTCCTTTGGGTTTTTGTCGCAAGCCAGCCTGATCCTAGAATTGCAATGATTTGGATCACGCCAAAGGGGATGTTGAACAGAATGGTCTGAAAGCTGTTGTAGCCAAATGACTTGACAATTAGATTCCCGAAAGACGAGATACCACCGCTAGCGATTCTGTGGCCCATAAGTTAGACGTCTCATTGAAGGGATAAGTCAGAGATGAATATTCCACTCACGAGATAGAAATGATTAAAATAAACCAGCACCACGTCTTGATATCAAGCAAGGTCTCCCAAACATGGCTCCACTCCCATTCCCTTGATGCCAATCCCATTTGATTTGCCCTCAGTCGCTCGACAGCGATATACTTTTCACGATCAGAAAGACACTTAGCTTCCATGGGCGAGTCAGGCATAAAGATCCCAACCAAAAGCGAGAACGCTACCGTCAGCAATCCACAAAACATGAAGATAACCTGGTATTTGTAAAGATGAGTAGTCTGGATATGTCCAAGGCCATAGGTCATCAGACTGCCAACAATAAAAGTGACACCATTCATGGCATTCCAGTAGCTGGTACGCAGTGTTTGTTCACTACGTCGCCACCACATTTGAGTAGCGGCAATACAAGAGGGAGCGATCATGGCTTCAAAGGCGCCCAAACAGAATCGCAGGCCAAGCAGAGAAGGAAAATCTGTACATGCGGATGTAAGGGCCAGAGATGATCCCCAAAGGAAGACAGCTCCGAAGATCACCTTGCCAGTGGGGAGCTTGACGAGCAGGAAAGCTGCGAGAGGCTGCATGACTAGTTGTGCAAGGTAAAGAATCGAGCCGAGCCATGAGTATTGTTTACCCACGAGATGTGCGTCTTCTTCGATGCCGAAGATAGAAACATAACTGGCCTGTTAGCGTACAACTTGAAATTAATTTAGTCAGATCGATCATACCTTAAGCAACTTTTGTCGAGTTGCTGGAAGAAATAGGCCCCCAACAAGATGAGAAGTACACGTCTGTCAATCTTCCTGACGACAGCTTTCTCTTCCTCGTACGTGAACGGGATCTGTCCATTTCCATGTCCGACCAGGAGCTTAGCCCACTTTCCGGGCGGAGTATTCGCTTGGCTGGCTGCTTGGTGTGGCTCGATAGCAGGCCCAATGTCGTCACCCTCTTCATTTGGATTTGTGCCCATCGCTATGATTGCGTAGGCTTTATTTTTGACAGAACTGGGGAGAAGGAATAGGCTAGGTATCTTCGCACTGGGGTAGCCATCCAGCGTCTCTTAATCATATCCTCGGTATTCATTATTAACCTCCCATTGGAGGAATAAGTAATCTCTCAAGAGATGGAGTATCTGCTATCATTGGAGGAATATGTCGAGCCAAGTGTTGGCATGAGACCATTCTGCCGGGAAAGGGAAGAAGATCAGCATGCTCAGCACCGCGGACAATACCCCGGACAATGACCCGGTAGTCATTCCCCAGTATCCACTGCGAATGCGGGGTCTAGGAACATGGCCGATTGTGTGGGGGTAGCACAATTAGCCAGGAAGAAAAGTGGATGATCAGTGGGGGTGCGTTAACTAGATAAATCAAGTGCCTTTTCCTCGGTGTGTCTTTATCCGAAATCTACTCAGGCTAAAAAGGGTCAAAGGATCAGTCAATACAAAAAAAACTTATCGTTCTTCAAACAAGTCCAAGCAAAAGATAATTGTGTTCACTCAAAGGATTCAACACGGTGCCAACAGCTAAGATGAGTGAAAATATCCAAGTTGCGACCAAACAAAGACGCTACGCCCTGATCGGCACGGGCCATCGAGCAAGCCTTTTCTATTCCGCCCTCGTATCAAAGTTCAAGGATACTGCGAACCTGGTCGCCTTCTGCGATACAAATCGCACTCGTCTCGATTATGCCAACTCTCGAATCCAAAACCTAGGCCAAGAAGCTGTGCCGACATACCTTGCCTCCGAATTTGACCGTATGATTCAAGAAACAAAGCCAGACGAGATCATTGTCACAACCGTCGATCGCACCCATCACACCTACATTGTCCGAGCGCTTGAGCTAGGCTGCAATGTTGTGAGCGAAAAGCCAATGACCATCGACGCGCCGCGTTGCAAGGAGATATTCTCAGCTGTCGAGCGCACGGGACGTAACGTGCGTGTGACTTTTAATTATCGCTATGCGCCGCACAATACTAAGATCCACGAGCTCCTCCGTTCCGGAGTTATTGGAACACCCACGAGTGTGTATTTCGAGTGGATGCTGAATACTTCGCATGGGGCTGACTACTTCCGTCGCTGGCATCGGGACAAGCGAAATAGTGGTGGTCTGCTCGTTCATAAGTCGACACATCATTTTGATCTTGTAAACTTCTGGCTGCAGAGTCGGCCAGATACAGTGTATGCGCAAGGTGATCTCCGTTTCTACGGAAAAGAGAACGCAGAGGCCAGAGGAGTCACTCAGTTTTACTCGAGGGCACACGGTAGCGAAGCAGCAAGAAAAGATCCCTTTGCATTGCACTTGGCCGACAATCCAGGTCTCAAGGCATTGTATCTCGACGCTGAGCAAGAGGACGGGTACTATCGTGACCAGAGCGTATTTGGTGACGGTATCAACATTGAGGACACTTTGAGCGTCTTGGTGCGATACCGAAGCGGTGCGACACTGACTTACTCCTTGACGGCCTATGCGCCTTGGGAGGGTTTCCGGGTGAGCATCAACGGTACTGAGGGGAGACTCGAAGCAGAGGTGGTAGAGAACAGCTATGTGAGCGCTGGTGGGGATCAGGCAGCTGAGGGAAGTCTGGAAAGTCGCACTGTGACGGTTCGGAGGATGTTTGAAAAACCACAGGAAATCAAGATTCAGGACGGCGTGGGTGCACATGGTGGTGGTGATGAGGTCCTGTTGAGTGATTTGTTTGCTGGGAAAACCAACATTTACGACAGCAGAGCTGCCAGTCATATTGATGGCGCTGCGTCGATTTTGACTGGAATTGCCGCGAATCGGTCAATTGCGACCGGACAAGTTGTGCGCTGTGATGACATTTTGCAAATTCCAGAGTGAGAAAAAGCTCATGTCATCAAATTCCTGCTTTTATAATGGAAAGGAAGCATCCTGGGAACACACTTTATTCAGTTCGGCATTTCATCGAAAGAGGTGTTGAGGATTTAGGTAAGTCGCTGCTTCTCCAAATAGATAGTCAATAATAGATGCGATAAAGAACAGCCGACCGTTAAATGAAGATAATTTGATCCCATTTTCAAATGATTCCATCTATTAGTCGCTAGTAACATTGAAGACTCATCTCTGTCATCTGTAGCTGTAGCGCAGCTTTACGACATACAGATGCAGTTTTCTCCGACACTTTTCCAGCTCTCTCCTCTCCCAATGCACGAAATCCTGCTTCCCAAAAATCCATCTCTGCGAGGCATTCCTATCCCGCCTTTACAAAGAGCTGCTCTCGCTAATGTATTCAGTTCATCTGATGAGAACTCGAAATCCAGTTTCTGAAGTATCACCTGTCTACAACTATCAGCAGAGTCGAAGTTGACCGCATGTACACACCCGATGCCCTCGATCACGTCCTCAACAAAAACCCCGAGACACTGCAGGAATTCGCTGCTCGATGCGAACTCTCCGGTGAGAATGTCGCTTTCCTCAACGAATTGTCATTGTGGAAGTCTCGCTGGCCTGCTATTCTTGCCGAAGAAGGGATTCCAGGTGCTTCAACCACGCTCTGCGAATCTATGGTGACTTTGTCAGCACGCACCATGCGATCTTCCCTCTCAATATCTCTTCTCAGAGCTATAAGCAGCTCTAAGCTGTTTTTGAGGGTCCTGCACGTGTCCTGTTTGGAGAGGACTCTGTTAACTCTACCTCGCCGTTTGATGACGTTGATCTTACTCTGCCGTCAGAGGAGATCTCGGGTGCGCACTACACTGGAGAGATTCCTATTATCTTTGATATGACTATCTTTAATGAAGTCCAAGAGCATATCAAATACTTGGTTCTGACAGATACTTGGCCCTTCGATGCGTCGTCGGTCGGTCGATTCGGAGCGGAGTGACTTCAGTAATGTCTCGGATGCCTCTATGCGCAGTTGGATTTCTAAGACGCGCATGAAGCTCCAATCTTTTCTTTAGATGTTTTTCGCAGATTTGTTTTTGGATCGAGTTACTACTATGCCACCAGTCATGGTCCAGACTTGGTAATGATATTCATTTCTACTTCTTTTCTTTCTCTTTTTTTCTTTCTCCGAGCCTCTTTTGCCTTCTTGTTGTCTTTACCTTTAACTTCTTTTTATGTAGTTACTACCGTACTTTTGAGTGGTACATACTCAACAGCGTCCTGAAACCTAACTTCTTGGAGGAGTCACTGAGCAATATATCACTATCTATAAGGTCGGAGCTTCAACTTGAAGTTGGAAAACTGACATATCATCGCACGAAATTATATTTTGTACGTCATGGCATGCCGCTCAGGTTAGCAGACAATTCCAAGATCAAATCATCATTCAATGGTGCCTTGTGACTTGGTGCACGTCTCTATTATTTTGGGTAAAAAGAACAACAAAAAAAATTTAAGCACTCCCGCCCGGGATCGAACCGGGGATTTCCAGATTAGGAGTCTGACGCCTTGCCACTGGGCTACGAGAGCATAGCTATCCTTCTTTCTCCGGGCCAATACTCTTGACATATTTCCCTTGGTTTGAGCTACAAAGTTTCCCTCGGAGAATTATTCCCCGGATCTATAATTAGATCTTGAGAGTAAAACAAATAGCTGCAAATTAGGATTTACCAATACCTTTTTTTCTGTTTCAAATATTGTATATACTTAGCGATGAGCTCAAAATCTCCGCCCTAAATACATAATTCTGGGCACTAACCTTCTCATGAGGTCGTTCGGAAGTTCTCCGCAGCCTACGGATATATCCAAAAGCCCGCAGATCAAAATTAAGTCTCAGCCACTTCAAGTTCAGGCAAACAAAATCCAGAACTTGAACAAAGTCTAGACCAAAGCAACCAGAACAAGAACAACGTTGACGTCAAATAGCCTCTCAAAAAAAGCGGTGAAAGAAGATCAAGCCACTAACAAGGAAGCTGAAATGCGAATCCATCTCCACTCGGAGTACCATGTGTCCCGATCGAGTCCAGCACTTGAGGTCTTAGTGCGGCTACAGCGCAACTGCCAAAGAAATTTCCGACGATGACCACAGGTCTAAGCCCCGCAAAATGAGATGCGATGCAATGCATAAAACGTGGCATGGTCCAAGAGCTTGCAAAACTGGATCATGATCTAGAATAAGTAACACACCTCGTGGATTTAGTGACATAAATCAAGCAAGAACAGCACGGAAATCCAATGGCTTCCGACTCTGCATAAGACATTGGTCAATGCCATGTTCATGCAGGGTACAGTACAGTAGATACATCCCACAATGCGGAGTTGCGGGGTACAGGGACAGACATAACACCTGAGCAACACCTGAGTAACACCTGGGCACTGACTCAAAGTAGTTAGAAGACAATAGCAAAATTCATTCACCAGCTAATTATGTCGTCTTGATTGGTGAGTGCTGTCAAGCGACGAACCAGACTTGGAGCCGTGATGGTCATCGCGCTAGTCCGAAACGGGTCATTATCTAGAGAAGGTGGATTCACCCATGAAATCAGCCGATGGGGTTCGCTGTTGTGATGGGGAAGATGAGAAGAAAAAACTTTTCCCTCATGTTGTTTTCTTCTCTTCATTTATCTTGGACTTCGTCTGTGTCTTGTGTCTGAGGTTGTTCAGTTCACTTTGTGCTTCAGCAAGCATACATATACCGACTGCTAGTGTGGAATCATTGGACGGAAGTGAGGTCATTCAAGTTCTCATTACCGGATTAGGAATCCGTGGCGAACTTGAAAACAAATATCGTCGAGGGACCGGAGACGGACCAAAGATAGGGATAGGGATCGGAATCTGAATCGAATCGGGTCTAAAAGGCTCGTTAATTGCTAACATCGCTATGGTGTTCACTCGCGGCGATGTATCCGGTGAGGTTGAGGAAACAATAGGTATGAACGCAATGGCAGTATCCAAACTTGAAAACAAGACACAACTAACATAAACTAGATCACCATGACCCAGGCACAAACATTGAAGTAGTCACCTGGGATGGCCCCGAAGATCCAGGCAACCCATACAACTGGTCTCTGCGCCAAAAATGGACCTTAACGCTACTCGCCAGTTTCGCAACCTTCATCACAATGATGAACGGCACAATAATAACAGTAGCGCACACAACCATCAACTCAGAATTCGGAATCTCAGACGCCTCCTTCCCAAATTCTTACTGGCCCGTTTCATCCTGGGCCGTCGGAGGCGGATGCTTCTCCCTTCTCATCTTACCACTAATGGAAGATTTCGGCGTAAGATGGGTATTCCTCTCATCATGGCTCATCTTCATCTGCTTCGTTATTCCTCAGGCTCTAGCACAGAACTTCGCAACATTAATAGTGACAAGATTCTTTGCAGGTGGCTGTGTGGCTATTTTAGCTAATACCGCTGCAACTGTTATTGGGAATTTATGGGATACTGAACGATCCCGTAATATTCCTGTGAGTCTTTATATTGTTACTTATCTTGTTGGAGCTAGTATTGGGCCTGTTGTTGGTGCGCCGATATATGAGTTTCTGTCTTGGAGATGGATTGGGTATTTGCAGATTATTTGGTATGGGGCTTTGTTTCCGCTTTATTTTGTGTTGTTTAAGGAGTGTCGCGGGATTGCTATTCTGGGGTCGAGGGCGAAGGCTCTTCGGAGGGAGGGGAGGATGGCTTATACGCAGCATGAGATTGATAGTGAGGGGAAGTCGATTTGGAGGATTGTGGGGAGGAGTGCGACGAGGCCTCTTGTGATGTATTTCACTGAGTCGGTGGTGTTTTTCTCCGGGATGTGGTCTGCTTTTACGGTTGGGACGCTTTACCTGTTTACACAGTCAGTTGAGCAGGTTTTTGCAGGGTTGTATGGATGGTCTCCGTCTCAGGCTGGGTATGTGCAAGGTGCTATTGTCATTGGGGAGTGTATTGGGTGGGTTGGAACATTATTTTCTGGAAGGTTATACTTCAATTCTGCGGCTAGGAATACGGAGGATCCAGGGAAGCCGATTCCAGAGGCAAGACTTTACCTTGCTATTATCTCGGGTGTTGTCGGTCTCTCTGGTGGAATGTTCGTCTATGCTTGGACTTCTTATGCCGCTTTGCCGTGGATTGCACCAGCTATCGGGTTAGCTATGGTGGGTGCTGGAAGTGTTATTGTTGTCACTGGTATATCGGACTATGTCGTCGATGCATATGCCAAGTATGCTGGGAGTGCGGTTGGAATCATTGTTACTGGGGAGAATACGTTTTCGGCATTTTTGCCACTGGCTGCTATGAGCATGTATTCGAATCTAGGGTTTCAGTGGGCCAGCACTCTACTCGCTTTTATCTCGTTGGCTCTTTCTTTGGCTCCGATCTTGTTCCTTGTTTATGGGAGGGAAATCCGAGCTCGAAGTCCATTTATGAAGGAGGCGATGATTGAAAAGAGGAGGAAGAGCGTGGAATCAGTTTAATCACCTAATGTTCTTGAACCATGTACATAGATTATGATGATGATGATGATTGCTCCGCAAGAACCACAATGACGAAAATGCCTCACGATCGAACCCTATTCTTGTCTGAAGAAATAGAAAGAAAAAAAAATCTCTTCGCATTTCCTTCTCACCGGCCACCGGTCCCGTACAGTCAAACATGTGAATCCTTCGAGATTTTTCTGTCGTGTTCCGTAGCCCTTCTAACTGGATATCTATTCGAGCGATGGAGACAGCGTCGGATACTGGTTACAGTACTTACACCCTTGATACGGAGTACAAGGATCATGATTCTTGGTGAAGAGAAGTGGCACTCGCATTGGGAAAAAACCTTTAGCGGTTAGCTTTTCTGGGGTGAATCTGAGACAAGATGTTGCATTGAGAGACGATGTCGGAGAGTGAACACCTGCAGAAACAGATGGGCTGAACCTTGATCGGCCGTGGAGTCTATGATTCAAGATTCGTGATAAACAGCTTGCAGGGCTATAATAGATAATTTAGGTGAAAGAGCGGGGCTTGGAAAACCATGGAACGGCAGTAGGGTGCAATATACTTTGGGACTAAGGAGGAGGTGCATGGATGGGATTTGAGAATTCAGGAGGTGGACGGAGCACCGAGTGTAGGTTACCTGCAACGGAGGTTTTCCAGAATTCGGTTTAGAACGTTCGTTACTCCACTTTGTTGTTCCTGGGCTAGCCGTACCGTACTCCACGGAGGTACCAGCGCAATGCATTCTTGGAGATTCTATGCGTGGATGCTCCTGATTGAATGTCATAAAAAGATAACGACATTTAACGAAAAGGGAAACGGGTTCGAAATTCAAATCTAATCCAAAGATTGCTCGGGTTCCCGGTCGTTGCCCGTACCCCATTGTCGATCTGGAAGATCATAGCTTCATCCCTCTCATAACAGAGTTTTCAGTTCAAGGCCAGAAAATAAGACGCCAAAGTAGTTGAACGAATTTTTAATATTTTCTCCCATTATTTAGGTGCATTGTACATATTGTGAGTCTGTCTGATTCTAGTCGCAAACTTGAATTACGGCACTTCGCATTTCCCGCCGTTGGGGTTAGTATTAGTATGTTTTGCAGGAGAGGGGAAGATCATCGCTCAAACAGGGATTAGTGATTATTCCTTTACTCCGTAGTGTACTTGGTAGAGTTGACAGGGATCGCAAAGACCACCCGGTATGCTATTTACTCTTTCCTCCGTACAAAGTACAAAGTTCCTCCCGGACTTATTTAGCCCTCTCTAGTATGTATCCATCCTCATCCCTTTATGGCACAGTGCAGGATTCAATGCTTCTCCCAGCCACGAAATTCGGCACTAAGAAGTCTCCACAACTGGACAAGGCTCATGACTTGAACTTCTAGATCGTTTCACATTGGACGATCAAACGGGGAGGAAGACCGACCTCCGTACTAGTGCTATTGTGTAGTACTGCGGAGCATTGATCTGGTTTGTGAGGCGGGTGGATGGGTGGTGAGGGCATTCGAGCCGAGTGGAAATCTGGAGCGATAGACTCATGTCCGTCGTTTCATGGAGAGGTCCAGAGCGACGCGGACGTCATTTTTCCGACGAAGGTTTGCAAGTGTGAATGAGAGTAAGACACAATCTACAATGTACTCCGTAGTTTACTCCAGGGGTTGGTGATGGGACTTGGGACCAGCCCTATTGTAGGAATTGTATCCGATGAGTCGGAATATAGCATCTACAGTATGTATTTCAGGGTTGTTTCTACGGTACTGCGAATGCGAGTCCCAGTTTTGGTGGACCCAACGGGTTGTGGATTGCATCTCGTAAATCTTGATCGAGGATGAAACACGATTTGATACCTAATGGATGCTCTCCACAGATGGGTAGACTGTATCTGGTAGGTGTTTAGCAGGATCTGGATCTGGATGTCAAGGTGCAAGGATTGTGTGGAAGGAAGGAATGAAAATATCCATGGATGTGTAATTTGTCATGAGGACTCAAATGTTGGGCGAGACTCGAGACTCGAGACTAGGACTAAGATCAACCCCCTGATGTTTTGATATCGCAAAAACCATTTGACCGAGGTTCGATGGGGCAAGGCACGTTCTGGACCTTGTTCTCCCTTTTATTCAGGCGTCGAGTGCCAAGCTTCGGGAGGGTTAACCATGGGAAGGGCGACAGGGGCGTTATTCCAGAATTCTAGAATTTGTCGCGTGTTGATCTTCATCTACGAATTTGCCAGTGAGAACCTTGGATTAACCCTGTAGTGTACAGGGATTTTGAATAGGAAAGAGACTAATGTACTAGTACTAGTTACTGCATGGGACAGACCACCCGTCTGTATGGCCGGGTAGTGTTTCCCCCTTTAACTACTGCATGCACTCCAGAAAAGATGCAACAGGGGCACATCGTCAGGTACAGACCTACAGTTCTGACGGGAGAACCCCGGCAGTAGGACAGAACCAACTAGGGGATTTTTAGTACACTGCTAGCAGCACGGAGTACTTTCATTATGGAGTAAGGGCTTTGTCTCGTACTTTGTTCGTCCGGAATGGCACGGATACCCAGAGAATAGCCATTCAGCTCCAGCCACAGCCGTACGAGGTGATGGAGCACGGACTTGTCGGTATCGGAGAGTTTCCATAGACTAGGAGTCGTAGGATGGGTAGAATAGTGGGAATCAAGAGAAGAAGTGGGACGAGGGAAAGGAGGAGAACCCGTTACAATGCATGTAAGCGCCCGGGATCCTGAAACACCAGCGAGCGGGTGCTTCAGGTCCCTCAGCGCCAGTTTGATGAGCGAACGAGGGCTTGGCGGGGCCCAGGAGATTATTATCTTCTTGTTGGTCGGAGTTTTGCTCTATAGCTATTCTGTTTTTATTTTATTTCATTTTTATCCTTTTTTTTTTTTACTCCACTGGACGGGACTCGAGAACCTTGGAATGAGCTGGTGTCATGCCACATAAGAATAGTTAAGTTAGTTCAAATGTTAGAATTAGGAGACTGCGAAAAGAGTCAATCAGATACCGTAGCATCAGTCGACTAATACTCTTGTGCAGAACTAAAAGTAGTAAAAGATCGGACAGGACCTGCAGACCAGTCACCCTGCCCGTGGTGATGCATCGAATCAAGTGCAGAAAGAGGGTCCAAAAAAGGGAAGCAAAATACAATAAAATAAAAACCTGGTTGAGCGATGAATTAATTTAATTATTATTATTATATTATTATTTTTACTATTTTTCTCCCCATCACACTAGTCGACAACAGCGAATCATGACGATCCGGCCCCATTTCCACACGACGAAGCAGAAGAAGACGAAATGTGGGAACTGGCAAAGTGGACAAATCCAGGACAAATCCAGGAACGGTGTAGTTATGTCATTTAGTATTCAGTATTCAGTATTTTTAATATTTTAGTCTACTATAATATAAGAATATGGACCTAACTGGTTATTACTGGCCCGTTCTGACTGGTCATTCCGGGTCCCTGGGCGCTTCCCTTTTCCCTTACTATTGTGGGTGTATTATTAGTACAAACTGACGTTGTGCTCTCTCTCTCTCTCTTCCCCCCTTCATCCTTCTTCTCTTCTTCATTTCCCCCTCCTCTCCTCCTCTCTCCCATCTCTTTTCCAACCATCTTCCCACTTTCGTTTCTTCTTCTTCCCGCTGTGCGAGAATTCATCTGCAGAGTCTTACCGGCTGGTCCAGTGCTATCTCTGTCCTCCTTCTTTCTGTCTTTCTCTTTGTTTCCTTGAGGCTGGTTCCTCATTTCGATCCCACCCCCAAAATCCAAATCCAAATTCAATCCAAATTCAGATCCAAATATACAAAGACTCGATCTCATTCGACTGGCGCGTTACTCAAGCCTACAACTCAAATCAACCGCGAACCACGAACCACGTTAAAACAACAAACAATCCGGCATTGGATCTAGAATCCCTACGATCGCGATATTCTTAGAAAACCGCCCTTTCCTGCTCGTAACAAAGTGATCCACTCTTCAGCAGAGGTGAGTCCCTGAAGATATTCAAGAAGAATTCATGCACCTCTGCAGTGGCGTTGGAAGTTTCATATGCCACAAAGCCTACACAAAGCGATCAAAGCAAATACAAAGTGATCATTCACTCTTGTCTTGCTTTGGTCCCCTTTGTGACCTTGCCCCCACTCTTTTTATCTAACTCGTCATTTTTCCCCCGGTCGGCACTGACGATTTGCCATATACAAGGTGTGCTACAATTATGTATCCTCAACATAGTGCCCCCATGGCACCCCCACAGAAACCGGAGACCTTCATGTTATCAACTGAAGCCCAGCACAATCTTCCGCACGATGCGCAGGTCGCCTTGCAGCAAGTGGACAACCGTATGCCAACCCCCGAAAATTTTCCGATAAGATGGGAAAAAAAGAACATATCGTGTTGACGAGACCTAGTGAAATATTTCCTTCTGTCGGCCCCCGTCGACTGGCAATCCGACCAACTTATTCGTCGTTTCTTGCTTCCGACCGGCGATTACGTTTCTTGTGTTCTATGGTGAGTGGAAAGCCAACACGGATGACGACCATGTCAACATATATACAAACGCGCGCAGAGCTGATCAAGCTGATTTTTTTTTTCCGTCGCAGGAGCAATCTCTTTCACATCTCTGGTACGGATATTGTGCGATGCTTGGCCTTTCGATTCCAAGCCTTCGGTCGCCCTGTGAAGAACTCGAAGAAGTTTGAAGAGGGCATTTTCTCCGACTTGCGAAATCTCAAGGCCGGCACAGATGCGACTTTAGAAGAGCCAAAGAGCGCCTTCCTCGACTTCATGTACAAGAATAACTGCATTCGGACACAGAAGAAGCAGAAGGTGTTCTACTGGTACAGCGTGCCTCATGATCGCTTGTTCCTGGATGCCCTCGAACGTGACTTGAAACGTGAGAAGATGAACCAGGAAGCCACCACGGTCGCTGTGAGCGAACCGGCCATGTCCTTTGAATTCGACTCATCGCAGTCCCTCTACGAGCAATTGACAAAGGCACAACAAGCGAACTCGTCCTCGTTTGCTGCCCACGCAAGTACGACATCATCATATGGCCAGTCCAACTCCCCCGTTGTTCGGACCGTTGACGCAATGCCTCCTCCCCAGATGGCTCCCCAGATGGCCCCCCCGCCAGCAATTCCGCTTCTCCAGGACGACTCCGCGACTCCGTCGATGTACAGCAACCCGATGCCCCTCTCGAACAGCCTGGTTCAGGGTCTCATTAAACGTGAGCAAGACTACGGAATTCAGTACGACCGCAATGGAATGCCTATCGCCCGCATCCACCAACGCCACTCCTCTATGCCGACTTTCTACGAGTACTCCCCCGCGCCGTCCTTCGTGTCGTCGCAGTACGAAGATTACAGCAACCGCGGCCTGTCGTTTGAGCCCGTCACCCCACCACAGCATTCGGTTGGACTCGGCGCTGAGCCCGCTTACATCGCCAACGAGGATACCGGCTTGTACACTGCGATTCCAGATCTCTCCCACGGGGCCCCATACAACCCCATGATGCAGCTCCCACCGTCGAACTTCACCGGTGGTCACTACCAAGCGGCCTCTCGACCTTATTCAAACAACCCGTACTCTGTTGTTGAAGGGTCACCGACTTACAAACAGCGAAGGCGACGACCATCTGTCACTCCGGGTCCCTCAAATGGAACCCCCGGATTGATGAATGGTTCTGTTCAGGGCACATCCGTTCCTCCTACAACCTACGCCGCTCACAAACCCAGTGATCTTCGTCGTTCGGTCTCAAGCTCTGTGGCTCCTGGCCTGGAAGCAGATGACGGTTCTCACGATCTAGCTCGGACCTATCCGAGTGCGATGTTGCCCCAAAAAGATTTGTTGCAGGAAATTTCGCGCCATGGCACCCCACTCCAGCCACTGGACGGTAGCGTTGAGCCACAACCAGCCCCCATGTCAAACCCGCATGATGACTTGGCAGCGCTTCCAACTAGTGCAGCCATTGAGACGACCGTTCAAAACAGCACCGGCCGGTCGGATCGCACAGCTCCTGGTCCCGCTCGTCGGGCCCGTAGTGCAACAATGATGGAGCTGGGACCGTACCCACAAAAATCTCACTCCTGCCCAATTCCGTCCTGTGGCAGACTTTTCAAGCGTCTAGAGCATCTCAAAAGGTAAGCTTCAATCTATTTTTGAAATCACTACCCCTCCTTTGTGGGGATTCGATCTGCAAAACAATGCATCGGTGTGATGGTTTTTAAGCGCTGAGCTAACTTGGGCGCTTAGGCACGTGAGAACCCATACACAAGAACGTCCATACCCCTGTCCATACTGCAGCAAAGCTTTCTCGCGATCCGACAATCTGGCACAGTAAGCTATCTTCCGCATTAGCTCAAGTTCTTTTTTTAGTAACTAACATTTGTCCTCAGACACCGCCGCATTCATGAGGCTCAACAAGACGGCCAGCCCGTTGCAACTGAGGAAGACTTGGAGAATGAGGAAAATGATTTCGAGTCCGCTGGCGAAGATTCTTCTCCCCCTGCCCTAGAGCCCGCTCATCCTCATGCTCACCATGCTCACGCTCATGCCCATGTTCATGCCCATCCTCATGCTCACGCCCATGCACCTCACATGGTCAACATGCCTGCTATGACGTCTATGCCCGCTCCAATGAGCATGCCATCTGCTGTCCCCACCATGGTCGGAGCTCATATGATAGCTCCCCAGCTTCTTCAACAGCAGATGTAAATGTCCTAGGTAGTTTGCAGTCCCTTCTTCTTTGGCGTGTTTTTTTTTGTCTTTATCGGATCTACAGGCGCAATCTAGTCGTCCTGGACCGGGTGCCTAATGGTTTTCGTCCCGCTTTTTACTTGCACCATGACATTCAAATTTTCTTGTCCACATTGCGCTGTCGCTGTCACTATTCTTGCACATCTTGCAGAATATCTTGCCACTTGCACCCTGCACGTTTCTTCTTTTCTTTGTTATTTATCTCTGTTTGGATCACCGGTTCTGTTTTGAGTTTGGTTTTGGTTTTGATTTTGGTTTGGATTACCTTGTATTATTGTCTCGCTTAAATCGGTGCTTGCTCCGACGCCCGTGGATAACGAACCTGCCTGGCGGGTACTGGCAACGTGTGGCGTACAATTTCAAGGAAATGGGGAATCTGGTATACCGTTTTCATGGAAACATTGGGAATCTCCTCTTGAAGAGCAGGATTAGGAAGCTGCTAGTGCGGCATGGTTATATTATAGACATCTAACGAATTGACTTGACTATAAATCTATGCACATTTTTTTATCATCAATTAACTATATTTTCATAATTAAAGCTCCATAGACTTCTCTGGAATCAAATCCAGCGTATCTAGTTCAATTTCACCGCTCCATGATTCAGAATGATCATCAAACCAAAACACAAGACGTGCTGAATCACGTGCAGATGCTGACGTCGATCCCTTTGCTAAAGAACATTCAGCACCAGCGTCGATCAACACAGCCTCAATCAGATTCAACCCAATGAAATAATTCAACGTAGCCTAAAATATCACCTCCGTACATTTGTCATTCCTCAGGTACCTCCACTTCAACGTGGCAATCGCATACCGTACAGGAGCCACCGGACCCCACCCAACTCCCTGGCGACGCTATATCCTGCATTGCATCCACTGTCCCCATGACCGCTGGCACACCCGCAGCTCCAGCTTACACCAAATGATTCGTCACAACATCAAGTACCCCAGTCCACGCACCTAATCTAGGTAGTTTCGGCCCGACTACTCCTTTAATCACGCGTGACACAAAGATCTATACCTCTTGTTTGTTACTTTACCTCACCTTAAAGCACAGTGGGTCTTGCTTTGTCCACCCGGAGCGGACGTCCTTATCGCTCCCCACCTCTATTCTAATGGGCGATCTCAACTTACAATCTTCTATAGTTCACGAACGATCGCCCTTAATGCCTAGGCAAGATGGGATATCGGACTCAGGCTCAAACTTAGGTCAATATGCGGGGGTCCGCTCTGAAGCTCAAGCTGGGAATGAAGCTGTTGATGAGTCCTCGAAGAGCACGTGGTATTTGGTTTTATTAACTATTTCTATTGGGGGGTAAGCTTCCATGAACAGAACTGAGCTTTCGCATTGATCCATCTACCCGAGAATATATACTAATAGAGACTCTACAGGCTGCAAGTCGTTTGGTCCGTGGAACTCTCTAATGGATCGGTACGTATCGCTACCTACATCATGCTCAGATTCTTCCCCGTGTTTGGGCTGGGTTACCCATAAACCCAGAAACCCCATTCAACCAACCTATACTAATATCAAATCCATATCCTTAGCCATTCCTCCTCTCACTAGGCATGAGCAAGGCTCTGCTAGCCTTTGTCTGGATCGCAGGTCCCCTAACCGGAACACTGGTCCAGCCATACATCGGTATAAGAAGTGACAATTGTCGAATATCATGGGGGAAAAGAAAACCCTTTATGATTGTCGGCGGTGTGGCGACTATTATTACGCTCATGATGCTTGCGTGGGTGAAGGAGATTGTGGGTGGGTTTTTATCGGTTTTCGGTGTTGATCCGGCTTCGAATGGGACGAAGGTGGTTAATATGATTTTTGCGACGATTGTGATGTTTTCGCTTGATTTTGCTATTAATACTGGTATGTAACCTTATCTTCATTGTGATTATAATGGCTGTGGCTGGTGACAATGATGGGGTGGTGATGGGGTGATGATTATCGTGGCTAATTGATAAACAGTGCAAGCCGGTATAAGAGCATTCATCGTTGATAACTGTCCCACGCACCAACAGGAACTAGCAAATGCCTGGGCAAGTCGATGGACAGGCGTAGGCAACATCATCGGCTACGTCTTCGGGTACATGGACCTACCGCACTATTTCTCTTTTCTAGGAAATACCCAGTTCAAAGTCCTGTGCGCAATTGCATCGGTTCTCCTAACCATCACCCTCGCCATAAGCTGCTGGTACATCATAGAAAGAGATCCAAGACTCGATGGGCCCCCCTCATCAACTGGACTTGGTGTTGTTGAATTCTTTCAAAAAACCTTCAAATCCATTCGGACATTACCGACTCAGATTGCGAAGGTTTGCGAAGTGCAGATTGCCGCTTGGGTGGGATGGTTCCCGTTTCTTTTCTACTCGACTACATATATTGGACAACTTTATGTGAACCCGATTTTTGAGGAGAATCCCCATCTTCCACAGGAGCAGATTGATAAGGCGTGGGAAGATGCGACGAGGGTGGGGACCTTTGCGTTGCTTATTTATGCGGTTATTTCGTTTGCGGCGAATACTATTCTTCCCGTCTTTGTTGTGCCGACTTATCAGGGGCATCTTTCGGAGGGGATTACAGGTGAAGAAAGGGATATTTTACTTGAGAGGGAGGGAGAGGGAGAAGGCGAAGGAGATGATGAACATCATCATACTAGGAGGTTGTCTATCTCTGCCATGCCGGGAACTGCGTCGGAGCCGCTTCTAGAGGCAAATGCGAATGTGAACTCGATCAAGGATGTCAATGGGGGTAATCCCACATGGCTTTCTCGGCTACAGATCCCAGGCCTCACACTACGACACACTTGGTTCCTCTCACATATTCTCTTTGCAGTCTGCACGTTTAGCACGTTTTTCATCTCGTCTTATCAAGTTGGTTCCATCGCTGTGGGATTTATTGGTATTTGTTGGGCTGTGACATTATGGGCTCCTTTCGCCTTGATCTCTCAGGAGGTATCCCGTATCGATCTTGAACGAAGACTACGTCGCCAACACGCTACAGCCGGCAGAACACCGGTCTCTACCCCGGGATCCCGCACAGCAAATTCCTACGCGCCAGTCTCAGTCGAAGACGAGGATCAGGATCTAGAAGATGGGCGCTCCAAAGTCTCCGAAGAAGAGAATCTCGTTCAGGCCGGAATAATCCTGGGCCTCCATAACGTCGCTGTGTCCTTCCCGCAGATCTTTAGCAGTCTCATCTGCAGCGCCATTTTCAAGGTTGCGCAGAAACCACGCGGAGAACCTTGGGATGATAGTGTGGGTTGGGTTCTTCGATTTGGAGGATGTGCGGCGTTAGTAGCTGCCTTCTTAACCAAACGTTTAGCTGAGGGCTCACGTTAGGAATTTAAGATATTGCGTCCTTACATTGCACTAAATCATTGACTAAGTTACTCTAAGCGAGGTTGTCTTCTCAGCCTTGTTGACTGGGTTGATCCTTATCTTGGCCTGCAGTGCAGATTTGTGGTACAGAGCTGTGGGTCAGGGGCTTTATGCGGTCATGGTCATCATGGAAGCTTGGGGCTGGAATTGAAATCGACATATTGGTTCATTTCGGGGCTCGGTTTATTTGTACTTTATCCTTTTTCTTTGGCTGTAGAGCGTTTCTGCATAATCTATCATGAATAAGAAATACCCGTTGCTTGTGTTTGTATACTGTGTCCAACTGGTTCGATGTCGTGTAATTCCGCTTTTCTTGGCGTGTTGCGCGGCATCTTAGTGGCCCACATTTGTAATATACATCGTACTCCGAGTACAGGTTGAATACATTACTTACAGTACTCATATTACATTCCCCACATGCTCCCCACAACTACGTATGTAATATAGTTCCGTCTCTGAAATACCCAAAACCGGCAACGTCAGATCGGTCCCTCCAGTCCGCCGACCGATGCAACTTAACTCAGAACTTCAAGCTGGCCAGCTACGACCCGAACACAAACACCTAATCTATTGCGCTGCGTCCTCCCACGACCATTATCTCTGCGTCCCTAATTCATCCGCTGGATTATGCGCGCCTGCTCCTGGCCTCTCAAACTCGCAGGAGTTTACTGCCAGGTGTCAACTGCGCCAACCACAACCTAAGTCGCGATGGCTAACCAACTAATGGGCGATGCCTTGAACGCTCTACTGCGTATGTTGATATACTCGCACCGCTTTGATCGGGGTACTCGGGGTATGCCATAGGGATACATTGCTAATCTGCTTTTGTTTCTTGTAGGTCGGGCTTCTGAGGATACTGATCCCGATGGTACGACCTCCCTCCTTTCTGGCCGATTTGACGATGACGACGACGACGATACTGGTTTGGAATTGGAATAGTGGTTGTGATTGACTTTTTGGTTTAGATGCACCCGAGGCGGGCTCGAAGGAGATTACTAGCTCCTGGGCGCTATTTATTATGATTATGCTATTGATGTTTGCCTTGTTTACGAGCTACATCCTTCAGCAGAAGAAGATCCAGGCTGTTCATGAAACGGTATTATCTATCTTTGCGGGTACGTCGAGCTCCGAAACGCTTTTGAGAAAGGGACAACACGGATATTTTGAATTGATATGATATTATATGATGGGGTGGCTAACTCTACCTCTCAGGCATGTTCGTCGGTCTAATCATTCGCCTCTCCCCCAAATCCAACCTCCAAGACAGCGTCGCATTTGACTACCAATTCTTCTTCAACCTCCTCCTACCCCCAATCATCCTCGCCTCAGGCTACGAGCTGCACCAAGCAAACTTCTTCCGCCACATAGGCACAATCCTCACCTTCGCATTCGCAGGAACCTTCATCTCCGCAATAGTCCTCGGTCTAGTCCTCTACCTATGGACCCGTATCCCTCTCGACGGACTCAACATCTCCTTCGTCGAGGCTATTTCCGTCGGCGCCACCCTCTCAGCTACGGATCCGGTCACTATTCTTGCTATTTTCAATTTATACAAGGTTGAGCCGAAGCTGTATACGATTATCTTTGGCGAGTCGATTTTAAACGATGCCATTGCTATTGTGCTTTTTGAGACGGCGCAGAAGTATGCAGAGCATGAGGCTGGGTCGCTGAGCTTTTTGAATATTTTTGAGGCTGTGGGATTGTTTTTGCTCGTTTTCTTCGGTAGTATGCTTGTTGGTATTATTGTTGGTATTGCGACTGCTTTGGGTCTTAAGTATACGCTTGTTAGACGGATGCCGAAGATTGAGAGTTGTCTTATTGTTCTTATTTCTTATGCGAGCTATTTCTTTTCGAATGGTGTGCATTTGTCTGGTATGTTTATCTGGGGAATGGGAGTGTTTGCTACTGGGCTGAGCTAATTTTGCATAGGAATCGTGTCTCTGCTTTTCTGTGGAATCACTCTGAAGCATTACGCTTATTACAATATGTCTCGCCGAACGCAGTTGACTACGAAGTACCTGTTCCAGGTTATGGCGCAGTTGTCGGAGAATTTTATTTTCATTTACTTGGGCTTAGATCTATTTGTCGAGTCAAACTTGCAGTTCAACCCGCTTTTCATCCTTGTGGCTGTATTCGGAATCTGTCTCGCTCGTTACCTTGCCGTGTTCCCTCTTTCTAAAGCTATCAACTGGTTCATTCGGTATCGAGCTCGTCGCCGCGGCGTGGAAGTTGCCGATGAACTACCCTACGCATACCAGGCTATGCTATTTTGGGCCGGCCTGCGAGGTGCCGTCGGCGTCGCGCTAGCAGCCGGTTTAACAGGTGTCAACGCCCCAGCACTTCGAGCCACAGTTCTCGTCGTGGTCGTATTAACCGTGATCATTTTCGGCGGCACGACAGCACGCATGCTAGAGATCATGGGAATTCGAACCGGCGTCGTTGAGGAAATTGACTCAGACGACGAATTCGATATCGAAGTCGCCCACCAAGGCACATTTTATAAACGCTCTGACTCTGCCTTCGGATATACACCCCGTCGCGCAGACTCTACCATCCCTCTAGACGGAATGGAACATCCTCAGCGCGCCGGTCCCGGCGAAAGAGCAGATAGCTACTCAACCGGTAATAGCCGACGCCCAAGCCCACCACACGGACACACAAGAATGTACTCAGCTGCCTACACCGCACAAGATACCCAGACAAGACGCGATCGCTCGTCAACAGCTACCCTTCTCAACGGCGGAGGCGGAGCAAGCGACGATGAGTTCGGTATCCCGCCCTCGGGCAAATCTGCGAACCAAGTCGCCCACCCTGACGACTTTGATCTCGATCTCGATGGCTCGGATGATGACGACCTTCCACCTGCTGCAAGTAGTAGTTCTCGTTTGCGGAGGTCGCCTTCGAATCCACCACCTGCTCCGCATACTCCTACACCAGCTGCGGTGTCTGCGAGCGTCTCCCCTGCTAGAAGGGAACAGCCTGGTCTTAGTGCTAGAGAAGCGCTGAGGGGTATGTTCTCTGGTGGTGCGAGTGGGGATCACGCGGCTTGGTTCCGACAGATTGATGAAGATTATATTAAGCCTACGTTACTGCTTGATCAGTCTAATCATAAAGGACCTGGTGCGGTTTGATGTCGTTATGTCTTGTTTTTCTTGTTTTTGTGTTTCTTTCTTAGACGAAGGCCTTCCTTCTTGCATTGTTATGTTTTTTTTTACAATTTGAGATGTATATTTAGCCTTTGCGGTTTGGGTTCGCATCGTAACGTTCGAATCATTGCTTTCGAGTTCTTTTTATGTTCTGTCTCATTGGGCAGAGTCTGGGGTGAGATTGGTATTTCTTTCTATGTAGTTTTGTTAAGCCAGCATTGTGTACTTGTACTTTTATCTTCGATCTTATCGTTGAGTTATTTCGGTTGATGGGTTACTCCGATGAAAGGATCATGATGGTGACATGCCAGATTCTTAGGTTATAAGTGCCAATGTCATAGAATTGCGTTCTCCTGGTTTATTTTGGCATGAGTAGTCTGGTCAACTCATCATGATGTTCATTGATACCCGCGTGTGTTTACCCAGATTCATAGTGCTTTCAACCTTAGATTTATGATGAGACTCAAATTTGAGCCTCTAAAAAATCAGTGATTACTCGTAGATTGAGGGTTGAACTCATTTTTATTAAATTTCCCATTAGCTATCGTGTATGTCGCCATGTCCATTAAGAATAATTGCATCTCGCTTCTCGTGATGTACCTCAACCGGGTACCAAACATCATGTTTCATCTTGATCATCACTCTATCCACCCGTACACAAAATCCATACTTCTAGGCTGACCTAGTCATGTATCATCCCGTGCCGATAATCGATTACTCCGGTACCTCGAGCACATAGCGACCGGCAATCTTGCCTTGCTCTGCATTATATTAGTACATATCCTTGATCTAGTGCACTTGATAAACTTACCCATCAGCTCAAACACCTTAGGCAACTCTTTGAGAGGAACAGTCTTGAATGGCGCTTTGATCAAACCACGAGCAAAGAAATCAAGAGCTTCAACACCGTCTTGGCGATTACCGACGTAGCTGCCTTTGATATTGATCATCCTGACAACGCTATCGAAGACAGGTGCCTTGAGGAACGCATTCCCTGGTAGACCGATAGCAACGATAGCGCCGCGTGGACGCGCATATTCAACAGCCTGCTGGAAAGGTTTCTCAGAAACGGCGAGCAAAAGCACGGCGTGAGCACCTAGGCCCTCAGGCGTAGCAGCCTTGACATCCGCAACAAGGTCCTTGGACTTGGTAAAATCAACATATGCCTATCACATCAGCATTAGTATTAGCATAACCCAATACAAGACAAATTTAATATAAAGCCGAAAGAAAGAAAGAACCCACCTCAGCACCCAAACTCTCACACATATCCTTCTTCTCCTCCCCACCATCAATAGCAACAACCCTCAACCCCATAGCCTTAGCATACTGCAACGCCAAAGAACCCAATCCACCCCCAGCCCCAACAATAGCAACAGTCTGACCCGGTCGAGCCCCCGACTCCTTAAGCCCCTTGTAAACCGTAATCCCCGCACAAAGAATAGGCGCAACAGCATCAAGCTCCACACCCTCCGGAATCCTCGTAACATGCGCCGCCTTCCCAATCGCATACTGCTGAAACGTCCCGTCAACAGTGTAACCCGACAACTTCGCCTCAGCACATAGCGGCTCGTCCGAGGTCTTACAGAACTCGCACGCAAGACAAGATCCATTCAACCACTTGATACCTGCTTTGTCGCCTATTTCAATTCCCTGTGCTAGAGAGCCCTTTGCAACGACTGTGCCGGCGCCTTCGTGGCCGCCTACTAGGGGGAGCTTGAGGGGGATCGGCCAGTCGCCTTTCATGGCGTGGAGATCTGTGTGGCAGACGCCTGTGTATTTGATTTTGATGAGGACTTCGTCTGGGCCGGGTTTTGGGACGGGGATTTCTTTGTAGATTGGAGGTCCGCCTTTTTGTTCGATGACTTGGGCCCATTGCTTTGTGGGGATTGTGGGAGGCATTTTGATTTATTGAGTTGATTTATTGAGTTGATTTATTGAGTTGATTTATTGAGTTGATGATTGATTGAATAATTGAATAATTTAGTAGATGTGTTGAATTGAGGATGGAAAAGAAGTAGCAGAGGGAGAATGGAAAAGGTGAAGAAGGTGGGTTTTGTTAAGTGAGACATTTAGAAGTGAGAGATGCAATGTACAATGTCATGGACCGGGTGGTGCCACCTTAACCTGTCAATGATGGCGATTCCCGGCGAAATCAGGCTTCCATGACTCGAATGACTCAAATGACTTGGATCATGATTTTTGTCCCGGATCTGACCATTTATGAATATAAAGAATTAGGATTACCCAGTCTGGAGATCCGAGTCGTTCCTGAATCATACCAAGCTTGATACTACTGTTCCTAGCTTATCATGTCACTGGCGATATACTGTACTGTAAATCAACCTGCCCATCTCTTGTTCATAACTATTACTTTTTCATACATCATGGGTACTTTTGAGGTGATTTAATCTATAAATCCTGATTTACCCTTGAACTAGACCCCGATGGCTGAAGTCCAATACCTGAATAAGAAGTCAGACCGTTCTGCCAAGGCCGGAGGATTAACTCATTAATTTCATGTATTAAAATGGGCTAATTTCACTCGAATCATTGGAACAGGGATCATAGAATGATCAACTTGAGTCATGTTAATGGTGATGAGCATGAGTGGAGGACATCGTAGACGTCACCATCAGATCTCCCCACGTCGCCCGGACACAGTACTAGTATCCACTTACATCTCCCCACACCGATTCCCCCAAGGTTGAGAGATTTCACGATGTATCCTTGAATACGGCCATACGGCGTCCAATTAATATGTTGATTGGTGGATTGTCCAATTTCTACTCGATACCTAGGGCTATTGGCCAAGAGGCTGGTTCTGACACTGTTCCCTGGTGTCAGCTCATGGAATGCAATTGGGCGCGGATCGATTTAGACGCGGAACTGGCGGGGGCAGGATTCACTCTACTTATTTGTTTTCCTGACAACAACAAGGACGGGGAAAGAAAATGAGAATTTACAAATATCCATCATGTCCCTAAGAATGAAAAAAAGGAACGAAAAAAAAAAAGAGAAATTAATCGACAGCTGGCGGATTTGAACCGCCGCCTCCGAAGAGAATTGATTTCTAGTCAATCGCCTTAGACCACTCGGCCAAACTGCCTTTGATGAAGAGATAGAGGAATATTGGACATGATAGAAACAGTCTTATTGTACACGGTTGACAATCAAAAGAAAACTCCAATATGTACTCAAACAAATAACAAAGTTTGAGAGTCAAGAATACAAAGTGTCCAAGTTGAGCCCCACTGTTACTGACAAATGTCGGATATCGGTTCAGTATCTCGGTGTGTTACTGGAATGTTCCTGGATCCTTGAAGTGGGACAGGTGTGCGGGGTATAGATGACTGTTGCTATCTGTATCTATCTTGTCCCGTCTGCAAGCGCTTCTTTTCCTCTCTTCACTACTGCCAATTAACCCGCAGACATTTTATCACCCTCACCACAATGTCTATCCCAAAGCAAGCAGTTACTAGCACCAATGCGCCCGCGCCTCCTCCTTTCCTCTCGCAGGCCATTGTGATGGGCGACTTCATTTTTTGCTCTGGTCAAGTTGGCGTGAACCCGCAAACAAAGGCGATGGTAGAAGGCCCGACCGGTGCTCGAGCGGTAAGTAATTGAGAAGACTTTTGGTTATAGATCTAAATATTCTAATCAATTCATGCTCTAGAAACAAATCCTCGACAACCTTCGTGCTGTTTTGGAGGCTGCTGGTACAAGCTTGGACAATGTTGTCAAGTGCAATATCTTCCTTACTAGTATGGATGACTTCAATGCAGTCAACGAAGTATACGCGGCAACTTTCAAGAGTCCAATGCCGGTGAGTTATATTCGTCTAATAGGAATCGTTCGCATCGATAATCTAATCTGTTTGTAAAGGCGCGCACTTGCGTTTGTGTGAAGGAGTTGCCACTGGGAACCGATGTTGAGATCGAATGCATCGCAGGTGTGAAGAAGGGAAGCCAGCCAATGCTTTAAGAGATTTAACTCTGATGCCTATATAATGTTTCCTGTCCAAATCTTTGAACCTTGGAAGAGAAAAAAAAATTTAGACTATTTTGGAAAACATGCACACTACTAGTAGTATATATATCCAGGGACTTTCCTTCAACATCCAGACAATTTGTAAAGAAAAATTCCAAGGTTGGGCCAAACATTCGAAAACACATTATTTAGGGGACTTTCCGAAGCTAAATAAGAACCTATAACTTGCAATACCGACTAAATATAGCTCATTTGAGATTAGTGGACGGTAGTTAAAAATATCTCCTTGCAACATTCATCGGGCCGAGCGTGACTTTTTCGTTGATTTATCCGCCCGCAAAGAAGTCCGACTCCACCATTCTCTTGACTCACCCACCCCACCAATGGCCTTCCAAATTATATACCCTGAGTGATGAAAATCGAATTCACTACCTGAGAAAATTTTAAATGATGGCGTCGAATGATAATCCAATATTCGTCCTCGGACTAGGCAGCATAGGCTCATTCATTGCACAAAGCCTCCGCTCAATTCCAGACCCACCACCAGTCACACTCCTCATCCACAGAGAAGGCCTTTTCAATGAACTCTCCGCAAACAACTGGAAACTCGGTATCCGAATCGGCGAAGGGACAGAATTGAAGCAATGCTCCGGATTCAATGCTGAACAATTATACAAACCCAGTCCAAACTCCATACAAAAAATCCGCTACTTAGTCGTTGCAGTCAAAGCATCAGCAACAGTCGCAGCTCTTGAACCTCTGAAAGATCGAATTGGTCGCGATACAACAATATGCCTCTTTCAAAATGGGTTAGGCCAAATCGATGATCTGAACGAACATCTGTTCCCTGATACCTCGACACGGCCAATGTATATGTGCGGTATACTCCGGCATGGGGTTTATCTCAAATCAGCGACGGAAGCTGTGTTATCCGGCTCTACTGGATCTGCCTCTATTGGATTGACATGTACTAATCAGGAGATTCTTGAATCATCTGATCGGAGATTTGTCGTTGATGCTTTGCTTCAGGCGCCAATGCTTAACTGTAATGAACTTACTCGATCGGAGTTATTGGAGATTCAGCTGCTGAAGTTGGCAACGAATTGTTTGATAAATCCGTTAACGGCGCTTCTGGATGTTCGAAATGGAGAGATATTGAACCATCATACTTTGGTGCCGTTGCAAAAACAGGTCTTGAACGAAATTTCCCAGGTATTCCAGAATCTTCCGGAGTTGGAGCTTCCGATTGGCGATCGTCCGAAATTCACTGTTGAGTCTTTGGAGGCTGCATTTCGGGATACAGTTGAGAAGACGGCATATAATTCGAGCAGCATGCGCGAGGATATCTTGAAGGGAAGGGCTGTCGAGGTAGACTTTATTAATGGGTGGATTATCAGAAGGGGAAGAGATTTGGGGATTCAATGTTTGGCGAATTCTTGTTTGACCCAATTGATATTTGCAAAGAGCAATATAAAAAGCAAATAAAGTAATGGTGACCACTGATCCCCAATTCTAGGAAAATATTTTGAAATTGTACCCCTGTGACCCACGGAATTGAAGTTCAACGCCACAATGCCCGAAGGCATTATAGTTCAAGTTGTCATTTTAACATCAAAAGTGACATCTCAACATTTTACTCCTGATTTAAATATCATCGATCAACGCCGTCTCAAGTGCCGCACTGCAATGTATCAACGTAGTATAAAAAACCAAAACAGGTACAGACTGAGCTGAATGGCGATCCCATGATTGATGATATGATTCAAAAATGTTGGCACAAGAATTATAGGCCAATTGCAGCTTGGGCTTTATGCACAGAGGAACTTCTTCGCGACGAAAAGGTCATGGGGAAGGATATTATCACCGAGCCAGTCGCTGTGCCTGACTTGACTTCAACGCAAATCGCTAGAGAGACGGGCGATCAAATTGAACACCGTGACCCTGGTGAAGTTCCGGTAGTAGAGGGGTTTGATTCAAGTCAAAAAATATATCGAGACCTGGCAGAGAGCGGGCTTCTTGAAATGCTATCCTCCGGGGAACCTCAACAACTTGGGTTTCCTTATGGGCCGTACAGGTACAAGTCTTGAAGCTTATATTAACGAGTCTTCTCTAGCCTTCAAACAGTATCTCACGAAGAGAATGTTTACGTCAATGAGAATGTAGACCCCCTCAAAAGAAACATCGCCTTTTCCCAAGGATAACCCCCCTGTAGGATGTCTCGGCTAAATTCTGTCAACTCTGTTCGAGAATACTTTCTCTTCACTAGATCTTTCATATCCCAGGGCAGAAGAAAGACAGACAGTGCGGGATCCAGAGTACGGGGATTTTCATCACTGATCAAATCTCGTTGGATTCAAAAGCTCTCAATGACCGTACGGGCAGGTGGAATACTCTGCAATTGAAAAAGATTGTATTTAGCGCATCGATACATTTGTTGGATGAGAAAATATTAGAGGGAGTCATACCCCAAATGATGCGTCGCATTGAAATTGTTCCAAAATACTCAGTATTCGTAGACGGTCACCTTCTCCAGCAGAGCATCCTGCGAGAAACATTTGCCAAATGGGGAGTCCAGCTGTTAGTGTATATTTCTCGCAAATTTCTTCCGCTAGACTCAATATTTCTTCAATGAAGACATGTCACTTTGATTTTGTGTCAACGGTAGCCTGTGGGAAGTGAAGATAAAATGTCTCTAAGAATAGTAAGGTTGCTAGACGATGTACTTCAGCTGTGCTGTCGCAATGATTGAATCTAGCCTTTGCTTCTTTTGAAGCCCCATGTACCACATGTTCATGGAATTCGACTTTTAGTTCAACTTTATACCTCACTAGTCATTCTTCTATCATTTCAGATTATTATGATAGTTACTATATATCCTCGATGGTATAGTAATTGAAAACCTGACAAACCATCTATAGATATCAACTTTGGAATATGAGATGAAATTTTCATGGACTTTAATATGAGTTATAATATAGAGCTGCCTCGCTGCCTGTCACAATAATTGGGAATACTTCTGTCAAAACACCACTATATGATTCACTTCAAATCTCAGTCTAATACATACGACCATAGGGTGTGGAGAACAGGGCTTCCCGTCCGCTCAGCCGTACTTAAGCCACACGCCGGTCAGTTAGTAGTATGGTGGGTGACCACATGCGAATCCTGACTGTTGTATGTTTTTCTTCACAACTTCATTTTTTTTTTGATTCGTCGAGGCCCCTTGCCGCTTTATCTTCAGCCCGTTCAGAGTATTTTGCAACTGAATACCCTGAACACCACTAATTTGCACCTGAATATACTGCACATGCCTGAAGCGCTGACGTGGCCTTCCCCTCCCCATACTGATTTCTACTGCTTCTATGTTACTGTGATCACTACAACGAACGGGGTTTATTTTATATTAAATGTGCCCGTCGCGCTAAACCACTTTGGTGCATGTACACGAAAAGTGCACGTGCACCACACCGGTTCACCGAGATTCGTAACCCCATTAATATTGCCTATCTATGAATATTGCATTATTCCAACCCATTCTCTTGCTCAAATGTCGTACCCAATAGATATTCAATATCTGATAGTCGAGGAGTTGCCCGGGGCTGTCTGGATGGTGTAATATCACCTAAGATAGCACGTTCTCGCTGACGTTTTTTCTCGGCTTTTTCAAGATCCTTTCGCTTTCTGGTGGCAATTGAACGATTTGCGCCCTTAGCCTGTAGAATACTATCATTACTAAGTCGGCGAACCTCACGTCTGGTATATCAGTACTGTTAAGCGTTAGGATCAGGGGCTAAGTCCACTTTGGAACGCTCTTACAGTTAAGACGGTTAGGAACGAGCCATTCCTAGCTCCGTGCCTATGTCTGCATGGACTATGAATGGGTAGGCAGCTGGCATACCATCTGGTATACTCACACAGTGGAGGACTAGGTATATAAGGACACTCATTCACCATCATGTATTTGGTTCTCTGAATTCAATTCCGTATCATACTTGGATCACACTGCCACCAATCAGACTGTCATCTTGTTACTCTTTGACCATTTGCCATCGTCGCCCTGTAATATAACTCAATCGCGACTCAATCCAACTATTAGCTCGCCTCTGGCTCGCTACCAGGAGCTCCTACCGAGTCACTCCCTTGCAAGTACTCTTAGAGGTCTGAGCCAGTATAAGGCCTTTGGGAAATAGTACAATTGCGGATGTTACTTGAGGTTAGGCCTGTGCAGACCCACTCCCATGGGCTTACTTCTAGGCCCATACCCATAAGGCCAAACCCCATAGGTAGGTCTTAAATGTATAAATTCCTATATTTTAGCCAATCAAGTAAGTCTAAAATATATTTATATTTATTTTGTATCAGATAGTAAGAATTGATTTTAAATAAACAATGAACTATCTCTTTATTTTATTCAAATTAGTTATGAAATAGTTAGGTTTTGAAGGTTTTTTTCTTCTTTTTTAATTAATAAAGATTTATATCTTAAATATTATCATAATCTTTGGTTTTTTTTATTAATATTTATAGTAGTTATTATAATAATTCTATTAAAAAATATATTCATTATCATATAGTATCCGAGCATATCTTCTGACCAGTGCCCAGGCCAAGATGATCGACTTTTGTATCTATGCCGAAATGAAAACTGACGAGGCTGCTCTCAAAGCCGGCAGTCTTCTCCGCCGGATGATTCCCGAAAATGTCATTAACCACTCCAACTATCACCCTCTTTGCCAGCGGCCGATTATTGTCAGTATCGAAACCAAAAAACCCCATGGGACTTCAACCGCCACCGCAGGCTTACAAATTAGCACGTGGCTCGCTACCCAGTGGAAACTTCTCGAGAAGCTCGTCGAGCAATCGGACGGTTCATTCGACGGACTACCTTTTCAGCCAGGCATTATTGTCGAAGGGCATATTTGGCTCTTTATTGCTACAACAAGGGAGGGGCGCAAAACTGTATTATGGAGAGAACAGATGTTTGGGTCTACAAGCAACTTAGACGGTATGGGAATTGAGGCGCTTAACAGAATGGATTAAGAAGTGTACTGGCCATGATTTCGAAAGAATGCGTTAGGCATTACGGAGGAGTGAGGCTGGTCCTTTACCATTTTCAAGCCCGGCATTTCGGGAACTGGAGAACTGGAGAGGGCCGCCACAGCAGAAAACACGATCTCACCTAACAACACAGCAGCATCTTCTGGAGCCCATTATATCAGTACAAATAGACCGGATAGTGAAAATGCCCTCCATACCATCCGAATTCCTTTTACCCGCGTTGTTGATGGATTATCGCATCTTGAAATTGGATTTTTGTCGACGAAGCGCAACTGGATCATTAATATGATTGGCCTGATTTTTTTCCATCAGAACTAAACCCCCTACGAGATTAAATCCTCAAAACTTCCTCCTTCCTTCAAGCTATTATTAAACAGTGCTTGATTAAGTCTCTATGGAAGAACTCCTTACTTATCCACCCAAACAAAGAAGAGAATATTTGATGATGAATGAAAAGCGTCGAAGATACCCCAGCAGCGAAACCAAAGTCAGTCTACTCGAGCCACCTACCGTATTCAGAAGTTTGACGAGTACTATTCTAATGCAGTACCACTATCGACTGATATTGATGAACCTTCGTCAAATTATTTCACTCCCAGAGGATTGTCTATCGCTACCGAGGTTGAGCAGCTTCTACCACTACTCGGCCCCGAGTTTGGTCTACAGGAACCATCTCCTTCGGTAGTCCCGCCTATAGACGATGAGCCGCTGGAATCCACACCTGATATAAGCAACCAATGCAGCCAATATTGTTCATAACCCCGCCCGGGTTCTTACTGATCAGCTTCAACAACACCACAGTTGCTGCTGCCAGTGCCACGAACAGCAGGAACATAAACATGGATTGCAGCATGAAGGGCATCCAGGTCTGGGAGAGTACTTGAATTGTGTTGAAGCAGACGGGGGATACTTGAACGTTCTCAGCGTGGCCACTATAGCTCGACGCGAGGATGGCCTAGCAGGGCGGATCAGCCCAGAAAGAAAGCGTGAGATATATGCTGGAATTCATTCAGCCACGCCCCATGCTCGTCCAGTTCATCTTTGCCTTGATGCAGAACATCAGAAGGGTCGTCCGATCGAGGCAATTTTTGATATCGATAGCATCGTGGGCTTTGCGCACGGCCTTGCCGGGGCAAAACTCAGAGTGCGGTGGAACTCGACTCAGATGCCCTCTGATCTTCACTCAAGCCTGCACCTTGATTCCCTGCCTGTACACTATCTAGGAAGCGATGGCCGTGCTCGTCATTTTCGGCGACCGGTATATAAGATACTTCATTATACGTTTGGTCGGTTGGTCTTACATGGGAGTTGGAGCATTCTAGTAGGCTGGAATCAGAATTCCGTTTTTTTTTTGTTAGGAGAAAAAAGTGGGGCGACTGAGTAGAAAGGAATCATTTTGGCAATTTTATAATAGAGACGCCAGGCTATTCTCCTTGGTTAATTGAGCTAAGATTTAGGTATTTTTTTAAGATTAGATAGATCAGTATATGTTTGATTTCATAAGGTATATTAATTAAGAAAGGGTCCTATTAGGGTTTGAAATTTGGGAATGTTTTAATGGGGTGCAATCGGAGCTTATTAGCCAGTTGATTAGCCGCTGTATCAACCACCGTAAATCAACTAGGTAAATCAACTAGGTAAATCAACCACGTACGAATACTGATTATTGTATGTTTTGTCTTTTTTTTTTGTTTTGGATCTCTCTGTATTTCTGTTGTTTTCCCATGCTAAATTTTGGGAGAGTGAGGTCTTAGTGGCTTCCTGGTTTTCTCGATCCATGGATTTCATGGCCCACTTTCGTTGTTATGCATCCATAGCTTAGTGCGGGGTAATATAATCCCTCCCCTTATCCCAACACCACAACTGCCCGTTGAATACGCATCAAGATTAATACGCTTTAAACGCGGATATGAATCCTGATGAGTACAACGTCCGCTTAAGGTATGCGGATCGGCTGGGAATAGAGTTTCTGGGTCCGGTGGAGCCAGCACGATGGCCGGAAACTCACGAAAGGATTTTCGCGGACGTAAAAGAGCTGGGTCGTCGCATATACGACCATTTCGTTGAGGGCATCTCGATTGATTCTATTGAGAAACCCTGGAGAAACTTGGTCAGACATCGTGCTGATCGCCTGAGTAAATTGGCAGATTACGCATGGGAGGAAAGAAAAAATGAAAGTAGCTGGAGGTTTGCCATCGAGAACGAGATAATGCACCGATTCTCGGTCGAGGTTGCTTGGTGAGAACCATTCAAATGCGACAAGAATGATTCGGAACTATGTCTCGCTAATAGAACTGTATCTTCAAATTCAGCCCTAGGTGCCGCAAGAGACTATGGGGTTCAGAGATACCCGCCGCAGCGCCCGGTGACTTCGTGTTGGCTGAGTCGCTGGAGGCCCGACGCCGGAAGCGTCAGCCATGTCGATGTCCGCTTACCTGGGGCCAAACCCAGTATGTGAAACTCTCTACATTCTACTCCAAGTTTGTCGTATAATCATTTATAGGATGCTAGATACGACAGCGGTATCAATATGCTCTTCTCCGATCGAGCAGAAGAGAAGATCCGGCATGACCCCCCTTTACCTGTGACTTCACAGTCTGGAAAAGAGAGACACTATGAGATGCCAGACCGGGTTTATGGATTAAAGCAAACTGATAACTTCAAGCTACTCCTGGACTCAGACGACAAGCGCGATACGAGGGCTACACCCAGTCGGTCGCTACGCGAAACTATAGAAGTCAGCCCATTCAAGCCTGAAGGTAAGCCGTTGCTTTATCCATTTTTAATCATCGAAGCAAAGTCAAGTAAGGGGGCAGATCGAGGGGAAGTCAATATGCAGACGGCATTTGTGATTAGGCGCCTCCTAAAGGTGCAGCTCGACCTTAAATTGGCGACAGGGGAAGAAAACCAGTGGGAATCAGGGCCACTTGTCTGGTTTTTGGCATGGCGAGGCGAAATTTGGGAAATATCTGCGGCGTACGTGATTGAATCCGAAACTGGATCCATAAGATACGTGAGTTTACCTGCATTACCATCAGCCAGGAAGAAGAATCATGCCACATACACATGTGGGCACCTGGGCAGCTGATTGAACTGATACTTCATTGTTCCAATTTAGCCTGTTGTTGATCTGTGGAGTGGAAATATTCGTCATCAAGATGGGGCCTTACAACTACTTCTGATCATCGACTATATTTTTGATTGGGCTCGCGACATTTACAGACCCGCCATACTGAGTGAACTGAACACTTTATCTACAGGCGATCTCACGGCCGCCGATACGCACATATTTTCAACCATATCCCGGACGCAAAGCGTTTCGAACTGGTTGATCCACACTGAGGGTCCACTTCAGAGTACACCAGCGCCAACGGTTTCAGCTTCATTCAATACTGTAGATCACCATTTGGACTTCCTGAACATTAACTGCCTAGAAGGATCTATTCGGGATGCATCCATCCTTAAGTCACGCTATCTCGCACTTGAACTCATAGAGAGTGACATTAGAGATTTTTTACTATCCTTTGAATCGACCAAGGAGGCCCAAATCTGGCTTCAAGATATGTTGAAATGTCTTTCCAGCTCGTGGAGAATTAGCGCCGAGACGCTGGGTACCTTGGAGAGTGTTTGGACAAAAGAGACCCGATCAATCCGGGATAGATATCAGCATGATGAAATTTTCTATGTCAAGATTACGGTCAACATGTTTGTTTCCCATGTGTGGGAGCCTACTCGACAACTTACGTGTCTTTGCATCTCAGAAGGCGCTTTACAAAGGCTTCTCTCAGAAATGGAGACTATTCAAAATCATGAACCAAATCAAATCCCAATCGTTTCTACGGCAGCGATTCAGGCCCTGCTTTGCCGCATACAAAGTCAATCGATAATGGACAATTTGACGGCCTCGGTGTCTATGCTGTGTATCTCCAGTGGCTTTGTCAAGAGGGATGGAATTATCCCGAATCAGCTCTTGGTGACGAGGTTTAATGATCTGCGCGTTGGATTTCGATATGATAAGTCGCCGATTGCAATTAATTTGGTGTCGTCTATTTATCATAATCACAAAATCGGACAAAGACAGCCACGCGACCCATATCTGGCTGTCTCATCTCTGCGAAGCAAACAAAATATCGTTTACAGAGGCGATGAGATTCAGATGTGGCCCAGACTACCTCCTCTTATCCGCGAGGAGCGATGGAAATGTGTCTTGGTTGACGGGATATCCGAGAACAAAGATATTCCAAGGCGCGGTCTCTTTGTGTTTGATAGTCCATCAAATCGAGATGATCTTCTCAACCTTCCGAGGATATTGTGGAGGCATGGCTTATATTTTCGCACTCTGCAGGTTGGGATGGATGGATGGGATGGGAAGTATGTCCGATATTTGAACAACCCAATAAAGATCAAGGGAGAGTGGAACACAAAAGCAGATCCCCAGGCGCTCGGTGATTGGGAGGAAAGCTTGAAAATGCATCTAGGGATAGAGCAAGAAGTTGATCGCCCAGGTGACAGCGCCTCGTCTCCAATGATTATCTGCTAGGATAAAGATTATGCCAAGTGTTTGCTAGAGCCCGTTTGGTTGAGAACATCGTTAACGAAACGGGAGGCGTTCCAGATAATGGAGTCTTCTTAAGCAAACGATTTGAGAGCAGTAGAGCAGCGTGTAGCACACGTAGAAATCCAAAGCACAGCATGAAACAAAAGAAAACTACCGGTGCTATGATACTAGATAGCGATTATTAACGCACGGCATGTGTTATTTATGACCACTGAAGCTCGTATGAAAGATTTTAATCGCTATAGCACTTTGATGTCCACCGCCATACGTCGTATCTCAGGAGCTGGTCGCAGCCACCTGATGGCTTGACGAGACAAACCCTTGACTTTAACTCCAAGTATGAAAAACGAGGATTTCAGTAACGTGAAGATAGGAACCATTAAAAAAAAGATCAGGTAAGACGTGGAATATAATAGGAAAATAAACCTCCCGATACACCATCATCACCCTGAATCCCAAGCGTCTTCTGAGTAACCTTCAAGCATTTGAGTCCATTATTCCGCCCCAGCAGGAAACCAAGCCGCGACAGCAATTTCTTTGCTACCCTGAACTTCCCCCCCGGGAGGATATACAATCGAAACGTTCAGATTACGCCCATGAAGCTGGACCAATAAGTCATAGTGGACCTCGTAATACTTGGAGTTTTCTTTACCCTTCACGGGCAACGGGTATAGCTCCCTCGCTGTGCTTAGGTCGAACACCACTGTGTCTGCCCATCGAGAGCCTATTTAGGTGATTTCTCAGTCAACTTTCAACATACACCCAAGTTGGACGAAACAAGTTATAGTAGTAGCTCACCTGAATTCCTTGGATGCCCCAGAGGGTAGTGGTCCTCCGGATTCTCAATCAAGGTATTGTAGTAAATGGACTGTTTGATCTCCCAAGGCTCGTCTACTGGAATTACTCGGTGGTTACTCTCCCGAACAGGTTCATTGTAATCGGCGTGCTCCCCCTGCGAATGGTTCAAAATATTAGCACGAGGACCCATAGGGAAATAGAAAGTCAAAGAGCCAACCTTTTTGATGATCCACTGGACTGTATTGTAGACGTACTCCTTTTTGTTCAAGTCGTTCCGGTCTCGTAAGGCCTCTCTATGAGCTGCAAACTTTTTTGGATTGAATGGCTCAGTTTGAAGTATACCAACGTTCGCAATGGTCCGACGCACTGGCCCATTCTCTTTATTAGTAGCGCGGTATACCGTGCCTCGCGACACGGTTGATTCAAAATTACTAGAATAGAACAATCAGTGAAGGATTACGAACTATATCAAATGTATCATACCCATCCTTTGGACTGATGACTCTCGTATGCGAAAATCTCTGCTTCAGGAAGCTTTGAAGGGTCTTTGACCGAGCGTAGCCACCAAAGAGAATAATTTTCTGTTTATACCGTTATGTCAATACCGAAACGTCTCATCTAACGTTTTTGAACTTGCAGAATCTCACCTGCACCGTAAGATTAATCCCTGCACAAGCATCAAGCTGTTGTTGGATGAGGGCGGCTATCCTTTCGAGACTTGGCATAAACCACTCCATAATCCGGTCCCTAAATCGAAGCGGATTCAACTTTTAGTCACCAAGTTTGTGCTGCATGGAAGGAAGACGAAATCTACACACCTGTGGAGGATTATCATGCCCTTTCCAAACCCTTTAGAAGCATTTTCTTCCAAACCGTACAATTCCAAATAGGCGTCCGCCTGCAAAGCATCTCCATAATCGAAATTTCGTTTCACTTCGTTCTCAAATTTACGGAACAAACTATGAGAGAGCTGGTTCTCAATTGATATATTGTTCTTGGAAAAGCAAGGTTCGTTTTTCAGGGCAGCGATCAGGTCGGATTCCATGGCTCTATTCACACTGGTTGAACCAAAATTTCCTCCTGTGTAAGAACGTTTGAAATTAGATCTCAATGGTACTCCGACGAAGCGGTAGAGGATCTTACCGCTGGCTGTAACAGCTTCTATCAGTCGGAATGGACTTTTTTGCTCTACCTTGTAAGTTGTTACATCCTACATATGTAACCAGGACCATTAGCGTGAATTGAAGAGTAGTGGTCTTCTCTTATATGCTTACCACTGTGCCCCCCCCTGCGTCACATACCATGAATATCTCCCGCAACTGTAACCCCTAAAATATTAGCCTTCTCTTTAGAGATTGAGCGGTCCAAAAATATTACTGACCGAGACATTAGTGCCACCAACCACAAAATCTAACGCAAAGGCAGAAGCAGCTTCGGGCTCATTAACAATAAAAATACCTGATAGCTCGCCGAATGTAGTTTGGGTTAGAGCCTTATGTGCGATCTGTTGCAATGACCAGGATGCCTCGATTGGCCACCCTGCAGGTACAGACAGGCAAAGCTCTACCACACTCGATTCGGTGAAATTCACCTCATCTGCCAGATAGCTCTTTGCAAACTGGAAGACTTCAATCAAGTAATCTTCTACAGCCTCATAAACTGATTTCCCTAGATGTCTAAGTGTCTCCCTCACCTGTCGAAGTTGATTGTCTGTCTCGTCCTCTTCGTTCAATTCAGCTTCAGGCAACAAAAGCTTTGTGAACTTGATGAGTCTGCTGGACGGATCTGAAATCCCTCCACTGTAGTGAAACTGCTCCAATTTCTGGCGGGCCTGATATCCCCAGTAAAAGTTGCCGTCAAGGTATAGACTCTCGCTTGGGACTTCTCCTCTCTGTTGATCACGGCCAGCCGATGGCCAGTCCTTGATATCCCTGATCTTGCCCTGAATTACCTTTGCAGGGCGCTTGCCAGACTTAAAACCATAGTATGATATTGAGGTCATAGTTGTTCCAAAGTCAAGACCCACAATATATTCCATTTTAACTTTGCTGTTCTTCTTCGGCGCGGGCTTTTCCGTCGGAATCGTAGAAATTGGCCCAACCGAGTCACTGTCCGATACGGATGGAGTTACCGGGGCATCACATGTTTTCGAAATGTCTTGAAAACGCCTTTTTCTGTGCGGCATAGTAGCCGAAATCGTCGAGGACTGTGGCATTTTGAAGGGGCCTGTGAGAGAAAATTTTCACAGTTGGCAAAATGGGCGCAAAGGAGAAAGTACCATTCATAACGCTATCATCACGTGTTATGCATGAACAGGGGTCTTGATGTTACTAACAATCAATTGGGAAAGTTGAATCTGCCTAACCTTGGCCCCCAAATTAACCCTCGCCCTTCTGAGAGTTTCATGGGAAACGCGCTGTCGACAAGATTGGAACCTCACTATTTAATTATCAAAAGCCCCGGAGAAGCATCTGTCATACAATATGAGTGATATGACACCTCTCAAACCATCCCCCACTCCATCTAGCCCTCTTAGCTCTATTGAAACACTTTCCTCTGACTCGGAAGAAAGAGAGCCAGAATGGTGGTGGCATTGGAGCTCTCAATCTTTGAAGGAGCCTAGGAGTGCAGACCCATCTGAAGCTTTTATATTGAATGAAAGGCGAAGTCGAAAACAGGCACGCCGATTCCCGGAACCAGAACTTTATTCTGGCGAGGCAGATATAGATGCCCAAAAGCGAATGCGACTGAATGTTTCATATCGCGACAACAGTACCTCCACGAAGAAAAAGCATACTGCTTTGCAAGTAGAGGTAAGAGGATTGCGCTGTATTGATGATTCGCAAGGTATTGACAAGGGAAATATCTAGCTATCGGTCTCGAATGATGAAACACACAGAGCGAGCAACCAAAAGAGCGACAATACGACGAAATCAAAACGAGGCACATGTATACCCGAAGTGCCTATTTATAAAGGGAATGCACCTTCCTTGGAGACATGTATCAAATCTGAGAAGGAAATACAGTCCTTGAAACGGGAAGTTGGTCTACTGGGCCTACACGATGAAAAGAGAGCTTCAGCGTTCAGGCAAGACATCAGATATTTGCAAGAGGAAAATTTCGCTCTCTGCCGCAAGCTAGATTGGTATAAGACGCAGTATGAGGCCATTGCAAGTGGATCCTGTGCTTTAGATGGGTTGGAAGAGCTGAGAGTGGAGGTAGAGAAAAGGGATGTGGAAATCGATGAGAAGGTTAAGCAAATTTCGTCGCTTGAAGACCAACTTAATACTGCAGAAGGACTGAGCGCTATTTTAAGAGACTCGCAAGACCAAAATAATGCTTCAGTGAACTTCTCTGAGGATCTGGCTCAACTTGAGGCTGCAATGGGCCAAGCGGCTTTGCTTCTTGTTCAGTGTCTCTCTGACAAAAAACTGTCAATCGTACGGAAATCCCCAAGCAGAACCCCGGAGTTAAGTGCGATAATCAGGCAAAGCCTAGGGAAGTTTATGGTGATTACTTCTTACCCCAGACCTGCATTTTCTGCACTACTGTTCAGCTTCACTCGAGAACGAGTTTTTTACTCAGGCTGCTGGACTGCTCTGCACCTTGAAGGCCATATGCTACGAGGATACCAGGCAGTGATTCAACGCATTAGTAAGTCTCGAGAAATATATTTCATCATGATTGACCACTAACTCAAGGAAAAAGCCCCAAGCGGCACGCTTGAAGGTCTCCACAGAGCGGCCCTTGAGTTGATGCTGGAGGAAGACCATCCGTTTCGAGAATCTTGGATTCAGTCGCAGGTCGAAGAAGTCAAGTCCGAGTTCCTATGCCTTATTGATCCGTTATTTGAGGCTTCAAAAATGGAAATATTTGACAAAGGAATTCAGGCTGCTCTGAACCAGGTTTTCGCAGAGGCGTTTCGCTTTCGAGCTCGCTGTGTCCCCCCAAAGGGAACTCGGTACGAGCTGATGCAGGTCAAAGAAGGAGACATGTTTGACCCAGAATACATGGTAGCTCAAGGACCCGATGGATCCATTCGATCGATTCCCAGTGAAAAGGCTTATAGAGTTAAGCTGTGCGTTCACGGCTGCCTCATTTCTTACGTCATGGATGATGAATCATTTGACGGAGCACTATGCAGCACAATTAGCCAGGCATTTATATCCGCAGACGGAAAAGGAAGGAGTTTTGAAAACAAGCAAAAGAAGGTGCTGAAGAGTGAGAAGGCAATTGTTATCCTAGATTATGACACACAGCCATAGACCTGCTTCGAGTATTCCTTTGAACATCAAATCCTATCCTGCAGCTCTTTGTCGTAAATGCCATTCATACCCTGAAATAAGCTCTAAATTTTAGAACCTGAAGCCGGCTTGTCTCGCATTGCTATAGATCAACATGATCTGTCCCAGAATTATGGTTCATAGGCGACACTCTGAGCAAAGACCATATGTATACCCCGAGAAACTAAAACTTCAACAAATTCGACCAATGAAGCAACACCCTACCCCAATTGGCCCCTAGCAATCTAGATCATATTCAGGTGGGTGAATATCCGCCCGGATTACCCTGAAGTGGGCTGAATAAAGCGGCGAGCCGCCCACGCCCGAATCGTGGGCGCTAGGTGACCATATTCTTAGACTTTACTGTTGTATGTTTTTGTTTTTGATGGATTCGGCTTCCCAATGGGTGGGTGCGAACCACATGTGCAGCCACAAAGACATTTTCATCATGGACTTCATTGTAGAATCAGGAGGTGGTGTCCTTCTTGCGATTCATCTTATGCTGTCGACGCACACAGCTAGTGCGAAGTCTCGGATCCATGCAGCGCCAGCTATCAACAGCGCGTTGTATAAGGCCTCGTTTACCCCGTAGCATCGGGTTTAACTCGGCCAGCGCCCAGCCAACTGCATTGTATTCGGTCTCGTAGAGAAAACGATTCCCGCGGTATTGGTCTTTGCTGCAGCAGGCACGTGGATAGACACAGTTTTCTGTTTTGAAGTCCTGGTCAAGGCTGTCGACGTTGACAGACTCCACGTCGCAGCGAATTGTGTATACCATCTTGACACGATCCCGCGAATATTCGAAGGTCATTTTATTTGAACCCATTCTACGACCAGGGGTCCCTTAGCGGGAAGGGAAGTGTCCACCCCCTTTTTGGATCCACCTTTGGGGCGGTTATGGTGCAGACTAACCCCTTCATCTTTCGCAGCCCGTGGTGATTTAGTCGAGTGAGAATTGTTTTTGCGGCTCGTCCGCTCGAGTCTCTTGTCTTGCAGACGAAAAATGTATAATTTACTCTTCGCTTGATTTTCTTTCGATGACACATCCTGAGATATAGTCTTTCTGACACAAAACATTTTTCGTGATTCATGCCGTGAAGGAAGCCTTTGCTTTGATGCGACCGTGTCCAAAGATGGCTCAGGCGAAACCCTAGGCGAGTAGAGGGGAGAGGGGCTGCTCAGGACCGTTTCTCTATTATTTTGGGGCTCGGGGGGCTTGAGTGGCAGTGAAATATCCATTCTGGAGGGCGGTAGGATAGATTGGTTCTGTAAAGTAATCCGAGATATACTAGTATGTGATGTGGGGTTCAAGTTGGTAACAGCGCGGGAAGGATTCGAGGACTCGGCACGGTCTCTAGTCTGATAGGAGATCATACGGGCGAGATTGGCTTTCTGTGTGCACTGTAATTTGATTTGTGCAAAGTTCCGAGACATGGATCTGCCTTTCACAAAGTGTGTGCCCTCTTTTGGAGCGTTCTCGTTCTTTCCATATGCTATCTTCTTTCTTTCTTCTTACTTCCTCAAGGCCCCCTCTCCCTCTATGCCTTATCACCTAGACTGCCTCAGAACTGTTACCAGCGCAGTAGGCAACTGTGAATGATGACCAGGACTAATCTTTACAGCACCCTGGGAGCAGAAAGGAGACCAGATTGTCGTGGCCTGTGAAGTGGGATGTGGTAGAATAGCTAGAAGGAGGGGGCGAAATGAAGTTGCGCGTGGGCCAAGGTGGAAGAGAGGGCGTAAGAATAATCTTGGATGAGGCAGTGCTGATTGCAAAGCCACCAAGTGCCCAACCTGAAGAGGGAAAGCAATTTTAATTCGTGGTATGATGATACACTTGACGTGGCTTGCATATGAGCTAATCCAATTTGAGATCATCGGCAAACACCTCGTTGAATCTTGGTTTGCAAAGACAAAACAGCATTCAATTAAGAAAGCGACACCGAAGCCATGTCCTGTGTTCAAAAGAAGAAGTTCAGCGCTGATGACTATACAGTGGGCATCATTTGCGCAATTCCGAAAGAACTTCTTGCAGTACGAACTTTATTTGACGAGAAACATGAAAAGTTGCGAACAGCAAAGGCTGACACAGTCCATTATTCACTGGGCCGAATGGGAAGCCATCTTGTGACAGCGGCTTGTCTTCCATCCGGAGAATATGGTAACAACGCTTCCAGTGCAGTGATACAAGATATGCGACGAACCTTCCCTCGACTTGAGTCTTGTTTATTAGTAGGTATCGGTGGAGGGGTCCCTTCACCTGACAATGATATTCGACTAGGCGACGTGGTTGTCTGCCATCCTAATGGTGCTTATCCTGCTATAGTGCAATACGATATGGGCAAAATGCTCGAAAGTGGTAGATTTGAAACCACAGGAGGACTGCACCCTCCACCCCGACTTTTGATGACAGCAATAAGTGACCTCAGGTCAAATCCAGATCCAGAATCAAGCTCTCTTCGACGGTACCTGAATAAAACACGAGAAAAGAAACCTGCATACGGATTTCCAGGAAGACATCTGGATGTTCTATTTGCCGTGGATTCCCCTCGCAGAGCGACTGATGCCCCCTACCAAAATTGCCAATGTGTTGTTGTCAGTAGACCTGAACGTTTATCCGACGAGGCTGAGATTTCCAATGGGCCCATAGGCTCTGGGAACCAAGTTGTGAAAAGCGCCGAACATCGCGATATATTGTGGGAAAGACACAAAATACTTTGCGTTGAGATGGAGGCAGCGGGTGTGATGAACTCGTTTCCAAGTCTTGTTATACGTGGCATTTGCGACTATTCTGATTCTCATAAAACCAAAGCCTGGCAGGAGTATGCAGCTGCAACTGCCGCAGCATATGCAAGACTATTATTATCTGTGTTGCGGGATCACCATGACGAATATTCAAGAATCCGTCTACATCCCCCTCAAAAGACCAAAGCTCGTGACATTATTCCAGAGTGCAGTCAAGCCTTTGGCAGCTCCCCTTTGGATGCCAGAGACATTGATACTTTGCGCAGTGGTGAACTTGTACCAATTCAAGGTAACGATTCACATGAAGCCCAATTTGATCGCTTAGCTTTATTCGAAGCTTTAAAGCCTGAAGCCCAGCCGGAAGAAGATCTTGCAAAAAACATCCGATTTTCGAAGACAAGTCCGTCTTGGAACCCGTGGCCGAAAGACATCAACTCATTTTATCTCCTTGAAAGCTTAAACCGCTGGGTTTCAGATCCACTCTGTTCATTGCTCATGGTGAGAGGAACCCCCGGTCGTTCGCTGTCTGAACTACCCAGTTCGGAAGACTTCCTGTGCGCTATCGTACAGTTATTGCGAGGGAAGGCAGATTTTCCAGTTGTGTGGGCATTTTCAAACAGAGATAGAGCTCAGTCGAACTTGAATGACCTGATCAAGACAATAATTTATCAAGGGCTGGGTCTTCTCTCTGATGGAACCCTAGAGAATATATCACGAAATTGGGCTTTATCTCAAGCTTTCAATGAAGAAAGACTTTTCAATCTATTGTACGACACGCTGCAACTTCTTCCTCAATGCTTTCTTGTTCTTGAGGTTAAAAATGCAACTCTAGCATCAAAGATTCACGACACCATTGAACAGTTGATCAAATCCTCAGAGCTAAATTTGAAGATCATGATTGTTGCATATGATCTAGACTGGAGGACATCTAATGGCATTTCGATAGAGAATTGCTTAATGCCATCGATTCGACTGCGTGGGTCACAGCCTGGCTGGGTTTCATGCTGGAATAACTTCAAACCACAATTCTTATAGAGGTTGGGGGACCAACTTAAAATGCCGTTTAATACCTAGAAGTCGTATCTACGCATGACCAACTCTCTGAATCCAGACGACTTTGTCAAACCACATTAAATTCCCTATCAAAGAGGTACCTGAGCTTGTTTAGACTGAACGATTTCAAAAGTAGAGTAGCCAGATAGTTCAATCGAGGCTTTGCGCATTTATTTTCCAGTGATTGTCTGAGATGAAAACGAAATAAAACGCCGTGTCGAAATTTTTTGGCCAATCAGCAGGAAACAGATGAGTTGGCATCTGCACAGCTGAGCCCCAATGCCCCGCCTCGGCGTTAAAAGCACTTATTACGGTGAAGCTCCCTGCCACTCCCCTTATTACAACTCTACTCTTGAAAGATTCTTTATTCTATGGAATAGCTCATGCGACTGAGGTAAATCCCACCATGAACTCAAGAAAAAGAAAAGAGCCATCCCATGACATCGTATCAGATAATGACTTGACGATTCCACTGGCCAAGCGAGGTGGCTTACGCCCAACACCTGCAATCAAAACTTGTGTGATCCATAGAATCTACTGTGATCTGAAAGGAGACCACCAACACCACAAATCTGTTGCGTATTTCGAAGATGTGCCACGACTATATGCCGGTGACAGCAAAGCTAGCACTCTACGCGGCAAACACCAGATAAATGATCTTTCGGAATTTCTGGAATCAAACCCTCGTGTGGCCTTAATCCTTTATAGAGACTATGACTGTTATGAATATCATAGAAGGATTGAGTCGGCTTTTAGATCTCTAGAAAAACCACAAGATCCCCCGGTGAAGTCGCTCTTACCATATTTCTATCGGTTGGACAGGGACGAGATGCCTGCCAAATCAAATGAACAAGCCATGTTGGTGTCATCAGAAGATCTTCAGCATGCTCTTGAGATCCTTACTAGTATGGGCCATGGTGCCATCTTGGAATTTGAAAATCCGAAAGTCATGCGAACTTTAGTCACAAGAGTATATCATCTTCGAGATATCCAAAACGATGAATATCTCCGAAGACAAATGAATGGAAAAGACTTTGACCTAGCACTGGGATTTGTTGAGTTCATGAAAACAGTCTTTCAACATGAATATAGCGAGGCTGACTCATATTTTCGAAAGGACTGGTCACCCTGTTCCACCTGCCCAAATTGTTCTCTGATGAGGAAATCCTTGTCACCCATGAGCAAGAGCAGTCTGTGGCCTATATGCTAGAAGGGTTTCCGGACGAACCCACGACCTTGGCATGTTGGTCATGGAGATTTGATGGTCGTTTCTGGAAATACCACACTACCTTTGGAATTAAATGGCCAGAGTTCGAAAGGAAAATCGCGATAACGGAGTTATCCATTTATCCCCTTCGATATGCTTCAGCAGACACCCAGTTTCTACTGAGAGATCGGGGGACGCGGTTTTGGTCAATTCGACTTGGAAAATATGTTTCACACAATCCAGTCTCCACGAGAGGACAGAGGGACAACCAGAATGTAAGTTTGTCAATGCAATCTTTGACATCTGCGACTTCCTCTCTAATGCATGAACTCAGGTTCAGTATCGATATATGGTAGATATGATCACCTACAGACAACTCCACTCCGATGAAGATGTGTCAGAGGACCGGGAATATTTGAATGACGCGATCATGGATAGCGACACACCTCCCACGGGTAATCTGCTTTTACTCCTACCTGCCACTGTCCATGGCTTCGGATTTCAAGACAAGAAGTGGCGTAAGTAAGCCTAGGACATCGATTCAGCAAACGGATTTGCCCCCATAAACGACTTCCAGTACTTTGAACTAATGATTGAGTAGGTCTCCTTTTTGTCTCTCAAATTAAACCGATTCAGTGGAACGAACAAGCATTCGACCACCTCGTACTTGACTGGACAAAGAAAGAGCTCATACAGGCACTGGTTAAGAAGCACGACTCTTCAGGAAAATCAACAGACTTCATCGAGGGGAAAGGAAACGGACTCGTTCTGCTTTTGCATGGAGGCCCCGGTACTGGGAAGACTCTCACAGCAGAGTCTGTTGCAGAGTTAACTAATCGCCCACTATATCGAGTGACTTGTGGAGATGTAGGAACAAACGCAGAAGAAGTTGAAGAATATCTAGAATCTGCACTCAATCTCGGGAAAATATGGAAATGCGTGGTCCTTCTCGATGAAGCTGATGTTTTTCTTCAAGAGCGTACACATGAAGATCTACAGCGCAATGCCCTTGTCTCCGTTTTCCTCAGAGTAATCGAGTACTACGACGGGATCCTAGTCTTGACCTCGAACAGAATTTTGACTTTCGACGAAGCATTCAAGTCGCGGGTTCAGCTGATCGTTCATTATCCCGGGCTGAAAAAAGATGATAGACGGCGTATCTGGTTCCACTTCCTCCCGAAATTGCGCAACACACGCAAAGATTCTCATGTTGAGGAGCTGGAGGAGCGAATCGAGGAATTGAGCGCCATTGAACTTAATGGGAGAGAGATTAGAAATGCTATTCAGACTGCTACGTTGTTTGCAGAATTTCAGGGTGGCCCTATGAGATACGAGCATCTACTCAAAGTAATTGGGGTCGCAAAAGAGTTTAAAGATCTATGTGGCGATGATGAAGAACGAATTCGACGGCGGGGTATTCGGCCATGAAACCCTCCGAACGGAAATCTCCCCACTGGCCAAAGTTGTTATATTAGAGGTACCAGTAGCGGCACCAGACAAAAAACTCCCATGTGGACCTTCCAGTCGTTTACCATACACAAGTAGGTATCGGGTTACCCACTATAGCAAAGATTTGCAAGATTGTCACCGTTTAGTCAGAGAGAATAACCAGGTTGAAATGTGTGTTGTTACGCATAGTATCCATCGATCATTTCAAATTGTAGATAATATGGAATTCATTTTGAGGTTAAATACAGGGACAGATTTAACTATTTGTAGAAGTACTAGGTGGTCCTATCTAGTTGGGGGTAGGCATAGGTAAAGATGGAGAATATCGGTAAATCGGATACAAAGGAGTAACGAATTCTGCTTTGGCCCATGTAAGATTCGCCCCATCAGTTACAGGGCAAATCTGCCAGGTCTTGAATCCAAAACCTGTGGGCTGAACACCAAAAATATAGTTGCTCATGAGCGGGACAATACCCGTAGACCAACCGTGAACCATGGAGGTAAAGCCTTGCTTATATGGCGAACCTCCGACCAATACATCAGATAGTAATTTGGAAGTCTAGGGTCAAAATCGCTTACTTTTGGTTTAGATTATTGAAGAGTACTTCTGAGTTGCAGGGGTCTACATAAAGTTTCCACCATCATGAGGCCCTTGGACATATTTTAGTTTTAGCTTAAACTTGTCATATAATTCTATCAAACGCAGAAAAAGTCGACTTAAATATTTGTCATGACCATAGCCCGCGCTGTTGAATTCTCCAACATTGATGCCCGTCTAAGCGTTTCAGTATTTGTGTATTGAGAAGGATCATTCATTAGAATTGTCGTTCAGGTCCAGACGGATCCTAGTAGTAACAGAAATATGGCATTCTTTGATTGTATAGCAACCAGGCTATCTAGTTCTGTGGATTGCTGCTTCTTGGGTTGGTCACCCTATGCTAGCTGCTAAGACTTCAGGCTTGAGCCTTCTGTTTCTCCTCCCACATAGCCTGGGTAATCTCATCATAATTCTCTATATCACTACAGGGGATGATGGTGTAGTTTGATCCCTTTGCTTTGCCATCACCAAGATCCCCATTATACCAAAACAACTGCAGTTTACCCCTTTTATTCCACCAGTCGTTATGCTTTTCAGAATCATAATTTCTGAGGGCACTGAAAAATGCAGATTCTTTGGCGGAGTATTCTTGGTAGATTCCGACAAATTGAGGGCCCTAAATAGCTGCTGTTAATCATGCACAGATCCATGATAAGACTTGTCAAGCTACATACATTTTGTCGAACCCAGACATCGAAAGAATCGGTTGTAAATTTAGACTTGATTTGATCATCATAGTCTTCCCTCGCCGCCTTCTCAGCAGAGATGGCTTCCGCGGTTGCATCGATCCATTTCTTTTTGGCAGAGTTTAAAGCAGCTTCAGTGGCCATGGTGAAGGAATAATATAATATAATCAAGATGTCGAGAAGTATAAATCAAAATACTTTGACCTAAAAGATTTCTCAAGGACAAAGGCTACATTTATAGCCATGCGCCGCCTGAGCTCATCTATGATGCAATTTCATTTGGAATTGATGAGTCGAGCAGAACACAGAACCCGAAACCCATGCTCCCCATCTTGGCGAGGCTATATATCGTGGTTCGCGCGGACTAAGTGGGGAAATAGAGGGGGATCGACGTTGGTTGGGTACTTCGAAGGGTTGTGCACATAAAGCTTTGCTCGTTCCACTGCGTGGCTAGCTGAACGCAGCAAATCACCTCCGAGTTAAGCACTAGCGTGCTCGCTTTATATAACCGGAATATTACAGAACAGTGATTTCCTTCGCAGGTGAAACAGCAAGCGGGGCTTGAGTCCATGCTGCGATGGCAGTAGATATACTAACCACTTAAAGCAAACCACCCCTGCGGCTGACGTCAATTATCGCTCAGACCTGATAAGTTACCTTAAACAGCATTCAAGAACCTAACTATAATGTGGTAAATTTACGTAACCCATCAGAGCTGATCTACAGGATCCAATCAAATGAGAGTCGTTGGAGGAAGCTCAGCCAGCCATTCTTCTAGCTTCCATTTGCCGTGCAGCTGCCTCAACCACGATGAGACTCCATCCGGCTCACACTAGGGGAAGACTAAGCGGGAATCATCCAAAAAAATATCAGTGCAGTGGTCGCGCAAGCATCCTATTAACGAGATTTGAGCAGACAAAAATTAAGTTGACTATGGCGCAGCACGGATCACAGCAATGAATAAATCAATTGATCGTACATCATTGAGCTTTTGAGACTCTGTATCAAGATCTTCATTGGAGAAAAATTGTTGATTCCATTGTGGATTGACTGTGGATTGATTTATCAGCTAATCAACAATATCTTCTCACCGCTACTGATCAGCAAGTCTTGCGATATCGTCTTGTAGCTTTTATTTGACTGACTGGCATAGTTCCACCGTCTGTACTCAGTAATGTAGATGGCTTGATGCAGTTTGCCATTTTCAACAACAGATGGCCTCACTTTGACACTGCGTAGGCATTTCTACGCTCTTTGAAGCAAAGTTGACCTGTTTTTACCATTGAAGGGATGTAATATGCTTTAAGCGGCAGCCTAAGTCCTCCTGTAGGGGACTTCAACAGCAACGCCTCGCTGGAATACTCCGGTGTGGAACAATTGAACGGCAGCCGAGGCGTGTCTGGGAAGATTGGTGCCTCAGACTTGACCTTGACGATCGCAAATGGCTCAACCATTAGTGGACAACTCGTAACGCCTATCGGCTCCAGCTCGCGAGTTGATGGAACTGCTGCATGGAGTTTCAGTTGATTGAAAGCCAGCTCCTATGTTCTCGCAAGGGCTGTGGATCTCAATCTGCTTAATGATTCAGAATGGCAGCAATACTTAGCACTACACTCAATGTTATAACGGCCTTCGCTCGTGCAAAGAGAAAGCCAACCTTAATTGAATCATCAGATAGAATGAATAGGAATCATTTGGTGTCCAATTTTCTAACCTATGGGGTTCCGTATAGTCTACTAGGCTATAAGAAATAATATGTAGCCTGGATCCATCGAATATCCTACTGAACTGGTGGACTTCTCCGCAGTTCACGGTCTTCAGAGTTGCCTGACTCGGGAACAACAATTTTTTGGTACCTGTAAAGGATTTCCCGAAGAGAGACTCTCACCTTCTACTTGGCGCCCTGTCATATACCTCCTCAGACCGCCCGGAAGCCGCAATGCTTCTCAATCTTTGGCATATTCTCCTGTCAACATTCCTGCTGCCGAAATCGACCTGCCAGCTAACGAAAGCCTTGATCTCCTCACCCATCGATATTGGATGATACCACGGCCTCGATTCATCTTCGACCCTATCTTAAGGAGATTTTACGATCAAGTCGATGAGAATCTTTATCCATCACTTTTGCTCCAAGCCAGCAATAAAGAGTTTATGCGTCTTGCCTGGTCAGGGGTATCTGTTCATATTGGATCTGAAAACTTACTCAATTTTTTGGCCAGCAAAATGGCGGACTGCCCAATAAAAAAGCAGAAGTTTCAACTATTGAGTTAGCTAAACGGCACGTGAAAATAAAAAGATTTTTTTTTTAAAACCTCCAATGATAAACGCCACCTTTTGAAAGCAATACCGGGGACTGCGACCCGCACCAGGATGAAAGTGATTACAGATGTGCGCAGTATACCCCTTCGTAATCTCTGGCACCCATAATGTTGGGGCATAGTCTCAAGGAAGAGTAAAACCAAAAAAGTGGCAATGCACAAGTAGTCAATCACAACAACGACGCATATGTCATATTGTAGCGGTAATCCGTTCCGAATACCCCAAAAACAAAAAAAAGAACTTAATCGAACTTGACACTTTTGCTGCTATAACACAATAATATTGCGGAATAGAGTACGGTGACTTTAGTATTGCTTTCATCTGTTGGCACTACTTGAAGCCATGTGAGCTGGCCGCAATAACAGTAAAGAATGAGAGGCGCACCTCAAACAATAGTGAAATAAACAGATGATGACGAGTAAAATACACTGATCTTTTGTATTGGATTATTCTTAGCATGAAGGATAAAAGATTGGTTGACAGATTCTCAAAAAAGCCTCATCCTTCGTCCTTTTTTCTCCCACCGCGAATGAGATGAATGCTGGCGGTGGAAAGTAAAACATCCAGAATTCGCCATTTCTTTGCCCATGCCATTGAAGGATATGAACCGTATTATTAAGGCTGGAAGCAACATCAGTTCGATAATCTCGTGTACATGGACAGTCGTTTTGACGAGCAAAATCAAAAGCAATCAAAGAGATTTACTGGAGTTGAAACTCGCAGCATATTATAATATGCAAAAATCCATCAAATCCATGAATTGGATTTATATTTCCAATCAACCTGATGCCCTCTCTGTATATATGGGTCCATGAATTTTATACTGACTCATCGGTATCCACTGCGTGTTTCGTCCATAAGCTCCCAATACAAAATTGAGGGAAGGAAAATTTCAGCTGCACGTTGCCGCCATTGCGCCACAGTCTTATATTATTTATTTGAAAGACAAGCTTCTCTGTCGGAGTGTCACATAGCCCGGTATATTCTCCAGCCATTCAACACTAATGCAGTCGTTCCGACGCCATGTTATCACCAACAAAAAGAAAAGGGATATGCATTGTTGTGATATGAGACCGGTGCAAATCAGTGACGTAGCCACACCATCGAAATCCTTTCCCAGGAGATCTAAATGTAACATCAAGTTGATTTCAACAATCAACTTTATCTTCTCATTATATAGCTTCATGTAATCCCTCTGAGAGAACAAAACAATCAATCTTCCTTTGAATAACAACATTTACACCTGGTCCCGCCCCAATCACCTGGCAAGTTCCTTCCCCTTCCCCCTACTCATTCCACTGGTCAACACTAGCTCTAGAGGATATATTCAAAAGGAATTAACTTGGTTGGAAGGAAAAAGAAACTAGATCTAGCTTAGTATAGATTAAAGGATTATGGTAGCCACTCAGACTAACGGGACATCCGACGTAAAGTTAAGAATGATGATAGTCATCTTGGAAACCGGACCGGCGCAGATGCCGAAGATCCCAGGGAAATATTGTCGCTTGGCTGTGGAGTTCCTTCTCAATCCGGGGTTCACTGTACTGCTAGTACTAGTTAGGTTGCAATACTGTTCAGATAGAGTTCTCGCTATTTGCGGCGTCATCATAGGGTGTTGATCGAACTAGTTGTCGGTTTCCGTAGCTGACACCTCCTCATTTCGCCTTTTCTTTCAATTCTACAAACTATCCGTGTTCATCAATGGGAAATTCAGAGTATTGAAATTTCAAATCTCTCTATTGTAAACCCGAAATCCTTGCGTTACTAACTATGTCCTCTTGGGACAGCACGTCTTGGGACAGCACGTCTACCTTGCCCAGCTCTGAAGACAGTGACGATGTTTCGGGCCCCAACATGCTGTCTTTGCCGGGGGACAAAACACCAGAAGAGGCACATCTAGAGCGAGAAGGGTGTGTCAGGTCTCTTCAAGTGTTCCGATACAATCTTTGTCAAAAAGAGATCAACTCCGATTCCGATGGTACCCTTTTTGACCTTCTATACTACGAAGACGAGCTACGGAAGAATTGTCAAACGGAGACTGTTTACGCCAAAAGGAGAAGGGAGATATGAACTCAAATACACACAGTCCTTCTTTTGAAGATGAAATGAGCAGACTCTGCCAAGATGATTGGTTGCAGGCACGAGGCTGGTAGTGGACCCGTGGTTGGATGATGGGTACTTCCGGGCCATTAGGACGGGCCTTTGAGTTATGGAGATCTAATCGTTTTTGGTATATGCATCCAGTTCTTGTTGAAGACTGTAAGGCTAGGGGAGGATGCTGTGGTCGTGATTGTGGATGTTGTCTTGATCATCAACGTACGAATAGTTCAGTGGGGGTGCTAGGCGCTGGACATTGTACCCTGAAATGTGGATTCTGTTTGGAATCTCGTATTTCTGAACCGAACAGTGCAGGAAAAAGGTATTATGCGGCTCGATTCACATTTGATAATGAGTCTGATATTTTCAACCTTCAGGAGGATCCTTATCGACGCCGGGTTTGTCTTGCTGCTATTTGGGGGTTGAGCTTGAATGATAGCTAGGATATCTGGAAAGAAAATATGATTGGTACATGTTGCTTCTGTGCGGGAAGCGAGGTTTAAGAGGGGGGCAGACTTCAAGTTGCTATGCTATGAATGCTATGAATGCTATGGTTTGAATTCGTTCTCGTACCACAACAATAAACGAATCTGTATTGAGATAGCAGTACCCTAGATCGCAAAACCTTCGCTTGGAATTATTCACTACTATCACTACGGAACCAATTATCGCTATGAAGTGACCCAGGGCTAGTACTCCGTAGCTCTCTCTAAGTCTCTAACTGCAGTAGATCTACATAGTGGATCCATGATAGCATTAACAGCCAATGAGAGATATTCTCTGAAAGGGGGAAGCGGTGGATATCCTCCTGACATTCTGCCCCTCATCTCTTTCACTCAATATACAAGGATAGAGGATTAGAGTGAAATAACTCCATTGCAGTACTCCAGTGCCACGCAGCTAGGGTGCGGCATCCCCAGGAGATCCCAAGGTTCGATCTGAGGGGTAAAAAGGGCCTGGAATATCTCAAATATGACTAACTGAGATGGTTGCGGTGTTCCACAGTCGCGGGGACTTTTGCACGGGCGCGAGTTGGTGGACGTGATCTCCGCCCCATCAGCTGGTCAACATGACCAAGTTGCATTGGGGGACCACGCGCTTGATCGGAGAACTCAAATCAGGGTGGTGAGTGTGTTTGTTTGTTCCCATTGCTTATTCTTGGAATGATGTAGACTGTCTCATATAGTAGTACTGGTTCCGTGGACTGATCCAGCGTGGTGAGGCTTTGTATGGTATCTTCGGGATAGATAGGAGTATGCTATACATATAGTTGACTCGATGAGGGCGGTTAGGAATGGACGAGGTCCAAGGGAAGGTAAGTAAGACACAGTTTCATGATTGATTTGTATCTTGGTATAACCATAGCTTAGTTCAATCCACGATCCATAATCTGTGGTCGCATGTTTCAGGAGTGTAGAATGTTTGCATAGATAGCGAGTCTCCCATAATAGCAGTAGCCTCACCAGATGGAACAGAACTTAGCCTAGGAGAAGAGCCAACACTATGGTCAAAAGAATATGAAGCACTTGTCGACCTCAAGAAAGAACTCGAACCTGTCCAGGGGACAAATAAGGATGTGTCCAATATTATACATAACAGACGAGCAAAAGCTAAATAAGAGGGGAACATCTCTCCATCCCCCGGTTAGTAGATCCCAGCACTGAGACGCCATCGGGAGAACAGAAAGAACATTTTCAACAAAGGAAAAAGGGAAATTCCCCCTCTCCCACTTAATCCCACTGTAATCCATCATACTCCCTCATCATTTCTATCCATCTCCCCCCAAAATACTTTTCCCTCATTATCTTATTGTTCGTCTGAAACCCTCCGTCAAACCTCTCCCCTACATCCTCGCTAGCCCCAGCCGCGCATTCTCTGCTTGGGTCGCCGCAGCCACGAAGATCTCTCCTTCCTGCATCTTCCCACCAACAAACGCTTTCCATCCTTCCATCAGGTATAATCCCCTCTGATTCCCATTCAACTGCTTTTTCTCTTTGACCCCAGATCCCAACACCTCTTTCCCTTATTCTACTTCGGGGTCACCCACGCTGACGTCGCGTTCGCGATAGAATCTCCGAAACGTTCCACCACCCCCCTTGAACACCCTGTTCATGGGTCTCCCCCGCGCTCTCTGAGCTTTCTCTACCTCAATTCATCGCATTCCATCTCTCTTTGGGTAAATAGACCCTGCCGCGCTTGTCCGGCGCCGGGGACGCCGCCATCATGACTGGAGCTCCGCCATACAACGCTCAGTCGCCTACGCAGCAGCATCGCTACCCCGTTTACGAGTCTCCAACCAAGAACCGTCCATTCTATCCCAACGGAGAACAACCACCATCTCAACAGCAACCGCCGTACGCTCAGCATCCACCGCAGACACCCCCAGCGTTCGGTCCATCGTCCGTCTCACGGAGCCCTCGCTTCTCCCACGCGTCATCACCAATGCCGGCTTCATTGCCGCCTCCCTTGAACGGGGCTGCACCACCACTATCCCACCCAGAGTCGTCATCATCGTCGCAATACCAAGCACATCCATCGGGGGGTTCATCACTCCCACTGCCGCGTGCCTTTTCGAGCTCCGTGATGTCAGGTAATGGTACCTCGCCTTATGGTCCCTCGACACCGCACGGCCACCCTTCAAGCCATCCGGATGGTCCTTTACAGTCACCTACTCGGGACCCAGAGTCGCCGTACCGATCACGAGGCAACGGCGCAGGGTATCCAGCGCCTGTGATGCGTGAACCTAAACCTGCATCTCCACCACGGGAGTCGGTAAGTATTGTATTGGCCACAATCTCATGATTGGCATCCAAGAAATTGAACTACTGGATCGAATCTAACCATGTCTATTTTTGTATCAGAAGCCTGCCCGAGCCGCCGATCCAATGTCCTTTGCCAGCATTTTGTCTGGACCGACCGAAGACCAACCCGCCCGCAAACCATCTCCTCAACCTTCTCAACCCTCAACGCCCGCAATACACACCCCTGCCGTCCTCGACCAACGACAAGACGAGCCTGGCCCTGTTGCCGGTACCTTCTTTCACAAGGGAAAGGACGAAGGCCCGGAAAACTCCCTGCCGGATACCTCCAAAGAGCCACATGTCTCAAATGGTCTCAAAATCGAGTCCGACGAGCCAACCCGGATTGTTCCCCCCGCGCCTCAGCGAAAGCCTTTCCCCCCTGGTGTTGATGCGGATCAAGTCAGTCACGCTATCAATGAAATTGACAATGGAGACAAGAGTGATGTGGAAGGACCGGGATTTGGTCATGACCTCGACCAATACAAGGAGAAATCTCGCAGAAGAGCTCTGGAAAGCGACCATGCCGAGAATACCCGACGCAAGCGTCGCCGCCACGAGTTCCTGATTGACCTAGGAAAAAGCCTCGAGAAGAGTTATATTCTCGGCACCGACCGATTCCGCGCTATTCACGAGGGCGCCGTTATTGCGGAAGTTCAACAAAAGGAGATCCACGATGAGAAAGAGCGAAAGAAGGACATGCAGCGAAAGCGCCGTCGTGAGAATACCGTTCGTCTGGAGATGCAAAAGAAACTTGAGGCAGAACGCAAGGCGGATAATGCCCAGGACTCTGCAGAGAAGGCCAAGTTTCTTCGTGAGGCCGAACGAGCACAAAAGAAGATCCGCTCCACCAAGCGTGCTCTCGAGGGTGGAAATCCTCAAGATGAGCTTGGTGAAGTCACTCCTCTAGCTCCTAACCTTGAAGGTGGAACTACCAGCTCTTTCCACATTGGTCGCAATTCTCCCTCTCGACGCCGCTCTGGCCGACCCGGTCCCTCGACCCGCCCGAAGAAATCTAAGGAACAGAAGCAAGCCGAAAAGGATGCCGCCGAGGCCGCTCACCTTGCTGGAGTTGATGATGATTATTACACACCACGCGATTCTAAAAAGGGCGCCCGCTCCAAGGAAGGCACACCCAGTCTTCCATTGCAGCACGACAGCAAAGGCTACAACCAGATCTACGAGCAAATTTGGCGGGACATTGCTCGTAAGGATATTCCCAAGGTTTACCGTATCAAGACTGTTTCCTTGTCTACTCGCCAAGAGAACTTGCGAAAGACAGCCCAGCTAGCTAGCAAGCAATCACGCAAATGGCAAGAGCGCACTAACAAGAGCACCAAGGATACACAGGCTCGCGCCAAACGTACTATGCGTGAGATGATGTCTTTCTGGAAACGCAACGAGCGTGAAGAACGTGACCTGCGTCGCCTGGCAGAGAAGCAAGAGCTTGAATCCGCCAAGAAGGCCGAAGCTGAACGTGAAGCCAACCGACAGAAGCGCAAGCTTAACTTCTTGATTTCTCAAACTGAACTGTATTCTCACTTTATTGGTCGAAAAGTCAAGACCGCAGAGGCCGAAGGTGGAGATGGGGCTGTTGCCGCGGTTGATGAGACTGTTCAACCCGGCAAAGACGGTGCCCACGCAGTCAATCTTCCTGACAGCGTAGCTAACCCCAATGCTAAGGTTACCAACTTTGAAGACCTGGACTTCGATGCTGAAGATGAGTCCGTCTTACAACAGGCCGCCATGGCCAACGCCCAAAATGCTGTGCAACAGGCTCAAGATCGTGCCCGTGCATTTAACAAGGAACAAGAAGGCGACAACATGGCAGCGTTTGACGAAGGGGAGATGAACTTCCAAAATCCTACCAGTCTTGGTGACATTGAAATCTCTCAGCCTACCATGTTGAATGCCCAACTGAAGGAATACCAGCTTAAGGGTCTCAACTGGCTAGTCAACTTGTACGAACAGGGTATCAACGGTATTCTAGCAGATGAGATGGGTCTCGGAAAGACCATCCAGTCTATTTCCGTTATGGCTTATCTGGCAGAGTTCCACAACATCTGGGGTCCGTTCCTTGTCATTGCGCCTGCTTCTACATTGCACAATTGGCAGCAAGAAATTGCCAGGTTCGTGCCGGACTTGAAGGTTCTGCCTTACTGGGGTAATGCTAAGGATCGTAAAGTTCTTCGCAAGTTCTGGGACCGCAAGCACATCACATACAACCGCGACTCAGAGTTCCATGTCCTGGTAACATCGTACCAGCTGGTTGTGCTTGATGCACAATATTTCCAGAAAGTTAAGTGGCAATACATGATTCTTGATGAGGCTCAGGCAATCAAGTCTTCACAGAGTTCCCGATGGAAGAATCTGCTGGGCTTCTCCTGCCGTAACCGTCTCTTGCTTACCGGTACCCCGATTCAAAATAACATGCAAGAATTGTGGGCTTTGCTGCACTTTATCATGCCTACTCTCTTCGATTCCCACGATGAATTCAGCGAATGGTTCTCGAAGGATATTGAGTCTCATGCCCAGAGTAACACAAAACTCAACGAGGATCAACTCCGACGTCTTCATATGATCTTGAAGCCGTTCATGCTTCGTCGTGTGAAGAAGAATGTGCAGTCAGAGCTTGGTGATAAGGTTGAGAAGGATATCTTCTGTGATCTCACCTACCGACAGCGTGCTCTGTACGCGAACCTTCGCAATCGTGTCAGCATTATCGATCTCATTGAGAAGGCTACTACTGGCGATGACAGTGACAGTACTACACTGATGAATCTGGTTATGCAGTTCCGTAAGGTCTGCAATCACCCTGATCTATTCGAGCGTGCTGAGACAAGGTCTCCTTTCTCGGTGGCATCTTTTGCGGAGTGTGCTTCGTTTGTCCGTGAAGGCTTCTTTGTGGATGTGCGCTACTCGACCAAGAATCATATCGAGTATGTACTACCACGATTTTTACTCAGCTCTGCGGCCCACGTGGACAAGCCTGGTCCTGAGAACCCTCGCGCTGGTTTCCAAAACAAGTACCTTGGACACTTAATGAATGTCTGGACTCCTGAAAACATCCAACAAAGTGCTCGCGACAATGGCGCTTTCTCGTTCTTGCGATTTGTAGATACATCTGCTGGAGAAGCCAGCGATTTGTCTCAACTTGGTGTTTATGAGCGGGCAACTCGTCGACGTGGTCAAACGAACCGACTCTCCCGGTTGAATGTTGTATATGATGACGATGATAAGTCTCTATCCAATTCTGTGTTGTCGCATTCTATGCTTGATATTGTGGGACGCAACGATCGTCAAGCCGTTCATGAGATCACGCCCGAAGGCCGCATGCGTGATCTGATGAGTGTCTCTCGTGCTGCCTTTGAGGGCCAGGGTCTCAACCAGATCGAGCCTCTAGCTGCGCCTAGAGCATCAGCACCTCCAATCATATTGACTGCCACCGGCCAAGAAGCTGTACGAAACACGCAAAACACATTGTTCAACGAGCCAATCCGACAGGCGCTGCTTGGTAACCCAACTAAGCAAGTTGACGAGCAGCTCATCATGAAGAAGCTTGATCCAAACCCTTACTCGCTTGAGCCGACCCTGCCGCCGCCAACATCTCTCAAGTCTCGTTACACTCATATCGAGGTTCCATCAATGCGTCGTTTTGTCACAGATTCCGGAAAACTGGCGAAATTGGATCAACTACTTAAGGAGCTTAAGGCCGGTGGTCATCGCGTGCTGTTATACTTCCAAATGACTCGTATGATCGACCTGATGGAAGAATACCTCACCTACAGAAACTACAAATACTGTCGACTGGATGGAAGCACCAAATTGGAGGATCGTCGTGATACTGTCGCCGATTTCCAGACAAGCAATGAGATCTTTGTGTTCTTGCTTTCTACTCGTGCTGGTGGTCTTGGTATCAACTTGACAGCTGCCGATACTGTCATCTTCTACGATTCCGATTGGAACCCCACTATTGATTCGCAGGCCATGGATCGTGCCCATCGTCTGGGCCAAACCCGTCAAGTCACGGTTTATCGACTCATCACGCGCGGCACAATCGAAGAACGAATTCGCAAACGTGCTCTTCAGAAGGAAGAGGTGCAGCGTGTCGTCATCACCGGTGGAGCACCTGGTGGTGTCGACTTCAACACTCGCGCTCGCGATAACCGCACCAAGGATATTGCCCTCTGGCTTGCTGATGATGATGAAGCCGAACTCATCGAGCAGAAGGAGAAGGAGGCGATCGAACGCGGTGAAGCCATGGCAGCCGCTAAGGGAAAGAAGGCCGCTGCTGCCAAACGGAAGCGCGATCTCACACTAGACGACATGTATCATGAAGGTAAGACAATATGTCCCATGTTTAATTTCATTCATCTTGAACCACATTTCTAACTAATTCTCTCTCTACAGGCGAAGGCAATTTCGATGATAACAGTGCCAAACCATCCGGAGCTGCTACACCGATGTCCGACCAGGTTGATGTCTCCTCATCAGCGCCCGCGGCAAAGCGAGGCCGTGGTCGTGGACCATCAGGCAAAGGCAGTTCCAAACGTGCTAAGACCACCAACGAGCGTCTCCGTCTCATTGACGGCGATGGCGGCCTCAGTTAATAAAAGATGAATGTTTTGATTATTTTTTTGCAATGCAAATGGGCGATGGCGTTTGGGACCTGATCTGTATCTGTGGTGTTGATTTCTGACACCGGTTCCTTTTCTTTCTTTTTGGTTTCTCCTTTTCTCACTTGACAGATCTTACTCTGCTCTGTATTATCATACAATCTTGGTTCCGGGACTTCTGGGCGGAATAGCCTGGATTCTACCTATTCGATTATTTTATTTTCTATTCTATGCTTTGTTCTTATTCTTTATTTTAGTGTTGTGCTTCTTTTATTTGTTTGTTAATGTGCGGTGTGGCGGAACTTGGAGCCCTGCTTATGTATGCATGAGGGAAAAGAAAAGATGTGTAATAGACGTTGAAAGTATTTCAATAGTATTGATTCTTATTCAGTGCTCGCTTCTTGGAAATTGAGGTTACGGTGTTTATGATCTCTCAACCAGTAGTATATCTGGGCACGGGTTGGTGATGCCACTTTTTAGCATGTATATCCGCGAATAACACCTCCGATCAATGGCACCACCGAAGTATCATATGTATCATCCGAGTCCTATTGGCCCACACTAGTCCTCACTTCAAAACTCTACATATGTTGTGCAACCCTTGAAAGCAAGATAGATCTTATTCCGTTCACCGCTCTTATTATATGTAGGGGTCCAATATATAGACAGATAAGGCAATTTTCCCCGCATTTCAAGTCCCCCATCTTAAATTTGAATCTCTCAAATCTTCTCCTCTTTCTCCTTCTTTTCCGAGTTCAATTTCCAATCCTGAATCGTGATAGGCTATAGGGTTTACGCCACTCAATCTTTTCGCATTTGCATGGGATCCCAGGATCCTCGGCAGACCATAACCGGTGTAGAAATGACTAACAACTTTTCGTTCCGCCCATTTGTTCTTGTACGGAGTCCTTAGAAAGTGGATCTCAATCTACCAGTAACATAGCAGTAACATAGCACCAGTTAACCCGGTTAAGGCAGGATGTCCCGGCCTCGGTCCGTCTGAACCAATAAGCAACACCGCAATATAATGAACACGCTGAGTCAGGTTCTAGAAGGCGGTGTCGTGTCCGCGCCCCCCCGCCCCGACCGATTTTCTCGTATAATTTCATTCCCTTGCCTTTGCTTTCCTCCCAATACAAACGCTACATTATTTGTTGTGTTGTGTTGTTTTGTCTTCAGTTCTGTTGCATTGTACCCACCATTTTCCATTTCATCGCAGTCATGGAGGCAATGCTCCAGCAGTCTCGTGCTATGTGCCCTTTTCTCAAGCGCACTGCTCCTTCAACGCTGAGGACTCTTTCCACCGCTACCCGCCCCAGCGCTGGCGGAGGCACTATGTCCAACCTCCAGGTTCTGGCTCGCAGATGTCCTGTTATGAGCAAGGCGTTGGCTGTTCAGAGTGCTCGCATTAATGGCGCTGGCACTAAGCGGTTTACTTCGTCTGCTGCTGGTGTTAGCACTGTTAGGGCTTTCCGCCCCCCGGCCCCAGGTGACAAGCGTATGTTGCATACTACCGATGGTCATCCTGCTAGTCTTGCTCCGGGCTCTTATCAGAAGAATGAGCAGGGTGAGTAAATTTATCACTGGATTGGATTGAATTGGCGCTAATTGGTTTCTTTTTAGTGCACCCCCATCTTGCTCGTCCGCTTCGCCCATCCCCCGCTGCTGAAGCCGCTGTTCATGCGCAAACACCGGACGCTACGGTCCCAACCACCCGATTCAACTATAATGCCTTCTATGATGGTGAATTGGAGAAGAAGCACAAGGACAAGTCGTACCGCTACTTCAACAACATCAATCGTCTTGCGAGGGAGTTTCCCCGTGCGCATACCGCTTCTGCCGAGGAGCGCGTGACGGTCTGGTGTTCGAACGATTACCTTGGTATGGGTCGGAATCGCCATGTGCTTGAGTCTATGCACAAGACCCTTGATACCTATGGTGCTGGTGCTGGAGGTACCCGTAATATCTCGGGACATAACCAGCACGCCGTGCAGTTGGAGGATACCCTTGCCAAATTGCATGGGAAGGAAGCTGCACTCGTCTTTAGCTCGTGCTTCGTTGCTAATGATGCAACTCTTGCAACTCTCGGTAGCAAGCTGCCTGATTGTGTGATTTTGTCTGATAGTTTGAATCACGCTTCTATGATTCAGGGTATTCGACACTCTAATGCGAAGAAGATGGTCTTCAAGCATAATGACCTTGAAGATTTGGAGACGAAGCTTGCTTCGTTGCCTCTTCACGTGCCGAAGATCATTGCTTTCGAGTCAGTGTACAGTATGTGTGGATCTATTGCACCTATAGAGAAGATCTGTGATTTGGCCGAGAAATACGGCGCTATCACCTTTCTCGATGAAGTCCATGCTGTCGGCATGTATGGTCCCCGCGGTGCTGGAGTCGCAGAGCACCTAGACTACGACGTGTACGCTTCTCTGGACTCCGCATCTCCAAAGTCCACCAAGGGAACCGTCATGGACCGTATCGACATCATCACCGGAACCCTGGGTAAAGCCTACGGCTGTGTAGGCGGATACATCGCCGCCTCCGCAAACATGGTGGATACCATTCGTTCCCTAGCCCCAGGGTTCATCTTCACGACCTCCCTTCCACCAGCTACAATGGCCGGAGCCGACACCGCAATCCAGTACCAGGCGCAACAGCCCCGCGACCGTGTTCTCCAGCAACTGCACACCCGTGCCGTTAAGTCTTCGCTGAAAGAGCTAGATATCCCCGTTATTCCTAATCCCTCGCACATTGTGCCACTACTCGTTGGTGATGCCGAAGTCGCCAAGAAGGCGTCTGACAAGCTGCTTGAGGAACACGGTATCTATGTGCAGGCTATTAATTATCCCACTGTTCCACGGGGTGAAGAGCGTCTTCGCATTACTCCTACACCGGGACATACTAAAGAGCTTCGCGAGCACCTCGTTCAGGCTGTGCAGGCTGTTTGGAACGATTTGGGTATCAAACGTGCTAGTGATTGGAAAAGTTTGGGTGGATTCGTTGGCGTCGGAGTTGAGGGTGCCGAGGACGCTAATCTACCTATTTGGGAAGATAGCCAGCTTGGTCTTACTGCTGCCGAGCCACTTGAGGGTGCTATTGCTCGTGAACTTGAGGCGGAGTTCGTCGCTGAGCAGGTCAAGCCTGCCACTGCTACTACCACCCCGCAGATGATGACCGGTGGTACCCCTCGCAGCGCCCGTGGCTACTCCACCCTCGCTTCAGCTGTTGGCGTTGTCGCTTAGATTCGGATCTGATCTGATTCGATACTGGGTGAACGTCGACACTTCCGTTACGCCCGTCCATTCTTTTCTACACTAAACTACTTACACTCGAACATGATGTACGCATCTGTATCAACTTTACATACTTTTTTTTTCTTTTTCTTTTTTTTTTTTGTTTTACCCTGCACCGACCGATTGTTGATATCCTTTTGTCTGTCTTGAGTCTGATTTGACCCTTCGGTCTCATTTCTATCGTGCATGGTGTCTGTTCTGTATCATTGCTCATCGCTATTGCGATCCTGTTGGCATTTAATTCGATGCATGTTTGCACACTGCATTCTGATCTTACAACGACATATTAACGCATGTATAAGGTCGATTTGACCACGTGATAGTTGAGAAGATCAAGTCAATTGAACTGGTTGGGGTAAACAAATATCTTTTTCTTTCCTTTCTTTGTAAGTTGTAAACTTCCACCAAGTAAGCCTGGAACAAAGCTTAAGGCTCCGTCTTATAAACAAGCCTCCGCTTAAAACTGGCACTAGGCACATGCTACTTATCCAAGTCTCTATTGTCAAACATCTCACCGCACTTCTTCAACTCGCAGATCTTGGCCTATCTCCATCTCAAAAATAAATACTCCGTACCGAAATCAACTTTAAAACCGACGTAGTATTCTTTAATCGCAAAACTATTCCCGGGGTCCAGCACAACTTTGGCTGACCAACTAAACCTATCTTGACTCGGAGTTTCGGTGCCTAGTAGATCACTTCCTAAGCTGTTTGGACTCGAGCGGGGGTTAGGTGGAGAGCACGCGAGTCTGGTACAGTAATCTGATTACTCGTGCGGAGAAAGAGTAGCAAATATGATTCTGGTTATGATTTCATACAGTGATGGAAACCTTGGAAGAATCAAAACAAGGCTTAAACGCCACATGCGTACAATCCAGTGCAGCCTTGTGATATGGGCGCGTGTGTGCTATATGCAGGGGTAATGTAACCAGCCCTCTCATCTCGTCGCGTGGATTAGCTATTTTGACTATAGACTGTAGGCATAAGAGGACGTGGATCTGAAATTGTAGAAGACACATTCTAGTAAACAGATAATACTAGTCTATTGCAATCTTTCGCCTTGTATAAATGAAACCTATGGATATTCAATCTTCTCCGCAGTCGGTACTCATTCAGCCGAGCGGATGGTTCCGCTAAAGCTTGATGGTCGGGGCGTTAGGTCAATGCACAGTGGAGTGAACCTGACTAGGCCCTGTACGTGTGCCTGTACACCCGCTAGTACCTGGTGATTCATACCGGTTTTACCGTGATCCTGCGGCGATCATGGGGAACAAGACAATTGGTTCCTGGAGCGGAGTACCGTACGCTGGGAAAATCATTGGATTCATTTCGGTACTCGGTACTTACTACTTAGTGTTGGTGGCATTTCATGTTGTAGGAATCTTGGCGAGATCAAGATCATACTAATAACCCGGGGTGATACAAGATTAGATTCAGGGGGGAATAAAGCTTATCTCCTTGAAGTTGGCTCCTACTGCTCCGAGGGTACACAGACGAAGTACAGGTACAGGTACAGGTACCTGAATGGGTGAGATGGAAGGTTAATTCCCGAAACTGTAACCCTCAATCTAAGTACGTCAATTAAATGAATGTAACCATTCGCTGATCTGCAGGGGTAAGAAAAAAAGGGAAATAAAACTAAAAACAAAAACAAACCATTACTATATGTAGCCCTTCCCCATCCCTAGATTCATTCATCCACTGACAAACATCTATTAGGATAAAACCAAACCCCTGCCAAGCTGAAATCTACTCCAAACCTAAGTTGGAAATAGGTATCAAATCTTGGTCAAAATGGTCCCTAGTTTTCGTTTACAAGCCTTACTGGCTCTAGCAGCTGTAACGGGACACGCAGCCGCCGCGCCCCCACAAGCTCGCTCATCCAGCTCAACATGCAACACCGTGCAGTTTGATTTCCCTGCCGGAACAAACAAGGGCGATCCCCGCGCTGAAGCTGTAAAGCAGGCCTACGCGCGGGAGTGGAATCAGTATTGGAAATATGCTTATCCGAAGGATGATCTTCTGCCGATCACTCATAATGGGACGAATGATTTGTTTGGTTGGGGCGCGTCGGTTGTTGATGGTATTGATACTGCTGTTGTGATGGGTCTTACGGATATTGTTGAGGAGCAGTTGAAGCATATTGCTGCTATTGATTTTACGTATGTTGGACTTTGAACCCTTGAGGATTTCAAGTTGTTGGATACGGGTGGGGTGGGTATACTAGTACTATACTGACTTGGGTTACTGAATAGGAAATCGGAGTATTTAGTCAACTTTTTTGATGTGAATATTCGTTATTTGGGCGGGTGAGTTGAATTGCTTCTTTCAATCTAGGGGGTTTCCTAACCAATGCTAGTCTTCTGAGCGCGTACGATCTCATCAAGAGTGGCGATTTCCCTAATCCCTACGATGATGATCTTGTCGAGGCCCTTCTGTCTCAAGCCAAGTCTCTAGCGACAGCGATTAGCCCTGTCTTTGACACAGACACCGGTCTACCCGTTGCGCAACTGAACTTCTCAACCCAGCAGCTTGTACGAAGTACTACTTCCGTCAACGGTGTTACCTACAACAGCACCAACACCGCCCAGGCTGGTACTTTAATTCTAGAGTACTACCGTCTTTCTGATTTGACTGGTGACGAGTCTTTCCGAGAGAACGCTAAGAAGGCCGAAAAGTACTTGATCAATCCTAGCCCTGCCCCGGCATTCCCTGGTCTTGTTGGTACAGAGCTGGATACCGATAGCGGCAAGTTCATCACTTTTGATGGTGGTTGGGAAGCTGGCGTTGACAGCTTTATTGAGGTAAATATGAGCATGCTGGATTTGGGATGAACTAAGTCTAATTTGCTTTTCTCTCTCTTTAGTACTTGATCAAAACCTATGTTTATGATCGAGATGACTCTTTTGCTTCGGATTTGAAGGACTTCTGGCTTACTACTGCCGAGTCTAGCGCGAAGAATATCGCTCTTTCACCATACAAGAACCCACAGCTTACTTTCCTGTCTCAAGTTGACTCGAACGGTAGCATCATGTGGACTATGGATGACTATGTCTGTACCCTAATCTCAGAAACTGCAACGTAAAGCTAACGTTCTTTAGGCCTGCTTCGCTGGTGGAAATCTGCTCCTCGGAGGCAAATACCTCGATCGCCCCGACATCACCGAGCTGGGTATCAAAACATCTGACAGCTGCCACTGGCTGTACAACCACACTCTCACCGGACTGGGTCCATCCAGTAAGAACACTATGCCTCTCCTTCAAATTTTCTCTACTTCAAGCGAATTAACACTATAAGGTATCGGATGGTACAACGCCAGCAACAAGCCCTACGACTCGACCTATAACAACGGTACATACCGCGCTCAAGCCGCCAAGAACGGTGGCTACTTCATCGAGGACCCCTCTTATTCTTCCTACCCCGAGCCATTGGAGAGTATCTTCTATGCCTACCGCGTTACAGGCGATAAGCGCTGGCAAGATTATAACTGGGAGATCTTCAAGGCGCTTGACACCAAGCGCTCGAGATCTGTTCCATACGCTGAGATTTCAGACGTTAATGCGCCAGGCGGTGGCCAGCTTTCGAACTATGTTGCCAGGTATGTATACTTCTTTTCAGATATTTATCACTCTCCTTCAATTTTGTTTTGAGAATACTTGCTAATCATCGCTTCGTTATTGCAGCTTCTATTTCGCTGAGGTCCTGAAGTATCTCTATCTTACTTTTGCTGAGCCCGATGTTGTAAGCTTGGATAAGTATGTCTTCAACACTGAGTGTCACCCTATGACTATCAAGAATACCTGTTAAGAGGAAGGTGGGGCTGTTGACGTTTTGCCAAGTTGAAGCGGTATAAGACAGAAACTTGAATCTTGTATACACCGGCACACAGGCAATATTGCAAATAGATATACAATATATTCTATTAGATATTTATTCCATTTACAGTATCTCGTTTTAAACGTTGGAGTCCGGTTTTTAAAAGTAGTCCGTGCGGTATGACTCGGTGGCTGCGTGGGGAATTGATAGGTCTCGTCATCGTTATTGGTGTTGATTTCGGTGGGGTTCCGATATCTCAGTCATGCCATGTATAATGTATCTCGCTTTTATTGGATGGAATAGATCGTATGATGTGCATTTTACATATGCCTAGAACCCTAAACGCATGTCAATGAATAAATTACCTCTTGGCAGAATGAGGTGGGTACCAAGAAGGTTGAGTGTGGATATGTGGATACAGTACATGGAAGATTCGGCACGTTCAAAGAAAGACGATCTTCGGGGAATATCAGAATACAAGATGACTGGCGCTGATGGCTTACATTTATCAGCGACATTCAGAATTTGTCTGATAATCAACCTTATAGACCCAGGTGCATGGCCGATCAGACAGCCAATTCAAAGGTCATATCGAACAGCTGGATAAAATAAATCAGATGCATAGTAAATTTAAACACATAGTACAGCGGCGAGCCTGAGAAAACACTAGCATGAAAATAATTGCACTTCAACTTGAAGGACATGACCATTAAATGAGGCTTCAAAATGATCTGGGTACCCCCCAGAGCTAATCAATAATCCCACGAGTCCAGGAGGCTTATAATTCTAAGTACTAGGATCATGTAATCCATTATTCCGACCAAAATACATGTCCTTTCAAGCCTTTTCAAAATTCTTCCAAGCTATTTACCGAACTCTTATTACGGCCGTCCTCGATGCAAGGGTTTCAGAGCAAATGCTTGTCTGGCCCCCTCGCATATTCAACGTAGCTGCATCAAATGAAACGTGCATTCAAATGACCACGACGGAAGGTATACCAGAGACCATTAATCAATTTAGTATCCAGACTCAAAACTCAACAGGATCACCAAAATCCTCGTCAAAGGATGCGCGCCATGTCATTCAGGCAAAACTCTTTCAAATATAGTAATCCCGAGCATCAAGATCTTCAGGGGCCCCCGTACGAAGGAGCCGTGTAATCACAGCGGAATTCACCGCATTTTTAAATTTCAACGCTCGGGCACGTCACGAAACAAACGCTAGATCCATAGTTTCTAAATTTTTGCATATGTATGCTGTAGGATTTGAAGATTTTTTTGCACGGATTATGATCGCCGCCAGGAATAGATGGGGCGGAATTCCGATTAGACCCGACGATCAGGCACCTGGGGGAACTGGAGCTGGAATCCGGTTTTCTGGGGATGTGGATGTGGTCACCATGCTTTATGCTTGGCATTCCTTCGCACACATGGCCTCCATGCGATCGGTGGGCGAGATCAACGGACGACTCAACTCAAATTCAGTGTGACCGTTAAGCTATGATTGTAGTCATGACGAAAATCTATGTATATTTGAAAGGCTGAACTAACTAACAAATTTACGAATCTACTGGTAGCGAAGGAGTATGATTTTGCCGGAATATGACCATAACCTGATTCTTTCTTTGAACTGACCTAGTCGGGGTTGGCCGATGGAAAACCATAGACTGAGAAATGTCTTACCATTGTACAGTAATATCTGGCAGCCCATAGTCTGGATCCAATAGCCCATACTCGGGTAGCTCAATCCGCTCCGAACTCGTGCGAACGCGTGGTTCCATGTCTCGTGGACACCTCGTGGACAACGTGAACCAATGCATACTACGAGCATTTTTCGCCCGGACTGCACTATTCTCTCCACATCTCCGCATATTTTCGCCATCGATGACCCCAGGAAATAAATCCTGCGAACTAACCGAGGGAACTGTGTTCAGGTTGTATAGAGAGTATCTTTTCTTGCATGAGGATGGTGATATGATCATAAGGATTACAGGATCACAAGATAAAGAACTAAGGTTTCGATGTATACTATGCTTAGAAGCTTTTGTTTCATAAATCCTATAAATGTAAATGAGTTGTGCATCAGCCCAGACACGACAAATCATCCATTGGTCGATTCTCGAGCCCATAAACTTGTATCTGGTCCATGACAGCATTTAGCGCTTAGCCCCCTTATGTATGTACAATCTTTCACCATCGCACTCCACAAGCCATTTAAAGCAGAAAATTCATTGGCGATATCTCATGCATACGTACAAAACAGTGGAGAATAATCCTTGTGGATTGACGTAGCTCGGGCTGAAATGACGTAAAGATCGGGTTGCCGATCACTCCCGGTGGCCCGCGAGCCGTGAGCCTTAAAGCAAACAAGACGCTATCGCCGTAACAGGTTTTGCCGTTCTTCCAATCCTTCCTGATAGATATTTCGTCCACTCAGAATGCGAGTTGTTAAAGTTTATGATGAAAAAGTGGGTATTGGCTGCCTTAGTGCGATACTGGCGAACTTTTTCCGCTATGTGCGACGCGTTAGTGGAGGGAAGACAATTACCATGGTTCGGGTTATCCTGATTGAGAATATAGATGGACAGGGCAAGAATATATGCCTGGATAACTTGAGTGGATAGCTGGTTTCGATGCTACGTAGTTGAGGTCAACCTGTCATACGTATAAATGCGGCGACTTCTCCTGTCAATGTTTCGTCAATCCACTTTATACCCCATACCCACATTCTTTCTGTACCTATTTCCTCCACTTTTTATGCCTCGTCCCTTATAGAAGGCATCCGACACGCTTTTACGAACTCCAGATAAGGCTGGAGGCCAATCCATTTTGCAACATGGAGCCCTCTACTGACCCATCGCTTTTCGAGAAGCGACAAGAGGAGCAGAAACCGGAGGACCCGATCAACGCAAATATCGAAAAAAGAGTCGAACGCGGTGACGACCTTCACGCTGAACATGCATCCGAATCAGAGTCTTCCAGTCACGACCATTCACCGAAGATAGAAAGGGGTGGAAAACGCGAGCTCAGAGAAGACGAATGTTACGAGTCGTTGGGTTTCTGCTTTCCAACATGGAGGAAATGGATGATTCTCACCGTTATCTTCGTGGTTCAAATGTCCATGAACTTCAACTCGGGCGTTTACTCAAATGCTTTAACAGGCCTGGTGGAGGAATTCAAAATCTCCGAACAGGCCGCACGAGTCGGTCAAGCCGTATTCCTAGTCGCATATGCCTTTGGATGTGAGCTTTGGGCACCTTGGTCTGAAGAGTTCGGCCGATGGCCCATCATGCAGCTCTCTCTTTTCTTCGTGAACATCTGGCAAATCCCTTGTGCTCTCGCACCTAACTATGGAACTATTGTTGTGTGCCGTATTCTCGGTGGTCTTAGCTCCGCCGGTGGCTCTGTCACTCTGGGTATGACCGCTGATATGTGGGAAGCAGATGACCAGGGCTTCGCTGTGGCATATGTTGTCCTCTCCTCTGTGGGTGGCTCAACCATCGGTCCTTTCATCGGTGGAATTATCGAACAATACCTATCTTGGCCCTGGGTATTCTGGGTCCAGTTGATATTCGGCGGCGCCACTCAGGCTCTGCACTTTTTCCTCGTTCCCGAAACCCGATCTTCCATTCTTGTCGATAGAGAAGCTAAGCGCCGACGTAAGGCCGGTGAGGAAGAGGTCTACGGCCCCGATGAAATGAAAGAATCACGCATGAATGTGAAGGAGGTCTTCAAGATTTGGAGCCGTCCCTTCGAAATGTTCCTCCGAGAGCCTATCGTGCTTTTCCTCTCCCTTCTCTCCGGTTTCTCCGACGCTCTGATCTTCGTCTTCACCGAGTCTTTCTCCCTCGTATTCGAACAATGGAATATGAGCACCCTCGCCGTCGGAATGACCTTCGGCTCCATCCTCCTCGGCTACATCATCGCATACATCATCTTCCTACCAGACGTATATCGCCAAATTCAAACCCGTCGCAAGCACGGTGTAGCCTCCCGCTACGCCGAGCGACGCCTCCTTCTCCTTCTCTTTATCGCTCCTTTAGAACCAATTGGTCTCCTCGGTTTCGCATGGACCTCCATGGGCCCACCAATCCCCTGGATTGCCCCATTGATCTTCGCCTGCCTCATCGCAATGGCCAACTACGCAATCTACATGGCTACAATCGATTACATGATTGCTGCATATGGCCCTTACTCTGCCTCCGCAACAGGTGGTAATGGTTTCGCTCGAGACTTCCTCGCTGGTATTGCTACTATGTACTCGACACCGATGTATGAAAATATGGGCAGCAAGTACCATCTCCAGTGGGCTAGTACGCTGCTTGGTTGTGTCGGCTTCTTGGTTCTGATCCCTATCTATGTATTTTACTGGAAAGGACCTGAGATTCGTAAGAAGAGCAAATTCGCTCAGGAGTTGGCTGCTGATCGTGAGAAGGGAGCTGAGCGCCGCAGAAGTCGCGCTACCCCTGCTGCTACTCCTGCGGCTCACGCCCATGAAGCTGCCCAGGAGTATTTTGCTTGAGTTGGAAAACTGAAATGATATGAACGTCTTGTAAATATCCACTATGCATTAGAACGTTTTAGATTGCACTTTGCCTATATGATGTACATGAGAAACGGATCCACACCTTTCTTTCTACAAGTTTATCGCTCATACAAACCAACCAATTCATAGTACCTGTACGTACTGTATTTCTCCTGACAAAGGGGGATGACCAATTACCCCCAACGCCGCTTTTATGAGGGTGATCAGGCTCAGGCTCACTGAGTAGTTTACAATACCGGCGCAGGTTCGCTGAGCTGCTCCTTGTACCATGTTACCGAGTCACTTAGCACTCACTGATCCTGAATGTGAGCATTCGCTGACTTATCTCATTCCTTTCTCAAAGTCATTTATTTGGCACCCAGTCTACTTCCCGGACATATCCAAAGTACTACAAGTATTAGAACCTGTTCTCTACAACATTGATTATTTTTCTTATTTTTTAAAGTAAGAACGGTTCGACAGGGATTTCTCTTTGTAATTAAATCTGGTTAAGGATAGCAAAACTAGTAAGCCGATAGTAAGTTCTAATTCACATCTTCAGCCTTCTCCAATACTTTTAGAGTAGGCACATCTTCAAAGATATCCAATTTAGTGGAGCCAAATTTGCGAGCGGAAACTCCCTGCTCAAACAAAATATCCAACTCTGCATATGTTCGTCCCTTGGGTTCCGGCAATCGGAAATAAGTCCAAATCAGACATACAAAACATAGCCCAGCCCAAAAGAAGCCTGCTTTGCCTCTCCAGTTCCAGTAAGTTGGATTGATCATATCGGGCGTGATAACACCGTTGATCGTACCCTGAATGTTATAGGCGATTCGAGCAAGAACAATGGTTTTCGTACGAAGTCTAGTAGATGGAATCTCGGCAACGATGGAATAGCAAACTGAGCCAACGGTGATATCATAAAACAGTGTGAACACTAGTAGTAGACTACCCGTAGCGTATTTCGCACTCTTGTTGTCTGCCAAACTGGAGAAACCAACCCCCAATAGCACGAGGAAGAGTATGCTTAAACCGCCGATATAGATGGTCCGTCGACCAAGATAGGTCATCACCCACCAGGAAATGAACACGCCGACTATGGCAACCGAATAAAGCGCCATGGAAAAGTCAAAGGCAATTGTCGTTGGAAGACCTGCTTGCTCAAAAAAGTAGGCAGAATATCCCATTAAAGACGCTCCACATGCTGCTTGAATGACCCATGCAACGCATGCAATCTCAGTTCGCCGAAGATTGATACCCTTAAAACAATCCAAAAACGATGTGCCAGCTGAGATCTCCTTTTCAATCTCATCACTGTGCCTTAGCATGGCAATGGTATTGTCAAGCTCTGCATCAGATGGAGCGGTGGTCAGTCTACGAAGCGACTCGCGCGCCTCCTCGTAGCGTTCTTTTCGCATCAACCACCAGGGTGACTCGGGTGCAAAAGCGATTCCCACCACGAGCGGCACCGGCCATATCCATTGCAATGCAAAAGGTATACGGTATGACCACTCATCTGTTCGTGACAGCAGCCCTCGAAGTACACCGCTTGCAAGTAATTGACCAACACCCCACATCATATTGACATATGTTGTTAAATAACCTCTCAGAGTGACAGGGCAGACCTCTGCAGCATAAGAGGTAGTCAGGGTCTGAAACACACCCCAGGGTATGCCCATTAAGATTTCTGCTGCCAGAAGTGTTTGGATGTTTTGAGCAAAGAATGAGATGAAGATCAATCCACATAGCACAATTAGCGTCCCAATCATTGTCTTCTTCATACCAAAGGCCTCGGCCAGTAGACCGTTGATGAACAATCCTATAATCTCCCCGACACGCGCTCCGTTTGACAGGCCCGACTGCCAGGGTGCTGTCACTTGATAGCCAGTCCCACCCTTGACCGGTTGTCCAAACTTCTTCTGAAAAGACGGATACGCAAAAAACGCTGATACAAGAACGATGTCGTATCCCTCCATAATAATAGCTGTCGAAAATAGGATTGACCAGCCTATAGCTTTGGGGTATCGCTTGATAGCTTCGCGAAAGGATAATTTGTGCTCTGCTTCGGTAGCTAATTTGGCCTCGCTACTCAGTATTGCTACCTTTCGGTTGGACTTTGCGAGCGTATGCACGACGCTATCTTCGAGATTGATACGCTCGTCTTCATGTTGTGAGATCCTATCCTCTGCCATTGTCACTTTTTCCGTGCCACAATAGCTCATTCAATTCGTTAGTACAGTATACTTCCAGGGACTCGACGCAGAGGACTATGTAGTTCTTATAAACCTCTCGACCACTCAGTGACGACTTATTACTCAATAGCCACAGCTATTTCACTCCGTAGAGAATATATTAGGCTCTGTGCGAGAAATCCCCGCTCATTCCTACCCCTTGTTGGCGGTTATTTTCCCCGCTTGTCGAATGAAGCAATTTTCGGCTCATCCCTCCACAAACAAAGAAGTTACTGCTTTTTCGTGCTTTTAGAGTTTTGAACATCACTTTCAGCGCAAATACCTTCTCCCAACCAGTGTGGCCGCATTCATGGCGCCATGTGCGTATCATGTGGCGATATTTCTGGCCAATGGCTACAAATCTTAGTGTCGACGACAAGAGCTGTTACGTATACTGTACCGTACGGCGTATGCGGTTCGGCTGGTGCGTTTGTGTGGGTCGGCACCGAAGAGTGGACATATATTTCGTAGTTTCAGTATAATATTAAACAACTTTCTCTTTTACTAGGTCTTCAGATACGAAAGTCTCTTCACGATCATGATGATGCAATTGAGTATCGGAGGCATACTGATAGTGATCATTCTTGCCACGATCACTCCCCGTATCAATGGCCTCGAGAACGAAATCATCCAGCAGGTTTTAGACAGCTATGGAGATACCAACCAATGTCAACGTCCGAACATCGTATTTATATTGACCGACGATCAAGACACGCATCTGAATTCTCTGGACTACATGCCGCATGTCAAAAGACATCTTCTTGACAAAGGTACTTTGTTTCGCAATCACTACTGTACAACAGCTGTATGCTGTCCCTCTCGGGTCACTCTCTGGACGGGTAAAATGGCCCATAATACGAACATAACGGACGTGAATCCACCATATGGTGAGTAACTCACAATCAATAGCCTCCCATAAAACAACCCTCTTCTTTCTCTAATTTTATAGGTGGGTATCCCAGATTTGTGGAAGAGGGGTTCAACGAGAATTATCTCCCGGTATGGTTACAGCAGGCTGGATACAATACTTACTATACCGGAAAACTGTTTAATGTTCACACGGTGACCAATTATGACTCTCCAGAGGCAGCGGGATTTACTGGCTCGGTATGAGATTCATTGTGATCATGCTAGTGGGCTTTACTCTTTTAACATGTGAAGCAGGACTTTCTTCTGGATCCGTTCACATACAACTACCTGAACAGCACATTCCAACGCAAAGGCGAGAAACCGAAAAGCTATGAAGGTGGATACTCCACGGATATCATGTCACAGAAGGCCCAGAGCTTACTCCAAGATGCCGTTGTTGCGGAAACACCCTTTTTCCTAACAATTGCGCCTATTGCCCCTCATGGAAACATCCACATGAATGGGAGCGCATTGGACAGTAATCCGGTTTTTGAACACACTGCTCCAGTGTCAGCTAAGCGACACCAAGAGTTGTTTAAAGATGTCATTGTCCCACGGACGCAAAATTTCAACCCTGAAACGGTATGTACTATATATCAATACCCATATGATTTTCCAAAATGTACTGAATAGCATTGCTGACTGACCGGTATGTGTAGCCTTCCGGAGCAAACTGGATTCTTGACCTGCCGCAACAAAGCACTTCAAACGTGGAGTATAATGATCACTACCACCGCCAGCGACTTCGTTCACTGCAAGCCGTCGACGAACTCGTGGATGACCTTTTTGTGAAACTCGAAGAGTACGGCATTCTGAATAATACATACGTATTCTATAGTAGTGACAATGGATTCCATATTGGACAGCATAGACTGCAGCCAGGTAAATCATGCGGATACGAAGAAGATGTCAATATTCCTTTGATTGTGCGTGGGCCTGGCGTGGCAGCCAACCATACCACTGAGATTGTCACATCCCACACGGACTTGGCACCGACGTTTTTCAAAATACTGGGTATTTCTTCACGAGATGACTTTGATGGCACAGCTATTCCTATGACTCTGGAAGGTATTGAGTCTGTCTCTCGGATGCGACGCGAACATGTCGCCATTGAGTATTGGGGATATGCCGGAGGTGAGGGTATTTACGACCGTGAGATACCTCGATTCTCCTTTGCGTTTTGACTATCCTATCCGATGAACTAATTGGCGGCAACTATTTATAGGAACACTGCATGAAAATAACACTTATAAGGCTATTCGGATAAGTGGATCAAGCTACAACTTTTACTATTCTGTCTGGTGCAACAACGAACATGAATTTTATGACATGACCACAGACCCAGGGCAGATGAATAATTTACTAGCATCCGTCGAATCATCTGCGAGTTCGGTATCTGGTCATTCCATCAACAAGATAATCAGTCGTCTCGACGCCTTATTGCTTGTTCTCAAATCTTGCAAAGGGAAAGTATGTCGCGAGCCATGGAGGAACTTGCACCCCGATGGCAATGTCTCAAGCTTAGAGGACGCACTCTCTACCGAGTTCGACGTATTTTACGAGACCCAGCAAACACGAGTGGTATTTGAATATTGTTGGAATGGATATATACCGGAAGCAGAAGGTCCGATGTGGGAAAGAGATGGATTCTTTTTTAGGGACGGACTACCGTGGCATGAGTGGGTTTGAAAATAAAAATAAATCCAGTCTCATTGGCCTTTGAGAAGTGTTGTGAATGTGTTTTCAATCTGGAACGATCTGAATATGCAAACCGGTTCATTTATATGGAGACACTATATCAAGTAAGAAAAGTACAGATGAAAACGCCGGATATATCACAATGGCATGACTTCTTTTTCTACCGCCCAGGAATAAGGCAACCCGCTCAAACAATTTAAATATTTTAGGCATTTAAGCCTTGCCGCCACGACTAACACGGGGGAACTCCACAGGAACACGCAGACGAGCGATACGACGAGCCATTGCTTCAGCACGTCCACCCTTAATGTTCCACTTGGAGAATTCCGCTTCACGGGGCCGATCAACACGGCATCCCAATTCACGGAAGTATTGCTGTATAGTAGCTGAGTCGACACGCAGATCATCACGCAGATCAGCAGGATCAGTCGCTAGCTCATTAGGTGCGTTGCCGCCCAGACTGCTGGATCCACCATCCTTAGCAGGTTGTGGGGGAATGTGCAGCGAGAGCGCACAGGCAGTGGTGTGGAGAAGAGTAACATCGTGCTTGGTGACGAATCCTCCGTTTGGAGCGAAGCGGCGACGAATAGCTTCGATGACAGCGTCGGGGAGAAGTTCTGTCGAACTTTCGGCGTCTTCGTCTTTAGAGACAACGCCTGATGTAGTGGAAAGAATACGGCGAAGCTCATCGCGTTGTGGTAGCTTTTTGCTACCTGGGCCTCCGGCGGAACGTCCACCCTTGAGTGAACGGGAGAATTCCAGTAAGATCTGGATAAGACGCAGGGTTTGGAGCATCTCCTTGTTTCCGGATCGCACAACTGCCTCCACACGGTTGGCGACGAATCGGGATCCGGTGGTGACACCTACAGCATTTGATACTTGTTCCTCCCATTCTTCGGTGCCGGTCAACTGGTGGAGAATAGAGGTACCGCCAGGAACCACAGTCTCGAGAGAATATACGTCCTTTGGATGGGATGCGGTGAGGTCGGCTTTGGGTAAAGGCTTGGCAGCTTGCACCTCGGCTTGGACATTGAGTTGCTTGGCTCTGCCGGAAGATTCATCCTTGGGCAAGGATGAAAGGAGGGCGGCACCGGCGGCATCGAGAGTTCCGGTGGGAGCATTAGAAAGTTGAGCATTCTCTGCCATGGACTGGACAGCCTTGCGGGAGGCCTTGGTACCGAATGTGTTGGTCAGGTTTGTACGTTGAGCGCGCATAGTCTGTATTTGTTAGTATGAGATTGTTAAATATTGAAAACATAGGTGGATTTTTGGCACATACCTGCTCATCATCAGAGTCAGAGTTATCGGCCTTGGTATTACGGATAGCACCGCGAAGGGTAACTCGCCGGGCTTCCACAACCTGCCATGTCTTGCGCTCTGGGTCCACAACAGCAACGTAATGCTTCAGATACGAGTCTGTATCGTCTCCTCCTTCACGGCCAACGAAATCGATCTTCTCGTGCTCAGACGATTGCAAGAGTATCTCCGACGAGACAATGCCGGGGTTGCGAGCGACGGCTGAATGCTTCCCTTTGCGGGCTTTGGTATATGGGTCGAAGTTGCGGACCTTCGAGTCTAGCAAACCGGGCGTTGTAGCTATTCCAAAGGAAGTCAGTCCATCGCATGCATGCCACATGGTTCACAGAAATCCATACCAATTACTGGAGCCAGCTCGCTCTTATCCTCGACAACACTAGCTGCCAATGGCGGGAGGGCTTGCAGCTCTGCAGCGGCCCTTTTGCTTGGTCGCTCATGACGGTCCGAGGCGCGCTTGCGCTTTTTTTCTATTTTATCGGCGGGCATTGTGAACTTTAAGACCCCAGTAAAAACTTGCAGGGAATCTCCAGGCGTTTGGCTTCAATGGTACGTCGTCGTTTCTTAGTAGAAATATTTGTCTAACGTCGCGGGCAGAAAAAATTCCATTGCGGAGACGATTCCAAAGGCGGTGAGAGTGGATCCGCACAAACCAAAATCGCAAGTCTAAATAGATAATGCAGCACTTAAGGTAGATTTACATCGATTACAGCTACTAGAAGAATTGAAGTGTGCAATTGCACAGGCGCATTTACAAAATTTACAAGTGGACAAAATTTGAGATTGACTTTCTTAAATTGTTTGATTTATCGGCAAGCATAGCTATCGAAATCAACGTTTTTTAGATTGTAAACTCTCGGAAGAGACCTCTCCATAGCTCTGACTCTTGAATGAATTCAAGAGTCATAAATTGTAGTGTGAGCAGGAAATTGAACAGGATCCCGTATCGAGCTCATCAGATTGGCAAAAAGGACCAATCCTCCAACTCTAGTCCAAACACATGGCCTTTCCAAGTTCAATGTTGTGAAGTAAAAAGATACCACTCAAACATGCCCGACATCAGAACGAAGATGTTTAGATAAATCCGAAGAGAAGAATTGTATGTGGGAAAACGGATTGGGTTTGAACGGCGGATTCCATCGAACGAACTGTGGTTTCTTCAAATAGAGGACGGAAACCGAATCCGGGCATGTAACTTGTTGATTGAAAGGCGTGGCACGAATAAACGAAAGTCGTCACATCGAGTCATTAATTGTCGTGTTTAGCGTTCAAACATGAGCGTCGATCAGAGGAGCTGAGATGAAGGGGGGCGAGTAGTTTATTTGCTAGAGAATTGTTAGCATTGGAAAAGATCTCCATAAGCTGATCGCTGGCGCGGGGAAGCTCACCTTCTAGCACGCATCTTTCTTCTCTTGCGCTTGAGACGGCGAACGCGCTTCTTTCTCCACTTAGCTCTCATCTTCGTAGCTGCAAAAATTCAGTCAGTTAAATATTCATTCCCAATCGGGATAATGGCTTGGGTGGCAACCTACATTTCTGCGAGGATGAGGAGAGATAGATGGAAGAAAGACAAATGTGCAGCGGCCCGCGGCGCATTTGTGTGTTGGGTGGCTGACTCAGCTAAGCGAGGCCCTAACCCGGATTGGGACAGCAACCATCGCCAACGGGCCACACGTGACCCTTCTATTGCATCACACAGTGGAAATAGGGTTTCCGCACATCATAGATTTTAGCCCATAGAATCTAGAAGAAGATGAATGAAGAAAAGATAAATGTGGGTTTAATTATTCTCTTATCGTAATATTGGACATAACGCACATTAACAGATCATATGTATCGTAGTTTTATATATACAAAACAACCATTGCGCATCAACAACATGATTAGAAAAGATATCAGAAGCTCTATGAAGAGTATTGAATTCGTGAAGGTATTCCGGAGAATTCGCCTCCCTAGGCCCCGAACCATGGAATCTTTAAATGCAAATCATATAGTAACGTCATCTCCATGTCTCGACACTAAATTAAAACGTGTACCTATACGTAGGCGCAAGATCGCCTAGGTATGTCTCCTCCTCCTCCGAGACAGTATTGGGGTCCACGGCAGCATTATCGCGCTTGCGGTTCTCATGCCACAGCGAAAGGACGTACACAGCGCACGAAATGATGGATAGGCAGCAGAATCCAATGCAAATACTGTACCCCTTGGTGTAGAATGGTGCATCCTGAGTCATGAAAGAGAAAGTAGCAATGATGCCACCAATATTTCCAAATCCCACTTGCCAAGCTGTACCGATGCTCCGGCGGTGATGGCCTCCCAAATTCATGGCAAACCAACACACAATGACCGGCATGGCGCTGTAAGAACCGCATGTAACCAGGAAAAGAGCCGCGTACTCGGCATGTTTGTGAGCCTCTCCGTGGATGCAGAGAAGCATGGCGAATCCAGCAATAGCAATGCAAATAGGAATGATCGTGAATGCAAAACGATGCTTGAGGCGATCAGAGAAAAATGCAATAATCATGGAAAAGACGAAGGCAGCTGCCCAAGGTGGAATGGAATACAGCTGGGTAACGGCCGCTGTACGCATCAAATTAGCAAAGTTCCGACGAGAAGTCAAACAAACAAGGAAACGTACAGCTGTATCCATAACTCTTAATGATGGATGGTGCGAAGTATGCGTATCCTAGATCATTTCAGTCAGCAACGTCGGCCTCTATAGCATTCTTTGTAGGAAACCAACCATAAGCAGGGACAATGAGACCAAAGTACATAAAACCTCCAATTATGATCTTGTCTATAATCCCAATATATCAGTAAATTGTACGCATATATGCATGGAAACAAAAGTGAGCTTACAGTCTTTGAAAACGTCAAGCACCTGGCGGAGGCCAATGTTGACGTGGTGAGCAGACTTTCCAACATCTTTTGCCAACTTCGCTTGAACGAACTCGCGCTCCTCATCAGTCAACCATTTGGAATCCTCGGGGAAATCAGGCATGCAGAAGAAGAGGATGAAGGCAGCCACACAGGTGATGCAGCCTTCGATGATGAAAACCCAGCGCCAACCGTTGTAGCCACGATCCCCGCTCATCTTGGAGATACCATATGCCAGGATACCACCGAAGGCACCAGCAAGTGTGGTAGAGCTGAAGAAGAAACTGAAACGCTTCTGAGCTTCACTGCGCTTATACCACATGCCCAGCAAGTAGAAGCCTATTCGCACATAAATCAGTTATCGAGAACTCAATCGCATCGCATATGGTATTTGCTTACATCCTGGAAACATGCCGGTCTCGAAAACACCAAGGAACCAACGGGTTGCCATCAACCCACCCCAGTTCTGGACAAGACCCTGGCAAACCATCACAAGTCCAAACCCAAACATGCATAGTGGCACTGGATGAATTTAGTCAGGTATATTTCCTCGAGATCCAAGTAAGGAGTTAGATTACTTCACATACACCAAACATGAGGCTTGAACTTCTTGAGTAGAATATTTGACGGAATTTCGAAAATGATGTATGGAACGAAGAAGATTGTCAACGCGATGTTGTACTTGTTGCCAGTCGCAATGCCGAGGTCATCTTTAAGACCGAGAATAGCAGCGTTACTGATATTCACACTGTGAAACAAGAGAGATCCAACATTAGCGCAAATGTTTTCGCGGTTTCTAGAGTATGCGACAAGCTCCTACCGGTCAAGGAAAGCTAAGAGGTAAAGGACGCAGAGACATGGGAGGATATGCCAATCGATTTTTGCCATCAGTTTGCGCTCGGTTGTCGATCGAAGTGGAGGAAGTTCATGGTCGAAAGCAGGACCGTCAACTATCTGCTGGCCGTCGCCATACTTCTCTGATTGTAGGTCTGACCGGACGAAGACATGTTAGCACCGATCTCCGCAGGGGCCTGCAAGGCATAATGATACTAATGCACCGGGGAAGAGATATGTATAGAATGAGGGACAACTCACCTGCGACACCCATATTGAATGCGATCCCTTGACAAGAGTATTGCCGAGCAATGCCGAGGAAGTAATGGAAGAAAGATATTTGAGGGGGCGCGAAAAATAAAATGCGCAAATAAACCTTCCCTCGACGCTGATCACCTCCGTTTGCAGGGATAGGTCGTATTGTCCGAAGCTCGCGACTGCAAGGCTAAGACAGCGACCTAAAGCTTTAGGAAACCGGGGAAAGGGAAAAGAACAAAGGCGCGGGAAATAAAATAAATAGCCAAGACCTCATGTTACCATTGACTCAGACTAGCACCAGAGTTCTCTTATGCGCATGCCGAATGCACAGCTTAAGGACCCACTATCTTCTAAGCTGAACGCCGATCTCGGCCAATAGTGGCAGCTTCGATCGCGTCTGACAGCATTTTTACACTTCCACCACTATTCGTTCGAGCGGATCTTTACTGAGAAATTAGCGTGCATTACGGAGTAATATGTCGGTTCATTATTTGTGTGATTAAGTGCAATACATAGGGAACGTACATTGACTGGGGTCACGGAGTCAAATCGATTTCTCCCGTTCCCCGCAATAAATTGAGCGCCGCACCTAAAAAGGGGTTTCGGCTAATGTACATATACTAATCGGCGCCCAACTATTGGACTCCGAGCACGATTAGGTGGTATGATATTTAGTATTCGCAGTATCCATGGATATTACTTCGACTTGATCACACGGATGCACATTTTCTCGCCTGCGATCATCTCTTTCCCAAGAAAATTCTACTCTTCAATAATGAGTGATGATCTTTCTCCACTCTGGAACCTTTTCAGGTGGTCTGATCCACTCACCCCTCGGTAAACACCGCGCTCGGTCATACTGTACCTTGGCAAAATCATGCTGTCTAATGCTTATGTGCTTGGTTATATTTAGTCTAATGCATGTTGCTGTATTAGAATAGGCTAAGATAAGCTTTTATTCTCACTAACTTCAAGTTGTGCTCAGAAATCTACACATTACATATAGTACTCCAAATAGTATAGGTAGCTATAGCTCATCGTGGGAGTACACAATTGACGACAGTGCTCTTATGACAGCCTCTTGTAAAGGTTGACTTTTTGTTATCGTGTCCCAGTCCGGCTTTGGCGAAATTGGTTTGAGCCAAATGGTGTAAGTTGGTATGGTTACGAAGACACAAGTTACCAATTCCTTTGTGATAAGAGTTCCCAAAGTTGCGATGCGGAAATGTTTTGACGTTGTGCTATCTGAGATAGGTATTGGTCTCTCCAAGCTTATGAATATTGAGCTGATAAGCCGTCTGAAAGTTTTGTTCTTGACTAAAATTAGTATGATATGTCACTAATTACCAGCAGAAGCTATATATCTAGTTCCCTTCTAAAACTTTGTTATTAAAGCTATCCAGGAACACTGATTTTGCAACCGCATGTAGTTCTATAGCAAGTCCCTCAAGCCTATCCGAGCTTTTAAATAGGTGAGTGATTGATGATCTTGGAAAGGCAGCTTCTAACTTACAAGGTATCCTTAAGTTCCACAAATCCAAAGGCTGATTTGAGTCTTTGATGCTTATCTAAGCTTGCTGAGAGTTGGCGTCTTTGTGAATCACAAATTGTGATTTTACTTCTCCCTCTAGGAATATGTACCTCTGAGCTGATTCACCATATGCCGAGCGAGAAGTAGTGTTTATCTCAAGGAGCCTGGAATGATGCTTATCTTGAAGACTGTCAAGGCACTGCTCAAATTTCTCTATCAATCCCTGGATGAAGTAATTGAGCCTTTCTTCCTCGGCTTTCAACTTTGTAGCTCTGCCAGCAGTTCAGTCAAGTTTGCCCTAGACTTGACATTTCCTTCCAGAACATCTTCAACTTGGCTGACAATTTTTACGTAGGGTGCCATCTCGATGACAGCTGTGTGGAGCTTCTTCCATTGTTCTAGGAAATAGGTAAGCTTCTAAGTACTTGGATTTGATATTTGGATTTAAGATAAGAAGTTATAAAACCAGGGGAAATAAATTATCACGGCAAGCTAAGGCTATTTGTTCTTGAGCAAGACCTACGTAATTTGGGCTCTATCGATTGTTCTCGCTAGGATTTCGCCGACCCGCCTATTTGGCTTGCCAATCATAGAACCTCTGGCGCCGAAGATTTGAAAAAAAAAAAAAAAAAGAACATACAGGGAATAGAATTGCAGAGCAACACACCACAATCGCTCTAACTATAGCCATATTGACTTACACTACTCAGCTATCATTGCCGCAGATACTCGAGGGTCTTGGTGTTGTTGGAGAGCAGCTCACATCCAATAAAAACAAACACTCAGTGGTCAGCTAGGAGGGGTAGATATTCTAAACTATAGTTCAGCATCAAAAGCAAATATTGCTTTGAAACGTTTCTTTACAAGTCTTGATCACCAATTAACCCCAGCACTTATTGTAAGGCGTCAAGAAACAAAATGATTCGGTTTCGAGTCAGCACATAGTAGTTATTCGCACAGCACACATTCCTTATTGATAATTTTTAAAGCTCGAAACCAGCCTAGATAGCAGATTTCATAAGTGTGACAAGTAGATAGTAATATACACTTGTTTCTTTGAAGTAGAGTCGATACACACTTGTAGTGTACATAGACAACATATGCGTTCTCTAGCTAACCTGGCTCTAATATATATCACCCAGGGACCCGATCTACAAGATATTACCGTGGAGCGCTACACCACCAAGAATTGCGCTCAACAGTTTCCTCTCCTATTAGGGTAAACCAACCACTCCCAAAATTTTGGTCCACTGGTGTTACACAACAGCTATATCCGTTGCACACGGGCATAATGTGATACAAGCTGCGGCACTATATATGTAAGAATGTCGTGGGTTACACTGATTAGCTCGCCGGGCCCTCTCATCTTTGGTCTTTCTATCACCGCAGCATTGAGCCTCATACCCCGCATTTCTAGATACTTAAGGCAAAAGAAAGGCTAACTATACTAACTGATAGAAGGCAGGAAACACAATAGAAGCCATCGGAGCGGTGTCCTCAATCTTTCTATTCACAATTAACCAGCTAGAACAATATAGTAAATACTCGCACCGCCTCAAGCATAACTTTCGAATTACCAAGCAAGAGGTTGATCTCCTCGCTGACGAGTTATCCGCTTTTCAGAGCCTGTTTGAGATTTTCAGCTATATCAGTTGTCCGCTGGAAACCATGAAATAGCTCGTCAGCAACTACCGGAAGGAATTCTCAATTCCCAAGCAGAATTTTGCCTTAGGACAGATTAGTGAGATCAATCTGAAGCTGGAGCCTTTAAGAAACAAGAATATATCCGCTTTACTTGCCACAAACGAAGGAAGGCTTAGGTTATCATCGCGTTCCAAACTTCAGCAGCCTCCTGGCCCGAAAGGCCGTTGGCGGCATTCGTGGCCTCAGTGCACCGGTCAATGGTAGCCTCGGGCGCATTGCACGGGCTTCGAAGACGGTTGCAGACCAGACCGGTGACACTGCCGATACTCGTATCGGATCCGAAGGGGAAGTCATTTTGATTATTGGTGGTGAAAGAGTAGCTGTTGCGTCCGTCCAGGCCGTACGCCCACTTGATGGTGGGGTCTGAGCAGGTGCCGTAGTCGAGAGTGCCACCGCCACCGGTCTCGGAGCAGTCGGTGGATGTCATGGTTGTGGTGATCTCCAAGATTTTAGTCTCAGTGGCTGTCTCAGTCTCTGTGATGATCTGTACTAGAATAGATGAGCCGATTCCATGATTTTTTAACATTCCTGATATTCGCTATGCATCGTAAAATACCGCTTTGTATCTGATATCTTATGGACAAGCACAAAATGCAACGCTGAAAGTTGATCCACTTTGCTCTCATAGGATCTATTTCGAACCTTAGTCCGAAACACACTGATCCATTTCCGACTTAAATCCGTCTCAAGTATTGAATCGGATTGAAAGGTGTTATCACGTGCTATAGTGTTCATCTAATAACTTAGAAATCTGACCTGGGGATTTTATAATATTTAACAAATTGGAGATATTTATAAATCTAGATTTATATAAATTTAAGTGAAGAGATACTTGGGTTTCTTATTAAATATATACACAAAACAACATCAACATAATATGGCAATCGAAGTGAAATGAGAGGTGCTCCCGCTGGAAGCTATACATAGTGCCCCACTTATTCCTTATCGTGGTCGATACGGGCCATGAATACCACGTGATCTTCAAAAAAAATCCCCCTCAACCAAAACACATCAAGTAACGACGTCGTTCTTAATGTACAAGACTCGGCTCAACTTTCCCCCAGTTTCAACATGATAATCAACTGCGGACCCTTGTCCGACTTCACGCAAGCACGATATGTGATCTACCTATCAACAGGAAAGCGACTAGTCCTTTTCCGACTTCCCTCAATCGACCCCTCCGGCTCCAAACCGAACGAAGCGCAAGGATGGTCATACTACGCGATGGAAGCAGAGTGTCCGCACGCAGGAGGACCAATGGCGGACTCACAAATAGATATTGAAGACTCCGGATACGTGGCCAGCTGCCCTTGGCATGCTTACGATTTTAACGTCGAAACCGGCGAATCGAGCGTCGGCATCAAAGCGTGTACATACCCGATCGACGTGCGAGAAGGCACCGTTTTGTTAAGCTTCCCAGTCGAAGGCGGCGAGCAAGTGGAACTGGCCAAGATCGACCCCGTCAGCGAGAAGGTCAAATTGAAACATGCGATCCCTTCAAATAAATCCGGTGTACCGATCCAACAGGAGCAGCCAGGAATGGCTCGTTATCTAGACGACAATGCGACACTATGCGACTGGGCTGTTCATATCTTGAAGACCGCCAACCCGGAAAATAAAATCGAGTTGACGACTCACCTTTTCAGAATATTTACTGAGAGAGAGGCCTCTGATTCACCTATGGATATTGGACGAGGCACCGTCCCTGCACCCGATCAACCTCCGCGCGAGAAAATGTTTACTGTTGCCCCAGGTGCTATGCCGAGGACAGGAAAGGGAGGCACATTAAAGAGTCGGATTGCCATGCTGCACGCGCTGGCTAATATTGAGCTGTGGGCTATTGATTTGGCCATCGATATCTGTGTACGATTTGCCGCGTTCCAAACCGAGAAAACCTCACAAGAATTACCACGAGCCTATTTCCATGATTGGCTCAAGGTTGCGAGTGATGAGGCAAAGCACTTTTCCCTTCTGCGCACTCGTATCGAAGAAATGGGTTCGCATTTCGGAGCATTGCCTGTCCACCATACCCTTTGGTTATCAGCTCAGGAGACGGCGCATGATATCCGTGCCAGAATTAGTATCATTGCTCTCGTTCACGAGGCAAGAGGTCTCGACGTCAACCCTATGACTATTGACAAGTTCCGTCTTAATGGAGATGGCCCGAGTGTTGAAGCACTGGAGGTCATTCATCATGATGAGATTACACATGTTACTACCGGGCACAGGTGGCTCACCTGGATCTGTAACGAAGAAGAGACCGACCCGGTCCAAGTGTTCCGCTCTAATGTCTCAAAACATTTCCGGGGACCTATTCGAGGACCGTTCAATGAGGAAGCTCGCTTACAAGCTGGTATGGACAAGCGGTATTACGATCCTTCCAATGTCGTTGCGGCTTCCTGATTATAACTTTGACGAATTGTATGATAAAAAACGACAATATTATGATTGCATTCGCTTATTGCTAGTCACATGAAAATCAATGCTGTAAATATTCTAAAATCTGACTCTCATGCATTAACCATTACTCCTAACGTTGTTGTTCATGTATTTTCCCTCCGCGATCATCCTCTTAGTAGACAGCCTTCAGTGTGACCTTGCTGCAGCTGGAGGGGATAACAGGGTCGTAGTATTTGATAAGAGCGAAGAGTTGCGGCGCATTGTGGTACCAGGAGCAGACTGTAGAGAAAACGTTAGACCAAGAAGACAATTTGGACATAAGCAAACATTTTTGAACTTACCAAGCCAGCCGGCAAACCCTTGTTCCTCAGAATAGACAAAGTCACCATTCTGGATCGCGAACTCGGCTTCACCTTGTCCAGCATTAATAGTGACGGGTTCCCACGCTATAAAGATATTAGAAGAGATTCAATCAAATGAAAATGAAATGCCCAGGTGATAACTTACCAGCATAGTTGGTATCACCGCCGACCTCTACACCCCAGGGGAAAGTTGTGCCCAGGTCGGCATATGCGGTGGTACCGTTGAGCGAGAACTTGGGTGCTGCAGTAGCATTACTGGATAGAACAGCATCACTCAGACCAGCACCAGTGTGGTAGGAATAGAGATAAAGGTTGTTGAATTCAGTGATCTTGGAGTCGGTGGTCTTGAGCTTGAATTCCTTTGTCGGCGCACGAGGAGCCACGGGAGTGGCTAGGGTGGTAGCGGCCAAAAGAGCAAGGGATGCGAGGAGCTTCATATTGGATTATTGAAATAGGGAGTTCAAGTAGGTCTGGCAATTCAAAGTAAAATGTAAGATTAATAGTTAATAATATGAATCAATGGCAGCGAAACACGACCGTTTTATAAGGGGAGCCAAGAACTAGTGACGTTGGAAGAAAAACAAACTCTCGGCGATGCAGTTGATCCGCAAGGTTTCCATGGGGAATCGGATGGCTTCTTCATCCCTATCAAATCCTCTACAGGGTCAATGATTGGACCCCCTGCGAAAGTGGGTATGAAAATCGTTATATCGGATACCTAAAAAAGCATCCAAGAACCCATAAGCTGGCGTAAGTGGAATCACCTCATCGACGGACGGGAGTTTTCAGAAATTACTCCGGAAAAGAACTCAACACATCGATTGACATCAGTAATGCTTATTGCAGATCAGACTAGGCAGGAAGCAATAGCCACTGATGTAGCTGTATCTATGACGATCACCCCACATAAGCTCCACTTAATGCCAAGTATTGGCCTCAGGTCCACAGATTCAAGCGGGGATGTGAGACATTCCGGCCCGATGATTGAATCATGCCAAACGAACTTGATCACCGCCATGATCCTTTGGCTATACGAGCAGCTTCTTACATGCTATTTTGGGAAAGTGCGCACAGTGAGGTATTCAAGTACGCACGTATCTAAGACAGTAATCGTTGAAATGAGCTTAGCTGATGTCAAAAAGTTCTTATAACCAGGTAAACAAAGAGAGCTTGGGGACATCGGAGGCCTATAAAACTCGAATGGGTGTAAAAAGCTTCAAAGAGCACATCGCCACTGAGACATTGAATGGCAAAGGCACGAAACTGATTCATACTATCTCACGCTATGATTATGCAGGAGTTGCGAACAGAGTAAGGAACGGGCACCCCCGGATAAGAATAAATGAGACCAGCTTTTTGGATACTACTATGGTAGTGTTGACGCCTTAACGGAAAAAGTGTCACCAGCTACTGGATATGGTTTGATCATTTGATCCACGATCATGCTTCTAGTTCTTTTTGCCTTGCACTATCGTCCGCATGCTCTTAGGCTACATTGAGAGGCTGTGTATTTTTTTCTGATATGTGACCACGACATTGAGTTCTACTTATAGAGGACTCTCGTTATAGAGCCACCTCCAGGGTCATATTTCTGCTAAGATACTGTATACAGTGGCCATGTTGATTATATAGGGAGGTGTCTATTTCATATCAATCTGGCCTCGTGACTTAGCTTCTTTCTCGAATATTCAATATTGATCTTTCTCGACTGAAGGATCTTGCTGATATGTGGGATATATCCGGCAAATTTGAAAGGCATGAGTCTCGGGGTTGATAAGGATGATAAGGATGATTATGGTTGGAATGATTTGTCGGAGCTTCAAGTTAAAGTCTTGTTGCTACCTGTAAGTATACGGATCGGTCTAGGAAAAAGGAGTACTGTTCTTTTCAATGTGGTCATGTGTTTAAAACTCAAAGTCAAATGGTGATTATATGCTTTGTTTAGCTAGACATTATATGGGTTTCATACATACTATCGCTGGATGGTGACATTTAAAAAAACTCAAAAGAAGAAAAGCAATAGAATGGTAGCCTACCCCATGATCACTTTCTGGCCTCGGAGAAGATTTATTTTCACCCAAGCAGCTGCATTAGAACCTACAGCTAACTCATGTACAAAAAGCAGACCCCGGACGGGTTCACGATATTCCACCGAGGTGGTACTTACTTGCATCGTTGTTGTGAGAAGGGGTCGAATAAAACCTGCGATAACCTCTCACATAATGCAACGAATGTGTCTTCCTCCACATCATTCAACACCGCCTCTCGCGATACCGACTCTTTCATAATGCCATTGTTGATGAGGGTGTGTAATGGAGGGGATATATTTTCGACGAGGCCAGCTTGAATTGTCAGTCTACGACGCTTCTGGCCAGCCAAAAAGTGGAATCCCTGTGATCCAAGGACACTGTTACTGTTTTAGTTCTAGACGAGGCTTCTTTTTGGGAAGAGGGGTGGGGAGGGCTCAAAGGGGAACGCTTACTTCTTGAACCTTTCAATGTCGGTAAGGGCCATTTTCAGTTGAACGGGCCTGCTAGGCAAGCTTGCTACTGGCGTAAAATTGATTTTAGAGGTCTCAACTGGGAAACGAAAATAGAGTGAAAAGAGATACCTGCGTTGAGATGTTTGGATAAGAAACAATGGTCATTGCACTGGTGGTAGGAGCTTTGTGTGGTGAGGATGAGAGTAGAGATGTGAGACTATTCAAATGTTCCCCACAATTTGAAATAGCCTGCTGATTGAACGCTCACTCACCGAGGCATGCATTCTGGGTCGCGGTATAGTAGAGCACAAACATTTGAAACCCTGCCGCTGACTCCTTTGTGGAAGGCCAAAACGGCCATAACTTCTTTTCAATTAATGCCCGCTTTTGCACGATTTGTATAAGCAAAAAAGTGAAATACTGAACTTACTATAACACCGGATTATCAAATCTAGCCAATCAACAAGAATCACGATTATGAGCAATTCCTAAGATCTCAATCGTTAAAATGTTACCCACCTAATGATATTGGATGCAATTAGTATACATATAGACAAACAGCTTTAAACCACGATTGATGACTCTAAGACTTTAAATACTATAAATAATAGGTCCTACTGAATGAGAAGAAGAAAAACCTTTAAATAGTCATCGGAAGAAATGAAATAGAGGAGAAAAAAGAGGTAGGAAAACCAAACGAGATATTCACTGTATGCAGTCACGGTGTCTTTTACTACTACTACTACTACTACTAGTAGTAGTAAATCGAACGCGAGCGATGGCAGTCATGGCTCTTTGTACTCGTTTGAATCTAGCTGCCACGGATTGATTTTACATCAAACAAATAAAAGTGCTAGAGAGACTTTTCAAAAATATATCTTAAAAGAATTTGGACAGTCTAACTGTCTATTACTAGTACATACTGTACTAGTCTTGTTGTTTCAAGTTTCGGACGTTCAAGTTACTCTACGCCCACTACATTTTCATATATAGTTTCAAACCTAAAACCTCCCTTGCAATTTATATTCCTCTGTCAACTATTTCAATACAAAATTTAAGCATCTTGTAGGTAAATTGTTTGTCCTTCGCTTAAACTATCGCCATTGCGAACCAAAAGAACAGCATTCTTTACGTTCGGGAAAGATTCCTCAACTTGAACACTAGGTAGGTCTCTATCTAACAAGGCGAGGTGCAAGTAGACGCATCATTCGGGTCGGAGCAAACAACTTAGCAATTTCCCAGAAAGTTAGAATAAGGAGGACCGATTAAATTGGGTTAAGCAACAGAAGCTTACCGAGTTCGCAACGGGCATTTGCCAAAGCAACGAGGGCAGCGATGACCAGTAATTTCAGAGCAGGGAAATTCATTTTGAACGAAGTAGACTTGAAAGTTCAAAGGTTGTGTTGTCATAAGCTGATTTCAGAGATTGTGATATCTAACTTGGGAGGCTGCTCTGGAGTTGGGATTTATGAAAGGCCGGTGCGAAGCCGTATTTATAGGCAAAGATCCAAAGTAAGAATGATACTGGATCTACAACTTCCCCAATTGTCATTAGTAGAACTTTCTTATCTATCTTGTGACCAGGAACTCCGGGTCTATCGCTTCGGTGAGTTGGACCATCCAAGTACGGACAATGATCTACGGGAAAATGTGCAACCAACAAAGAGATAGAGCCGTAGATTTCCGAAGATATATGGTAGCTAAAGCTAAATAACCGGAAATTTCAGAAGATTGGCAATTTTCTTTGATGGAATCCGCGGATGACCAGGCTGAGGGTATCTCCCACGAAATGACCTCAAAGAACATTAAATTTCGGGATCTTAGGCAGAAGGCGCCTCGCATGTAATTTTTGACCAGTCCGATTGCTATTTTTGATTGTTGCATCTGGCTCTGTCTATACGGATTAGTACGAATGATAAATTGAATTTATAAGTCCTAAGAAGAAAAAATACCCCACCAACTGAGAATGTCACAGTAACTGGCCGTGGCGGTGCCGAGTACTGGGACTACATATTCACTTCAAGTTTGAGTATTATAGTAGTGATATTATGGCCAAGTCGCTGTACACTGCATTGTGCTCATTCCACTCATGGACATTTAAAACTTGAGACGAGGAGTTCATAGATTCTTTGACTGGGAAAATCGAATCTTAATTGGCCCAGCAAACGCGTGGGTCTTCTAGAGTAGAAGGACGATCTATGAAGTCTGTATTTAGCTATAGTGCACACATACGCTATAAGGTGATGCATGTAAATGCAAGATTCAAATTTTGAGTCTCGACGGGGAATCGGGTCAAATCTTTTAAGGTCTAGCGTTTCTTCCTAAATCATCTCTGCAGCCTTGTTTTCCAAGATTCAGGGTTCTCGTTGGACGCCTGAAAATAACTAATCTATGTCGCCCCACATCAGTGTTGAAATCTCACGTTTACACTCACACCTCCCCCTGCCTTTTACCAAGATTGACTATCTCAGTCGACATTTCCTACCATGGTATTTCGGGGTAAGCGCTCAACGGCTTGTTCACTGTGTCGTGAGCGGAGAATCAAGGTAAGATCCGTCCCATACTCAGGGACCATACCCATCTAAATCTCAGATCAGTGCGACCGTGGTCGCCCGGCATGTACACAATGCCTTAATGTCAACTCGGAATGTACTGGATACAGAAATGCGATAGACTTGATGTTCGAAGACGAAACTGGGATTGTGACACGAAAGGCCAGATCGCACGTTTCAAAATCAGTCTCGTCTAAAAGAGACAATAATCCCCAGGCACTATTTCCCGCGCCGCAATTGCAACTACTTGTGGATCCACCTTCCGTTCAAGCAATCTCGTTCTTTACGTCGGCTTATTCCGGCGGATGCTATCTAGACTGGCTGCCGTCGATTTATTTATCTCATAAGCGCTCTGCTTCGCTTGAGGCAAGCTTTGAAGCAGTTGCGTTAAGCTACATGGCAAATCAACAACAACGGGGAGACCTACAAATTCTCGCGCAAGAGAGATATGGCGTTGGGCTGGCTCAAACAATGAGTTTATTGACAGGGCACCAATCAGCTTCCCCAGAAACCATCGCCTCTATTTTATTGCTGGCACTATTCGCTGTTCTCTCATCGGAGTCTTATCAGGACGCACAAAGCACTTGGTCAAAACACGTCCACGGAATTGTGGCCATCTTAGAACCATCCTCGGCTCCCGCGATATTCGACAGCTCTGCCGGCCAAAGCCTTCTCCACCATATAATTTCTATTGTACAGATAGATTGCATACAGCGAGGATTGCCATTTCCACCTTATCTCAAACTCCTCTACTCGGTTTCCTGTTTAAATGAAGGATATCAAGCGTATTTCTGGATTCTGCTTGACCGTCTGGCTACGTTGAACTCCCAATTTGATGAGGAGCAAGTCTCGCTCTCCTACATTGTGAAGCTAGAGGAATTGGAGAAGGAGGTTGAACATTTAATTAGCTCAATGCCTGCAGCAAATCCCGGTCACTTTTCTTTCCAAGAGATTCCAAACAGTCATATTGTCAATGGAAGCATCCTTCAACCGTTCATACCGGTTCAAGTATTCAGTGGTTGGCGAAGCGCACAAGCCTGGAATACTCTACGCATGATACGACTGTACAATAACAACCTTTTACGACGGAGCATCACTGGCTACCTGCCACCTAATGCGATCCCACCCGAGACTGTTGACAAACTTGAGATGCTCTTACATCATACATCTGTGGTTGCATATCATACAGCAGTGGATATGTGCGCTACTGTACCAGAGAACTTACGACCGGAATACTGGTCAAAAGATCCCGATCCCGATACCAGCCTTCACTTTTCTTCATGGGCGCGCTCTCTCATATGGCCTTTGAGTTTAGCTGAGGGATCGCCTCATGGCTCTGAGAGACTTCACGAATACTTAAAGAGACAAATCGGAGTACTGGGAGCCATCACTGGCATGCGGGGACTACATAAAAAGTCCACTTCATTGCCTACAAAAGATGATTGGTAAGGAAAATATCTCCAAAGAAACATGTCAAGTTACAGATGTGCTAATTCTATATAACTTGATAGGTCTCATTTAACCTATATGTGTTAATATACAAAGTAAACAGACTTGATATACATTCGGAATAATCTATACAACGGTTTGAACCCTCACTCTCGCTGCAATTCAACTCTAAACGCCGAGAGTGTCACAGATTGCACCCGGGATGTGGAATCAGCGCCATCTCTCCAGAATACCGCTTCGTTCAGCGGCACCGCCCCATATGAGAAAGGATCAATATTGACCACACAATAGTCGTTCCAAACTGTTGTGGCATTTATTGGGTACTCATAGTCATCAATGACCTCTATGAAGCGCCATACCTCGCCAATCTTTCCGTCCCTCGAGTGCCTAGTCTTGAAAGTGGGAATGAGCTGGAAATACAATTCACCGGTAGTGCCTGCCGCAGATGAGACGAACGATGCCAGGCTGTCCACCACATCCGTTGAATTGGAGATCCATGAGAAAATATGAAGGGATCGGGGCTCAGTCTGAGTGAAAGTTATCGAAGAGTTCAAACCCTTTTCGGTGGATTTATACACTCCTGCGTAAGAACTCTTCAACTGAGACTGCGCCTCTTTCTCCGCTGCCGTGACAAGAGGATTTAGAACGTCCGTGAAGATATTGTTCAGCACGGTCAGGTCTCCAGCCACGCCCATGAAAACAACAAGATCATACTGAGGAACTATGATGCTGTATGAGTAGTACTTAGTCAAGCCTCCGCCTTTTGTGTAAAATGTGACAGGGCGCTTCGTGTCTGGAATAATGGATGTAGTCCTGAATATTTCCCACGGGTATCCAAGAAGAGAATGAGACCCAGAATTCCAAGCTGTAGGCTGAAACCAGTTGATTGTTGGGGTAATGCTTTCATGGTTCGCGAGAACCCAGCGTAGGAATTTGATCATATCCGACGAGGAGCTGTATATTCCGGCACTCCTAAAACATCATAATGTTAGATGGGTCTTCAACACGCAATGCACTTCTTCTATGCGTAATGGAGGATGGAAAAAAAACTTACGCATTGTCAGATCCTTCGTTCACACCCCAGTCCGAGCCTGATCCAGCACTAGCAGCGGCAGAATCATCGGGCGCGTCAAAGGATGTCTCATGTAGACCAAGAGGTTTTAAGATATCCTTGTTGATGTAGTCCTCGTATTTCATGTTGGTCACGTTTGCCAAAACCTGACCGAGGAGGTCAAATCCAACATTACTGTAGGAAGTTTCCATCTGTGGTGGAAAGACCGTGTTTGTCTGTGTGAGATAGCCATTCATATCTATAATTTAATGTTAGTTCAAGTCCAACATTGCTGCAAAGTACGACTTGAAGCGAATTTGTACATACCTGAATCAGTGCAAGGAATTTCCCATTCGCTGTATGCACCGCATTTTGGAAGAGAGTTCGATTGGGATTTGCTCAATGGCGGAAGACCAATTGCAGAGGGATCGGAGAGTTGAAGCAATAGATCCTCATCGCCATAGTTGTCCGGTAGTCCGCCTAGATGAGCTAACAACGATCTGATAGTGATGCCTCTCCACTTGGTTCGCTCATTTCCGCTGAGAAGAGCTGGGATGTATTGGGTCACTTCATCATCAAGTCTGATTCTACCCTCTGCTTCTTGCTTCAAGATCCCCAATGCCGTGAAAAGTTTGGTGTTGCTGGCGATCCGATAGACCGAAGAACTGTTGATGGGGCTGCCACCCAAGGACTCATCAAAGTGATAGTGGGAGTACAGAAGTTGGGTGGAAGAAGAAACTTCCAATGAGAAAGAGCTTCCGTTCAGAGAGCCGGCGTCGAGGAGAGATTTGAATTGCGTTTCAATTTTTTCGAACGTGTCCTTCAAAGTATGTGTATCATACTTAGGAGCAGGATAAGAGATCTCTGGCTCACATGAGGCATGTGCCATGTGAAGTTGACACGAGGCGAAAAGCAAAGCCGCAGTTACTTTGAAGAAGATCATGTTTGTGACTGGTACACAAGAAAAAATAAATATCTCATCAGTCTACTCTTTGGGCTTTATACACCCCAATTCTTGTCATTATACACATGGATCTATAATTTTTAAGCGTTCCAAAAAGGAAGGCATATCGTTAGCGTCAAATTTGAGTCTAAAATTAAGATTCTACCGTCTTTATGCGATTAATGACGACAGCTACCCAGCAATACTGGCACTTAAGGTTGAGCTCCTAGCACTATATTGCAAACCACACCAAATTATTTTAGGGGTAGACTTCTATTGAGCGCCTTCGATCCACTTGTGTAGTCAGCCCTGGCCAATGGGGGTCGAGTAGATGAAAAGGATACTCTATTCAGACTAGCGGCACATTCCTCAGCCACTTTATTCATGAATTGGCAAAATTATCACCTTCCTAAACCCGCGAAGCCCTGGTGGCCTGTGTGATTTATGAATTTTTAATAAAAAACCTCAAAGATATCATTTTTCTATGAAAAAAAGGAAGAAAATTGCCTCCGCTCCGACCTCGGAGCATGTTTGGGGAAATGAACATTTGAAGCCTCAGTTCATTGATTTCAGAATCGCAGGCTCCACTCTTTCCTCCTTTCTAGTCAAGTGAACAATACTTCAAGTCTCCAAGAGACCCAAAAACATCACCGAAATTATTCTCGATGATGTCAGCTAATACAATGCATGAAAACCTATCTACACGTATATTGTTTTCGAGATTACCTTCCATTTGACTCCTGGATGCGGGGAAACTAGGCGGGGTTGTAAACTTGAACATACGACAGGTTGCAATATCCAGATAGCCGCTTCTTAGAGCAAACAGTCAAATGGCAACTGAACCAAGAAGCTGGACGGTATTCTGCTCAAAAGCGCATTTTCAGACGCCGCATATGTGGTGATCATGACCGTAAGGAGGACATTTCGGGCTAAGGTGTACCGACTACGACCAAAGCGCAGGCGGGCGCGTATCGCGTACTTAGAATGGATTAGCCACGTAGAACAGGTTTACGATGTAACGTTCCTGGGGTACTGGGGTAAACATTGCAGACCCGCAAATGGCAATGACCGCGGAAACATCAAGAACACATATTTACTGCTGATGCACCTTTTCTTTTGGTTCACAAATCAATCTCTTGAACAGGACCTCAGTGAGAGCAATAAGACTCTTCAAAACTGTTCTTTACAGCCATGCGTCTATGGTCAAATCTCGCCACGGCCAGTTCGCTGGTATCTTTGGTGACTGGTTACGTTGTCCAGAGAGACTCTACTTGCACTCTTTATCCTGAGTCACTCAAGCACAATGGAGAAGCTATCGACGACGCGCCTTCGATTCACAAAGCATTTGTAGACTGTGGACAAAACGGTCGAGTAGTGTTCTCCAATCATACATTTAACATCAACTCGGTCATGAACACAACGAACCTGAATAATTGCGAAGTATCATTGCAGGGAGAGCTGCTATTTTCTGATGACATTTCCTACTGGCTCTCGCACTCTTATTCCGTTGTATTCCAAAACCAATCGACAGCTTGGCTTTTTGGTGGAACGAATATCACTTTCCGTGGTGAGGGAGGTTGGTATAATGGCAACGGCCAAGCTTGGTATACAGAGAACCAAAATGGGAGCAACCAGCCGGGCCGACCTATCAGTATCACTTTTATAAACTCCGAAAACGTGCTCATCGATGGCCTTACCATCATACAACCTCAATTCTGGGCAACCTTTGTATCATACAGCAAAAATGTGTCAATCACTAACCTGTATGTGAATGCTACGAGCGATGATCAATGGGGTACTGTCAATACCGACGGATATGACTCCTGGAACAGTGACAACTTGCTTGTCGAGAACGCAGTTATCACCAATCAAGATGATTGCATAGCAGCTAAAGGAAACACCACAAACCTGCATGTTAAAAATGTCACCTGTTATGGAAACTATGGAATGTCAATCGGTTCGGTCGGCCAATACCCAACAATGCCAGACTATGTGCAGAATGTTACATTCGAAGATGTTCGCTGTATCAATTGCCAAGAGGGAGCCTTAATCAAGACATGGCAAGGTGTATCTGATAATGGCAGCTCCAATGGCGATAGCGGTGGTGGTGGCAGCGGTTTGGTCAAGAACATCACATATCGCAACTTTGAATTGACCAATGTTGCTTTGCCTATTCAGATCTCCCAATGCATTTACAGTGAAGATGGGCAAAGCTGCAACACCTCTAAGATGGCTATTGAGGATATAACATGGTCTAATATCAAGGGGACATCACGGTATAATATCGCGACGTCGATTTACTGCTCTGACGTTCATCCCTGCCCTGGGCTCAAGTTTGAGGACATCGAGCTTCAATCAGTTAACAGTACGTTGGGATTGCCAATGTATGGAACCGATCTTCAAAATGAAGTCTATCAATGCACCAACATAATCGATCAAGACGACTCAGGAATTCCTTGCAACCGCGCGGCTCCAGACAATTATGGCCAAACAGTGACTACAAACGTGAAAGATGACTAGCAAAAGTCACTGATGGCTATGAGACAAAGTTTAGCTGGGAACAATAATCCACATTTGATGCCCAGATTTCTTTGAACCTTTCAAGAGATAGGAAAAATAAAATAGTCTCTCTGGCGAGAGTCCACTATGCTTTCGATCTACATGCCTCTCCCTCTCTTTTGTAATTGCCAAACTAAAAAGACGACCTGAGAAGGCCTGTAGGCAAACACAAAAGAACTTTCTGTGAATATCCCCGAGATAACAGCAAGAATGTAGCGACTGGGAACCGAAATCTGCAGCGATTGGAGACCAATCGTCTTGGTGGTGGGGGTAACTGGAATTTCTCCGAAGAATCGCCTAAGTATGGGGAATACTATGCACATACCCCACGGGGAATGGACCATGCAAAAAACATAAATAAGAGCTTCCCTATTCCCAGTAAACTTCATTTGGCAGTCAAACAACTTTATTCTTATTTACATACTTTCTCAATGATCAGAATCTTGGTAGCTTTCGTTTTCGCCCTCTGGGCTGGACATACATGGGGATTGTACACTGAACCATATCGACCCCAGTTTCATTTTTCCCCTGCCAAAAACTGGATGAATGATCCAGCAGGTCTTTTTTATTATGAGGGATTATATCATCTTTATTTTCAATATAATCCAGGAGGAATTGAGTGGGGGAATATGTCATGGGGCCATGCTACCAGCACTGATCTCACACACTGGGATGAACAGCCCGTTGCTCTTCTGGCTCGAGGTTTCCCCCACAATGTGACTGAGATGTATTTCACCGGAAGCATGGCAATTGACACGAACAATACCAGTGGATTTGGCGTCGATGGCAAGGTCCCTTTGGTAGCTGTTTATACTTCCTACGTGAGAATTCAAACCCCTTCGTCTTCGAGCTTCAGCTAACACTTTCTAATCACAAAGTACCCTATGACACAAACGCTGCAAAGTGGGAAAAATATCCGCTTGGGTCAACAATCACAGTCAATTGCTTATAGTCTTGACAGCGGCATGACTTGGACAACGTATGATGCTGGCAATCCTGTTATTCAGGATCCACCTGCACCTTACGAAGATCAATATGAGAACTTCCGTGACCCTTTCGTCTTCTGGCACGAGCAAACTCAGAAATGGGTCCTTCTTACATCTTTGGCTGAGATTCACAAGCTCGTTATCTGGACTTCTGATAACCTGAAAGAGTGGTCCGTCGCAAGTGAATTTGGGCCTTTCAATGGCGTTGGGGGTGTATGGGAATGTCCCAACCTCTTTCCACTTCCGGTCGACAACGATGACGCTGCCGAGAAGTGGGTATTAGTAGTCGGACTGAATCCTGGAGGTCCTCCTGGCACGGTCGGATCCGGAAATCAATACTTTATCGGAGACTTCAATGGCACGGCCTTTATCCCAGACTCAGAAACTCTTCATGCTGGGAACAGCACTTCAAACTGGCTAGACTGGGGTCCAGACTATTATGCTTCTGCAGCGTATAACGGCTTAAGCGACGATCGTCATGTTCAACTCGGCTGGATGAATAACTGGCAATACGGAGAAAACATTCCAACGTACCCTTGGCGAAGTGCTATGACGGCTCCCCGGCACCTATCCTTGAAAGAAAAAGATGGACAGACAGTGCTGGTTCAAATGCCACACGCAAACTGGGATTTAATTGACGACAACGAGACAATTTCCCACTCTTGGAATAATTTTCAGCAGGGGACTAAAGACCTTGGGTCCATTGGCAAAACACTGGGTATCAGCTTAAGCTTCTCAATTCGCGAAGGAGATGCTTCTGGTAAGGCCGAGTTTGGAGTCATAGTTCATGCTTCTTTGGACTTTACGGAGCAAACGCGCATCGGGTACAACTTCAATGAAAAGAAGATTTTTGTCGATCGCAGACGCTCTGGAAATATCGCCTTCGATGACACATTTGCACGACAATATTTTGCACCTGTCACGCCAGAGTCTGATGGTAAAATAGAGCTATGTATTTTAGTGGATTGGTCTAGCGTTGAGGTATTTAGTGGTGGAAGCACAATTACTACTCAGGTATTCCCGGGGGAAGATGCAACATATGCCCAAGTCTTCTCATCGGGGACCAACACAGACGAAGTGTCATTGAAAATCTCAAAGGTTCCTTCTATATGGAACTAAGCAGTTATTGAATTGAAATTATTATAACTTTATGAACAATGACATAATCCAAGATTTGAGGTTTTTTTTCATAAAATTCACATTCTTGCCCTCAATATCCAATCTAAATTGTATTTACGACAAACAAAAAGGTCCATCAAATTCTGTTGGAGAACCCAATTCGTCAAAATTAGTCATGGAAATGCTTCACTGAAAATCCACCCATCTGTGTCCCCGCACTGGGATCTGTAGGCGATCGTGACCAGTTCTTCTTGATTCGCGCTCGCGTCCATTCCGGGGCTGGGATATCGATTTTATATTCTTTGCCTTCCTCGTAGTACCCCTCGCGACGGAGAAGTGGACTATCAAAGCTTCTCAACGTCAGTCGATCGCTAGGTCGAATAAAATACAGAAGTCCCAAACGGTCTTGCGCCTCTTGGTCTTTGGGGGGAACCGTGACGCGATGCACGCCACTTTTCAAGTACCCGTTGGAAAGAATAGACAGCATATCGGCGATATTGACAGAAAGAGTGCCTTCGGAGATCCGAATCCACTCCCAAGGCGAGTCTTCGTACTTTTTGACTTGGAGTGCTGCAACGGGCTGCTGAAAAAGGAACGTGATTGTGCCGTTGTCAGTGTGGCCGCGGGAATAGAGATCCTTGAATTGCTCGTTCACTTCCGCTGGACGGGCGCGGTAGTTCATGTAACGAAGACCGCTGTCGCAGTTTGATTCGTAAAGATGACCGTTTGAGATCTGGTCTTCGGGAAGCTCCAGGACTATGGCGAGAAGCTGGAGCAGCTTGTATCCGACATGTTCGTGGACGTGGCGATGGAAGCGTTCTATTTCGCTCCAGTGCTGGCGGAATATTTCAGGGTGGTCGCGCTCATACTGCGGCAGAAATTTCATAATGTTATAGAATTCAATGTTGTCCCATAGCCCCGGGAGAACCTGGATGGATCCCAGTGGCCGGTAGCCATTGTAAATTCCCTCTTCAAGGGGTGCTCGGTAAGACTTGCGCACGTCCTCAGGGAGAGCGAAGAATTCCCGTCCGATCGCGTATTGACGATTGATTTCATCTTGACTTAAGCCGAAATTGGTGACATAGAAGAACCCTTTCGGTGTTGATATAAATAGAATCTTGCTGATTGACAAAGGCTTACATACCAACATTGTGCACTGCATCTTTCAGCTGGCTTGCTAGTCTCTCTTTACCTCCAGGCTTATCGAACTCGCCGAGATCAATGATAACCAAGTCTGCATACTGCACTATTTTACCATTATAAACGACCCTGAGATTTCGATGAAACATTTCAACTGATCAGGACATACAGGGCTCTTTGCTCTCTGGTGGATGGACATATGGCTGTAAGGAACTGGTTGCAGTCTGGATCGTTTGCGTAGCCATCTTCTTGAGGGTAAATGGCTTGAGCTAGTAGGATTGCTGGTAAGAGGCAAAGCAGGGATTTCTGGTGCTAACTTTATAGGTAAGTATTAAATGAGGGGAATGGATCTGGAACGAGCGAAATCCAGATTTTACTAATAATAAATAAATAATAAGCACCCGTGGACATGCGTCATTCAGAAGTGAGAGATGCTTCAACTCGTCCCTGCAGCTTCTCTGCTTAACTGCGGGGACTTGAATGTTTCGTCATACTATCTGGTCTTTTGTTCACAGCCACAAAAACCATCATTATTCTGTTGGCATTTGGAGATAGGGGGCACAAACCACAGACTTGGAACCCATATGCCACCATATTTGATTTGGGTTAAGAAGAATGAAGGCTTGTAAGTGGATTTATGACGGAATTTTCTGCTAGTATCTTTTTTCGTTTTTCCCAGCATGATATCCTAGTATTGCATAATACGATAATAACGCAATCGCGGCCCCGAGGAGTTTTAATGCTTGGATGGAGCGTATATACAACCTGTGATCCAGTCAGTGCACTACTGTAGTTTGGCCAACTTTCCCCCTGTACATGCATAAATGACCGGACGTGCATGCTCCGGGTTGAGGGGTCCTTGGCGATGACCCCATGCTTTTTCGCGGACATGATACAGTGCAGATGATGTCCACACCTCAAGCCAATCAATCATCCCGCTGTGCAGAGTACTCAAGATGTTGATCGTCGTGAATCTCACATGCTCCACGGCCCGCCCGTATATCCCCGCTCCATAAAAGAAAAACAGGAACTGTAAATGAATTTCTACGATACTAACTCAATACAGATCACAGTGATTGTTTGCACTAAATACGAAAGAGGGGATGGGTGGGGAACCAAACATTCAAGTAAAAAATCAGTCCAGGGAAATCGATTGCTTTTGATGAGCTCTAATCTTTGTTTTCGGTACTAGCTTGTGGTAAGTAGACTCTCCCCAAAGAAAGAGTATTTACAAGTTCATATCTGAACGCAGTGATCCCTTTTCAGTATCTTAGGATAAGAGGCAGATCCGAGTCGGAAACCGGAGATGACATGGGCTGCAGTTCAACCGATTGATGTCCGGTTTGTTCCTGGACTTTCAGGCTACTTTCACAAAGACCTTCAAGCTGTGAAGCTGAGTCCCGAATATGATCCCCTAGTGGACAACATCGCCACCGTAACTCCTGGATTTAAAAATGTGGTTCAGGCAGGCGAAGTTATCTCAATACTCATTCGTCTCCCGAATGGCGCAGTGGCAATCGGCGATTGTGTAGATGTGATTTTCTCGGGCGCTGCATCGCGAGACCCTTTGTTCACCCCTTCGGAGCATATCCCGCTCTTGCACGCTGTCATTAGGCCTTGGATTCTCAAGTGCGATATTTCTAGCTTTCGTCCGAATGCTGTCCAAGTTGATGCACCGTGGCAGGCTCTTGGGGGTCGAAGGCTTCATACGGCTGTTAGATATGGTCTCACTCAAGCATTACTATCTGCTACAGCTCTTGCCTGGCACTGTACCATGCCCGAGGTCATCTCCAGGGAGTGGAAAATAAACATAACTACACAGCCGGTGCCAATTCTTGCATCCTGTCACCGCAATGACCAGTTACAACTGGACAGAATGATCATGAAACAAGTCGGACTATTGCCTCATGCATCCTTTGTCCATGTTAATGACATCGGACCCCGGGGACAAACCCTACTTGACTATGTACAGTCTGTGTCAAAGCGAATCCAAGAACGAGGAAATCCAGAGTGGCGACCCCGTCTGCACTTTGATGTCTATGGTACAATCGGAGATGCTTTCAACGACGATGAGATACCAGATTTCTTTCAGCTAATTGAGCGGGCTGCCTTTCCTTATGACATCCTCATCGAATCACCAATTGTTGCAACCACCAAGGAAGCTCAAATCAAACGTCTCAGCTTATTGAGAAATTGCCTCATACTTAAAAAGATTGACGTCAAAATTGTTGCGGACGAATGGTGCAACACTCTCCAGGACATCCACGAATTTGCTGAAGCCAAAGCCGTGGACTTCGTTCAGATCAAGCTTCCTGACCTCGGTAGTCTCCACAACTCAATTGACGCGGTCATATATTGTCGATCGCAGAACATCGGGTGTTGTCTTGGAGGTTCTGCGAATGAAACCGACGTCTCAGCGCGGATAACCGCCCAAGTCGCACTGGCAACACAGCCCGACTTCCTTCTTTCGAAGCCCGGGATCGGTGGCGATGAAGGTTTGATGATTTTGACAAATGAAATGCTACGAACTTTGGCGTTGGTAGACATGTTTGACTACTGCGCCCCTGAAAAGAATTTTCATGGGCCAGTGGCCTGCACTGTCGAGACTAGATCCAGCAAAATATGATTGAATGGGCATTTAGCTCCAAAGCTAAGGCCTATCAATGCTCTTTCAATACAAGAAACCCATTTCTGCATACGTACGCGATTACATCCGACCAGCCTAGCCCAGCAATGACGTAAAGCGTAAAGGAGAATTTGCATCGCAGATCATGTATAACTTATAATCAGATCCTTTATCCCCGATCGTCAACGAAAGTGGATCAAAGATGAATATGACTTATACATGACTGGCGTATAGCTAGTGTCTTGGCAAGCGCATGCATAGAAGAGGGGTGAAACCCCTCTTCCCCCCTTTCCTGCAAGTACTATGCACGGGATGTTGGAGATACATCCTCTCTTCTCGAATACCATTTTCCTCTGAAGCTAATTGGAACAATCTTAGCGTAACTCGAAAATCAATCCGCTACAGCATATGGGCCTTCGACCCACAGTGTTATATCGGCCTCACAAAGCTTGATGCGCAAACAGGCAGAGCAAAAATAACTCATTGAAGCTATTAGTCCTCTGAGTTCATACTAGATTCCAGTGACGATGACGAGGTGAATACAGGATTGGCTTATTCTCACGTCATACGCTAATGTAGGTATGATATATGCAATCCACCACGAGTGGGGTAAGAAACATCGTGTTTCTTATTGTGGATAAATAAACATCATTGAACAACAGCAAAACCTGTACTAAGCTCCGTACGTGCTTTGCATATGGTGTAAGTGGAATGCGTTGGCTGGTCATCAATTTTAGCGCTAATGCCGAGCTACTATTACTAAATACGAGAAAGTTTTCTGTCAAGGGCCGAGCACCACGCAAACTCTGGCAGATTATGACGAAACATAACATGGTATAGGGACGGACATTCTGCTAAGTACTAGGTCGACTCAATCCATCCTCATCTACAACCACATATCGATCTGTTCACTACAGCACCCGTCGGTTTAGAGTTCGTAATGGCCACCATCACTGCAGTCCAGTTACGCGAACTTTCGTTCACCAAAGAAACCCTGGGAAAATTCAGCGGCGATGTCTTCTTTAGTCAAATGATACACAAAGACGAGCATATCTCAATCCTTGATGTCAAGTTCTCGCCCTGTTCTCGGACAGACTGGCATGGTCATGAGAAAGGTCAGCTTCTTGAAATAACCACCGGATCTGGGTGGGTATGTGATAAAGGAAAAGAGCCCCGGAAACTATCAGCTGGTGATATCATTTGGTGCCCTCCTGGTATAATTCATTGGCATGGCTCTGCTGATGACAGTTTGATGATTCATCGCGCCATTTCGTTTGGGGGCATGGATTGGTATGATCCAGTCTCGGAGGATGACTTGAAGAACACTCATTAAGTAGGTGTAATTTCCCAATTCTCGTCTCTTCAATGCCCCAGATGCTGACCTGCCAACAGAGTGGATGTCTTTGAAAGTTTCAAGGATTTCTTTCTATGTGACTAAGTAGCGTTTAAAATCGAAAACATTGTTTTCTGGTATGCAGGCAATCGGCATCATCAATTAAAATGGCATAATTCAACTACTTTTCAGCACGGAAAAATTGTAAAAACTCATTTCATTCGTTCCTCGCGCTTCTGAGTTAAGGAATGAGCTGGCATTCACTTGTGCAAACCATGTCTCAATGCCCACTGGTAGAGGTATTCAAGCTTCAAGTCGTTGATAGCCTCCGTATGAGAAGACTCCGACTCGGATGGTGGAAGCTTCGCGGTGTCGGCAGCATCGGCAGTATCGGCAATTTTAATAGCGTGGGCATGCGCGGGAGGAGAACGGCATTCCCTAACATTGGACATGATCTTTGCCCACAGGTGTATATACTCAGTATTCAAGCTCCTGGAAGACTCCGTCTGAGAAGGCTTGGATGACTTAAAACTTAAGCTTCACGGTGCTAGGAGCATCGACATTTTTCAAGTTGGTGGCGATAGCATTAGCGGGTGAAGCCTGATGAGACCGGCATTCGATAGCATTGGATTTTTTGGCTGTCGATTCATTCTTCTCGCTGGCCTTATCGACAGGCGTATGGCGTTGGTTCCCCATGGAGGCTTGTCTTTAAGAGAAATGGTTTGAGAAGAATATGCGAGTTCAGTTATGAGTTTTGCGTAGTTAACTTTGCCCGTCAAAAGGTGAGTTTTCGATTGTCACAGGCCTGAAAGATGGATCGAGATCTGGAGAATAGTGAATTCTTTTTGATGCTCCTCAGTCCAGATGTCTTTCAGAGCAGAAATTTTCATGATGTGTCAATAAATAGTAGCTATAGCCTTGGAGTAAGGATGAGTAGTGTGATCATTGTATCTCAAGACGTACCTTGGTAGTGGATGACGGTCTAAAGTTTTCTGATCAGTGGAAGGTAGTCAGTGATGCGAGAAAATATGTTGAATGGATGGATTTTATGAGAACTTGAAGATGTACTACCTGTAGTAGTATTTATGAGTCCCTCAAGTCATTCAATAGATGTCCCAAAAGGGATTGTGACCTGAGCACCTCTCCAAGGTATTTTACGCAGATCTGAATGATGATTACTTTGGAAAGGCAGGGCAAATTCCGTTGATATATGGCCTATGAAATATCACATTTTGATATTCAGTGTGATATGATTGAAGTTCCTAGTAATTTTATTATTCCAATATAATCCCCACATGAAAGTTCCTAAGAAGTCTTTACTGTTAAATGTGAGTCGAGTCGTTCACCTAAATATATTCTTGGGAATGAAACTACACAGCATCTAGCTTAGTGTTTATCTTCAATCAAAAACACCACAATGTATAAGGTATGTCGTTTCAAAGCTCTATCAGGGCCCTACCTTCTAGTCACTATCCTATTGGTGGGTCGTTGTATAGTCCTAGAAAAAAGATGTGGGGCAGAAGAGCGGGTCTTGAATTTGATTGACGGGATCAAGGATTCTCAACTTGGTTTAGAATCAACATCTATATTCTGCGACCCACAGAACAGCAGAGAATTCTTGGAACTAGAGCAACCTTTTTTTCATCTGGATGGTCGATCGTAGCATGTTATTGGTGGCTTGAAATATCAATTCGCCTCTGAATCCATGTTTGACCTTGTTTAATCCACGGGAGAAATCTATAAATTTGCAGACTCATAGCAATACTCTGAACGAACGCTCAGTTACTCTCACTGCAATTGACTAACTTTTTGTTTTACTGAACTTCATTATGGAGGAGCAGGAAGGCCACAGGCCTCCAGATCCACCACTTCATCCAATCGAGGAACACGACACCAGCAGTCCGGACTCTACTTCATCATCTGACGATACCTTGAATGAAACTGGAACACATAGAAATAATCCGCCCCAAGAAAATGATAAATCCAAGCTCCCGAAAAAAAACGCGAGACCTCCAAATAGATGTCTTCAAAATGCTCAACCTTCAACGCCCTCACAAGAACAACCTCAAACGCCCATGTCCAACCGAGCCACTATGGCACGACAGCCAACAGAATCCGGAAGTTTCTACTACGCACCCCAATCCCAGTGCGGCCAATCAATTCGATCCAAAACATCCAGTCGACCACAGCCCCAGCAATGGCCGTCGCACTCAGTAGCAGGTTCAACAGCGCCTAATGCCACCCAGCAGCAGGGGCCCGTTTACGTCGACCCGAAATACCAGGGTCTCAATCCTCGATATGGTGGACACAATGAGAAGCCAGTATGGGGTTTGGCAAAACCACTTCCACGTGTGGTGAGGCCCGGTATGCGTCGAGACAATAGTGAAAGGCCAATGGCGTATGAAGCAGAACCTCCAGGCGAATCTCAACCCGCTCCTGAGCTGGGTGTGACACCCGGTGTTAGCTCTCCTTCACCTGCTGTTGGTGGCCAACCCTCCCATGATCATTTCAACTACTCTTCTGTGGCTCAGCAAGGTCTTGCAAGGAAGCATGCTGTTTATGCACCGCAGGCTGATGGTATGCTCCGGCCCATGGAGACTGAGGCGTCACAAAAGCCAGAATTTGAAGAGCAAGAGATGGAGGAACCTCAGGAAGAATTCTTGAATACTTGGGTGAAGATACGGCACTTTATGAAAGAGCCGTTTGCCGAATGGCTAGCTGTGAGTAAACCCTTTTCTATATACGGACAGGCATTTTCAATACTAAATTCCACTACAGACTACAGTTGCCGTTTTGATCGGCCTAACTGGCACTCTGGCCATATCAACAGGCGGTACAAATGCTGGCAGCAAATTATCAGAGAACTGGAGCTGGGGACTCGGGTTTATGGTCGGAATCTATCTTGCCGGTGGTATATCAGGTGCCCATCTTAATCCTGGCATCTCCATCGCGCTTTGGATATTTCGCGGATTTCCAGGTCGGCGATGCGCTTTTTACGTGATTGCTCAGATTCTAGGCGGCATTACTGCGGCGGGGATATCATACTGCTTATATAGAGATGCTATTTTTGCACTGGTACCCAATGCAAGCGCAGGTCCTACAGGACTTGGATTTTACACAGAACCACAAAGCTATATCAGTTCGGTAACAGCCTTTTTTACGGAATTTGTCGCGGATACAATCTTGTTGTGTGTTATTTTTGCAATGGGTGATGATAGCAACGCGCCGCCTGGAGCGGGTATGCATAGCTTTGTGATTGGTTTGGTGATTTATGCTCTATGCATCTGCTTAGGATTTAGTACGGGAGGGTAAGCTTTACTCGCATATCAGTATCCATGGATCTATAACAGGTGCTAATGATTGATTACCACAGGTGTTTGAATCCAGTCCGAGATTTTGGTCCTCGCCTAGTTGCCTTGATGGCCGGTTATGAAGGTACTTTCACGGCCCGTAGTGGGTGGTGGTTTTGGGGCGGATGGGTGGCTACTATTAGTGGTTCTCTGACGGGCGCTTCTCTTTACGACATATTCATCTTCATTGGCGGGGAGTCGCCTGTAAACTATGCTCCAAGGCGCCGTAAGAGAGCGACCTTGAAGAAGGAAACCAAATGGAGGAAAAGGCTTGGGATTGGAAAAGGAAAACTTCCATCTCTCGAAGACGGAATCAAAAACTTAGACGATTGACAAAATGACGTGCTATTATTTAACTTCTAATCTCAAATGATGCTCTGCTTATCAACTCATTGACAGATTCACATATTATCTTGTAGATCTACCCTGTATACACTTATGGCCGGCACTTGGCCAATCAAAAGCCTCAAAACCACCTGCAGTACCCCAGGTGCCCAGTCGCCCCAGCAGCAAAAGCAGCACTGATGCCCATTGCCCAAATCCGGCTTCTGTGAAGGTAACTTATATGTAGCTTTCAGCTACTGCTAATTAAATTCCAGATACAAAGCTAACTCGGATGGGGTTTGTCAATTTGTAAGCCACACAGTGACTCACTTCCGTCGGCAACAACACTGAACTTGAAATTAGTGTATAAGAGAAAAATCCCCGCATGAAAAATTTATCATCATCAACAACCTTGGAACTACTAGTACAAAAATTCGCCTCGAAATGACAAAGCCGCTAGACCTGAGCCTCCCAACGGCTCTCATCCTCATTGACAACCAATCTGGTTTCACCCACCCCGATAATCTCTCTCACTGGGGCACAGGCCGGTCCAACCCACTGTATGAAGTCAATATCCAGGCCCTCCTGTCGGCATTCCGATCAGCCCGAACGGCATCTTCAACCTTCATGGAAATAATCCATATCTTCCACTCATCTGTGACGCCTGGAAGCCCACTGCATCCATCTCACCCAAACAACGGCATCCGCCCGCTAGACTTTGCTATCCCCGCATCAGATGGCTCGGAGCCTGTTTTCTGGAAATCAGTCAATTCCTCTTTTATCGGAACTGAGCTGGAAGCGCATCTAAGAGAGAAAGATTTCCGTCAGATTATTGTTGCCGGTCTGACGACTGATCATTGCGTCTCTACTACCGTGCGCATGGCGGCGAATCTGGGTGTCGTGGACCGCATGCTTGATGAGGGGCCCGTGAAGATTAAGTCTGACGGTACGCATGTTAAGGATGTGCGTGTTCAGAAGGGACGTATTGTACTTGTTCCGGATGCGACTGCTACGTTTGGGAAGGCAGGGTTTGATGCTGAGACTGTGCATGCGGTTTCGGTGGCGAGTCTTGATGGGGAGTTTTGTGAGGCTATTCGGGCAGAGGAAGCTGTTAAGATGCTACGAAAACATTAAGATGGAAGTATCAAATCAATGGTATTGGTATTTTGGACGTTATACTACATATAAACATCACGAGACAGGACAAATTATATCACAAGAATTAGGCTTTAAATTGATGCATCACACATAGCTTATGGACAACTTGAAATCATGAATAACAACACATGATGAAAACTAATTCTTCGCTGGGATCACAGAACGCCTGTTGTATCCACTGGTCCACTTGTACTTCAGGTCATTGAGATCGATGTTCTCCGGCCGTAGACCCTTGTCAGAAGCAGTATTTTCAGTATAAGGTTGCAGATATGCGAATGCCCTCTGAAGCTCTGCATCGAGGGATCGCGGGGCAAAATTGAATGTCAACGAAGAGCTTGATTTCTCTATTTGAGCGTTGTCGAGATTAGATGGTTATAAAAACGAGGTGCAATAATGAGCGAAAAGAATATCGAGGTCAAGAGGATTGTGAATGGTAGAAAGCCCAGGATCAACACAAAGACAAGGGCACCCTTATATTGATAATTTGAACTGAATCATGCTTAAATTAATTGAGGCCCTACTCAAGTTCCTTCCTAGATTTAGTTAGTGGAAAGATTCCCTGGTTCGTGTGCTAATTGACTCCGGATGTCTGAATAACCCAATCTACCTCCGCGTCTCATTTAGGCAAGCGTGACCTGTGCTAGCCAAGGTTAACACTGAGTTACTAAATGCACATACATTACAAAATGGACTACAGTGCACAAAGATCAAGGTAAAAGTTACAAGAAACTAATTACTCTTCAAGGGTCTCTAACACAAAGGAGAAAAGAATACAGTTGCGGTATGGGTGTAATAAACCGCCAAATTCCACCATACATGATGGATATATCTCAGAATCACAGCCTTCTCAAGAACCAGGGTACCAAAGAGCAGGAAACGTCACAGGAACTTAAAGCACTTAGACAAGGTCACGCTTGACGAACTCGGCAAGCAGAGCCTTGCCAAGAGAGGCAGGGCTGCGCTCGACAATGACACCAGCATCCTCAAGAGCGGAGATCTTAGAGTCGGCACCACCCTTACCACCGCTGACAATAGCACCGGCGTGACCCATACGGCGACCGGGGGGAGCGGAGATACCGGCGATGAAAGAAACGGCGGGCTTGTTGTGGATGTTGTTGGCCTTGAAGAACTCGGCGGCATCCTCCTCGGCGGAACCACCAATCTCACCGATCATGATGATACCGTCGGTCTCGGGGTCCTCGAGGAAGACCTTCAGGCAGTCGATGAAGTTGGTACCGGAGAAGGGGTCACCACCAATACCGACGACGAGGGACTGACCGAGGCCGGCCATGGTGGTCTGGTTGACGGCCTCGTAGGTCAGGGTACCGGAACGGGAGACGATACCGACACGACCGCGCTTGTGAATGAAGCCGGGCATGATACCAATCTTGCATTGTCCCTATAATAACAATATGAATATCCAATATGACGTCGGAAGAGTCGGAGGTCCACTTACGGGAGCGATGATACCGGGGCAGTTCGGGCCGATCAGACGGGTCTTGTTTTGGGTCTTCAGGATGTCGGTGATGCGGACCATGTCTAATAGGGTATGAATTAGTGTATGTCGCGTAGGTGGATATTTGCGTAGTTCGTACCATGCTGGGGGATACCCTCAGTAATGCTGTTGCGAACAAAAAAAGTGTCAGTAAAAAAAATTGCTTTCAGGAGCTTCGATTTTTTTTTTCTTTCGCGGAAGACCTACCAAACAGCCAGGGGAATTTCAGCGGCGATAGCCTCCTCAATACCGGCAGCAGCCAGAGGAGGGCTAAAAACTGTTAGTCGTGTTCGATGGAATACTCGAGCTTTGTAAAGGGTTCATACGGAACGAAGATGGCAGTAGCAGTGGCACCGGTCTCCTTGACGGCATCGGCGACGTTGGCGAAGACGGGACGCTCAAGGTGCAGAGTACCGGCCTTCTTGGGGTTGGTTCCACCGACGACATTGGTGCCTGCGTGATATGAGTTTATGATCTTTTTTGAAATCGCGACGCGAGGGTGAAATACCGTAGGCGATGGCCTGCTCGGCGTGGAAGCTATTCCAAAGATTACACGTCAGCAAACAATGCGCGAACTCGGAAAACAAGCATCACTGGTCTGATACTCACGTTCCCTGCTTTCCAGTGAATCCCTGGTACAGAACACGGGTGTCACTGTTGATCTTCAGGTTGTTCACGGTGCTAGCATAGGCAGAGCTGGGGTTGGCGTATCCCCGGCGCTGCTGGCCAGCAGCATTGCGGATAGCCGAAAAAGTGTTACGGCGGAAGGCCTGCATGACTGCAAGAGGTATGGTGAGATAGGAGAGGAGAGGAGAGGTAAAAAGAGAAAAGGATAGGTTGAGGGTTGGAATGGGAGAGCAAGAAATCGGGATGCGCGCCCGGGAGTTTTCGTTCGGGACAGACCTTTACTTAAGCGGACCCGAGTTGAGAGAGTTCTCCGACCTCCAGCCTCGGCCACCAACTTTTTTTCTATCTAATCGGCTGCAAAACACCCCACCATCAACCACCTCGAGCCCTGCCCAAACATCCCCTGGTGTTTTACAGAGTCTACCGCTTCCTTGCGGGAATTTAATTCATCATGGCGACTATGACTATGACGGCTACAGTGCCGAAGAAAACCGCGAAAAAGAACGCCAAGAGTGTCCCCGAGAACGAGCGATACATGCGAGCCTGCTCTGATATCGCCAATATACTCATTCAGGAATATGAAGCGTCGAGAGATTCAACTAAGCCGAAGAAGGATATCAACTTGAACAAGCTGCGTGGTCAAGTCGCGAAGAAGCACCACTTGTCAAACCAACCGCCACTCACAGCCATCATTGCAGCCGTGCCAGAACATTACAAGAAATATATTTTGCCGAAACTGATTGCGAAGCCTATTCGTATGTAGCCCAATATGGACAGAGTCCAGTTTCTTTGTTAACTTATTTTGTCTCACAGGTACCTCCTCTGGAATTGCCGTTGTTGCGGTTATGTGCAAACCTCACCGATGCCCCCACATTGCTTATACCGGTAACATTTGTGTCTACTGTCCCGGTGGCCCCGACTCCGATTTCGAATACTCAACTCAATCCTACACCGGATATGAGCCGACTTCCATGCGCGCGATTCGCGCTCGGTACGACCCGTTCGAACAAGCGCGAGGACGAGTTGACCAAATCAAGTCTCTGGGACACAGTGTGGACAAGGTCGAATATATTATCATGGGTGGAACTTTCATGTCCCTTCCTGAGGACTACCGTGACACTTTCATTTCTCAGCTTCACAATGCCTTGAGTGGATATCAGACAGATAACGTTGATGAGGCCGTGCTGGCTGGTGAAATGAGTAACGTCAAGTGTGTGGGTATTACCATCGAAACTCGACCAGATTATTGTCTGGACACACACTTGAGCAGCATGCTTCGGTACGGCTGCACTCGTCTGGAGATCGGTGTGCAGAGTCTTTATGAGGATGTTGCCCGTGACACAAACCGAGGACATACCGTCGCTTCTGTGGCCGAGACTTTTAAGCTTTCCAAGGATGCTGGCTTTAAGGTTGTTAGCCACATGATGCCTGATTTGCCTAATGTCGGTATGGAGCGTGATCTATTCCAATTCCAGGAGTATTTCGAGAACCCCGATTTCCGCACTGATGGTCTTAAGATCTATCCTACACTCGTCATTCGAGGCACTGGTCTCTATGAATTATGGCGAACCGGTCGTTATAAGAACTACACCCCTAATGCCCTGATTGATCTGGTCGCTCGAATCCTGGCATTGATCCCCCCATGGACCCGTATTTACCGAGTTCAACGTGATATCCCCATGCCGCTGGTCACCTCTGGTGTCGAGAACGGTAACCTGCGTGAATTAGCATTGGCTCGTATGAAGGATTTCGGTACTACCTGTCGTGATGTCCGAACTCGTGAGGTCGGTATCAATGAAGTCAAGAACAAGATCCGTCCCTCGCAAATCGAGCTGATTCGCCGTGACTACGCTGCCAACGGTGGTTGGGAGACTTTCCTGGCCTACGAGGATCCCAAGCAGGATATTCTTATCGGTCTTCTTCGTCTCCGCAAGTGCAGTGACACTCACACTTTCCGTCCTGAGTTTACTGGTCAACAGACCAGTATCGTTCGTGAGCTCCACGTTTATGGAACAGCTGTCCCTCTTCACGGACGCGATTCTCGCAAATTCCAACATCGTGGCTTTGGTACCCTGCTGATGGAAGAGGCTGAGCGTATTGCGCGCGAGGAGCATGGCAGTCGCAAGATCAGCGTTATCTCCGGTGTTGGTGTGCGCAGCTACTACGCTCGTCTTGGCTACACGCTGGATGGTCCTTACATGTCCAAGATGCTGGACCCTTGGGAGGATGAAGAGTGACCCTTCAAATTCCCCAGCATCTATGATGAAGTACGGACTTGAGTTTGCATGTCTATTCTGGCGTTTGGTTCATGGTACAAAAGTGGTATTTGTCGATAATTATGAGAAATGATGAAATGTTATAGTCTCCAAGATATCTCAAGAGACCTATCAAGAAACAAAGAAACATGTAATTCTGAGCGCTTTATATACATACATATCTAGCACAGCAAAAGCCATCCGTATGCTCTATCGAAGTAGGCCAGGGGACCTGCCCAACATATGGATTCCTTGAAAGAGACCGAATGCATTGTGCTTCCTAGCCAGAGTGCGGACTCCGCCGGGCCTAGCCTGATGGTCGATAGGCTTAGACAGATCCAGCCCGCTGATCCGTTTCAGATCTATCCCCGCCCCCCTCGAATTTCAATAACCATTTAAACCAAAGACAGACCGAAATATGTAGAACACCAGGTGCATTTCAACGTTCACAGACACCGAATAAGAAAAACCGTTGATATTTTGTGGTCTTAATTGAGTGATATGGCGCCGCCGCGGCTGGCGCGTCTATGGAGGAAGACTTGGAAGCCGCAGAAAACGAGGAATCCCTAAGGAAAAGATAATTATGTTAGTTTGAGGTCCGAAAGGAATGGTGAGAGTATCTCTCCAGGGGATGGGTCCTCGTACAGCATAGACTAGCACAGCAACATAAATGGAGGCAGCGACTGCCGGGCCATCTTCAGGCTCTCCTTCACTTCCGGTGTAGGCGTGATTATTGCTCTAAAGTAAAAACTGCATATCAGTATCGATTTTATGGCTCGTTGGTGGGTGTAGTATCCCGTTATGGGAATATAGGGTGCAGATTGGTGCCGAGGCAAGGTCAGGAGGGCTGGGCGTGTGGTCGCACGTACGCTAAATAGGGATCCCAGGACGGAGAGGATGACAATAGCAAAAACTGAAATGACAACACTAGAAATCGAAACATTGTTAGATTCTGTCGATGCGCAAGCTTAGATCCTTCCAATTATGGAGACCCTATGGAGACCCTACCAGGACCAGGCGTTTAACGCCGACACGACAGGCTTCATGGCGGCGAGTTCGTCAAAGAGTGGCTATATGTTGTCGGTTGATGTGTGATATTGCGCTAAGAGCGTCTTAGACGTAGGCGCTCGATGGAGAGAGCAAACAGGAAGGAGGGTCGAGTGGAGGACTGAGGGATGAAGAGTTGAAGATCACGGAGGTTGGCGGGCGGAGCTGCCAGCCCCTAAGCCGCTTTCGGCTAGGCACCAAGCGATTTTGGCCTCTATAGTTAAGCATGCACATAAGCGCAAGCAAATGCTTGTTTATTTTGTTTTTAATTTTTAGTCTCTAATATTATTGGCCAAATAAGGGTCAAATGTTTAATGCAAGCCGCTAATGTAGAATTTTGTACCTGTGGTCATCTATTTATTCATTTTCTTCGTTAGTGGTTCTTGTTCCACTCAATACATTCGTCAAACGTCACACCAGAGCCACCAAAGATATCCAAAGCGCTTCCAATGGTCAAATCAACCTTGCCCTTACTGCTAACGTGAACCTTTTCCAAGTCCTGGAGACTACGAGCACCACCAGCATATGTGACGGGGATTGTGCACCATTCGGCCAACTTCGACACCAACTCCTCGTCAACGCCCTGCTGGAGTCCCTCCACGTCCGCAGCATGGATCAAAAACTCGGAGCAATAGGGTTCCAGAAATGCAATGGATTCTGTTAATTTACATGTTAGTATGGAAAGTCATAGGTCCCCGGATTCATGTGCCCTACCAGCATTAATTTCCATCTCAGTGATGGTTTGCCAACGATCCATCGCCACGAACCAGGTATTGTCTTTTCGGCGACAGCTCAGATCCAAAACCAGCTTGGATTTGTCACCTCCCAGAGCCTTTAGGACTGACTCCAGTCGCTCGAGCGAGAATTTCCCTGAAGGGAAAAGGAATGACGTGATGATCACCTGTTGTCCCGCATTCCATAGACCATGATTAGCGTCATATCCAGATCACAACGAAAAACTTGGAAGAAACATGAAACAGTTTAGGAAAAGCTTTGGAATAGGGTCGAAAATACTATGATGCACTCGCTGAACCTTGCAATGCTGTAGACTCCATACAATTCCTTTGCGGGGATAATCGTACCTTCTCTGCACCTTGATCGATCCAGTATTGAGCATTCTGATCCGTAATGCCCCCAGCAACTTGTAATCCATCCCTCCAGGTACCCACTGCCTCTTTGGCAGCATCATCATTACCAGGACCAAGCTTCACCACATGTCCTCCTCGGAGATCATGCTTCTGATATAATTCGGAATAGTAGCTGGCGGGAAGCTTGGAAACGTAATTGGTTTTTAAGTCTTCGGCAACATTGCTGAGTGTACCTCCAACAATCTGCTTGACCTGCCCCGAATGGAGGTCAATGCAGGGTCTGAATTTAGTCATTGTCGCAAAGATCGTGATGAACCTAAATGCCGATTTCATCGTGGATAGCGAGGGGCTTATCGCCTTATCGCACGTGATCTTGAGCTTGGCCCAAAAAAAAAACTTCGGGATCGGGGAAATCGATAATCTCCAATTCACTATATTATTTTCACAAATTTACATTAAACATGACTGGTAAACGCAAGAGAGATACCGCTGTCGTTTCGCGATCTAAAAAATCCGAAGAAACAAGTTCACCACCAGCAGAGGATGCACAGGATGTGTTCCGCAAATACTTCGAGTCTCAATTCGCGCCTTTAGAAGATCTACCTTCCAAAGCGACCAAGAACTCCGGTTCTGATGACGAGGACGAGGAGGAGGATGACGATTATGAAGATGGGGCTTCCGACTCGGAGGGCGAGGACTGGGATGGCCTATCGGAAGACGACGAAGATACCCCCAAAGTGCAAATCGTCGAACATACGGATGCGCAAATGATATCAGATGAAAGGATGGATAAAAAAGCCCGCAAAGCTCTTCTGGTAAAGTCACTCATCTGTTTCTGTTTTAATTTCAGTACTAACATTGCTTCAGAGTGGGAGATTGCCAACATTAGACGGACCATCGAAAACGAACGAGGAACCGCCTACAAAGGAGGAGGCAGCGGAAGACGCGGACAACTTCAAACATGATCTCGCATTACAACGGCTCCTTAAGGAATCGCATCTTCTCGAAGACTCCTCCGATCTCGCTCCGACAGGCAAGAACCGACTCAAGGCCTTAGATCTACGCATGCAGTCTATCGGTGCAAAGTCATCTCTTTATGCCCAGCAGAAGATGCCTGCCGCGCATCGGATCGGAATCAAAGCCAAAGCCAGCTCAAAGGAAGCTAAAAGACGCCAAGATGCGAAAGAAAATGGAATTATTCTCGAAAAGCCTTCCAAGGTCACAAAATCATCAAATACAGGGCGAAGAGAACGTGGAATTGGAGGATCTTCTATTGGAAAGTTCTCAGGAGGAACTTTGAATTTGAGCAAGGACGATTTGCACTCTATGACAAGTGCTCCGAGACGCTCTGGAAGGGGTGGCCGAGGTGGACGGGGCGGAAGAGGTGGAAGAGGTGGACGAGGAAGAGGAGGGAGAGGCGGTGGAAGGGGACGCGATTAAGGACAGAATAAGGCAAATGACAGCCTATCTCATTTATTTGACTCAAGTATATACATACCATTTGCAATTCTTGCGAATTGATACCCAGATTGTTTATTTAAGGATCATGAGCCACAACTTCAATTTCCACCCGCATATCATCTTCGCCGAGCCTTGTTACCCCAACGCAGGTCCATATCGGCTCGTGGTTGGGCATCCAGTGTCGGAAGTTGCGCACCATAGCTTCCAACGCTTCATCGTTTATGGGAACATGATAGGAATTCACTCTGAAGACTTGTTCCCATCCCTTTCCGCCAGCATCTTTCAAGTTGAGGTCCACATTTGCAAAGGCTTGGTCGATTTGCGCGTTGATTTCTCGATGGATGACTCCAGTCTTGGGATTCCAGCCTCCTAGTGGATGGTTAACAATCCATCTTTTGTAACACGGGGCTTTTATGTTAAATCAGACATACCTTGCCCTGCGCATTCAATACGATCGCCAATTCGAACAGCTTGGCTGTACTTGAATTTCTGCTTGTTTCTCTGGCCGACGCCCTCGTAGCTGTAGTATTGCAAATGCGACATGGCGAAAATTTGAAATTTTGAAGAATTAACCGAACTTTGGAATATTTGGGATTTAAATTGTGACCCTTTGGGTATTTGGAAAGGTAGGTAATTTAGGGGTTTTGAGCGTCCAAGTTAAGAGTAAACGTATTCAGTGGTTTGTCACGGTCACGGTGATTCCCCGCTGGAAACGGAATATTCATTCCGCTCACTTTTTGCTCCATAACCCCACCTATGATCTACTATACAGCCAATAACTTTTCAAGGTTATAAACGATATTCGCTTAGAAAAATAGCCTCAATATTTTAGAAGTAGATAAGAAGGCGAGATATAGTTTCTACTTTATCACAATATCGACTAGGTAGCTGTAATAACGAAGCTTCAATACAGTGGCAGTGGCATGGTATGCTATGCAAGTGATTTCGCAATTTGAAGTAGAAAGGCATCTTCAAGTTTGATAGGATCATGATGGACTAGTATTATTCATTTATTGGTTTTATCTTCCAGACCCACACCGTGTGATCATCACCAGTAAATATGAGCACATTCGGGTTGGCCAGGTTTGTCGCGAACCATAACTATGTTGACCTAGCACATCCAAAAGAGACCCAGTATGTCGATCCCACACACAAATTTTGCTGTTTTCGCTGCATCCAAGAACAAGAGAATTTCCTTGGCCAAATTTGCTTTTGGTTATATAACTCCCTCTGAGTCGAGCGCTTTGGAACCTTTGAATAATGCTTCCCCTACTGAGATCAATAACTTGCAGTTCACCAAAAATAAAATCCAAAAGAGCCACATTTTTGTAGGAGTCAATCATAATGGACGTAGCCTTTCCCTCCATAGAGATTGACCTAATCTTGGCATACGTTCGAAGGTCATAGCGATGAATTTTCTGTCCTTGGTCCACCAATATTAATTGACTGCCGCATACTGTAATGCATAAGGCTTAAGATCTATAAACTCCCCGAACAATGTGGAGAAGCTCTCCAGTATCCGTCCAGTGACAATACCAATCGTTCAATGAAGAGCTAACGAAGCTTCCTTCATCAGATAACCATGCTTAAGGGTATTGAACCTGCACCGGGTAACCTCTCTATCAATCTATTTGGGTACTGGACCGTTAAAGTTTGCTTAATGGGTGCCAGGGCTTCCTGCATTATACCTCTATAGCTGAAATCCTATTCTAGTGGCTTGTGAGAAAGAGTGCTTTCAAACATTGTCTGTCCTGAGAAGTGAGCTGGAGATCTTCTCATAGAAATTTTAGCACCATTCATTAAATGTAATAAAAAAAAGGTGAAGATCTTCGGTTTACCTTTTTGGCCATCTTTCAGATTGATTTTTACCATTTGTGTAGAAGCGACAGGTGTCATGAGTATGGCGCATTTGGCATATGCTGCAGCCGTCAACGCAGCATATCCTTGCCATTGTTTTTTTTTGTGCGAATCGGAATAGTCGCAGATACCCTTAATTACCAGACATGGAAAGTGGTCCATCAGGCCCGCTGCTTCCATCTCAAAGCACAAAATGCCGTGTTGGCTCGCCAGTCGATCCCTCGTGATGCTGTCTGTCATAACCTGATTCGCAGATGCAATCAACCCATAAAACACTCTCGGTTCTATTCTTTCTTGTCGCATTATCTGCAAAACCTGATCACATTCATTGCATGATTTTTCCGAAGAGGGGTGTGGGTAATCATCTCGAAATAACGTGTTCTGTTTAGAGCCCGGCTATGTGAAACGAGATAGCTCTGGATATTTCTGCCAGGTTTGTAAGAGCAATTCATGAATTCCACTCCTTCCTAGCATCTCTTCCGACTGCAAATTGCTCAAAGCAGTTAAAGAGACCGCCGGCGTTTTGTTCATTACGCCTGTACGTTCGAACCGTCCTCCATCCATTGTCTTCCCGTGGTCATACTGTATAAAACCACCTGAAGAACCACTTGACTGACTTACAACACCACCGATTCCAACCATGAGTCCGAACCTGATGGCTTTGTATGTCCTTTGTATGTGGACAGCATATCCGTGGCAACGCTGGTCGCAGGAGTTGTTCCGTAAACACCTGCAGGGAGACTGGCGATTTCTCCCAGTGCATAGCTATTCTGATCGCTCGTTGCTTGTAGTAATGTGGAGTGGCTCAAGTCTAACAATGCCTTTGCTGCGGCCATTTCTAGCGGCAACGCGCAAATCCAGCCCACCGTATAATCATTGTGGGAAGTTGCTGGACGGAATTTTGGTTCTTTTGAGCTTCCATTGTATCGAACGTTGTCAGAAGAAACGTGTGAGTTAGCTGAGGGGTAAGGACTAAGAAGTGAGGCTGAAGCAGGAAGAATCCTGGTCGCTGATTTGACCAAAGGCCACCAATTAGCACTAGATACCCATTTGAATGCATTCAAATGTTTGCATAATGAGCCCGACAATTACGGGACAATATAGCGTCCAGCAGGGGAAAAAACCCCTAGTACTTGGTAAATATTATGTGTAGCGGAAAAAAAACTCGAAATATACTGTTATGATTATCAAATTCTCGAATAGTTCAAGGCAACTCTGCAGTTGGTCTACACTGAACTCCATTATCTTCACTATCAGGCATCTCACACCTGGCTTGGCCTGAAAGCTCTTGCAGTTCCGAAGGATCCTTTTTAGTTATGCCAGTAATTTCCCATGCATTAGGTATATTGTTTACTCCGTCCTTTTTTTTATCTCCTTTTCGTCTTCGACGAAAAATGAGATAGCAGGCGATGCCCAGTAGGACAACACCTGCAGCACCACCAACAACACTTCCTGTTATCGATCCAAGAACTACCGTTGTTTGGCATCGAAATCGTTATAGAGGACGTAGTAGAAACGGGCGTTGATGTGGTCGATGATTGGGAGGTGGTAGTAGTATCTAGAAGGATAAACCGTTAGTTTCCTATCTATATTTCAACGCAGTTGATTTTTGATGGTAATTTTATTTCATACTAGACTTAATATAGTGACTTACTCTGATCAGTTGAATGCGAAACCAATACTGTCGCACCGCTTGGTAATGAATCCCCAGCTTCAGCACATCCATCCGTGCCACCGTTTGCATACCCGATCGTTTCAGGTGCACAGCAGAAGTACCCCCCCCCCTTCAGATACAGGGTCCATGTATCATTAGCACAGGTTGGGTTTTCGATCAGCGTTAGGGTGCAGTTTTGATTTCCAATGCAGCAGTTGCTATCATGTCAGCCAAAACAAATTGCTTCATCGGGGCAGCAAGACACAAAGGAGCCCTCAGTATTGCCGCATGTTATTTCACTTTCGTCACATGTACCATCTCTTCGTATCGCGAATCCAGATGGTGGAGCTAGCGACATGGTTTGTGGTACTTTTGAACAAGATGTTGGAAGATCAATCCGTCTCCCGAATGAGATGCTCCGAGACATTGAAGATGAAGAGCACAAAATAGGGGTGAGATTGTCCATTTCAACTCGGGCGGATGGCCCTGTCTTCAGATCACGAAAAGCAAGCAATCGAATGGACTGTGAGCGAAGAACAAATCAGACACCCTACACGTCTTGACAGACGAAACCCTGTGAGGTAGCTTGGAATCAGCGAGCTTCGATTTCTTAGGCCTTATTCTGAGAGATCCCACATTCGAAGAGGCCCATGAGCAAGATACATCCTGCCTGGTGTAGCTTCAGGTTCAGGATCCCTACCTATAAAGCACAATAGACCCGAGGGTCGGATATGCAGGTAGGTTATATCATTTCATGGAAATATCTGGAGATTCTACATAAGTTGGGTATCATGATATGCGATCGCTGCCAAAAAGAATAACCTGCAGTCGACCCTACATTGTTAGTATCCTTCAGTCTCAGTTAGCCACTGACTCCTGGAGACATTAACAGGGGGGAGTTTTTATCAAATAGACATGGTCTTGTTAGTAGATGATCAATGAAGAAATTTGTCATTGTGGACTTTTCTAGGTTCAATTTTCAACGTCAAGCTTGATTTGACAGAGCCCAGCAGTGTAATGACAGCTTGTGAGCGAAATGGCTCGTAACGACCAGTTGCATTATTCACCGATAAGTCAAACCCAGTCAGCTTCAGTGTAAAGTTTGTGCGATTCTTTGATTTTATTCATAATATCCATTTCCATTCCTAATTTCTTATCATTTTGCATGATAGAAACTAAATGTACGTCAGACGAGGCTAATAGTATCACATCAAGGTTTTCAACATAATACGCCATGCTTCCTTTCGCCACGAGATGCAAGAACTTACATATATGCGCTCCTGCGAAACTCAGTTCCACCGTAAGATGAGGAAATAGATTCAAAAACAGACGATCCGCAATCCTGGGAGACATTCTGCAAATATTGTAGCCAAGACGGCCTTTCGCTTACCCGGAGCTGGGCTACTCTTCAATCCGTTGATGCATTTGCATACATATGCACGCCGAGGACGCCAAGTGAGAAGAGAACTGGGAAGCGAGATTTGTTGAGGAAGGTAAAAGGTGCCAAGGAGCTTGCATCGGGACTCCGTCTATTCCTGCCCACAAATCTGGCCGGTCGCGACAATAAACGCAAGCTCCAGGCCAAGTGCTTGGCATGCTGTTGTGGTCTAGAGAGGGGCCATTTTTTACTAAGCCTCATCCCTCAAAAAATGCCCCATGAGCTTTGAGGACCGCTTTTTTTGCCATCGACACTTATTGCTGTATGGTTCCGGAAGATCAGGGGCGTTCCGAGGTTGATGAGGGTCCAATTCCAAGATCTTGGGAGTGCGGTCCGCCTCGTGAGGAAAACCCAAGGTCCACTATGATCGGAGGAAACCGTTTTGTTATCAGTCGCCTTCTGCCAAGGATTACAACCTCATCGGCCTGAAATTTGGACCTGATAGGACCGGCCCAACCAATAACCGAGCGAATTGTGCATACCAATTATATCATCGACCTTTTTTTTTCTCTTCTATTACCATGGACAGCTTCGGCCCCGTGAGACTGGCTGTAGAACTTGAATACCGTACCCCAGCTGGGGAATTGGGGATGCGGACCATGTGAAGGGCCCCAGTTGGTATGCTGGGGATTGCGTGTACGGAGGACGATCGGCGTCATTATCATTCTTTCCAGGGGATCGGGTGCTTTTATTCAAAAATTAACCATGACACCCCCTAGTGCTGCTGCTAAGGGGGTTAAGAGCTCCACGTCGAATCTCCTGAGCCTCCTGACTTAGGGGATTCTATGATCCACGAAACTCCTGGTCCATGCGTTTTATTGAAACGAGTCACACTAGGTAGGATCGACACTGTTTTCTACGCGTTTTCCAGGCAACACAAATTCTGAAGCCGCCGATCAGGCTTGATTCCTTTACAGGTCATATCATTATGTTCACAAATTACCATTAGAAGAAATAAAGGTTCAAAATTAGTTTTTCTTTCTTTAGGCCCTAAAATGCCAATTTGGGCCACTTAGAGTGCCCCGTTATTTGTAAAGTACTGGTATAGGGGTTGACTATTTGGGGGCTGTGTCAAGTTAGCTAGTGGACCAACAAACACAAACTATTGTTTCATGCAAGATGGCGTAGAACTTCTACGGAGCACATAGAATGTCTAGAATATCACTTCGTACACGCTCCACAGCTGTCAATTGCCACATGCATCACTCTATATAGACAGAGGTACCTGTATGTCCTGCGCACTTCCGTTGCAGGCTTCAAACCGGTTTTTCGAATTACTCAAGATGGAAACTCATAATCGAGATGCCAAGGTCTAGGCCCGAGACATACAAGATAGATGAAGAAAAAGAGTCTGAATCGTATTTCGGTTGCACCAAGGTACTTGTGCAACGTGCATGGATCCTATCTTCTAAGAGGGTCTCGAATTGAAGACTAGAGACCCCCAAGAGGCGGGTGGAGACGCAAGAAGACCCATCCCGGGGGCCTTTCCTCATATAGTAGCTATAGATTTGAGATGATTGGCCCTAGTGAATCACGAAGTCAATTATTTCCCTACGTTGCAACCCGATGGTAGTTCCAAGAGTCGAGAACCAGTGGCCGGGTATCGGACCTTCATCAAGCTGACAGTGGTATCATTTTTCCTGCAGCCACCATCATGCAGGAATGGGTTACAATCGGCTACCCGACTCGGGATCCTTTCGGGTCGTTGTGGCTTTCGGGACATAAAAAAGTACCGATTGTCTTGTTTTTGGTGGGTGGGATCCATTCGTTATCAATTCCTGGTTGAAATTCAAATTTGGATTTTCATGCAATTCGGTTGATCAATAGAATCACTTGCTTCAGCCCTTCAGCCCTTCAGCCCTGTTGTTAGGTTATACCCGAATGCAAGAAAGGTACAGAGAGAAAAAATTCCGATCGCGTTGACCAGATGGCGAGATGACGAAGCCGATCCGCTATGGCGCAGCACGCACACAATGCCAATTCTTGGCTGCTTCTCTCGCCTTTTTTTCGGGCATCAAAGTTCACTCTTCTCCGAAATCAGCTTCCTCCTCCCCGGTGGGGTCCATTACCCAGGTCGACGGGCCAGAAATTAATAGAGTAGAGCTTGGGACCCCATGCAGCTACGGAGAGTTAATGCACCGGCGGGCACATCCTCACCAGCAGCAACCCCCTGTCGCCAGCACTGCCAAGTGGATTGAGGATGAGTGGGGCTGATCGACGGCAGAGGATTGGTACCATTGCGCACTGGCGCCCTGAAGGCCGTTCGGTTGTCGATCATACCCGCTTAGCGCCAAACTTAGTCCCGGGGGGGAACCAAATACATTCTTGTCCCTTGAAGCTCCACTCGATGATGTCTGGGCTTGATAGATTGCAGATGGATTGGTCGCATTAGTTTACGGATAATAGTCTCGATCTTTTATCGAGCCCTCACTGTAGCGTCATTGGATCCCAATTAGACTTGGCTATCCACCAACCCCTTTCTCGCCCCCGATTGGATCCAAGCCTTATACAAAACAAGCAAGGGCAAATCGTTTACCTCCTTCGGAGAAGAAAAAGAAAATTCCATTTCAAGGAGATTTTGGATGGCGTACGTCAACGGCTGGCGCGTGAGTCAAATAGTTTCCCCCCTGAAATACTATACGTAGTAAAAAATCATCGTGGGCTTGGTGGGACATGGCCTTTGCTTGACTACGTCGGATCATGGCGCAGGTAGATGCATTTTTAATCCATGGAACAAGGAATTCAGCCCTCTCTAATTAACTCCGGAGTCCATGTGCAATTTCTCAAACCTCGCCAAGGCTTGGCTTTGCCACGATTATTGGTCGTTTCTACTTTCCTGCGTCCTTATCATGTAGCTTTAAAGCTGCAGAAACTCGGGACCGTGAGGAAGAATTGGCCCCGAGCGATATTAATTCTGTAGGAGATATGGTGTCACTTTTTGTCAGATTGTCATATTATCTTATTGCGTGCTGTCATTGCTATGTAGATCATTTCGTACTCGACAGGTAAGACGCGTGTATACAGACCCTTGAAGGAATTCCGAGTGTGGGTAATGGCATTTGACTAGGAGTTTTGTAAGCCAGGGTCCATTAGTGTCTCACGAGTCATTAATTCCTATCTTTTTTTTGGTTGATTCATGCCTAATGTTTAGCAAAGATGTCTGTTTGAGCTAGGGGTCACGCCATCAATTGCGGCTTAGACTGGATGGTATGCATTTGAGAAGCTAGTTGTAGTATTGACTGAGGTATTGTAGTGCGACTTCAGAATGGTCTAAACATTCAGGACATGATAAATCCTGCGGAGTATGTGTATCTATCATTGATTGAGCTGCGTCCGTCTTACCCTATTCGTCTGATCGTCGCCACCTGGTGCTGCCAAGGGAGATGGGAACAAAGGTCTCCTGGGCTGAATCCACAGTGGAGCACATGGTCTTATTTCTCCTCATATGTACAGAGTATGGATCCGTCTGATATTTTGGAGGGTGGTCTATAGGGGGGCTTAGGACCTGGCGCTGAGATACAAAAGGTGGCTGCCCTACCAACTTTGTTTTTAGGATGATCAAAGTCTATTCCGTTGACAGCCATTCCAGTGTTCCAAATTCTTTTTGTCTATATTCTTTTTTTCTGACTTATCTATTCAGGACATGATCCCTTAGATCTGAGCACTCTTGTTTTTATTATTCATCATGTCTCTTAATATTCCCGATGCAATGCAGAAAGACTTCACTGTCACAGAGCGCTCTGCCCATTCGAGCAGTTCTAGCAGCCCTACCCTTTCACCTTCCCCTACATTATCTGGCCAAGATGAGAAACAATTTTCAACTTGCTCTTCAGCTTCTTCAATCACACTTAAAGGCGAAAGCCAAGTCCCTGAGCAACCACAATACCATGTCTTCCCTCGATCCCGCAAATTGCTGATGGTCTGCATTGTTTCTCTCGCCGCCATCTTCTCCCCATTATCTTCCAACATTTACTTCCCTGCCCTTGGCACTATATCAAAGGTTAGTTTCATATGTTGCAAAGAGTTTTCACAATTCGGTCATACTAATCTTCAATCAGGAACTTGATGTGTCCATGTCTCTTACTACTTTGACTGTCACTGTATACATGATTGTTCAAGGTCTTGCCCCTAGCTTCTGGGGTTCTTTCTCTGATACAATCGGTCGTCGTGGAATTTTCATTGGAACATTTATTGTTTACATGATTGCAAACATTGCCTTAGCTGTATCCGATAACTACGCTGAGCTGATGGTCTTCCGAGCCCTCCAAGCTGCTGGCAGTGCCGCAACAATTTCCATTGGCGCAGGTGTCATTGGAGATATCACTACATCTGCTGAGCGAGGAAGTTTAATAGGAATCTTTGGAGGAGTTCGCATGCTGGGCCAGGGTGTTGGTCCCGTCTTCGGCGGAATCTTATCTCAATACCTAGGCTATCGATCTATCTTCTGGTTCCTCACGATCGTCGCGAGTATCAGTCTCCTGTCGATTCTGTGCTTCCTCCCCGAAACACTTCGTGCCGTTGCTGGCAATGGCACCGTCCCCCTTCATGGCCTCTACAAGCCCTGGGTTTACAACGTCACCGGCCAGCCATTTGTCCAAGAAGACGCAAAGCCAAGCGGCACCAAGAAAGAAGTTACCTGGAAGACTGTCCTGGCGCCCCTGACCTTCCTCGGTGAGAAGGATGTCTTCATTACCCTCTTCTTCGGTGCAATTGTCTACACTGTCTGGTCAATGATTACTTCATCTACCTCTCAATTGTTCGAAGAGACATACGGTCTCAACACTATGGAAGTTGGTCTGACTTTCCTTGGTAACGGATTCGGATGCATGTCCGGTTCTTACACTATCGGTTACCTCATGGACTACAATCACAAGCGCACAGAGCGCGACTACTGTCGCCAGAACAACCTTCCACTCGACACCCGCATCACAACCAAGACACACGCCGACTTCCCTATTGAGTACGCCCGCATGCGAAACACATGGTGGATCACGGCGCTATTCATCGTTGCTACTGCATTGTACGGTGTCTCTTTGAAGACCCATCTCGCTGTTCCCATTATCCTGCAGTACATTACTGCATACTGTGCCACGGCTATCTTCACTATCAACAGTGCTTTGGTCATTGATCTATACCCCGGTGCTAGTGCCAGTGCGACAGCAGTGAACAATCTGATGCGCTGCTTGATCGGAGCTGGCGGTGTTGCACTCATTACACCTATCATCAACGCTGTTGGATCTCTTTGGACCTTTGTTCTGCTCGCAGGCGTCACATTGGCTATGGTTCCACTATTGATGGTTGAGATGAAATGGGGCGCTGGATGGCGCATGAAGCGCAATGAACGCCTCAAGGCAAAGGCTGACCAGGCTGTTCAGGAAGCTTAGAGCTTCTTCGGAGGAAAGAAACATATTTGCATTTTAAAAGCGATTTGGTGGATATAGAGACATTTCAACAATTGGAGGAGAGTTCTAAAAATGGAGGAATAGGGTATAGATGGGCGCGAACCCTTTATGACACTTATGACTTGGGTTCTTTTTGGCGTCAACATGGTACATACATTTGCGGTTTGGGTTCGACTTTTGACTTCTTGACACTTTACATTTGACGATCTATTTATTCGGATTCACTTTTTGTCTATAGGAATTTTGGTTAACTAATTCTGTCTCGATCTGAGACTTCAAAATATATTTTTTTGGCTTCAAAATTTTGCATGTAAAAGTATCTGTAAATTGGCTGTTATGATTTCAAAAAATTGCCATGGGCTTCATTTCAACATGATAAAAAGTAAATAGGTAAAGAGCAAAAATAAAACGCTTTCTTTTGCAGATATGTACTAGTTTCCAGTAACCTCGTTTTGCAACTCTTTCAATCTCATCCAGCCATCGGAGTCTTCCCAGAATTCTTTGCCCTTACCCAAGATACCTCGGATGGCACTTCTGGCCTTGAAACGCCAGTCACTGGCAACCATCTCCGGTTCGGCATCACCTTCCACTTTCTGATCTTCACGGTCCATAGGTCCAATCTTGGCGTAACCATCACGAACAAGTTTCTCTGTAGCCCGAACAACCTCAAGCCAAGGCTTCTCATCGCCCATCTGGAATGCACCTTGTGTGGAAGTTGTGACGGTAGCACGCCATGCTTTTTCGTGCGCTTCCAGCGCACGGCTGGGGCGGTTTCGGAAAAGTTCGGCTCGGGAAACAACAAGCCATAATGCAAAAGAGTGGGTGATAAGTGGGACTACGTTATTGTCCAGCAGGGAAAGGATTTGGCCAGGCAGAGTTCCGGTACGGACAACTGGGCCGGAGTCCGACTCGATAAGGAGATCATTATATTCAAAAGCGGTTGAAAGAAAGTCCACGAGGCTGGCCACAATCGGCAGGTCAATGCACTTCTCTCCCTTCTTTGCGCCCAATAGCTCGATCACACGCTTCTGCGCCGTGATGACTTCTCGGAATGGTGTGTTGGGTGGGGGGATGGATGCAGCTACTGTCAGCACGTTGTCCCAGATACGGGCGTCGGTGTGTTTGAGGGTTGCTGCACGTTGGAGGGCAGCCAGGGCTTCGCGTTTGCGTTTATACGGATCATTCTCCACTGCGGCCTTTTCTTCGGCACTGTCATTGATTGGTACATCAGGGCCTTCCTCGGGGGCTGATGATCGGAGCATAGCGGCTGCCAAGTTACTCCATGCTTCTCCATCTGTGTCGTCCAGTTGAACGGTACGTGTGAAAGAATCGGTAGCTTCTTCCCAGCGCTGAAGCTCAAGTTGCACACATCCGAGTGCAAACCAGGAGCCGTGGTTCAGACGGTTGATATGCAAACTCTTACGGTAGGCACATTCGGCCTTCTCCAGTTCTGGTGGCGTAAGACTCAAGTAATGACGTGCCAGAGATCGTTGAGCACGAGAATAACGCTGACCGGAAACATCCCAGGCACGCTCATACATCTTCTCATCCTTATCGATATCTCCAAGGATACAGAACAAACGTGGCGCATCGCCGGGAAGTGTCGTTAGCTCTGGTCCTTCAAACATTTCGTTCTCGTCATTCTCATCGTCGCCCTTAGCTTCGTAGAGTTGACGTCGCACCATGCTCTTGGCTTTCAGCTCACGCTCAGTAGCAGCGTAGCAAAGTGCTGCTTCAGCCCACATATGAAGTCTCTCGTAAATCTCCAATGCAGTACGGAGACCACCAAGCTCAACCCAGCGCTTAGCCAGCTCGGCTTCAAGACTCCACCTGGTGCTGAAGTTCATAATCCAGATGTATTGCAAACGATCAGCAGCAGGTGCTGACTCAGATTTCTCTGGTCGTGGCAAGAAAGTTGTGGGATCAGCAGTTGGTTGCTGGGCAGCAGAGTCATCTGTCGCTGTGTCGGCAATGACCTGGTCAACAAGAGCTTGTAACTGCAGCACAGATCGCTCGATTGTACGTGAACGGTAACCCTCAACACGACTACGGACTAGCAATGCTTCAGTGTAAATCTGCCAGTTGGAACTTCCACCCTCCAAAACACGGGTGGCATATGGGGCTGTCTCTTCACGAGTGAGACCGTTCTCAGGGGCGGTATTCGTAATGGCAGATGCCATAGCTAACAGAATAGCTGAGTCCAATGGGTTCAAGATAGGTTGATCATTAGGATCGACCGACTGGAGAGCTGGAGAAAGCTCCTGAGATACGGTTGTAGATTTTTTATCAGCAAAGGAGATGGCCTCAAGGAGAGTATCATCATTCAGGTCCAATTTCTTAGGACCAGAGGGGTCTGCGGACTTGGAGTTTTCGTCGGCGCTCTTAGCCAAAACAACAAGCTGACTGATATCTCTGTCTTGGAACTTTGTGCGCTTTCCCAGCTTTCCTGTCAAGGCAAATTCGAAGTTGCGCACCTTAGCCGCTTGATCCAGATCAGCGCGGGCCTTAGCATCGAACCCATGGTGTGTGTTGACAATAGCTCGCTCCATCAAGAACCCTCCCTTCGCATCGGCGTTGAGATCCAGCTTAGCCAGCTCCTCAAGATCATTATAAATCACATCCTGTAAGGTACTCGTGACTTCCGAAAGCATTTTCTGGTGCAAGAAGTTGACGCGCATGCGCGCTGTCTTCGTCACCACGGAACCCTCATTATTTGTATCTACCAACAGCGCCTTTGCGATGGAGAATAACTCCGCATTGGGCGTCAATTTATAAGCAGCCTCTCCATCCACAGAAAGATCCCGGATGATCTTAGCTCGCACAGCTCGAAGAGTCGGAACATCTCCGCGTAGACCAGTAGGCAGAACAGTCTCTGCAGAGTTGAACTCCAAAGGTGGACCGGTCACGTTGGATTGTAAGAAGCTGAAAAGGGCTGCGAGACCGATGTGTACAAGTTGCGACTGTGTTTGCTCGGTGGTCAAGTCGGCAATGGGGGTTTGAAGGACGGCACGGGCTTTTTCGGCGACAAATTCGGTATACGAAAGCTCGTCTTTGGCGACACTGGAAAGGGAATCGCTATCGGAGGCATCGTGGCCTAAAATCTTCTTTGCCAAGGGCAACTCGAAGATGGGGACAATATTGTTCGACGTCAAGGAAACAGGGTCATATTGGTCCTTGAGTGGTGCTGTGAACAAGCCGTCCAACGTGGAGGGAAGAGGGGACTCGGCCATTTCGACGATAGATGTCGATTTGTGCAAACCCAAGCAGGATGTCGTTTGTACTCCACAGATCCTGATGCTTTGAAAGTGCGAAAACCCCGCGGTCTTTTCGATTTTTCCCTTATCGATAGCGTGGTGATAAACAAAAATTTATGCGTGGATTTAATCTATTCTTATATTGCCTTACACTTTCTGTATCCAGGTACCCGATATTGCCACGCACTATATTTATGCCCCTCCTTCTGTCATCTTGTTCCCGCCGATTCTATCTGATACTATATTGATCGATCATCACCCCACTCCCATTTAATGAGACAACTTCGAATGCTCTTTCAAAATTTGATTTAGACCCTCCCGCTGCACACACTCCTCAAAATGGAAACTCCTAGCCAAATCCTCAAGCTCTTTCTCCTCCATTCCCTGGAACAAGGAAGCAAATTCATCCGAAAAGGACGCAGCCAGAAACGTATAGAGCACATTACGTGTAACGTGTAGCTCTGTATTCCATGATGTAGGATACGTTTCTTTGGCAGATGGGCTAACACGATCAATATACTCCATAAGGGGTTTCAGCGCTGCTTCAGCCTCCGGAACATGATTGTGGCCCCATTTATCGATCCAAACGGCTCGTTTCTTATCCAAGAAGGGCTTGATTGCTTGATTCCACTTGCTCTGGGGGTTTGTGTAAATCATTCCTTGTAGTCCGATATCTTTGTATAGCCAGATAGACCAGTGGATGGAATGTTTGTCATAAATGCGCAGCTGTTCTCCTAGCAGGTTGTATCGCTCTTGGTTTGTGGTTGCTGCGTCAGCCTCCACATCTGGGTTTGCATAAACGGGTCCAAATTCTCCGTTCCAAACTGGTGTGCCATTTTCGCTCATGAACTGTGCTTTGCGAAGATACCCCCGTTCCAAACGCTGTTTCTGTTCTGGTGTGCCTCGGTACCGGTCTCCGGTGGGAAAGCCCATGGACTATAAGGTTACGATTTAGTATTTCGCGGATTGTTTGGGTTTTGGAGTAGACGTACAGCGTAGTCGTGCATAGCATACACACTGTTAGGCAAGACTTCATCGAATCCTTTCCATTCCATGGCAAATGTGTTGCCGTCAAGCCATAAGATGTGGTTCGGGTCAACTGCACGAATCGCTTTCTCTACCCTAGCATAAAATGCAGGAAGGCGAACGTGCTCTGGGTCACAGGGCTCATTGAGAGGGTTGTACCCTGCAACCCAGGGATTGTTCTTATAACGAGAGGCTATCTGTTCCCATAACCAGACTGTGCGGTCTTGATGATCGCGATAGTCCCAAAAGGCGGCATAGCTAGTCGGGTTATCAGAGTGCCAATCTGGGTTTTGTCCACCAGGGACAGCGTGCATGTCCAAAATAGTGTAGATTCCATGGGCGGCGCACTATAACTTCGGGTATTAGTATTTCCCCTTGCATTCCAGTGATTCTTGAGATAAATTGAACTGACCAGGTCAACCACTCGGTCCAGGTGCTTGAATCCCGACTCCTTTAATACGCGTGGATTCATATCATCTTCGAAATGGCGGTAGTTAAAGGGCAATCGGAGGCAGTTCAATCCGACTTCAGCAAAGAACTTGGCGTCCGCATCGGTAAAGAAATACTCAAGCCATTTGTCGAAGAAGAACTCGTATTTCTCCTGTCCAAGGACTTTGCGCATCGCAGCTCGGTGCTGGGATTCGTGACCAGGAAAACCGGTGATGAAGTTCTCCATACTATGGAAAACTATCAGCCATTTGTTCACAGTGTATACCACAGTTGAGTGTTGGTCAGAACGTCGGAAGATATTCAACGCAACCCGAGCATCACCTACTTCATCCATCCTCCAAGAGCAGCGCCCCGCAGAATGACCTGTTGGCCATTCTCATCAACGACCGTGTCGCCTTTGACTTTGAGAATCCCTGTAGCCATGTTTGTATGGGCTTGGATAATGCTAGGTTCTAAGTTTGAAAAGAGGAAATAGAATCACCCAAGGAAATATGGTCTTTGGGAGGAACTTAAATAGCTCGGGAATACTAAACCGAGATTTAACCGTCACAACCACTGGAAGATGGGGGATAATGGGGACCTAGAACGCGGGGGTACACAGACTAGCACGGTTAGTCTCTTCTACAAGTGGCTGTAGCTAGATTCATCTATAGCACCGGTTAATATGACCCCGGCGTTCGTACGCCCCCAAGTTCGCATTTAGGCTATACTACCCCACATCCAATCTTGGGGGTTCTTTCAGGTGGATAATAAGGTCATTCGAATCCAATCATTTATTCAAAGATCGACATAGATACATAAAAATTATGAGTAATTGCAGGCCACCCGGGTATTTTGTATCGTACAATTGAATGCATCAACGCCAATCAAACCGAAACCGGAACGCTCAGAGAAAGGAGACAAAGATCAGGATAAAATTACCAGTCCTGACCGCGATCGCGCATCAGAATCTCAATAGCCTCATCCTCTGGGACCGGATTATCGTTCAGATCCTTAACACACTGAGTCAGGCCTTCTGCTGCCTCATCCACTTGCTCGGCAGTCCAGTTTGTACATGCCATCACCATGCGCCGGTAGTTTTCCCCTAGAACTGCATTCTTGGCTTTAAGATTATCAACCTCTTCTGTCACACTGGCAAGAAACCCCTGGTATAGTTCCAGTCGATGTGACATGATGTCTGGGGGAGACAATGCGGCCAGGAAGGCAATTTGTTGGTCAGAGAACCCAGATGATGGATCGAAGCTGTCTCTAAATAACGTATCAAAGGCTGCAACCTCCACCCCCGAATCCTGGTCGGCATCCCCAACAATGGCGATACTAGACGAATCAATACCCTGAGTAAGCTTCAATGTCTCCATCAAGCCCTCAGAGGAACGTTCCATGTTCTTGATTCGTCGCTCGAGTTCTACTCGGTCGGTACCCTTCTTTTTAAGCTCATCAAGCTCTTTTTGTTCGATCTGGCGAGCCTTCGCGGATTCTCTGATTTTGCCATGCCAAAGATCGAACTTTTCTTGTTTTTGTGTCAAGCTTGAGGCTAGCTCTCGGTCGATTCCTCCAAGTGCTTCCTCAACCATAGTACTGATTTGAGACATTGTCGCTAGGATTAGAGTTAGCTAAAACAAGGTAACAACATTCGCAGGGTAAGATACTGACCATCGAGGATTTCCTTCTTAGATTTCGCCAGCTGGTCAATGAAGGTATCACCCCGACCATCGGCTTGTTGTGACTGAGCACTACCATCAACCATATCAACGCCAACTCCATAATCAGCGGGTCGGAGACCAGTGTGATTGGGAATATGAGGGTCGGCTCCGACTTCCAGAAGTTGTGGGACGAGAACTGAGCGCGCCCGCCCTGCAAGGTTCAGGGCGGTATCGCCTTGATCATCGCGTAAATTGACAATCTCTGAAATGAAGCGACCTAGCGAAATGACATCACTTTCATGAGATCCATTTTGCTTATGGTCACCATTGGTATTTGAAGTATTTCCTGTAATTCCTCCATGTCGGACAATGAATTCTAAGAGGGATTCAAGGTAGTGCTTAGCAGAAACATGCCCTCCTCCACCTGTTGCTGCCATGACAGCAATATGATGTAGAATTGTTCGACCACTATAATCAACCATATCGATGGTTGGTGAAAGTATTTGGAGCAGTCGGAGAAAGCTTCGATAGTCAAGGTTATTCCTGGTACCCACAGACTTCTGCAAAGCAGTTTCTCCAGCTCCATTCACACGGGAAACGTTGGCTCCTCGTGCCACTAGTGCATGGACGAGAGGCATGCGTGCAAGCATAGCAGCCCAATGGAGAGCGTTGTTTCGGTATTCGTCGAGTGGAATCTCAAGATCTTCACCAGTCAACTGGATCAGAGCGGGGTGGTTGGTGAAGTCTTTTGTCCGCTTATCGAGGAACAGAGTCATTATCAATTTCATTTTTTGAAACTTCTCTGGCGTAGTAGCGGGACCGAGAGCCTCAACACCGCGTTTCTGTCCATCGTCCATAGGCGGGGGCGGGAGGTCGTTATCTTGGTAGAAAGATTCGTTTGGTTCAGTGGGAGTGGGTTCATGCATAGACAAATTGGACGGCTCTCTGTGCAGTCCGATTGACGGGCCGTGGTGTGAAGATGAGCGGACTCGTTTGCGTGGGGGTTCGGCGAAATCATCATTATCATCCTGGCTCAAGTAACGATTCTGCAAGCTACTAAAGCCGCTGTCGGGCATGCCATACATGCTTTGTTGACTGCTAAAGGCCATTTGCGATTCTTGACTGCTCATTTGTTGCGAAGGTTTCCGTATCACGCTGGGACGCCTGCTATTAGCACTCGGGGAGTCAAACCGAGCTTTGCTAATAGCATTCACAGCCGTTGCTGCAGTACGTGAAATATTCTGAAAAAATGTACCCTGTTGCGGTTGGGATGAACTCCGGCTGTCGGTCCCGCTATACAATCGTTTGCGCTGCGCTGCCATTGCTTGCTCTTTCGTTGGTGTGTCCAGTGTACCTTGTGAGGGGCCTCCAGGGCCATCTGGACTCATATCATATTCCAACAGAGGTCGCAGTAGTTCCTCCACGTGGTATTCACGACACAGCTCGACGCCTCTGTGGTAATTCACCCATGTACCCTGATACTTCCCATATCCACCTTGCACTTTTTCATGTTCACCCGCGGCAATCTCTTTCTCGAGTGTTTTTGTTCGGCGAGCCTTGACGACTCCGGCAACTTTCAGAATCTGAGTCGCATTCAACCATGAATCTGCGCGACGTTTCATGACTGCAACATCATTGACTTCCATTTCATAGACGGATACATTAGAGTAGACAGCCTAGTTAGATATTGTAAGTATGAGCACAGGCAGAGGTTAAGATGAATCGACGAACGCGATATATCTGTGGTTTGTATTCCTCCTGGTAAGACATCATAGAACCATTCTCGGTCGTCCCATCATATCCCCCAAAACTCCCGCGTGCACCGTTCGACATGTTGAAAGAGGCCATCTGGGAACCTTTTGGGGGCGGAGGCGTGGCGCGAAGGGTGGAGGAGATCGATCGTCGGGAATTGTTCAGATTATTGTAAATCGGTCCATTCGCTGACACAAAGCCGGTTTGCATATAGGTCGTTCGTATCTTGCTAGCTCCTCAGGTTGGGATTAGCAAACAATCTGAGGTGACAAGGGTGGGAAAAGAAAGTGGAGAAATTACCGGAACGCGAAAGCGAAAAGGAGGCGCGTGTGGCTCTACCACCCTTTACCAGGAAAAGTGCCGGAAACCTAAGGTCAGGACCATGCACAAGCCACCTGCAGAGCACAGATGGTTCAGATGCACAAGAATGTGTCAGAAACGGGATTGAAGATCGAAAAGTGCAATGCAAGGCAAGATTAAGTCGCGGGGTTGAGGAAAGTGAAGAGGAAAGGGCGGCGCGTCAATCCCGTGACCGCGCCGCCAAGGTTTTCGCGTTTTCGCCATTTTGGGAGAAATTTAATCCTTTCTTGGATGACAATGGCATCTACACCTCGAATATCACTGTTTCGCTTAAAACAAGATTCGCCTCAATGGCAGCACTTACTACGTGCTACCCTGCAAGAATGTTCTTACCTTCCGGACCCTATTGCGCGCACCTACATGCGTAGCTATGTTCTGGACCGATATCGCCGCGCATTCGAGTCCAAGATACCAGAGGAAAAGTTGACCCGATCAGCCAAGAAGGGACTCAGCATGCTACAGAGAGCAAATGAGGGATACCCAAAACCGCTTGATAAAGTTATGCTCATGTCATATGGTCGCATCGGCAAACGGAGACATGAATTAATAGCTCAGCTCTTGAAGCCAGAAGCTCCGATAGACACCAACTCACTCAGAGAATTGATTACAAGTGTCCCTAACTATCAGGATGGCTGGGAACCCCCACAGATCGTCACTAGGCTTCTCAAATCTCAGATGAACCACGGAGTAGCCACCGCATCCCGTCTACGACCCCAACTAAAACACGTTGTCCCTGCGATCCCTGAAACAAATAGCTGGGGGCGACCTGTGGCCCAGTCCCGTCGAGCTAATATCCGGCGTAAATGGTACATTGATACATTGTACAGTTTGCTGCCCCCGTTACCGGAACAAGAACTTGGCATTCTAAACAGTCTCATGGCTGGTACTGTGCCATGGAGGTCTTTCAAACAAAGGCCAGTCGAAGCCCCGGCAGTTCAAGATGATAGTGTCTTGGATTTCTTGATGGATGGTCCCCAGAAAGGCCAAACCTTTGGCTCTTATGTCCATGGCCGTCCGCACAAAATTACATCCAGATCCATGCGACGCCTGTGGAAGCGAATCTCTGGACTCGTGCCGAGAATGCACTGGAATGATGCTTCTCAAAAGTGGAGCTTTCATTGGGACAGTGCAAAAGTTGTACCACAAGTGGCTTTTGAGTTGGATCAAGATTCGGATCTTGATGAGATTTTTGGAGAGCCGGCTCCAGCAAAACCCTCGTCCAAGGGTTCAGCGCAAAGCTAGGAGCAACTCCATGATTAAGACCAAAACATGTACAAAATCAATTTTACCCAGTCATTATACCCTTTGGACAAATTTATGTATAAATAATACTCTCCCGATTGAAATGAACAGAACCTTCATCCGGGAATTGGAAATTGGAATGATACAACATTTAACTTGTGCATTATACAACTTGAGGTATCAAAAGTGCAAAAGTGCTGCTATGGTATAACGTTCTGAACTCTGATCTTATAATAAGTTCTAGGTATCCAAAAATCATCGATTCATTCAAATGGCCATGATCAGAAACTCCATCCCAAGGAAATAAAAACAGATACATAACATCCTGGCCACATAAAGGGGTACATAAATCAGAAAGCCAGCCTATGGATCACGCATTCAAGTTCGAGATCACCATGTCAAGAAAAAGACAAATCCGTTGCTTTATACTAATATCTGTCGTCGCGACGACACCCGCCATGGAGAATACGCCCGATACAGCAGTCCTTCTCCTTACGGCGACGACGTCCATGACGGTCGCAGTCGTTATAATGAGTGGTTGTGGTGACAGTAGTGCCAGGCATAGATGGTGCGTAGCCCGGAGACGGGTATGGGGCTTGTTGGTAGGCTGGGTAGTAACCCTGAGGAGGATAGCCCTGGGGAGGAGGAGGGGGCTGTTGCTGCTGATAGTATTGTTGCTGCTGCTGTTGCTGCTGCGCCTGTTGATTCTGGTGATGGTTCTCACTGTGCGAATACGTTAGTCTTATAACTTGAGAGTGCAAATTAGCTCTTTATATTAGACTTACATTCCATGGCTGACGGCATTAGCGCCGAGAGCTCCAAGAACTGCACCACCGGCAGTGGCCATACCACCGCCCATCTGGTGGCCTACATAGCCACCAGCAGCTCCACCCATAAGAGTAGATCCTAGACCCCGCTCGCCGTCAGGGCCGACAAGGCCAACGTCATCTGGGCCGTATGGGGGCGGCTTTTCACCGTAATATGATGCATTCTCTCCTAAAGATGGTGTGGAGCTATGAGAGGATGGAGTCGAAAGTTCCCGGGACTAAATACAGTCAGAACCTTGTCTTGGATTTGATAATCGTATTTCCAAGGAAGCGTCTGAATCAGATATACTTACATGGGAATTGTAGGCAATCTTTTCGTCATACATAGGGGTAGGAGCTGCCATTTTCAAATGAGATAAACACAGTCAGGACTTATAATAGATGGATAAATTTATTCAAGAGAATCCTTTGAAGCTTGGAGATATACTCAATCGAAGAGGAAGAGTAGCTCCCTTTATGTCCTGCTTCCCTCAGACCCTTCGCCACGCCAAGAATATACCCCTGTTCGGGGAAAGGTCTCATAGCGGAAAGAAGGGAAATGAAACGTCGCCTCGGGTCTTGGCTGTTCAGGTATAAATAGAAGTGATCAACAACACTGCCCAGCAAAACCACAAGATATCCTCGTAGGGCTGTGGCTTTGATATGGCTGTGCATATATACTCATATCTGATAGGTCTACGGGTCCTAAGTGGGGTGATTCTTATAATGCCGCACGCAACACTTTCTCGCTTTAGATTTAGCTTGGCGTATCAGAGCACACCAGCCCGGCACTAGAGTCTACTTTGAGCAAGAACTGCGATATTATTATCTGTTGTCATCAAGCAACGGCCAGAGCACGGAGTATATTTAGATTTGTATTTTATAGGATATAGTTTCCTCGTGGCTCAGTCTTGTGTATGAAGTGACTTCACTTCCACAAAATGAATACCGCTCTTTTTTTCAATGCCAAGGCTTCTCCGCTCCTTGCATCCCTGATACGGTAACCCGAAGAGAGGAAATGACGCTCTACGAACAGGGGGTGTAGAGCGCGGAGTTTTTAGTGCTAACACGAAGCTGAAATCAGAGCCAATCGTCGGATTGGGAGGATGTAGGATGACGACCTCGCTATGGCCACCGGCCCCCAATGTTTGTGGGGGCCATTATAGTGCATATGTAATCAGAACAAACAGTTTGAGTGGGTCAAAGCAACTACAAAAACAATATAGTCAAATGAAATAAACATGCCCAGACTGTTTGATGCATATACAGTGTTTGCATTGACGCCTCAGAGTCTAAGTGGAGATTAGCCAATATATCTGCTGGATCTGTTGATTGGCTACATAATATGGATAATTTCTCCTTGGTTTTTGACGTCGATGAATTCTGGCTCGAGTCCCGTCCATTTCGGCTTTATGTTGCTTAATCCGCTTCGCATAAGCTCGGACAAGCTTTTGCGAAATCTGAAGGTGTTTGCATTCAATGTAGTGGCTGAAAGTCACGGTCTATATCCAAACTATTGCAAAAATCGTGAATTTTTTCAGATACTGTTTTGAGATAGTATATATAGCGTGCTGGAGAGCCCTCAAAATGAATTCTCCCATTGAGAAAATCCCATCAACCTTGAGAGCTTCGATCCATACACATCGCGAGAATTAACAACGACGGGGACGAAGTTACTTAAAACTTCAAGCATACAATTATTCCCATATTCATCTACATACTATCTTCAATCCCTCAACATGACTGGTAGTCCTGAGATTCACGACCTTGCAAAATACAAGGACTTCCACATCCACCATGTGACATACAAAGTCATCTCCGGTCATCCCCTGGACCTCTCAATCCTGGTCCCAAAATCCCTAGTCAAACGCGGGAAATTATCTGAAAAATCACCCCTGATAACCGAATTCCACGGCGGCTTTCTCGTCGGAGGACATCGTATCTTCTCACCTTGGTTCTCAGACTGGTAAGTGATATCCAATTCAAACCCCCTAATTAGAATATAGAAGCCTAACCTTGATTCCAGGCTCGTCGAACTTACTCTCTCCAGAAATGCCATCGTAGTAACACCCGACTACCGTCTCCTCCCCGAGGCAAACGGCCACGATATCCTATCCGACCTAGCAAGTTTCTGGGAATGGCTACCGAAAAACCTAGGATTAAAGCTTGCAGAATATTACCCTGAGATCAATCTTCAGCCGGACTTCGATCGCATATTAGCTACTGGTAGTAGTGCGGGCGGATGGATGGTTTCTCAGAGTATGTTTTTGCATCCGGAGATTAATATCAAGGCTGCTATTATGTCTTATCCGATGATTGATCTTCGAGATCGATATTGGAATGAGAAGTTTGAAAAGCCTATTTTTGGTCTTCCAAATGTGAGTTACACTATTACCTTATGCCCTCTGTCCATGGAACAAAGCTAATACAAAGATATGAATATAGATTCCATTTACTATCGTCGAGGAACACTTGAAGAATTCCCCTCCAAACGCAATTGTCGCCGTAGATGGTGACATTGAGGAGAAGTCCGAGCTGAAAAGACTCCCGTTGGCTATTAGCATGGTGCAGAATGGGAAATATATTGATTTCTTCGGTCGTGAGACCGAGTTGTTCCCATTTGAGAATCTTGCGAAGGCAGAGCGGGTTCCTCCGTTCGTTTGGGTTTTTCATGGCAAGCAGGATTCTGCGGTGCCCATTTCTGGAAGCAAGAAGTTTGTTGCTGAGCTTCGGAGGTTGAGACCTGATGTTCTTGTTAGGTTTGATGCGAAGGATGGCGATCATGGGTTTGAAGATGACGATAAGGTTACTATTAGTGAGGGGTGGGTGAAGGAGGGAGTTGATCAGTTGTCCGAGTATTGGTGAGCCCTGGTCATTGGCTCCAAGTTCAAGTTGAATTCAAGGTTGTTTTGCGTTGCTTTGTCCTCGGATTCCTGCGAAAAATATATGTTGCGCATTGATAGAATCGCATTCTGTTAAGGCTTCACTTGTAATAGCTCCGGTTTCCTGTGAATTTGAATGCAGTGAAACATTTGAATGATGGATCGACTCTGGGCTTCTTTTAATTTCCAGTAAATAATTGTATATCGCAAGTATGTACTTTGGTATTTGTGTCCGTTTTGTGGGTCTAGATTTGACAGGAGAGATAAGTTGACTCCATTTTTTCCTGGGCCATTACAGAGTTGATGTAAATTGAGCTTCTAGACCCCGAAACAAGGGCAAAATAGGAGCTGGAGAATATTTTTCTGTCTGCAACTTTCGAGATCCAGAGTCCAGAAATGGCTATTCCCATAAAAGCGAGTTTAGATTCCATCGTCATCGCATCACGGCAATTCGGTAATTTCTCGGCAATTAAACACCTCCACAAACAATCGGCCTAAAAGTCAACTTACAGATCTTCTACTTTTATCCACGAATTTAGAAATACGAGAAATGCCAAGTTCCATAAAGCACAGCAATGTATGTGTCAATTAGGCCATTTCCCTCATAGACAATGGCTATCTAACACGCAAAGGTACATGTACGTACCTCCTTGGAAAACTATAAACCGGAGAATTTAGGCCCGCATCAGACTGAAACTCAGACTCAGGCTATTAATTATCCGGATTAAGTGGAACAAAAAGACAGACTTTAACCCCCTCACGATCTAGATCCGATTTATGTATGTCAAGTGGCTTGTCGGTCAACTTCCGAACATACTCCAGCTACTCCGTATATTTACCCCAAAGGCTATACCCCATCCAACCCCGTGTTAGGAGCGCCAAGCTTCACCCCGGCCCGCCGAGTCTCGGAGTAAAGGCTATTTGCCGGGGGAGTCACCGTAAAGAACCTTTCGCCGAGCCTGGGGTACGGCTTGTTAGGGACAAGAGATGAAAGTGGGGGCGAGGATATTTTTCTTTTTCTTTTTCTTTTTCGCGTGGGTGTAGAGTTGCTATGTATTATCTTCTACTTTGTTTATTGTGTTCTACTGGTTGTTCCGAAAAACACAGTAGATAAAAAGAAAAGAATCGGCAAGTCTGCAATACTACCGTAAGCCGAGGTTTACTGTTTACCGTAGCCGATCTAGTACAGTGCCTAACTGATCCGTATTCCGGCCGCGTTGTGGAAGGAAGGAAGCGGCGCAAGCCATTACTTTTAGTTCTTTCAGTTCGGTGGGTCGCGGGTGTCGAAGCGAGTCAAGTCACACCTAGAAGAAAACAAAATAGGACCAAACCAAACTCCACACCCCGCTATGGGCAGATCAGCGGATAAAGTCAATACAGGAGACAGTGCAGGAAATATCGGTATAGCCTCGTGGTTGATGGAAGGAATGTGTAACTTGGACCTGTACGACCTTGGCGGCGGGAATTATGCGGACTGTTACTGGGGAAATCTCCAGGGTAGCGTCATTTCTTTTTTATGGAGAGGGGAATGTATGCTTGGCTGGTGAGGAAGAGGTTGCATTTCTTCTACTTCGTGGCGCATAAGGATGAAAGACTCTAAGCCAAGGTTCCTACCTAGAATGAAGGTTCATGCGAATTCCGTCGGCGATCGCGACCAATCTTAAATCAAATTCCCAAGTGGTCAAGTTCAATTTAAGGTAATTTGAATTTGAATTTGAATTTGACCCGGACTGGCTCGTGTAGATAGATATGATGCAGTGGATGCAGGCTATTAAACATAATGTACGATATCGGAGCAGTCAAACCCCTCACAAAGCCATATGTCATCCAAACCTAAGTAAATAAGTAGGTTTAGGTAAATCCACCTTTATAACCACACCGAAAACCTTTGGACCGTACCGCCGATACCGAATCTTTCTCGGTTCAAGTTGTGCACAGATAATTTCCCCGGGTCTGGGGAGTATCCCCACTAATTACCCAACACGACAAGATCGGCATTAGGACCTTGGTTTTCCGCCCATCATTCGTCCCCGCTGCTACATTCAGGATGCTGACCCGTTCAGCCAGATTGTGTTAGACGAATAGGATGCGGCGCGATGTCTTTCGAGCGGGGATAAAGGGTAAAAGGTCGAAGTTGGGCTTGGGCACATGGTCAGGAGAGGAGAGGATATTCCGGATCCAGAATTGACGTGCAACGCTTTGCGACGGCAATACCTAATTTACGAAAGTAAGAAAGGCCGAGAAAGATTAAGATTATTTAAGACTGGGTGCATGACCCGGCCCTCCGAGTCTGTTTTTGGTTTTGGTTCTTCTCTCCCTGCAGGCACAGAGAGACAGTCACAGCCGCCCCATTGTTGGCACGTCAACCCTTTTTCCTTTTTCTTTTTTCTTCTTTATTTTTTTCTCTCTTGCCTACAAGTTTCTGTCAAACTCGCTATGGCCGATTCGCAGGACAAGGCAGTTCATTCTGCTAGTGTCCCCGCGCCCGTGTCGGCTGATGTCGAGGAGCATATGAGTGTTGGTCGGTACATTGTGACTCGGTTGCCGACTTTGGTGCCGCCTATGAGGAAGGCGCCGAATCCTTTTAAGGCGCTTTCTCTACTGAATAGACAACAATGGCTGTTTTTCTGGGTAGGTTTTAATTCTTATATCTGTGACCTCGGGGGTTTTCCAAGGTCGTTTTATTCTCTTCATCTCTCTTACAAGGTACTGATTATTCATATTTGTTTGATTAGGTCGCATTCCTGGGATGGAGCTGGGACGCCTTTGATTTCTTTACCGTCTCATTAACAACCTCCGAACTCGCTAAACAATTCGATAAATCCGTCACAGACATAACATGGGGAATCACATTAGTTCTCATGCTTCGCTCCGTCGGCGCAATCACATTCGGTATTGCTGCCGATCGATGGGGTCGCAAGTGGCCTTTCATCGTTAACCAGGCCCTTTTCATTGTCCTCGAACTGGGCGCAGGTTTCTGCCAAACATATAAACAGTTTTTAGCCTGTCGCGCTCTCTTCGGAATCGCAATGGGTGGTCTCTACGGTAACGCTGCAGCTACGGCGCTAGAGGACTGTCCCGCCGAAGCACGCGGTATTGTCTCCGGACTACTACAGCAGGGATACGCTTTTGGATACCTCCTTGCTACGGCTTTTGCTCGTGGATTGGTTAATACTACTTCTCATGGATGGAGACCATTGTACTGGTTTGGTGCTGGGCCTCCGGTTCTTATTATTGCTTTCCGGTTGTGTTTGCCTGAGACGGAGACTTTTCGACGGCGCCAGGCGACGAGGGAGGCTATGCGCGGTGGTGTGGCGAAGTCTTTTATGGAGGAGGGTAAGGTTGCGCTAAAGAGACATTGGCTTTTGTTAGCGTATATGGTGCTCCTCATGGCTGGTTTCAACTTCATGTCTCATGGTTCTCAGGATTTGTACCCGACTATGTTGGAGAATCAGTTCGAGTTCTCTGCGAATGCAGTGACTGTTACGCAAGTTGTGGCGAATCTGGGTGCTTTAACGGGTGGTACGCTTTGTGGATGGGCGAGTCAGATCTTCGGTCGTCGCTTCTCAATCATTGCTATCTCTATTGTTGGCGGTGCCTTGCTCTACCCTTATACCTTTGTTACTACCAAGTCTGTCATGGCGGCTGCTTTCTTTGAACAGTTCTGCGTCCAGGGTGCATGGGGTGTTATCCCTATTCATCTCATGGAGTTATCTCCTGGTCCTATTCGAACTTTCGTCGTCGGAACAGCTTACCAGCTCGGTAATCTCGTTTCATCCGCTAGTTCGACTATCGAGTCGACTATTGGTGAGCGATTCCCGCTTGAGCCGTTGGATGATGGGACCAAGCGATACGCGTACGGCAAGGTGATCTGTATCTTTATGGGTTGTGTCTTTGCCTACACTATCTTGGTCACGTTCATTGGACCCGAGCGTCTTGGCCGTAACTTTGATGCTGAGCATGATGCCGATCTGGCGATTGTGGCGGCGCACCGTGGAATGGATGGCGATGGGAGTGATCCGGAGAAAGCGACTAGTTCGCGAGTGGAGTAAGACCGTGACGCAGGTCATTTCTCGCGGAATAATATTGATGAGATGGAATGATGGATGCTACACTGATACCGATACCGATACCGATACCGATACCCCTTTACGACTAATTGGATTTGATATATGATATTTGATATGATATTTTCGATACTCACAATAGCTAGCGAGGTAGATGAAATATATTGTCATTGACTAGCTTCAAAGCTTTAAAGTGTGCACTTGGGGTCGGATGGTAAACCACCTGGGCAGTGGACGGTGGACCTAGTAGAAACATGGTTGAATTAGCCTATGCTTGGCCCGGCCGTTATCCACTCTTGGCTGGGCACGGATATCAATATCATGATCTGAATCTGCTTAATTGTTATGGGTCATGCCGATATTGTCGGTCTCAGGGTTGAAGGGTTTTCTTCATTTGATTTGTGTTTGTGCTGGTAAAGGGGATAGCAAAGGTACACTATACCTAGAGAGAGACACACTAATGTCACATATGGGTCCAATTGAATTGACGTACAAAAACAGACTTTGGAGAAATTGAATGAAGCAATTTCAAGAGAAGCAAAAGTTCTAAAGGAAGAAGTCGCCTTTTATGTGATCTGTGTGTTAACCCCGCATCAGCTTACAAGGATCATGATGTCCGGGGAGACTGTTGTGCGGTACTATACTGCATCTCGCTTACTACTGGCCAACGGACTAGCTACTAATTTAATGTTTAATTAATGCATTAACTTGGAAGTCCATGGGCTGGCCAGACCCAGTGTATTCAATCTATATACATTATTTACTAAGGATCCATATATACTCCGAGTCCATACTAGTATATGTACTAGAAATAGGAAAGACCAACATCTCACTAAACCTAGATGATCATAGTCACGCCATCCGCGCGAACAATTAGTAATAGAACCCTTTTAACTAGTCAAATTGATCCATACTAGACTATATACCCGTATAGCCCCCAGATAGGAGAAGCAGTCGTATATCAAAGGGGCTGAGCTTTTAAGCTGGGATATCCACTTTGTACAACCCATGACTTCGGGGTTCATACGCGTCCTGCAGGTACATACGTGGATAGGAAAACCTAGTATCTGGCTGCCTTGTACAGTGTTCTGAGTTGAATTTTGTTGTTGACTGTTTATTTTAAAATATATAATTTTATAGTTATAGGTATGGTTATAGGTATCGATAGGTAAAGAGCTATAAATGTCTCTGTTATAGGCCGATAATGGAAGCCCCACAATGCCGATTCCGTCTATGATCAATGCCGAATTGGGGAGGTACGGCCGGGAGTTGCAAAGGTAAAAAAAGAGAGAGAGAGAGAGAGAGAGAGAGAGAAAGATTGGTAAAAAGGAGAAGGAGTATACATTATAATATACTGTCTATTGACTAGTCTACTGGTTCCAGTGGTCTAACCCGGGTGGGTTTCATGTTCCTGTTCCACAATTCTTGTTACTGATTGACTGATTGTACCTGGTTTTTTTCCCACTCACACAATATGAGTGGGAACCAGGCAGAAGAATAAGACACTAAAAGAGGACCCTGAATACTTAATAAAACTCTGTATAACTTTCTTTTCATCCATATATTTATCATATACCATAAAGTAAATCCAGTTAGTGTCGCTAAATACAGTAAAAAAAAAATCACGCCAAGTCTCGCTCCGGGAACCAAGAATCCTATCTTTTGCCCCAACTCGATCCATCCTCTCCTACCTCCCCCGTCTTCCGCATTCCAAACGCCCCTTCCCCCCTCCCTCCTTCAACCTATCCCTCCCCGACCAGTGTGAGGTCGTCCGATTCAGTGCGCCAAGAACGATTCACTCCCCCTGTGTACTGGATGAGTCTCGACTCCGCCTCCTCCAATGCACAGACGGTCGTCTGGCTCCCCTGTCGCGGACGACACTGAAGATTCCTCCAGATCCGATGATCATGGCTCCAATGCCACGGATTCTTCCACCGATAAATCTCGTTCCAACATAGCCCGTCACGGAACTAGCTTCGATCTCCGTCGCGATAACGGTTCTTCCACGCCGCGCTCGCGGAATTCGAGCCTGTGGCGCACGCCCTCCTCCCAACCTTCCAACGATACAAAAACTATGCCATTGGGTTCGCCGCGTCTCCCCATGGACGCTCCCTCCCCCGAGGGCCGTCGCGCACATCACTCTCGTCAGCGCAGTCCCTGGTCCTCCTCCATTTTGACCGCTTGCACCACTTTCTTCGCCGTGGCGTTCTTGTTATCTATCGTTCGCTCGTTCACGGGTCGCTCCACCGGTGGAGATGGCTGTGCCGTCCCCATGATGAGTCCGACTTTTATTCGCATGTTGGAATTCGATACGGAATATACCCGCTTCGCAAGCAAATATAATTTGTTCCTTTATCGGGAGGAAGGTGTGGATCCATATACTCAGGATAATATCGGGGTAAGAAGAAGAAGGATGCTTCCGGGTTCCATGGGATGAAATGAATTTCGTGTGCTGATATTTTATCTTTTAATTCGGCAGTTAAACGGTGTACCGGTTCTGTTCCTTCCCGGCAACGCAGGTAGTTACCGACAGGTCCGGTCTTTGGCCGCGGAGGCTTCGCGACATTACTACGATGTGGTACGCCATGATGAGGATCGACATGCGGCCGGTACGCGGAGTTTGGATTTCTTCATGGTCGATTTCAACGAGGATATGGCGGCGTTTCACGGCCAGACCTTACTCGATCAAGCCGAGTATGTGAATGAGGCTATTGCGTATATTTTGTCTCTTTATCATGATCCGCGACGGACCCGACGAGACCCCGGACTCCCAGATCCGAGTGCCGTGATCCTTATCGGACACTCGATGGGTGGGATTGTGGCGCGCACGGTTCTTACAATGGCTAATTACCAGGCGAACTCGGTGAATTCGATCATTACCATGTCTGCGCCGCATGCAAGACCGCCCGTCTCGTTCGATTCCGATATCGTCCATACCTATAAGCAGATCAACGACTACTGGCGCGAGGCTTATTCCCAAACGTGGGCCAACAATAATCCTTTGTGGCATGTTACTCTCGTCTCTATTGCAGGTGGTTCGCGGGATACCGTCGTGCCATCCGATTACACCAGTATTTCGTCCCTTGTCCCCGAGACTCATGGCTTTACGGTGTTCACGTCTTCCATCCCCGACGTGTGGATTGGCAATGACCATCTTTCTATCACTTGGTGCGACCAATTCCGCAAGGCGGTAATCAAATCCTTGTTTGAAATGATCGATGCTCGACGACCTACTCAAACTAAACCTCGAGCGGAACGCGTGCGCATTCTCAAAAAGTGGTATTTGACTGGATTGGAGGACGTTGCGGAAAGAACACTAGCACAGAAGGAACCCGATGTTCTTTTGACACTGGAGGATAATGCCAACACCATTCTTGCTCAGGGACAACGGCTGACCCTCCGTGAGATGGGCAAGCGCCATGGCCCTGATGTTCACCTTTTGCCAATCCCACCCCAGGGTGTCGCGGGAAAGAAGTTCACTCTTCTTACGGACCAGGTCATTGGTGCCCAGGCAAATATCGAGGTTCTCTTTTGCAGTGTCTTCCCTCTTAACAACGGTCGTTCAACTGTGTTTTCTATGAATATGGATTTCTCAGGTGGGACTGTCGGGTCGACACGGTTAGCTTGCAAGAGTTCAGCAGAAGATGTGATTCATTTGCCTGCGTCTACTTCCTCATCAAAGAACGCCTATGACCGTGTACCACCATTCTCGTACCTGCAGTACGATCTGGAGGGTCTCGCCGAGCATCAATTTGTCGCTGTGGTGGACAAGGCTAGTGTGCCTTCCCAGGGCTTTTTGGTCGCAGAGTTCTCCGAAAGCTCAGATGCCATGATTCGCGCTAAAGTAGGATTAGGTGGTTTGTTGAGTGCTGGAATCAAAATGCGACTTCCTGCCCATCGACCCATGCTTATGGAAGTCAAGGTTCCAGCTTTACACTCCAGCTTACTCGACTATCGTCTTAAAATTACGCGTCATCCCCAAAAGGATGAGTTGTTTGCCCCTCTGCTGAGACAATCTATTCCCGATCCCCATGAATCGAAGTTCTTCGTCAATGTTGACGACGTCCAAGTCAATCTGCACGGCGTTGCCCCCTTCATGCCACCTCCACTTCGGGAACAGGCTGCTCAGACTGGCGTGTCATTTCAACTTTGGACCGATCCCAGCTCCGGTTCTACGGTCGACATCTCACTTCAGGTCGATATTAAGAGCAGTCTCGGTGAACTGGTTATGCGATACCGTACGATTTTCGCTGCATTCCCGCTGTTAGTCGTGGCTCTGGTGCTCCGCAAGCAATTCCAGATCTATGACGAGACGGGTACTTTCATTCCCTTCAATGATGGCCTTGATCGAGCTTTGCGGTCTTCTCTGCCCCTTTTGCTTGTCGCTATGTCACTTTTCGCAACGTCTCTTGCCACCTCGAGGGCTTTGCCTCAGTCCGATGATCCATTCCATTTGAGGACAAACTCGACAGAGAGTCCGGTGGATTTCACTAAGAATGATCTTCTTTTAGGATCAGAGGATGCGTTCTTCTGGTTCCTTGTTCCGATCTTCGGAATCATCAGTGTTGGTGCTTGTGTGATAATTAATTATGCTGCTCTCTTCCTTGTCAACATATTTTCGTTGATGTATGGTGCTGTGAACAGCAAGTCGGGTTATATCCGACGCGAAGATCGAGGGTAAGTTCTCTCTCACTGAATTTTTCCCCCTTGTCGAATGGGGTCCCCTTTCTAACAGATCATAGAAGTATCCCGATTTTCAGCACTCCCACGCCTCGCCGACGTGTCATTCACACGGTAGTGCTATTGATACTTGTTTCGACTATAATCCCATACCAATTCGCCTATATGGTGGCGTGTATTGTACAACTGGCGACTTGTGTGCGAGCTCAGTGGCATGCCAAGGATACCGTAAGTGTTCATTCATTAGTCCCATGTATAGAACAAGGCCCCTAACACTCAACAGAGATCCACTTCTCACCTTAATTTCGGCAACTACGCCCACTCCATTCTCATTCTTATGTTATGGATCCTCCCTATCAATGTCCTCGTTCTCCTGGTCTGGGCACACAACCTCGTGGTACACTGGTTCATGCCCTTCTCCTCCCATCACAATGTCCTATCCATTATGCCATTCCTACTTCTCGTAGAGACTATGACCAGTGGTGCGATGATCCCACGCATCACAACTCGGTAAGTTAACCTCAATGTCTCCTTAATCCCACCATATGATATCATACCATTCCATTCTAACTCTTATTTCTCCAGATTCAAACACGTCACCTCAACAATCTTCTTCGCCATCGCAATGTATTCCGCTGTCTACGGTGTGACCTACGCTTATCTTCTTCACCACCTTGCAAACCTCCTCGCTGCCTGGTTCGTTGGGATCTACCTAGTCGGCAACAATTTCTCCCCACGCCGCTTATGGCGCATTATCGACGGCGACGAACTCCCATCCGATTCGGGCAGTCGCCACGTCAAGAAAAAGCCATGAACTGAGCAATAAAGAAACCCAAAAAAATAAAGATTCATAATTATGTTTTACCTTCATTCAATTCTTGGAGTTGCGCATGGGGCATGGAGTTTGAGCGTTTGTTTACTATTTCAATTTCTGTACAGACAAGACAAGACGATACAAGACAAGACGGAATACATCATGATTCCACACTCCAATCCCAAGATTTTCAGCACTGTACTATTTATTATATTACCCTATCCAACTGAATAGCATAGTGCCTGTTGTTATGGTTTTCTGCAATCCTCAGCTCGTCCTCTCCTACCCTCCTCTCCTCTAATCAATATTCTGGACTATCCTGACTCTGCTTCGTCTCGAATTATGATATCACCTTGACATTACTTACACTTGCCTATGTAAGTCCAGAGTATGTGTATATATCGTTTGCGGTTTTCTCTTTTTGTCTTCCCTTCTCTCTTTTCTTTTTTTGGCGATAGAGATGATTTTGGTTCCGATTCCCGATTGTGTACTGATTTTTCACTTTGTAGTTGGACTGGGTTGGGTTGTTTTCACTTGGTGTATTGTATACCGTTTACTCTACTAGAAATGCATAGATTATGATTATTATGATAGATGCTGCCTATTTGCACAATGACAAAGAAATGATATCGATCATTACTCAATCTATCTACTACCTATGTCTACAGATGCAGATGCGACCGAATCAACGTACTATAATCCCTGCAGTCTCAGAGTTCAAGTCTCCATTATTCCAGCACGCAGAACCTATCAATTTCAATTTTTTTTCCTAGCCCCCACCCCTGGCGCGTAGATATTATTTGTTAGCCCCGCGCCCACTTCCAGCTACTAGACATTGCAGACCTCAACCTCCAGACCACCCACTCTATCATCTCCCCTGACCAACTCATCCAGTTCCGGAGGTACTAAGTCAATATCGCCAAGATTAATTCACAACCAACCATCATACCCTCTGTATATTCCACTCTATATACCGCTTATACGCTGCTCGCTCTCCCTGCGCGTCTATTGACATGGTGGCTGTATTATATACCCAAGTCCAATCGCCCCAATCCTGCCTGGTCCTGGAAAACAGCAGTTACTCTCCAAGTGATCACCCTGGTAATCCGATACCGAACAGCTACTAGGTACCACACCCCTATCTCCCTGGAGCCAGGCCCAGACGGAGACCGCTTTATAGTAGTGAACCCACAATTCTCTATCTCAGATCCCAATCCGGAAACCAAATCCGAGTCAGCAGTCTATCAAGGAACACTTACCTCCGTCCCATTTGTTAAGCCTCTACCAGTCGGTGCAGTCTGGTACCCAGCTACACCCGTTCAGCCCCCAAAAAGACTTATTATCCATTTCCACGCAAGTGCCTATGTACTTTTTGGCCCAAGACCTTCAGACGGAACAGGCTGGGGCCCCACGGGCTTTAGTGAAGTTTCCGGATGGCCGATTCTTTCAGTTCAATATCGGCTCTCGTTGGATACGGATAAGACCTTTCCCGCTGCTGTCCAGGATGGACTGACGGTTTATATCTATGCTTTAGAGTTTCTTAAGATCCCTGCTTCGAATATTGTGCTCTCCGGTGAATCTGCGGGTGGTAATCTCATATTAGCCATTCTGCAATATATCACTGAAGAGAATCATGCGATTCCTCTTCCTCGATGACGCTATCTTGTGGTCACCACGGGGGGATATGACGCATTCAGCCCTTGTTAAAATGGTCAAACACCGTAACTACAAGTCAGATTATATTGAATATGATCTTGGTATATGGGGTGCAAGTTCATATATCCCTCCTGGTTGGGGAGATGATCACCCGTTCTTGTCGCCGCTGGCGAGTGAGAAGGGCTTGAGGCTGAGTGTTCCGCTTTTTATTGAAGTGGGTACATCTGAGGTGCTTTATGATGATATTGTGCAATTTGCGAATATGATGAAGAAGAATGGGACGGTGGTGGAGATTCGTGAAGCTCCTAATGGTGTTCATGCGAATTCTGGGATTGCGAGTAATTTGGGCATGTCTGAGGTTGCTGTGGAGGGGCATGTATGCGCTGCAACGTTTATTGCGAGAATTTGGGAAGAACTTGAGTGAAAGGCCATGGGGATGTATGTATCTACGTATACCTAGGTCTACGGATATTGATATTGGATGGCATGATCGACTTAACATCATGGTGGAGTGAGGCCCTTCAAATACTCTAGATGTATACGCTACTCGCTGTCAAGGACGTGCCAAATGGGGATCATTCCAAGTAGCAGCCTCTGCGACTAGGGCAAAAGACTTCGAATACCAGATCGAAGATCTGGTATTGATCACGCTTCATATAGTAAGACTTCAGGTTCGTAACACTCGCCTCAAATACACTATCTGTGGGTAACCTAGAGACTAACCTTATATCAGTGTATTTGCATTTGTATGTACTTGGAAGACTGATTACTGATTTTTTCACAGGGTTATACTTGTCAGCCTCAAGCCTGAGCGTGGAAGAGGTTCCTGTGTACAGTATAGTACAAAAGGGTGGGTACATCGTCCAGCCCCATTGTCATACTCAGTAAGAGGCGCATGCAGAGAAAGCCCTACCTGCCCCATATATTAGAAATAAAATAAAGGACTGGGGCGCATAATATTAATGCCAACCATGCGGGATGAGATCCGGATCGGATCCACATCCCCATACTTACTTGTCACATTATGCCAAGTATAGAACATCAAAGAAACCTTAGAAAAGAAAGGAAAAACAAAGAAAACTTCAAGCTCACAGGGTGTCGGGCGAAAAGGCTGTGCCACGTAGTATATGCTAGTTAGACTGGATTGGACTAGAGAGGACGAATACGAATAGTATGTTTTATTTGGCTCTACTACACTACCCAGAGCTGCCACTGGTTGGTGGATGGAAAATATCGGAAGGGTACATACAGTACATCCATGTACAGTAGGTCAAAATCAAGGAGAAATCTCAGCCACGAATCAGGACAGGGTGAAAATTTGGATAAATTGTAAAACTTACTTTAGCGCTGCGCAAGGAGAATCATTAGACGGAATCTTGACCCACTGCCGAGTGACCCGATCGGTATTCGCCACTGACCTTTTTTCTGGGGGATAAGGCATAGGGATAAGGGATAAGGGGTGCGATAAGTACTAAAGTATACTGAGCCTGATGGTGAGAGGGTTAAGCTGGGCTGTTTCTTTTTCCGTTTCTGTTTTTGTTTTTTAAAGGTTAATCCAGGTAGACGGGTGTTGACGATTAAACCAAGTGAACTTAAACAGTAAGCGGTAAGGCCTGGCAGATGAGATGGGGTTATAATGAACTTTAAGTGACAGACCTTTGTCCTTCGGAACATTTGTCAAATGAAGTTAAACAGTATCTGCAGTATACATGTGCAGATACTCTGTCATCTACATTACATCTACATGACGGCTTACGTATATACATGGTGGCTGCTGTGATCCCGCGATAAGCGATAAGTTAGCCGTGAGGAAAAAGCGGTGATGATGTCTATGTATATCAGATTCTTCAAGTGTAAACCCCAGATGCCGAGGCTGTCGTTCAAGTTCACAGTTGTATAATGATAAGGTGGAATGTTCCAAAGTCAACTCATAGGTACTTTGGAATGGACAGATGGGAAATTCATTACCCCTGAAAATTTCAAAGTGTTCTGCTGATTTCTCGGGATGACCGTCGATCAAGTAGATCTTCATACTGTAGGATAGATAGCAAAGAAGAGCAAAAAACAAAAAATGAATAAAAAGTGCATTTGACTAAAAATAATCAAGTATTTGATTGCTTCATGCAACGATGCTTACGATAACCTCCATCTAGTATGTATGAAGGCCCCCAGGGCCAACATGCCCGACTAAGCCACTGTGTAAGATTCCAGAAGACTCAGATTGGGAAGTAGACGGATAAAAGCGGGATAGTAAGCCATGTGTAGCAAGTCATGTACAACTTTAAACTAAAAGAAATCATTTTATTTCGTTTTCTTTCTTTTGAAAAATCTTCCCCCGAGCCTTGAAAATTAGGTGAAGTACATTTACTGGCAACCGGAAAGAGCTGCGCCACCGGGTCATGCAAGTGGCGAACCGCAAAAATCTGGCAGCGGCCCTAATGTATAGCCGTAGCCGTAGGGCCAGGCCGATTGTATGCATCTATGCAGTTATGGAGTCTTCGGGACAGGGAGAGTAAAAATGATCTGTTTCATGCCCCGGATTGCTGGCCTAGAGCGGATTAGACTGGTACTGCATGTGCAATGTACAACAGGGTCCTCGAGCCTCTCAAGCTGATAGCGAGGTATAATTAAATAAAATTAAATATTAAAATAATACTAGTAGTAAATATAGATCAAGGCAGAGGAGGAAAAAGTCAAAAATGAACATTCAAGGTTCTATGTGTTCCTACTAACTATGGAAATAACTATCAATTGATAGTAATACTATATACTCTATATACTACATACTGCGTACTGTGTAGATAGTGCCTCTCATATCTAAGTGACCACTGTAGTATGGTGATAGATAGTGATAGTCACCCCTCCTTCCCAATTGAAATTTTCATTTTTTGCAAATTTGATTTTTCGCTCAAACAGAGTCTGAACCAATCAGATCACTGCAATTTGGGCACAGGTCACCCATCGACCAATCGGGATCCCCATACATCACCGCCCACCACCGAAACAGGCTTAGTCCAAATCCACCATTTGCACTGAACAAAAAAAATTTTCGATTCACCCTTGGGCGGCGAAGGGCCACACGATAAATAATCTCGCCCCCCCTTCAACCCGCCCCTCCTTTCTTCTCTCCATTCTCCATCCTTATTCTTGAGGTCTGTCCTCGCTTTCTTTTTCTGGTTTTATTCTCTCTGTATAGACAGATAGAACCTTCGCTCAATTTGGACAGAGCGTTGTTGTGTCTTGAACAGAAGACACAGCCTGGGACCACACAAAACGATATCGTGATACCCTTAAAAAAAAACCTTTCGTTATCTTAATTTCCGGTTTTCCCCCCCCCCCAACCGCCAAAATTCCTCCCAAAATGCCTGCCGCCGACGTTTCAAAAGCTCCTGCCTCTTCTGGCAAGGAGGTTGCTCAGTCTGTCGCTGTCCTTGAGGATCTGATCAAGAACCTCAACGTCTCGACCAGCCCCGAGGAGGCTAACGCCGCCTCTGGCAACCTTGCCACTCTCTTCAGCGGTCCTATCCCCGAGCAGACTCTCCCCGCCAAGGCCGCCGAGATCTTCAAGAAGCAGCTCGCCAACAAGAAGGATGCTACTGCCCGTGAGCGTGCCCTTGAGGGTATCCGCGCCATCGCTTCCCACGGCACCATCGCCCCCGGTGTCGAGCCCCACCTCGCTGAGCTCCTTGCTCCCGTTCTCGCTGCTGTTGGTGACAAGATGACCCCCGTCCGCGAGATGGCTGAGTCCACCGCTGTCGCTATCACCCAGGCTATCAACGGTAACGCCGTCAAGGCTATCGTCCCTGCTATCCTTGAGTCTATCTCCAACGCCCAGAAGTGGACCGAGAAGAAGACTGCTCTTGACTGTCTTGAGATCCTGGTTGCCTCATCCCCCGCCCAGCTCTCCTACCAGGTCCCCCGCCTTATCCCCGTTGTCTCTGAGGCCATGTGGGACACCAAGGCTGATATCAAGAAGGCCGCCTACGGCACCATGGAGAAGGTTTGCGGTCTGATTGTCAACAAGGATATTGAGCGTTTCATTCCCGAGCTCATCAAGTGTATTGCCAAGCCTGAGAACGTCCCCGAGACCGTTCACTTGCTCGGTGCTACCACTTTCGTTTCCGATGTCACTGGTCCTACCCTCGCTATCATGGTTCCCCTTCTGGACCGTGGTCTCGTTGAGCGTGAGACTGCCATCAAGCGTAAGTCTGCTGTCATTGTCGACAACATGTGTAAGCTGGTCGAGGACCCCCAGATCGTCGCTCCTTTCTTGCCCAAGATGTTGCCCGGCCTGAACAAGAACCACGACACCCTTGCCGACCCCGAGGCCCGTGAGAAGACTCGCCAGGCCCTTGACACCATCACCCGTGTTGGTCAGATCAAGGATGGCAAGATCCCCGAGATCTCCACCGCTGGTGACATCTCCACCGTTGCCGCTATCCTCAAGGATATCCTCAAGCCCAAGTTCGAGTCCCGCATCGCCCCTTGCGAGACCATCATCAACTACGTTGCTGCCATCGCTGGTCAGCTCGTTGACGAGAAGGATTCCGACTCCACCATCTGGACCCAGAACGCTCTGCCTTACATCGTTGCCATCGTTGGCGAGGAGGAGGCTAAGCCTATTGCCGATGCTCTCCGCAAGAAGGCCTCCCCCGAGGCCGCTGCCGCTGACGAGATCCCCTCCGACGAGGAGGAGGGTGTCGATCTTTGCAACTGTACCTTCTCCCTGGCTTACGGTGCCAAGATTCTGCTTAACCAGACTCACCTGCGTCTTAAGCGTGGTCAGCGTTACGGTCTCCTGGGTCCCAACGGTTCCGGAAAGACCACTCTCATGCGTGCTATCAACAACGAGCAGCTTGAGGGTTTCCCCAAGAAGGATGAAGTCAAGACCGTCTACGTCGAGCACGACCTCGACGCCGCCGACACTGAGCAGACTGTCATTGGCTGGACCGTGAAGAAGCTTGTCGAGGTTGGCCTTGAGCCCGTTGAGGCTGATGTCCGTGACAAGCTGATCAACGAGTTCGGCTTCCAGCCCGAGCAGCTCGATGGTCTTATCACCTCCCTGTCCGGTGGTTGGAAGATGAAGCTCGCTCTGTGCCGTGCCGTCTTCGAGCAGCCCGATATTCTTCTGCTCGATGAGCCCACTAACCACATGGACGTCAAGAACGTCGAGTGGCTCGAGAACTACCTCAAGACCTCTCCTTGCACTTCCATCATGGTGTCTCACGACTCCCGCTTCCTGGACCACGTTATCCAACACGTTATCCACTACGAGCGCTTCAAGCTCAAGCGTTACCGCGGTACCCTGAGCGAGTTCGTTAAGAAGGTCCCCTCCGCTCGCTCCTACTACGAGCTCGGTGCCTCCGACATGGAGTTCAAGTTCCCCGAGCCCGGTTTCCTTGAGGGTGTCAAGACCAAGTCTAAGGCCATCATCCGTGTCAACAACATGACCTTCCAATACCCCAACACGCCCCGTCCCCAGATTGCCGACATCACCTTCCAGGTCTCCCTGGGTTCCCGTATTGCCGTCATTGGTCCCAACGGTGCCGGAAAGTCTACTCTCGTTAACGTCTTGACTGGTGAACTTATCCCCACCTCCGGTGACGTCTACCAGCACGAGAACATCCGTATTGCCTACATTAAGCAGCACGCTTTCGCTCACATTGATAACCACCTTAACTCCACTCCCTCCGAGTACATCCAGTGGCGTTTCCAGACTGGTGAGGACCGTGAGACCATGGACCGTGCCAACAAGATCGTCACCGACGAGGATGAGAAGGCCATGGACAAGATCTACAAGGTCGAGGGTACCCTCCGTCGTGTCATTGGTATCCACTCTCGTCGTAAGTTCAAGAACACCTACGAGTACGAGATCTCTTGGTCTCTGGGTGACAACATCGGCATGAAGTCCGAGAAGTGGACTCCTCTCATGTCCGCCGACAACACCTGGTTGCCCCGTTCCGAGATCATGGAGTCTCACTCCAAGCAGGTCGCCGAGGTTGACCAGAAGGAGGCCCTTGCCTCCGGTCAGTTCCGTCCTCTGGTCCGTAAGGAGATTGAGCAGCACTGCGCCAACTTCGGTCTGGACAACGAGCTGGTCTCTCACTCCCGTATGCGTGGTCTGTCTGGTGGTCAGCGTGTCAAGGTCGTCCTTGCTGCTTGCTCTTGGCAGCGTCCTCACGTCATTGTCCTTGACGAGCCTACTAACTACCTGGACCGTGACTCCCTTGGTGCTCTCTCCAAGGCTCTGAAGTCCTTCGAGGGTGGTGTCATTATCATTACCCACTCCCGTGAGTTCACTGAGAACCTCACTGAGGAAGTCTGGGCCGTCAACAACGGTCTCATGCAGCCTTCCGGTCACAACTGGGTTCAGGGCCAGGGCTCCGGTCCCCGTCTGGACGCTAAGGGTGATGATGAGGAGGACAAGTTTGATGCCATGGGTAACAAGATTGTCGTCGAGAAGAAGAAGAAGCTCACTGGTAAGTTACATCTTAACATTCACAACACCATTGATATAATACACGATTGCTAACATATATTCTTTCAGGATCTGAGCTTCGCAAGAAGAAGAAGGAGCGTGCTGCTCGCCGCAAGCGTGGTGAGGAGGTCTTCTCTGACGAGGATGACATCTAAGTCATCTTAGACATATAAGACATAAAATTGTCTTTTCATGGAGTTTATGACTTGTTGATGAATTTCATAGTTTGCTGAGGACAAAAATACATTTCATGCTGTTCATACATATAAACTTTTTCCAAGTTTACACCTTTCCTTCCCATTCATAGTTCACTAAATATAGACATGGTAGTTGTTTTCGTACAAAAGCCATCTGGGAAACTGAGGCTGCCGTAGCTAAACTTACGTTACATGTTCATGTTGTGCATGCATGCAAGCGACCTCATGCCGGACGTTCTAGGATTATCAGATCCTGTCCACGTGTTGTACGAAGTGGGCCCCGTGCAAGAAACCAATCGTCTGCCCTATTAATTGATCCTTAAAATTAGAGTGCTTACTGGAAGGCTCAGGTTATTGCGGAGTGGAGCGAGGAGCACATGTCTTGGGTCTACTGTACATCAGTACAGATTCAATTTCTTCTGAATAAACCATCTAGATACAACCGTTAAATTCACTATAAGACCACGCTTCCCACTCTGAATCTCAAAATGTCCACCGTATGATTGAATGCGAAAAAAAAGCATCTGGGCATCTCCGAAACCTCGGAACACCTTCCGCCTCTTTCAATGTGAAAATCTATTCAAACCCTTAAAGAGACCTTTGAAGAAACCTATAGACGTTGTGGCCCTCCTACTCCCCTTATAAACTGTCCACCTCCTTACTGTCCCAGCTACGAGCTTGGATTTGCTCTCTGGCCCCCTGACCTGTGACTGTCTTCAGAAGCCGGATGGTGATCTTGAGATTGAATTGTATAATTTGGGCCGAGAATGAATCATGGCCAAATGCTTCTCACAATCCTTCGTACTAAGAAGTTATCCGATACATTCTTCTAGTTCAGTTGCAGAATGAGTATCTATCTCGATTTTTCGGAGATTGGTGCGATCTGCCATGAGCTTTTCAAGAAGTCAGATGCTATCTTCAGCCAGGGTTGCCGAGTTATCACTGGCCAGATGTTGAAGCCTGGGGAAATCAATCAAACGTGCTGGAGGTACGTGACACTTTCGGGGCCAACAGAATTGGGATCAGGCGTGAAATAACCAACGTCTTCTGTTTTCCAGTGTGGGGCTCTTCCGGTCGCACTCAGACCAGGTTCGCCATCTAAACCGTCTGCGCCTGGCGTACCAGATGGGCCTGGAGGTCCTGGCGGGCCCGGGTTGCTGCGAATTCTGTTTTGTACAGCCACAGCTATAGTATCGCGGGTGGTTTCCTGTAGTAATTGACGCATTTGGTCTGGAGTCATGCCCATTTGCGATGAAGCATCATTCTGCGGTGGGATAGGAGGTGCTGATATATAGTCGGTGAATCGATCGAATCGATGGAGAGATCTTGTGTATTAGCGAGAGTCGTTCACAGGTAGCAAGCTTTGTGTGTGTTCAATAGAATTAAAGTCCGATTCTGTAAGTGCTCCACGGTGCTTGTGGAACGTAGGACTAAAGATCAAATTCTGATTGGAAAAAGGCTTTTAAGTTAAATAGCCTCGGAGTCGGCGTAAGCTGGTCTACTGAAGGTAGGGAAAGCACTAATAATGTGGATATAGCTTATACAGAAAGGGGTTCCTCAAGCGCGGCAGGTTGCGGCGTCTGCGGAGATTGCTCGGCAGGAGGCCTTAAGGGAGTAGCCGGGGGCCAGGAGGTATTTATGTACCTCTAACCGTAGCTCCGGTGGAAGGCTGAGCAGTGATATTGCCATTTCGCTTGCCTGGCAAACTGGTGTGGTGAGCCTAGGAAAGGTTAGCGGTGAAAGCAACAACGGAGGTTGAGGTTGACAGGAGAACGGACATGATTTCTTAAAGAGAGAAAGATCGAATTTGAGAAAGAAGATAAGACCTTTGACAAGATGATGGTGGTGATGGTGGAGAAAGATGGTAAGAGGGAAGATGAAAGAGAAGGTGAAAGAAGTATAAATAGTAGTAGTTGGAACCTTGGAAGAGAGGTGACCATTTAGGCAACTCACAGGAATTCCTATAAATCGAATATCTTCACTACTGATCTATTGTATAGATAACAATCTCAGAAGTTATTCAGGCAACTGGGAGATGCCTTCAGTCACTTTTTCTACCTTGAGGTTTATGCCTTATTGAAAACAGCCCTATGGACTCTAATACAATTTACTGGGAATTCTAGGCGCCATTCACCGCTGCTGGCCTTGCTTGACCAAAGTCGGAGATTGCGTGTCCTGAACATATAGTATATATGATGTATAGAGAATAGGAGAACGAACTCTTCAGGCCTCCACAGTTTTTGTTTAAATTAGTAGTGTGATAAGGTACCTACGTTTCCACCAGGATGGAGAAAGGGTGCGAAAACGACGAATAGCAACGTTGAAGAAGCGAAGGAGAGAGGGAAACTCTACTACATATATAGGCGGATGCCCACTCTTCAGACCAATCATCTGATTGGCCTGTATCCGAGAGTGGGTCAAACTATACAAACGTTCAAACATGCAAACATGCCCGTCCCGAACCTCCTCCATGTAGTTATACTGCAGGTAGATAGACCGTCGGGGTGGAATGATCAGACATCCGCTATCTTATTATAGTATGATATACTACTGTATGTAGTCAATATAAGTCTGAATGGAGAACGTCTGACTTTCAACTATACAGTACATGTAACGCGCTAGAAAAATTGGGTACGTCATGGTACTTTTGGTAAAAGAATTGATGCGGCTCTACTAGCGGTCTGGCCCCTTGCCAGGGGCGGGGAATACTCATCGTTCTTTTTCATTTCAATCAGAGAAGCCCTATCTTAAAAGGTACTGCTCCTAGTCAGCCATATCATCTGACTATGTTGGGCGGGTTTCTAGCATGGATTTTCTGTCTTTTTGAACCTTTTGCCGACTATTGTATACCCCCTATTCAACCCCAAGAGCGTCTCCGGCGACCGTGGCAAGATATCATTACCGGCGTCTATGGTCACCCACCTCTTTTAAAGATCCATAACCGCGACGGAGCCGTGAGCTGGAGTTTCCACCGTGATGATGTCACACAGTCGCTTCCTGACGATGTCCATACATGTCTCTTTGCCAACTCCAACGATGCTACCGAAGTCAAATATCTGAACAACGGCACCAGTGTCGGCGCTGTGTACAGTGATCTTATCCTTGTTATGAACCATACACCCAGGAATGCGGCCACCGACAAGCTTATAACTTTTGCGCTTTGTAGAAGAAACGATTATCTTTGGAACGCGCATACTCTCGAACCTCTGCCGGGCAATCTACTTGCTGTAGGTACCACTGGCCAACGAGCTTGGGACGGTATTCTTGTTTATAATGCGAGCGCTGCCAATAATCTTATGGCAAACCCTCCAATCCTCCAAAATATCACTGGTCTAAGAGCTATACATGGTTTGATTTGGGACGAACAAGGGCAAATGCTGTGGGCAGCGGGTACAGATGTCGCAGCAGACGGTTCCGATCCAGCCCCTGCTTATGGAACTATCGTTGGATATCCTTGGGACTCTAGCACGGGTCTCTTATCGAAAGATGATCGTTATATCTATAAACTACCCGAGGCATACCGGGTCGAAACAGAATGGGGCAAGGGGTATTCCTGGTGGGCCGGGTTGCACGACCTAGTGCCCATCCCTGGTCAGCGGAAGTTTATAGTGTCGGAAGACCGTGGGCTACACGCTTTTGATATCGAGTCAGGCCGATTTACAGAACATTATGAGAATGTTACCAATAAATATCTACAAGGGTTTGAGGTTACAACTGATGATCGACATGGGTATACCGGTGACGGGAAGTGGGAAGAACTGCCTCAGTCTGACCTGAAGAGTTTCAATATTGCACCCGATGGCAGCTTCATCTATGTGCAGTCATTGTGGACCAAATTTCGTGGCTTCCACACAAGTTTGGTCGTTCACGGCAAGAGACGTAAGATCAATATCGGCGATGAGATCTATCGATCGCGGTGGTTTGGTAATCTGGATGGCTGGCCAAAGCCTTGAATGTACGCTGGAAATATTATCATAATTTAAGAAAAGCTTTCGAATATATTTATTAAATTATGATTATGTTATATCATTATTCAATCAACATATCAAAAGGCGTTATCTTTACACATTGTGTCTATAACCTCTATCAATATTCTATAATTCTATTACAGAAAATTACGTTCTTCTTTAGGGCCTACGCTCTTAGCAGTAATATTAGAAGATTATGGTATAAAAGATTCTTATATTCAATATGCAGTTCCTCAGGACTCGGAATATTCACCCGACTTCCTTTAGATTGGCCGTCACTGCACCGTAAATGAATAATGTCGGGGAGGAGAACGAACGCACAGACTTCGGCATTTTATCCAGGCAAGGCATCTTGGGCATAACTTGAATTGCTCTCTCTCTCATTGCATTCTCGAGCCAATAGAGCTGCTTTCTTCGCATCCTTGATAACTCCTACACCTGGCGCGGTAATGGAGAGAATTGCGGATCTCGCACTCATGTCTTTTATGATCTCTTGGTCTCTTTCCAATGACCATGATGGAATCCACCATCCCGATGGATGACCTCCAGCTTCTTTCAATGCTAGAAACTTTTAGTAAAAAAATAGCTGAGGATATCCTATCCGGGATATCCCCTTCCTTGAGCATTAAGGAGGGTAGATATGATGGTGCACGTCAATCTTCGCCATGTTCAAGCTGATGGTATGGGAAATATGGAAACCAGTGCCGTATGAACCAGCAAGACATATGTTTTTGAATTCGAATTGGTGCATAGAAATGCATAACGACCGTATCACAAGGACCAAAGAGCTGGCCTAGTCATCCAATGATTAGTGCAGTTTTCATGCGACTGGTGAGCACCCTCTGGGCGATAGAGGGGGCATGCACAATTTCCATCTGGAGAACTGGAGAGGGGCTCAATCACTAAGAAAATAGCAGAGAAGCAGGAAGAGAGACGTGAAAAAGGAGAAGAGAAGAAAAAAAAAAACGAAAAAGAAATGACAAGAGTGGGATTTGAACCCACGCCTACAAACGTAGATCAGGAAATTGTGTAACACAATAGTCAAGGTGGGCCTTAACCTGACGCCTTAGACCAACTCGGCCATCTTGCCTGTTCGATATTAGAGCCGCAGATTCTGCCAATATAAGATAGATCGGTACTAGACAGCAAAAAATATCAGTCGTTGATACTCACGCTAAAATCTTAGATCATAGATAGCCTATTTACAACTTGCGACGGTATGAAATACTAACATTGAAAGACTCAGCTAAATGAAAATTCACAAGCGCTAACTCCCTTATCACCGATAAGCCCCACACTGACATAACTGACGACAGGAGTTGGACGATCAGTCGCGCCCGCGCAAGAAAAGACACACGCCCCCTTTCTTCTTTTTTATTTTTATTTTTACCTCTGCAATCTTTCCATGGCAAATCTCTAATAGCGATGCCAGAAAATAAAACACAAGCATCCCACCTCTGCGTGTTGGTCCACGGGTATGTTTCTCCCAAGATCCAAGATCAATGACGTCGTATGCTAATTGGGCACTACAGACTCTGGGGAAAGCCTTCACACCTCGACTACGTCGCATCCGTGCTACGAGACAAATATGACGAGCAGCTTTTTATCCTCAGCCCGAAAGCCAATAGCGGAAACTATACCTACGACGGAATCGAGCTTGGAGGAGAACGATTAGTGCATGAGATCGAGGAAACACTCGAGTCTCTAGCTGAGAAGGGTCAGAAGATTACCAAGATTAGTATTGTTGGATATTCTCTTGGTGGTTTGCTTTCGCGCTATGCGATCGGCTTATTGAATGAACGAGGGTGGTTCGACAAACTGGAACCTATGAACTTTACAACTTTTGCTACGCCGCATGTTGGTGTGCGGGCACCGTTAAAGGGGTGGAAGGATAATATTTTCAATACTCTTGGCGCGAGGACTATCTCGCAGTCTGGTCGGCAGATGTTTCTCATTGATTCATTCCGCGATACTGGGCGGCCGCTTCTGGGCGTCATGGCTGATTCGGAGAGTATCTTTATAAAAGGGTTGAAGAGGTTTCAACAGAGGAGTATCTATGCGAATATTGTGAATGATCGCTCAGTTCTCTTCTATACATCTGCTATCTCCAAGGTGGATCCTTTCCATGATTTGGAAAAAGTGAATATCAACTATGTCGAGGGTTACGAGGATGTTATTATCGACCCTGACACATATGTGCTACCTCATATACAGGGCAAGACTGGCCCCTTCGCTGCGCGATTCTGGAAAAAGTGCAAATCAATCGCTATCTGGATCCCACTGTCATTACTACTCGCTATACTTCTGCCGCTAGCCGGCTTAATCTTCCTGATTAATGCTGGGATCCAGACGTGTCGCAGCTCAAGGCGCATTCGTATGCACGAAGCTGGAGAAAGAGGTGTTCTCTTTGGAAAATATAGAGTACCTGTGTTGGTTCAAGATGTTCAGCATGTTGTGGAGCAGGTCTTCGAGAACGTCAATGCTAGCCAGGAACCAAATTATCTGTCAAACAGCGATACTGAGGCTTCTGACTCGGGACCTGAGAAGGCAGGTCGATCCCATACCCCAAACTTTGCAGGAGATGATACACAGGCCGAATCCTCGTCCACTAGAAGGCACTCGTCGACAGCGCCACACTCTCCGAAGCTTGCCTTGACACCGGACCAATTCAGAATGATCGACTCGCTCAACGAGGTTGGTATCAAAAAGTTCCCCGTTCATATCCAAAAGAAACGGCATAGTCATGCTGCTATCATCGTCCGAAGCACCAAGCCTGGACTGGCGGAAGGCAAACTGGTCATGAAACACTGGTTGGATAATGAGTTCATTGTATAACTATGATTGCATATTCAATTTTGAAGCGTTCTAGCGTTTTGTGTACTTGTAGTGGATATTTGATGATTTTATGTTGGATACAGACAACTAGGAAATCTTGGTAAGACTTTCTAGATGTCCGATCTAAATTATCGACTTAATTTCATTTGCCTCCAGCCCAGCGATGATTGAATCTCTCCTTAGCCATTTCAAGTTCCTCTCGAACGCCATTCCAATTGCCCCCGGTATCATTGATATGCAGTAGTGTAGCCTGTATAACAAAGGCACAACTAGGTGGCAAAGTATCAATCTCAGAGAATGGGAGTTCATTCGGTGCCACCGCAATATCCCGTACCATCTTCGTGAACGAGTCCAGCGCAAGATAAGAACTCTTCATCCATTCATCTGGTGACTTGCGCTTACAGGTAGTCATTCGGGACACCTGGTTTATTATTTCCGAATGCAAGATGAAAAGGCCCCTTCATCATCGAGATTAGTATTTATACTCAGGCATAGTGCTAGGCTCAAGATTGCATATTCACCTGATGATCATCCCGTTTGCTGTGCAGAATGTACCCCATGCACCACCTGATTGATCCATTATAACGGCTAGGACTGTCCGGAGTGTATGGTCTAGCCCGTCGAGGCGGTTCAATCGGTCGTCGGCATCTGACATCTCTATCGTTTTGAACAGTTCATCTAGGAGCCATGTAGCCTGCGCTATACATCCGAATCCACTTGCGTTGGATGCGGACTCTGTTGGAGAAAGAGCATTTGGCATTGTATTTGGAATGGCTAGCATCGGTTCTGTGGGGAGTCGGCTTTCTCTTGCGGGAACTCGACTTGCGAGTGGCTGGTTAGACGGGGCGAGTTCACAGAATATAGTCCTGGATCATAATCATGATATTAGTTATTTTGGTGCTTTCTGTTGTCTCTAATGGCTTGTTTGGCATACCTTTCGCAGGCTACTAGGCCCCACCATGTGTTTCCTTCCTCTTCTGCTTGTTGATACGAATTATGATCCATGTTCGGTATTGGAGCTGCAAGGTGTAGTCGAGATGCATAGCCCATTCTAATACACGTGCTTATCGTAGCAAAGGACTCGGCGATTTTCTTGTTTGCATATTCGTATGCTGCAATTATCGTACCGGCTTGGATAATATGCAAGCTTGGAGGATTGGATGCTTGGACCTGCGCGAAGAGCGCCTTAGTAGTTATGTATAGCGTTGTTATATCGAGAGACTCGGGATCCTGAGACGTGAACTCAGGGTGGTAGGTGATGAGACACATGCATAGTAATAGGAGCGAGAAGCTTGTCGGGGGCGGTGCACCGAAGTTGACGAGTTGATCATGAAATCGAGGACGTGAGATGATAGGGATAAAAATGTGGACACCGTGAAAGTATCGCGCACTGATGTCATCCACGAATTGGCCTGTTGCTCGAATTATTCGTAAGATTTGAAGGTATATTGTTGAGTCCACGGTTATGGGCTCTGTCGACAAGACATCCGAGAAGGAAGTAGAGAGAAGTAGTGAAGACCGAATAATTGGACTCGGTGTAGCTAGGAATGGCCTTGGTTGCGCGATTAAATGCTTCGTATCCACTGATTGATAGGAGCAATTTAACTTTTTCCTGATCTTCTTGTTATTTCTTGCCAACTATTAGTGCGAAGTAGAAGGATCACGAACTGAGCACAATATCCACATCGCGGCTGAGCTTTGTCGCATTTTTTTTTGCGTAGCTTACAATTGACGCAGACCGCGCGCGGCGGGGTGTCGGCCGACGCCATTAAGAGTTTCGCTGGGTGATAGGAGTTGAATGAGGTCGGAGCCTTACCTATTTAAATTCGCTAGATAGGCTATTTTCTGAGAATGACAAACCCATAAGCTGTCGAAAAGGGGGAAAGCGGCGCCGACAAGTGGAGATGACCTCGTGGGATCAGCGCCCACCCGCTGCCCGCCGAGCGCCGACGGGCGGGCCTTTTCAACAAGGTGGGGTTTTTCGTGATTGGCAAATTCATATTAGGAAGATGCCAAGGTGATTAAAAATCCGCGGCCGCGGGTTAAAAAATTTCAAGAGACTTGATGGGCCAGGTATATAAAGAATACCAGATCTACTAGCATTGGCGAAGAGAACAATCTATATTGCTTTCAAGGTTTCATCAAGTTAGATTTCTACTTGGTCATTTGAACGACAAAAATGGCGTCAACAGATAAAGAGAGTGCGCCAACTGAATCAATTCTACCACCAGAAGAAGGTGTTCAAGGATGGATATGCGTGGTTGGAGGATTCTTAGGCTTGTTTGGGACTTTCGGGTTTCTAAATGCGTAAGTACTTTGGTGTTTTTCTCGCAATCTTGCGGTCACTAACTCGGACACTCAGCGTTGGCGTCTTTCAGTCAATATATGAGGAGACGTCTCTCAAAAATTATAATTCATCAGAGGTTTCTTGGATTTTCGCCGTTCAAATATGTCTGATGTGGGCTGGTGGGCCTCTTTGGGGTCGAATCATTGATACCTACGGTGCAGCGCCGGTGCTTTATCCATGCAGTCTTCTCTGTGTGTTCTCTCTCTGCATGACAAGTCTCGCAGACGAATACTACCAGATTTTTCTTGCGCAGGGCCTTGGCTTTGGTATAGGTGCGGGCGGCGTCTTCACCACGTCAATGGTTTGCGTGGGACAGTGGTTCGTGAAAAGACGTGGTCTTGCGGTTGGCATCGCCAGTTGTGGCTCAAGCTTTGGCGGTGTCATATTCCCTATCTTCTTGAATAAGGTGATTGAAGATGTAGGCTTCTATGGCGCTGTGCGATATACTGCCTTGTTTGTTGGCGTGTTGCTTGCTTCGGCTTGCTTGATGGTTCGAGCAAGAGTACCACGAAAGACGTGGAATAGGAAGACACCATGGTTTGATGTGACGTTGTTTAAGCAGAAACAATTCGCCTTGTTGACTGTCGGCACATACCTTGTCATGTTTGTTTGTCCAAAAGTCCGCTCGAAGGCCATAGCTAACATGGTGCAGGTGGGGCCTTTGGGGACCATTTGATTTTCTTCCTAGTATGGCTGAGGTAAAGGGATTTTCGTCTTCACTTTCGGTATATTTGATTTCTATTCTCAAGTACGTAACTTTCTTCCGTGTCACTTTTTTTTTGTTTTTAATTAGCAAAGGTTACTACTGGCTTGGATGCGGCTGACAAAGTATATGGCAGTGCTGCCTCTATCCCCGGTCGAATTATCCCGCCATATCTTGCTGATCACATTGGACACTTCAACGTACTGACTACGTGTTCCCTGATGACTGGGGGGTCGATGCTCGTACTTTGGCTCCCTTTCAACTTCCACCCTTCCCACGCAGGGATCATTGTGTTCGCATTGGTATACGGATTTGTCAGTGGTGCAGTAGTCTCCCTTGTTATGCCGTGTGTTGCCAAATCCGGAAGCATTGAGACTTTGGGCCAGAGATTCGGGACTTTTCAGCTCGTTATATCAGTCAGGTAAGTTAGGATTTGTCTATCCTTTTCTATCCTTTTCTTTTCTTTTGCTCACTCGTGACTTAGTTGCCTGACCGGTCTTCCCCTCATGGGCGGCATCCTGTCCCGACAGGGTGGAACCGACTTCTCTGGCCTGCAAATATTCGCTGCAGTTGCTTCTCTATTGGGGGCGGGGTTCCTCGTATGTTCGACCCATCTACTGTCCCAGTCGCGCGGGAATTGGAGAGTTTAAAATAGGCCGGACATTAAGGGTGGTCCACTTTGTCGGAATGATCTAATGTTTAGTCTGGTACTTTGCAAATAAACTGGTGAGATGGATCCGGATATAAATCGACAGGTCTCTTTGGTTTTCTTTCTTCTTTTTCTCAGCTTGTGGGGGAAAGATGCTCTGTGTAGGTCAATGCGGCTGCACCTAGAACGTTCTGCAGGAAAAATCATCGAAAACACCAGATTGGATTCTTTCGTGCCATGCGGGTAAGGATCTATAGAGGATCTAGCCATCTGCTAAATATACTCTCTATGAGATGGATAACATTTCTCGGATGATGTGATTAGTTCAAACCATGTATAAAGAATTGAATTCGGCTTTACGCAGCTTCTCAACGTAGTTGCCGATGGTCATCTGCATAATGGCTGCAAAAAGCAACCTATCTGTCGCTAGGACGTCCCACTTTTTATGGGGCCCCGGCTTCAGCGAGGGTCAAGATTCTTTCAAATATAAAGATTGGGAACAATCGAAACCTAATTTCGTTCAGAGTCGCATTTTTCCAAACTCTATACTCTAAATTCCGGTGTCACAAGTGTCATATTAGTTTTCATTATAGCTTCGATCATGGAGCCTACCACAGATCCAGCTGTCGCCGGGACGGTCCGAGGCGCTATTAAATGGGGAAACCCCTGTCAATACCCAGGGACCCATAGTGGTTGATGATTTCGGAAGTGTATGGTCTGCTTGGTCCCACACGAAAGAAGACTCCTCAGGCTGACATTCGCTTACTCCAATCAATAGGACGAAGTCGTGAATTTGAGAGTGAGGGATCGGATATGACATCGCTATCGTCTATCGTCCTTGATTACGAATATGAAAATGGTCGTCGGTATCGCAGCAATCGAACAGTAAGTGGCACTTTTGTTCGGGATCAGAAACCATACTAACCCATCTTTAGGGCAATTACATGTATGGCCTTGGAAATTGCCACTTTTAGGAATCCCATTAACTCGAAATTCAGGATGCCCAACGATGAAGCAGAGCAGGATCGCATGGACTTGGTATGTACTCTTTGCATATCCCCTTTTGAGTTTCATTAACCTTTGAACTAGGCCCATAATATGTCAGTGGATCTAGAAATTCCTATGCTTGCTTTCAACAACACTAATACATACTACTATATAGCTGGCTACTGCTCTTGAAGGGAGAACTTGATAAAGCGCCCGTTAAAAATCCGCAAAGAATTTTGGATCTAGGCACCGGGACTGGCATCTGGGCCATCGATATCGCGGGATATATTTCCATCCAACCTAATGTTTTAGCGGCCACTAATGAAGTCAATTTTGAAGAAAGTTTCCTGGAGCTCAAGTCATCGGAAACGATATCAGTGCCATCCAACCGAGCTGGGTATCACCAAATCTGGAGTTCATCGTAGAGAATTACGAATCGGAATGGCTATATAAATAAAACAGCTTCGATTTCATCCACGCACGCTTATTATCCGGGTATGAGATAATTGCAGCCTTCACATGCAAAACAACCTTGGAACACTGACAATCTTGCGTTCCAACTAGATGTGTGGTTGACTGGCCCAAGTTCTTTCGAAATATATACGACCATTTGAAACCAGGTGCATATTTTGAAATTCAGGAAAGTGCTCTATGGACATGGAGTGAGGGTGAGTCTATGCATCCTGGTTCCCCACTTCTGCAGTACCTTACTGCTTTGGAGGTGGCGTCACACGGGGCTGGTAGATACTTGAACGTTTACTACAAGCTTCGAGACTGGCTTATTGAGGCGGGCTTCGAAGATGTGCAGCAGTTTACGTATTTTTTACCGTATGCGCCATGGCCAAAAGATCCTCACTTGAAGGAATTGGGAAGGTACCAGTTTGCTATGGCGCAGCAAGCTGTTGAGTCGTATGGGATTTGAGCCTCTGTTTAATGTATGTAACGACACTCGGATTACGCGGGTGCTAGCCAGGCTTGTATACTCGCGCAACCTAGGTAAGCGTGAGAATTTTTATTTAGCACATGCTATCTTCTGAATGGCTTCACATAATCAGTTAAAAGTGATTCAACTCGGATACGCTGACTATATGGGAGGTAAATTCTTCAATCCACTATCTTCAGAAGCACCTCACGCACTACAATCAAATTGGACAGATAGTTCTGGTACGTTATTCTGGTGAATAACAACATTCCAAGGCTGATTTCGTTGAACTTTGATCGTAGACTGGCAAGATTCTCAACTGAAGACGACTATGTGGAGAATCGTGGCTCAAGTGATGTCTAGAGCATTGATCAATGATGAACTGTGTGCTAATCCTACATGGATTGATCTTACCACAGAGCTAGTAGACGAGATATTCTTGGCGGCCCGGGACTTGCGTTACTAGCCGGCACCATTGAGGCGAAGTGCTTCAATATTTCTTCCGCGCTGCAGAAAGCTTCGAAAGCTCATTCGAGATATCGAGGTCTTAATTGATCCTGTTATCACTAGGCGAGAAGCCGTTAAGGCTTCACAGACCAAGGTGCAAGAAGTAGAATCTAATGATGAAGCAACGGAGCTCGGATCGCCCTCTATAGACTGGCTCATAGATGTGGCTAGCGATCGCTATGACCTGATCACATTATTTCTGGGAATGTATGTAGCCACATACGACACAACCGCTGAGGCGCTCTGCCACATCCTCTCCGACCTCTCCGAGAATTCTCAACTTACTGCTGACCTCCGTTCTGAGATCATCGAGGTTATGGGAGACAAAGGACTTAATCGGACAACACTGCAAAAGCTTCATCTGATGGACAGTTTTCTGAAAGAGAGTCAAAGAATGCATCCTGTCAGCTACGGTATGATACTCTTCCATACTATCAAAGCCTTTCATTATGAAGCTCACGCCCAATATATTCAACTCTCAGCTGATTGAGTGCAATTCCTTTCGATTTTGTGCTACTTGAAGGTTCTGAGTCTAATCTTTCTCAAAAATTGTCCATCCAATTTCTCGCTCCCAGCAACATCATGCATTCATTTCAACCTTATGCCTTGAGCCCTTTGGAAGTAATTCTGAGCTCCTCCAATGTCTATCTCTTTGTTTCATGGCCCTCCAAAGACCCCGAAAATGGTGCTTTGATTCTACGCGAAGCTGTGTCACAGACGGTGACTGCTCTACCGTACCTGAGTGGCAATGTCGTCTTATCAATGAAATCTGGAGGAATACAAAACCTGCGTCAAATTCAGCCAGCAGAGAGCTCGACATTATGTGACTTTCCTATGTTTATGACCCGATATCATCAGCAATCAATCAAATCCATTGATTGGGATGACCTATCCCGCGAGCAATTCATTCCAGACCGCAAGCGCTCTTCCGAAATTGACCACGTACTACGGTTCCAAGTCAATGCTATGAAAGATGGACTTGTCCTATGCATGAGCTTTCATCATTCCGCTATGGATCTTATTGGTGCTGCTGGCGTACTGGCGTCATTAGCTGCGTACTGTCGTGGTCATCCGTCTCCCAATGGCTGGAAAACTTATACACAGTCAAGGAAACAAATTGCCAACGCCACGACAGCGGCTTTTATTGCCGCTGGAGGTATGCCGAGCGAAACTTCTTTGCCATTTACAAAAACGAACAAGGCATGGAAGGATCAAGTCAATCACTCTATCACCCGCAAATTTGTCCTATCACCTCAGAAGATCATGAAGCTTCTGGAGATATGCAGTTCTTCTATTCCTGGTGGTGCGCGGAAAAAAAAAAGGCTTGCCCGTCCAGCGATGACATGGTCACGGCGTTGATATGGATATGGATGGTGCGGGCACGGTATAGCCATCAGCTTATGCCTGCCAAAGGAGATTCTCGTCTCCACCGAGCAATTAACGTTCGCCCACTCTTGCAGCTTCTTACTACAAAGGCCTTTATGGGCTGCGCAGTCATGGCCGTGCCGTGCACCATCTCAAGATATGAGATAGCACGCCCGAGGGCACATCCAATTGATGATGTTTTACTCATGAATGACATGGCATTGAAATTAAGGGAGGCAATAAATTCTTTCAACAGCGAACGTGCTAGAACGCAACTTGATAATTTCGAGAAATCTAACAACTGGTTGAATTTTCCACTCGGTGACGCTGATATCGAATTCACTAGCTGGCGCAATTCTAAGTTCTACGACTTGGACTTTGGGCCAGTGTTGGGAAAGGTTGACGACGTGGAAGTGCCCAATAATGACTGGAATAGTACCGCATACATATTGCCAGCCAATCCAAACCTCGCTTCGAAATTCGCCAACTCACAGGGTATTCCGCCCTGGGAAATTAGGATTGTTCTGGAACCGGGTGATATGGAATACCTATGCCAGAAGCCTCTTCTTCTCTGGGCTTGCGACGAGGAGGTCTCTTCACGACATCATTTCAATCATCCTATCTCGCGGCTGTGAAGAATAGGATATTTCGGGTTCTCGTTAAAAGACATGTTGGATATACTCCTTCCTGTTTTACTATACACAAATACGGATGTAAACAGCCGTTTCCGACGTCAAAAGCTATCACTTTCGGCGTTAATCTCACAGGCTCTAATATTCTAGATGTAATAAATCTCTCAATATAACAATTCTTACAACACTAAATGTTCTCTAGCCAAACTTCATAATGGAAGACTGCTCATACGTCTGCTCATACGGCCATGTTGAACGTTCTTTTAACTACGTATGATTTTAGTTATTTGTGGTTTAATTATCTATGGTACATATCTTACATCCCTCGGTACATAGTAGGTTTATGTGAAAAGTTAAGATACTTGCCACGGGGCCCTTGGAGCACGATCGACGATTCCTGCATAGTCAACCTTCTAATGGCCCAACCTTGACATTAGTTCGTCGTCGTAGCTTATCCAGTTCATTGAAGGCATCTTCCTTCCGTTGCAACTTGCGTTGCTGAGTTGCGATCTCTTTAAACCGTTTCTTTCCCCCAAATTTCAGCTTGGTAATAATATCAGCTGCTTGTCCTCTTGTCCAATCTCCGACCTTAAGCTTCCCATCTCTGATGCGGGCTTTATTCAGCATATTGATCTGCGCCGACGAAGCGGGATTCTGGCGCCAGGGCTGTCGAGATGCAATAGATCGCTTCTCAAACTTGTCACCTGCGTATGTATCTGCTGCTCGTACGGCAGTTTCCAAGTCCGGCCCGGATGCAATAAGCCGCGGACGAGTGAATTGAAGTTTCTCGGAGACTGGATCGTTGAATTTCATGACGTGGCGTACTGCGAACACGTCGTTTTCTTTTTCAATTGTTAACCATCCAGATGTTTCTGATAGTAAGTACTTCGTTCCATCCACCCGTACCCAGGAATTTGGGCTGAGAGATCTGATATGTCGTTCGGACTGCGTGTCCTCCAAGAGGTCATAGATGGTGTCATATCTGGTGAATTTCAAACTTGTGTTGTCATCCACCTCATCTTCTGGTTCAAGTACTGGTTCGGGGATTCGTTCCTCTTGGCGGCCTTCCCGTATCTCTGTCACGCTGGACTTGTCTAGAACCTCATCTGGATGAAGACCAAACAAGGTTGGGGTTGAAAGAACACCAGTTTCCAAGGACGCGACCATATCAATTATATGACAGTCTTCTTTTCCAGGAAATAACCGCAACCCACGTCCAATCATCTGTATGAGGAGATTCCTTGATCTAGTCGGTCTTGCAAGAAGCACACAGTCAATGTTTGGAATATCGGTGCCCTCTGTGAACAATCCACAGTTCAACAGTACCGGGAATTCTTGGTTTCTGAAAGCATCGAGTTCTTCAGCTCGAACATTCTTATGCGTCGTGGCAGTAATATACCGAGCATCAACTCCATGCTCACGAAACGTGGCCGTGAGCTGTCGGGCGTGTTCAACATCCACACAAAAGACCAATGTAGATTTCCGACCTTCAGAATTAGCCATCCACGCCCGAACAGTAATATTATTTGTGTTGATAGTGTTGACTGCCTGTGATAGCGAGCTCAGAGCAAAATCTCCGAACTTGTCTTTCTTGACATTTGCAAGATTTGCTTCTGACTTGACGGTTGTGAAAACTGCATTGGCTAGCCATTTATCACCGATCATATCAACGTAATCTTTGTGATATACGATATGGTCGATCGCGGCGCCGAGTTTCAGACCGTCGAATCGTGCAAAGGTCGCGGAAACTCCAACAAGGACTGGCGCACTTGGTGTAGGCTCATTCAGGCTAAAATGCCCCAAGACTTCCCGGTATGATCGCGCCACGATATGGTGTGCTTCATCTACAAGCACTAGCTTGAAAAGAAGGGGGTCGAACTTATTGATGCGTCCTCTGGAGAGGGTTTGAACAGACGCGATGATAATGTCGCCATGTCCTGTGGCCACATTCTGACCCATTTCAATCTCAATAATCTTATCAGGGTATGCAAGACGACAATGCTTCGCTGCTTGTTCAACAAGTTCGCGGCGGTGGACGATAATCATAGTCTTCGTTGCTTTTGTATCACGGGGTGGGACTCGGTCGATCAGCTGTGTAAAGATAACCTAAATACAGAAGACATCGTCAGTAAAATACTTCGATGGTGGGCCGATCGGAAATATTTATATCGCGACTAACAGTTTTTCCAGCTCCCGTAGCTAGTGAGATTCCAAGGCGCCGATGGCCCTCGCCCAGGTACTTGAGCACTGACTGAATACATTCCTCCTGGTAATCACGGAGAACAATGCTTGAGTTGGGGAGCGGAGGCAAAGTCGAGTTGAGTCGCACATTGCGCAGGTAATTCCATTTTGCAGGTTTTCTCGGAGACCCTCTCCACGATCTCGAGATCGACAACAATCCAAACCTTCGAATGAACTCCATATGCGAAGAACAGCAAGCCGTGAAGTTGAAGCTCCATCGCGGCATAAATTATCGCAAACAGTGCAAACATCCTCTTATCGTCGATAAGGTCGGATCAAGCCCGCTGCGGAGCTTGAACCTTGACTTTTTTTTATGGACCAAGTACTTGATCTTGTTCTTCCTTTTATTGTTGTTTTCTTCTTTCTCGCCTTTCTCCTAGTCCGGCCAGGAACGATTTTGTAATCCAACAGGCGCAAATGTGATGTTTCCTTCCTGGTCCATCAGATTGCGCTGCGACTCGACGAGTCTCACACGATGAGCAGTCCCTCCGAAACTTCCTCCTACAGACCTGACGATTCCGACAACGACTCTGATTTCGCTCCATCAGCTCGAGGGCGCCAGAAGCAGCGCTCTACTTCGCTTGCTCAAGACTTCGATATCGAGTACTCGACATCTCAGAATCCAACACAACCTGAAATCCAAACAGAGGAGCAAGATGAAGACCCGCCGGATTCCTCACAAAGTCGGTGGGAAAGGCTGGATGTATTATTGCAACATGTAAACAACATCAGCCTGGATCATTACATAAAAACCTTGGAAAAATCACAGGTCGATGTCCCCATTGACACCGCGGACGCTTCTAAGCCGTTCTATCGCGTCGCCCAGCATGGTGCTGTGGTCTGGTCTCACATAGAGAAAGAAACTATGTTTAGAGCTCTCAACAAGAAGGGCAAACACGGGATCGAGCAGATCGCTGCTACTATTGGAACAAAGTCAGTGCTCGAAGTAGCGGATTACCTCAAATTGCTTCAGCACAGCTTGGCGGAGCGACACCTTACTCCTCAACGACTCAGGACTATTATCATGGGGGACATCCCTGCTGCCGTCGAAGTCAGCAAGGAATGCTGTGATGAGCTGGACAAGTATGCAGAAGCAGCGGTATTGAGAGAAGACATTGATTTGGAAAAAAAGACCCGACTACTATACGTCGACAATGCGCTCATTTCTGACTTTCAAGCAAAACATCTTAAGTCAATGGAGGTAAACACCCCTTTGCCAGGCAGTATTCATTTGGCTGCCAATTTGTTGAACGTGCCAAATTGGACCCAAACATCTGGGTACTTCTTTATGAATTTTGGCGGCACGAGAGCTGAAGACTCTTGGCAAAATCTTGTTCAATCGAGAAGCGAGACACCTTGCATATATGGCGATGCACTTATGGATTTTTATGCGCTTACCATGTCAATTACGCGACGCTTGGTTCAGTCGTCAATATTTTTTGCTCTGGCACGACTACGCGGCCTGGACAGAATCGGCAGAACAAGAAAGCAGGATATTCGAAAAAGGGATGTCAGAGCCGCCATTGACGTGATGAACATGAAACATAATCGAGCCGGATTTTTCATCAACATCGCCCGCCAGCATCAATTAGAGATCGTGGATGATTCGAATGAAACCGATCCCCAGACTCTGAGTTACGATGAGGCGGAGGAAGCTCTTCGGCCCCGAAAATCAGCCCATGACTCTGAAACCGACGTCGAAAACTCCGCAAGTGAATCAGAGGAGAAAATCGACAACTCTAACTCGGAGGCGACACAATCCAAATCACAACCAAATATAAACCCTGCCTCCTCTTCAGAGTCTCGCTCCCAGAATCAACTGCTACCCAAAGTTCCATGGAACACGATACCCCTGGATCCTGAAGAAGAGCATGCAGATCTCCTCGACCTGGAAAATAGTCGGTGCGAGGAACTGAAGCTATGGGATCTGATGGGAACCCCTGCGCCATCTAAACTCAATAACCGCATTCCCGCGTCTTACCATCCTCGCACACAGCGCAAGTCCAGAGACGATCTAGCTGATTGGCGCGATCGTGTTCTCTACCGCAGTGAATGGGAAGAATATGGTGATGGCACACAGGATCTTCAAGACGACTTAGCTGCCAACTCACGGAAAAGGCGCCTGTCTTCCCATGAAGTGGAGACTGAATCGGACATCGAACGGCCAAGAAGAAGAAAGAGAACACGAAACAAATCGCCATCACGATCACAGCCACGACCACAACCAAATATCCCAAGACCTAAATCTGCTCGGTCTGTTCGTGATATTTCTTCTGATGAAGAGGAGCTGGAAGGTTCTGATAAGAATGGGGAAATGGGGGATATTGATGTTGGTCAAGAGTCAATTCAAAGAGATGAGGATAATCAGGTTGATGAGAACGAGGATGATCATAATCGCATGGATATGGATGACGAATCAAGCCATGCTCCAAGCTATATTGATATAAGTGAGACCTCGCCATAGGTCATCTAGTTTGATGAAGTTGCTAGACTCTCGCTACGAGCAGCAGGGCTTTTAATGTACATACACACTACTTTAATATAAGATACCAAGCATTTACAACAATGAATTACGTTACTGCAAAAATACTCAGCAGAGACTTCCATCACGGCATATGATTAAGAGGGAGAAAAAAAAGTAAACACATTCAAGAAAATAGGTGGAAAGACCCCTGGGCCCCTGTATCCATCCCCGTGAAAGAAAACAACACCTATATCTCATAAATCAGGTCTTGGACAGAGGGCGAATCAACTCAAACTCCAGCAGATAATAGAAACTGCGCCTTTTCCTAACCAAAGTAAAAACAAAGAGTAAAATGTTCATAAACACCGCCATGCCACGACGGCCCCCACCCGCCAAAACACTCTCCCTTCTCCGCACATCCGTGGAATATATCGTACATGCATTGAGGAAGAAGTTACAGGTCGAGGGTCTTGTAATCAGCACCGGCCTCTGCGCTCAGAGGCTGGGCTCCAGTTCGGGCATCCCCACCAACGGGTTGGAAGCTATGTTGGTTACCAATTCCGGCAGTGGCGGCACTTGTAAGCATGGTGTTGGTGTGCTCATTGGGGCCCTGCAGACTAACAGCCTGCAAAGCATCCTGTGCTTCCTTAACGCGCTTCTTGAAAGCCATGCGGTCAAGGAAAAGCTGTTGGCGCGCTTGTTCCAGTTCCCGACGCTCGGCCTCGATAATCTCCTCCAACTCGTTGAACTGTGACAGCTTGATCTCAAACTTTTGCAAGGTCACGTTAACTGCGGCACCCACTAAGCGGGTCATCTCACGCTCCTCGTGTGATGCAAGTGCACTGGCACGGGCGGCAGAAGCACCCAGGGTAACAGTGGCAAGAGACTCCTTAGGCTTATCGGCCTGTTCGCGAACGGAGTCCACGTCCATCGAATCCTCGGCCTTAACGGCGTCCTTGCTCTTGCCATCGCCCTTCTCCATTTGATTACGCAGCTCCTTGCGGATCTCCTCAACAGATCGACCAGCAGCGGCAGCAGCCACAGCTGGCTCTGCCATCTGGGCCAGGAATGCGACGACAGAGAGAACAGGGTTCTCTGTCGCGCTGATCGGGTCCCGGCCAGGAGCGGAGCGAAGTTCAGGCAAGTCTTCAAGGTATTTGTCCTCAATCTCCAACTGCAAGAATTTCATCACACACTCCTCCCTTGTTCGAGTACCCACGTGGTTGGCAATCTGCTCCCAGTTATCGTCAAAGCTCTCCAAAGCCTCCAAAAGCAAAAGAAGCTCAGAGTCCGACCATGGTGCGTCTTTATCAGTAATGTGTGAGTGTCCCTTGTCCTCAAGCTTGACAAAGTCTGAAGCGCTGTGGCTGGAAGGCATGCGGCCTTGGAGGAAACAGTTAGGGCAGAGGTCGTATTTTGTGTCGGGGGTGTTGGCATTTGCTGAGGTTGGCGCGGCCTTCGCATAGTGGAATCGAAGTCGTGTGCAGTCAATACCGCAAGAGAAGCAGTGGGACTTCTTCCGTGGTTCTTGGTGTTCGATTCCATTTGTCCCCTCGCCGTTGGTCTGCTTTTCCTTATCAGGAGTAATATCCTTGCCCTTGTTATCGTAGATATTGCGACGAAGATCGAGACTGAGATCGCCCTTGGACGCTGGAGTGGCGGAGGCAGCGCGATCTGTGGCAGGGAGAGCTTTGCCGGAGGAGACGGAGGAGTTAGGACCAGGTTGGAAAGGCTGAAGGCCGCGGGGAGTGTCCGCAATTACGCGGAAATGGCCGGTGAACGGAGGTCCGATATTAGATGGTCGGGTTTGAGGGTCAACCTTATAGATAAGAAGTCATTAGTGGACCGAGAAGAGAGAAATGCGTCACAAAATATGCTTACCTGGTAATTGATCAAACCCCACTGTTCAAGGAAAGAGTGAATGCGCATAATCGCGCAGACATCGCCAGCAAGGTTACGGCGACAAGCAGTGACGGTCAAATACTCAATAGGGTTCAATCGGTAAGTGTTGATCATGAAGTCACGGTAGTCCTTGTATGTAGCTGGGGTCTTGCTGCGGTTACGACCATTGAAATATTCGGCAAGAGCTTTCTTCTCAATGGGGTTGATAGTGTTCATATCAAACCAGCTAGCGTAGCTGGGAAGAATGATGGCGTGCGTTTGAGCAACGAGTTGGTCGCGGGCGGAGCCTTCTAAGGACGACTTGGTTGGCGCGGGTTGATCTTCACCCACAGCATCTTCAAGGCCCTCGTTAGCATCGGTAGGAGGTTGTGATTCTCCCGCAGCATCCTCCAGGCCCTCTGTATCGCGCTTGGTGTCTGCTTCGGTGCCACCCATTTCCTCATCCTCCGGCTCGGCATCGCCATTTTGAGGTTTGGGAGAGGCTGGGGCATCCAATGGGTTGTCGGATCCGGGAGCGGTTTCGACCTTCTTCTCGGGAGACTCCTGGCGCGATTGCGCCTCTATCATCTAGTAAGCAACCGATATTGTTTGAGAGAGGCTGGGGAGGGGGAAGGGAGGGCGCGAATTACCAGAGCCGCTGGCAGCGTGGGACGGATCCCCGGCAGCATCTGAGCCAGCTAAGGACTGGGCATGCTCAGAAGCCGCAGTGGGATTGACTGGAGTCTCATCCATGATGGGTTATAGCAAGGAAAGTAGCTGTCGCGGGTGACAGAAGATCGACTCCTTGTCTGTCAAGCGCAATCGGTATTGGACAACGCAGTCGGGTGACGCGTTGAAAGAATAAAATAGGAACGAAATTAATTGAGATCAATAAATATGACCCCGTCTGATGAAATTACCAGGCAAAGGGGAATGATTGGACCGGGTGCTGGATCAATGGGGGAGCGAGGTGGATGTCGCGACACGGAAAACTCGCGGACTCTGCCAAGACTTGAGCTGACCGCCTAGCATGTTTCGGGACTAGCGTATTTTGACCATACACAGCAGCTTCACTTGTCTTTATGGCGCTACACTTGACCATTAAATCAACTACTTCGTCTACTTCATCTACTTCTACTACCTCTTTTTAATTTTTATTCTCTTCTACCATAAGGCTTTATTCATCTTTGAACTTTGAATTTAATTTAATTTGATTTGATTTCAATGTTTTTATTATTCTGTTCTAGCTGTATCATAGTAAACCGCTCTGGTGTTTTTGAATCTTTGAACTTCCGATCTCTAAAACCCATCTAGGAATGTGCGGCCATGGCCTCAGCGCGATCCTTGAGGGCCTTTGCAATAGATGGACGGGCCTCTTGGCGCTTGATCCAAGCATCGAGGTTGGGGAATTCCTTCTCCAGATCAATTTCGAACAATCCAACAATCTTGAACCATGGGATGAATGCGAAATCGGCATAACTGAACTTGCCGCCGACAAGGTACTCTTTATCAGCTAATGTGCGGTCGAGGACACCGGAAACGCGACGAATCTCGTTGATGTAGCGGTCCTTCGCACTTTGGATCTGCTCAGGGTGGTAGCGTGTGAACCAAACGGCCTGACCAAAGTAGGGGCCCTGGCCGGACATCTGAAAATGAAGCCATTGCTTGGCGGAGAAGTAGTCTTGCGAGCCAGAGGCAAAGCTGATCTTATTTTCCTTGTCGTATGTTTCGATGATGTATTCGAGGATAGCGCCGGACTCCCAGAGAGTGATGCCAGTGTTAGGGTCTTCGATGGCAGGAACGCGGCCGTTGGGATTGACTGAGATGAAGGGCTCCTTCTTAATATCCTGGAAATCCACCAGCTGGATGGTGTAAGGAATACCAAGCTCCTCAAAGGCCATGATCACCTTCCAGGGGTTGGGGCCACTAGTGTGGCCATAGAGCTTAATTGGCTTGAGAGACATTGTAATGGATTGTCTGGTTCAAGTGGTTGAGATTTGAAGTGGAATGTGGAATGGATGAGAGATTGGAGGATGGTGAGATGTGGAAGATTGATGATGAAGAAGGATCAAAATGCTGGAATTGAAGCAATATTTAAAGTCTGCCATATCGGAAATTCGTAGCTCTGAAGAAGCGAGTTATGCAGCATGCTGCCCCACGTTTCTTCATGATTATTCATACTTGGCGTTCGGCATCGGCTTTGGCGCGCTGACAAATGGCCAGCAGCGTTTGAATTTGCTTTCTGAGCATTTCGCTACAAATCTGTGGATCCACATTCAGCGACTTTGCCCCGGGATTGGTTCTATGAAAGACCCCGAAAAAAGATCATTTCTGCATAGCCTGAGGTGCATGATCTCCCAACCTTGGAATGTTTGTGATACATAACACGAACCACGACTGTAACCTAGCTGGCTATACAGACCAATCAACGGTGGCAAATGTGTTGACATGATGTCAACCCTTTCTCTCCGCTTCTCCGCCTTGCTTATTTAACAATGACAAAACGTGGAAATATAACGAATCCACCCGGGGTTGTTTCAATTGGGGCCGAAGCAATTCCCGAAGCACCATATATAGACCGGCAATTGACCTCGGGACCGAACATGCAGAATTGATCCAGTAAGGTCCTTTTCTGGCGTCTGATCAAAGAAATATGCATTGTTCTAACACGATCACAATAAATTAGCTGGTGGTTTAACAAACACCTCTATGGGTCAAAGTCGATCACATTGAATCAGACCCCTTAGAGCTAAAGGGAGCTTTGGCCTCCCCAAATAACTACACATCATGGTCGACATGACCGACCTTCCAACTGGGGCTCAGCACAATAGAGATTGATCGCTGGACACGTCCAGAAATCTTCAAAGCGATGAAGATTTCCCCCATCTCTACATACCTTTGTTCCTTGCCCGCGCCGCTCTTTCTCCTTCGTTCACCATTTTTGATAGTCAATAGCTTCAATGATACCATGTTCGGTCCGTATTTTTCTGTGCTCAGTCCTTAGTAGGTATAAATTTGCATATTGCATAGGCCGATGACAGGCATCTGGAGCTAGCGCTAGCTGAACATGGCTTTGTTTTAACTACATGTTGATTGGACACCCTCGTTCACCAACTCAAGCTTGAGTGTGAGAGGTAGGTTTTTAAAACCTAGCTTGGTAGTGAATCAGCTCATTTCTCAGAGAACAATATAGAGATCATTATTGTTCCGAAGGCGTCCAAGTGCCGCATAGGCACTGGGCTTGGATACTGTCATATCCAAATGACTCAACGGATTAGGAGTACGCTCAGGTAAAGTCGAGTCATCAATGAGTCCGCAAAATATTACAAATCATATACAACTGGTAGCGACGCCCTCCACACTTTCCTCGTATGGGGAATCAACTTTATTTTTGTGGGGGCAGTGCCAATTAAATATGGCTTCCAAGCCTCATAAGGCGTGATTTATTCTTATTGGGACAATGCTTGGGCACAGCATTGACACCAGATAGAGCCTCCATGTCTAAATGGGTAAATAAGCCTTTGTATGATTGGTTCGGAGTCAACAGTTTTCACATCAATCATCAAATCCTTCCAAATGTCCCAAAGTAATCCGAGCTGACAGTTTGTACTCGAGCATCTCCGCCACCATACAATACACAAGGCCTTCACCTAGATCTGATGGCACTTCAATAGTTCCATATCAACACAACAGATTCAATTAAAATATATTTTTAATGTTACTCTGTACAGAATTTTCCTTTGCCTCAAACAGGTCACATCAAAATGAACCCACCTATTGCCGTCGGAGTTCGGATCGGAATAAAAACCAACCATCGGATTAAGCCTCGGACTAGATCACAGCCGGAACACGTTTTTCTCATCACGCCACTACTAAGCTTTAAGCAAGCAGGAATAGTTAACTGCCTCTGCCATTTAAGCGCTGCAGTAAGATTCTAGATTGTACTTCTAATAAGCTACAATATTGATTGCTTCTGAAAACAGTGATCGAAATGGCTTTTTTTGACTTCCATACGAGTAGCCCCGCACTCTTTGACTCATCCGTAAGCCCTAGCCACTTCGTAAGCGTGTACAGCCTTATCCCAATTTTGGTTCTCGTATACTCCAAGGCTGGAAATGAACGTCATTAAGAGCAAGTTTCTAAGATCTTATACATGGATGTTTTGTTTTTGGTTGTCTGTGCAACATGTCGTAACACTTACGGCTGTAGCACCCACTGGCCGTTGGTAGCCGCAACCCAGATCTGGACGCGTTTCTAGACCCTTTTTCTCTCTCGAAGTAGCATTCTGTTGATATGGAGGACTCGGTTTTTTCCTTCTAGCAGCGGGAAGTGGAGTCATTTTTAGTCACTTGGATCTCGATTCTCAAAATGTCGGAGCTCACAGTATACCGCGTGGATCCGACTAGCCACTAGATTGGTTACTTCCATGGCATAGTAATTGTCAGAAATATCTAAAAAAATTCCTATTTCATTACGATCATATGTCAGATTCAGAGCGTTTTTCTGCCTGGGCCGGTCGATGGGTTACCAAGCAGGCATAAGGCAGCAAAGTATGACGATGGGCCCCTGCATTGACCTGGGGAACAGACATGGGATCATGGATCATATCCAGGCATCTTGTTTACGCAAGCGGGCATTCAGCCTATGAGAACTATGAAAACTAAATTGTAAGCCTGAGGCGTGAGTCAACGTGAATAACTATGAGCGCCACGCAATCATTTCGGATGATCGACCGCGCCCTTTCGTGTTTCAAGAGAAATTTTCGAGCGCAAATTCAGAACCGGTGGTTGGTATTAATCAGGAAGAGTTTAGCGTGCATCCTAATCACTTACCGGATCGGGAGCCCGCAGTGTCGGGTTCTCGAAATAGTCAAGTACATAGTGAGTGAAGACGATCCAAACTACGGTCTGTTCTCCGTTAGTGAGCGACAATGCCTCAATTATTAGATTGATGATGAACTTGCTTGCTTACTGGACGCCCTGTCAAGCTTCCTCATTAAAGGATTGAGGATTCGTCGCTATACAGTCCTTGAAGAGTGGAGCTCGGTTCTGTTTTCGAAGTCCGACGTTTACTCCGAGGGTCCGCATCCTCTTACTGACGTCTTTTTTTCTAGGCTTCAAGAGTTTATTCGAGCTTCGACTCATATTGATGGCTTGCATTGTGGGTCTTTGGGTTTACAAATTCTAGTATTCTATTCTTTTAGTGGATTTTTTTCAATTTTCAATTTTTTGGTTTACGTCGGAGTTGATCACGGCCAAGGCATGTAATGTAACTTTGAGCCCCATCTACATCTATATAAGCCTAAGGTCATCCCCAGATAGAAAAGTCTTATTTACTCAATTCATCAGACTCAGATTCGCTCATCAATAGAAAGATCGTTTCATCTTCCATTGATTCTTTCAATTCAATTAACCATTCCATCTATACCTTCTATATTCACTACACATCCAACACCGCCATCATGAATCTTCTCTTCCCCAAAGCCTACCACACTCCCGCTGGTTTGCAAGACGATCCTGCTCCCTGGGCTACCGCACTGAAGGACCAAATCAAAAACAAATACAAGAACCGTTCGAGCGTCTCTTCATCCAGCACAAAAACCATGTCCGACGTCGCCTCTACACATTCCACCGTTTCCACCGCAACGACTCTGAAGGGGTCTGCTCTGGACGCCAAGAAGAAGAAATGGTACTCGCTCAACTCCAAGTCTAGCGAGACACTCAATTCTGAGACCAAGTTTGTCAAGGATTCCGACAAGGAGGCTTCTCAAAAGGCTATTCACAATGAAGCTCTTGCTAGCTACTTCAGCACCCGCTAGAATGAGAAAGATATTGAAATAGTCTATTGACTATTTCTATCTTGACTACTTCATTGTTTTGTGCTTCTTTCGACTCGCCGCGGCTTTTTATCTTATGCGCTTTTTACTTTCCGATACTTTATGCGCTTGATACCACACTCCTTTGTTTGAGCTTGCCGCTTTACCTTGACGACGATACGACTTGAAAGACGATTATAATCCGGTTATTTTTTTAATATGATTTCACAAAAATTTATATGGGAGGAAAGTTTGGAGATTGGGATAGAAATAACGGGGTTAATGCATGTTCAAATTTGTTGATTTGATGTTGCCTGGGAATATGGCTCGGAATACAATAGACTGCTAATGAATGGCTGATTTCTCAATTTAAATCCTTGTTATCATTATGAATAAATTTTGAGTCTCATTTAAATTTCATTTAGAACAGTTGATTTCCGCATCTTCTTTGTATAATATGTCAAGATGTGATATTAACAAAAATAAGAATAAATCCGATGAATACCCCGGAGGTGAACCATATGCCCCCAGTCAAACGCCGTGAAACACTTATAAATATCCCGATGTCCCATTATACTTCGGCACCGATCATCTCACAAGCCAGTCAATAGTTCTCCCATTGAGATTGGCTTCCGCACGGCATTTGAGAAACCTTCATGATACGTAACCCAAACCTTCCTGCCGGCTTTGGACCCTTCACCCATTTGATTGGGATCTTCTGAGTCTCCGTGCTGAGGAACAGGTTCCTGAATCACCCGCCCGAAGAAGTCACGCTTGACAAGACCCTCTTTGATTTTCTTGGCAACCTCGCTCTGGCCATTGGGAGCCTTGCCGATTGCTGATATACCACCAGCTGACGGCCCATTTGACATATCAGATTGTTTTCGCTTGGTCTCCCTGCGGTACTCTTCATCCAAGACCTGGCGCACAGCGTAACGGACTGGCGCATTGCCGCTGCTGGCTGTCATGGCGCTCCCTTTAATTTTCGAAAATGTAACAAGCGAATCAATAGGCCTTTAAGAAATTTCGGTATTAGTTTCATCTGTATGATGAACATGTGTTATGGTATCACTTACGGTTCCATTCTGTATGCCCAACCACCATGGCTTCCTCCCTCGTGCTCCACGCGAACTTTTTCAAATGTCACTCCAATGCCAGCCATAACTCGCACGGCAGACTGAACTAGAGCACGCTCTGATTCTTTGCGTACACTAGCTGTGCTTCTTGAATCGCCGGCGCCTCGAACGATCACGGGTTTGACATCGGGCGATAGCATGCGGACCAGAAGCGGGACTAACTCAATGGCCACGTTATCTGTGGACCGGAACATACGCATCAATGGTGCCGGGAAAGAAGAATGGAATGCATTGAGTGTTGCGCGATTTTGCTTTTGTGCTTCGAAAGCAGCAAAGTCTGCTCTGGGCCCTGAAAACGGATGCTCTTCTTCCATATCTTCATCATCCTCATCCTTATCAGCGGCTTCCGTTTTACCACTAGCGGTTGCGAAAAGATGATGAAACCCGAGCACAGACTGGCTCATGTAAGGGTATAACTCCCACTCTTGAGATGAGTGCACCTTGGAAGATATCAAGTCATGGAAGTGAAGCCAGTCGTAAGCAGCATTGGGCTTGGACAGGAAGGTGTCATCCTGGTATTGCTGGATGGGGTAGGCGGCAAAACATTCATTGACACATTTGTCATGTTCACCGCTGGAATCAATCATCTCTCGTAGACGATTGATACCGTGACGCTTTCGTAAATCGGCCACTCCAACAGGAACACGACTTTTAGAATCATCGAATTGGCCCTGGAAAGAATCTCTTCCAATTGGAGCATCTGAGAAACCTGCAGCCTCGGTAAACACGCGGTTTATAATTTCACGAACACCACCACGACTCATTTCTTTGGAAAATGAACTTCCCTCGGTTGATGCGCTCAAAACTCGCTGCTCCAACCAAGATCGAGTTAATCTCAAAGAGTCCGAACTTTCATTACGAAGTTTATGCGCCACCCATTCGGCTGCAACGAGGACACTGCGGATATCGCCCTCGGCAGATCCTGAGTTCTTAGAGTTGCGCTGTCTTCTGGCTGCCAACCCCCAGGCTGCCTCGCAGAGTCTTCGGGCAGCGTCTCCGTCGCATGGAATACCCTCTCGAATAAAAATACTCTTGATTCGTTGGACGACATTCTCCAACGGAGCTTGGCGAACACTTATCATTTCAGCAATAGAAGAGGCTCGTAATGGTCGAAGACTGGGGTGGTATAGATCGTTGCAAACAAGGATAAGAGGTCGAAGGAAGCGGAACGTATCACCTTTTCGCTTCTTGCCTTGTGTCTCACCAGACCGATTCGAGTTTCTTTGGTCAAGTAATACCAAGTCAATTAGGGCTTTCATGAAACCGCCCTCGCCGCCACTTCCAGATCCGCCAGTAACACCGTCAACTTCGTCGACGACAACACAAACAGGTTTAGCGGCGCGGCGGACCTTCTTCTCGCCGATCTCGACATTCGAGCCCTTGACATTCTCCGTTCCAAGGGCATCTCGAATTCGCCCTTTAACCACATCCCTGCTTCGATCATCACTCGCATTGATCTCAAGAACTTCGTAACCAGCCTGTTTAGCACACACATGCGCCAATGTAGTCTTTCCCAAACCAGGCGGTCCGCTTAACAAGAGGACTTTTCGGTGTGGGCGTTCCTCATCATCTGGGTTTGATTTCTTTGTTCGGGTGCGTGCTATACCGGGGAAAACAATTGGCTCCCACCCTTTTAGCCATCGAAGTACTGCGCGATGGGTACGTTCATCTCCAATGAGATCTGTGAACTTGCGCGCACGATACTTCTCAGTCCACATCATAGAATCTAATCTCTTTTGTTTTGCTTGTCCCTCATCCTGCTCGACAGACTTCTGTACAGGAGGTGGTGGAGGAGGTTTGGTTATTTCCGTCTCCTTTGCAGCCTCATCCATCAACTTATGGATATCAATTCCGTAATAGCTTTTCTTCGCTTTGCCGGGGTCTGTTTCGGATCGACTTGCGATCATTTTTTCGTAAGAAACGGGGGCTTGGGCGTTCTTCGATGAAACATTGAATGTCTTTCCATTGCACGTCTTGATCTGGAATTTTTTGGAAGCAGGTCGAGAGGCCAGTTGTGTTTGGATATTTGAGGTCGTAGGTGTCAGCTCGGTTTCTTCTAGTCCACTTGTGAAACTAGGTGGCTGCTCTAGTATCGAAGGGATAGTATCCAGCACTGGCTGAGCACCCTCTTGCAGCTGGAAATGGTTTTTCAATTCTTCGTCTCTAAGCGCAGCAATATCATCGTTTTCTTCCTCGTCATCGTCGTCGTCGTCGACAAACCCTCCGAGAATCCTTTGTCGTTTGGGCTCCGCGGCCGGAGAGCTTTCGACCTCGGCAGCTTTTCTTTTCTGCGAATCGCCGGCCGCCGCCGCACCGGGAGAAGATATAAACGGCATTTTTAAAGTTGGTGGGGAGGAAGGTAGAAACGGCAAACGACGGCCTGGGGTCCAATCGTTCGCTCCGGAAGTTGGGATGGAGGCTTTCGTCGGAGTATCTAGAATCGCACTTCATAAGTATCTGTCCCCCAATTTAACGTGCACGCGGTTACAAACCAAATCTTATGTCGTCTTCGCTGCGGAATACATCCGATAAATTCCAAGAACGGTGCTGAATCACGACTTTGTTGCGGGTTTGTTCTTCGCGATGGAGGTGGATTGCTTCTATATCGTCGGAGAAGGACTCGGGGAGAGGATGGATATTATTGCCGTGGTCTTCGGAGTGGAGTTCGAGAGCGGGATCAAATGATGGAAGAAAATTGGGCGAAGAGGGGATCATCCAAGCGTCTCGGGGTCATTTCAATCGTAGATGAGGTCGTGATCAATTGGTGATTGTTCCCCTCTGATAGTGAGACGCGCCGACGCGCGCTGGTCACGCTAAGCCTATTTTAGTAACCAGGTGCCACTATGAAATTGATTTTCTAAAGTACTGGGAATTACATCTCAACGGGGTTATAGTGGACAGATTTAGAAATTTTTATGTGAAATTTACCAGAAAATTCAAGGCTGAAGATACTTCAAAGACTTTTAATCTCTATCCCAGGAGACGTAATTAATGTCATGAATGTTATTTTGTAAGGCACGGCTCTAGCCTCTAATCAATGGTATACTCAACGGCTCATAGAACATACAAAACAAAATCTCACGACCTGCTCAATGGTCGTAAGAGGAAAATAAATGAACAATATAAAGACAAATGTCCCCACTCTTCAACACTCTAAGCGCTCTTGACCTTCTCAGTCAACTCAGGCACCTTCTCAAACAAATCACCCACCAGACCAACGTCAGCAATCTGGAAGATGGGGGCCTCGGGATCCTTGTTAATGGCAGCAATGACCTTGCTGTCCTTCATACCAGCCAAGTGCTGGATAGCACCAGAGATACCAGCGCAAAGGTAAAGCTGGGGAGCAACGTTCTTACCAGTCTGTCCAACTTGCAGACTATTGTCGGCGAAGCCGCTGTCAACAGCAGCACGGGAAGCACCAATGGCAGCACCCAGGGAGTCAGCCAGAGGAAGCATAATGCGATCAAACTCCTCCTTGGACTTCAGACCACGACCACCGGACACGACGCGGGTTGCGGTAGCAAGGTCGGGGCGCTCGGACTTGGCCAGCTCCTCGGACACCCACTCGACTGTTGCGGGGGCGTTGGAGTCAACGCCATCCACAATCTCGGCGGAGCCACCCTCGGTCTCAATGTCCTGGAAAGCGGTTCCTCGCACGGTGATCACCTTGGTGCTGTCGCTGGACTGCACGGTCAGAATGGCGTTACCGGCGTAGATGGGTCGAACAAATGCTACATTCGAGGTTAGCTTCTCCGCTCGGTCACATGTCAATCCACATTTAAATATTTGCACGCACTGTCCTCGCTCTCGATTCCGGTGATGTCTGAGATTTGCTGGACGTCCAAAAGAGCAGCTACGCGGGGTAGCACATTCTTGCCGAAGGCCGAGTGTCCGGCAATGATGTGGGTGTATTCACCCTTCTTGATGTTCTCGACCAGAAGAGGAGCGAAGTTCTCGGGAAGACCCTGTAAGAAGCGAATAAAAGCATTGTTAGGTGACAACTCTCGCTTCAGTCCTTTTATATATGTAAAGTATTCACCTTCTCATAAGCGTCATTCTCAACAGCGACAACCTTGTCAAGGCCCTTAATCTTGGCCGCCTCGGCGGCGGAGGTTCCCTTGACACCAGAGCCAGCCAGGAAAGCTGTCACTGGGCCGCCAAACTTCTGCGCCGCAGCAATTGCGGAGAGAGACGAGCTCTGCAGCTTGCCATCGCGCTGCTCGAGAACGGCGAGAGTGGAAAGAAGGCGGGCGAGCGCCGAGGTCTGGCTCAGCGAACGAGTGGGATAGATCTGGGAGCGGGCGGCCCGCAGGACGGAGTGTCGGGCGATTGGAATCATGGCGGTGGTGGTTCGGTGAAGAAGACGGATGTTATTCTCCAGTGAGGGCCAGGAGGGTCAAGTTTGAGATCTCGGCGATCTGCGGTGATATGAGCAGTGGTTATCATCGGATGCCAAGACTTACCCTCCCGAGGTCGGGCTCGGTTAATGCAGGAAACGTATAGGCTGATCTTTAAGCCTACTGGAAGCACGAGGCAATGACGTGACCGGTTGACTTCAGTTTATGAGACAAATGATATTTTTTCATAGTTTACTATGAATATTTTTTTAAAGGGCTTTTAGTTTATACTAGATGGATATCGGAAAGTGGAATGGTTAAGACTGGGAAAAAGTAAGAAACACGTGATATTTTGTACGCCGAGAATACCTTTACATGCGGAACATTATCTAGGTAGAATGAATATAAATACTATCATGAAGAGGCCTTCTTGTTCTTCTTGCCAGCTTTGGGCTTGGGCGCAGCAGCAGCAGACTCTCCGTCCTCAAGCGCCTTCGCCTTGAGCTGCTGAAGCTTCTGCTTGCGGGCAGCTCCAGAAGAGGCCTCCTCCTCGTCATCGGCAGACTTGGACTTCTTAGACTTCTTCTCCTCAATAACCTTCTCATCGCCAGTAGACTTGCGCTTCTTGTTGGCCTTGGCACCCTCGACAGCAGGGAGCTCCTCTACAACGTCTCCGTCCTCGACCCATAACTCGTTGGCGAGCCAGATGGGCAGCGCCATGGTGTTAGCACCCTTGACGTGGACAGCCTTGATATTCCTCCAGCCCTTTGTGACAAACTTCTCAGTCATACCCTTGACAACGGCATCGATGTTCTCGGTCAATTGCTCGGCGGTGAAGTTGGAGGAACCAACGCGAATGGAACAAGTGGTAGAGGGCGCAAGCTGCACGGAGGCGCACTTCAAAGTACGCTCGATTTCCTTAGCGACAATGAGAGGAGCAGCGAAAGATGCGCTCTTCTCCTCCTTAGCGGGCTTCTTCTTATCCTCCTTCTTGACACGCTTTCCATCGACCTTCTCGATCTCTGCAATGCGAATGGGAATTGGGCGCTTGCTAGACTTGTAGAAGACTTTTCCAAGGGTGTTCACAAGGCGGGTAATGATGCGATCATCGGCAAGGAAGACATCGTGCTCGGAGAACAGTTGACGACGGCTCTCGAAACTCTGGTAACGGGCCTTAAGCTTGCTGAAGCCAATGACCTTCTCGATGCGGGAGGAGAGTTCCTTGGGGAATGAGGGATCGGCAACGATGTCCTTAACGCCGCGCTGGGGGTCGGCAGTGATCAAGCAGACGCTGAGCGAAGGCGACGAGTTAAGAGAGTGCGGGAGGCTGATCTTTCCAGGCTTCAAGCGGTTCTTGTCAACCACATGCTTCTTGGTGGTGAGGACAAGCCAGACGGCTTCGTTGTTGATGGGGGTTTCCTCATCATCGGAATCATTGTCTCCAATCAGAGTCTTCTTGGTGGCGGACTTCTCCTTCTCTGCCTGGTTGGACTTGATATGGCGCAACAGGGCGGTGGAGGCTTTAGTGACCTATTTCTTTTATTAACTTATGACTTATGCGCAATTTGACTTCCAAAACTGAGACGGACCTGTGGATTATCCAGTTGATAAGGTGACCCGGAAGTCACCTTCGATGTGAGGGCAGTAGAGGAAGGCATGTTTGCGTGTTGTAGACTCCGAATTTTCGGCGATGCTATCCAAGTCCATAAAAAAAAAAATTCCTCGGGAAGGCGGTGGCAGTTTGGGCTTGGCAGTCCAGATCCCAGTTCATTGTGGCCTTGTGGCCTTATTTTCTGGTCACGTGTATGTTTATCTTATCAGTCCCACGGGGATCTACAGATGTTTGTCAAGCAGCAACCAGATGAATGTATACATACATCTATATTGAATTCATTCAAGTTTTATTGTTGTCATACTTCAATAAACATCTTCAATATTATGGCCAACCATTCACTGAATGCCATAAATCAGCCCTAAAATCGAAAGTCTCCAAAAAGTTCTAAAAGCACATTTGTACTCTAGATTATCGTGGTACTCCGTAGATATATTTCTTTATATTATCCCGCCATGAACTTATCCAACCCGCGACGAAAAAAACCTTGGAAGCCCTGGAGACTGATTCAGTAGGTAAAATTGATACCTCAAAGCATAAATTGTCAATTTAAGACATACAAAGTTCCCAGCCCATCAAAAATTACGGCGATCGCATTACTTTACCCCAGAAGACATCCTCAATGCATAGACCCTTTGAAGTTGCCAGTGCCCAGGATGCCGAGGTCTCCACCTTGACTAGTCTAGTCGTTTCACAAAACCTACGAAAGTACCACAAACCGGCCGCCACAGCGCGAAATGTCTTAAACCCTGAAAGAATCCCTGTCGCCTCAACAAATAGCTTACTTTAGCGAGGTTCACCACACGGTAAAAATAGCCATAACTGGCTACGCCCAGAAAATACAGGTACCAAAAATAGTGCTGTCCGGCTTGGTTTACTGAGCACCACTATATCACGCCTTGGTTATTGTATGGAGTCCACAGAACCGTATTGAAGGCAAATTTCGACTTGGCGTATTGCTCGCTACTAGAAGATTGTATTGATAACTTTTGAAAATTGACAATTCCGTATATGATCTTGTCTATCTCATCTAAAGCAAATGATGACACGCAATCATCGTCTATCAAGGCTTATATGAAGTGAAGTAAACAAAACAAAAGAAAAGAAAGTTGAAGAGAAGAAACTCCACTACTTGGAATTCGCATCCAAAAATTCCAACAATTTCTTCGCAACAGCAGATGGCTGCTCCTCAGGAAGAAAGTGTCCACACTCATCAATAGAGCCCCCAGAAACATTGGCCGCGAAGTTTTGCACCAAGTTCACCATACCCAAACCAACAGAGCTAGCTCCGCCTAAAGCCAAAGTGGGAACCTCCAGCGGCGTCTTCGCATATTCGAGATTCTGCTTCGCGCTCTCCTCAAAAGCACGATAATACTCAAATCCCCGACTCATCGCCCCAGGTCGTGAATAAGTCTTAATATACTCTTCAAACTGATCATTGTGTAGACCGTCCTTATTAACCGTCTTCAACTTAAAGAACCAAGTAAGCAGCTCGCGTTCACGCCCTTCAACAAGAATCTCAGGTAACTCAGGCAACGCATTGAAAGAGAATTGCCAAAGCCGAAGATTCGTAGAATTAGACAGCGGAAATTGGAAATGTGGTAGAAAGCCCGGAACAGAAGCATCGAGAATACTGAGTGATCTGGTCCGAGATTGAAATTGAGCTGCCCAGGGGTATGCTATCCAGCCGCCTACATCGTGGCCGACTAGGTGGTATTTTTCGTTGGGGAGAGTGTCGTGGATTGCTTCGGCCATTATCTTGCTCACGTTGGCGGTGTCGTAGCCATTTTTTGGAGCGGGGGAATCGCCTAGACCGGGCGGGTCGAGGGCAAAGAATTGATAGCGATTTGAGAGGGGTTCGAAGAGGTTGCTGAATGCTTCTGCTGTTTGGGGCCAGCCGGGGAGGAGGACTATGGGGGTTCCTTGGCCGCCTACTATGGCTCGTACTCCGTGACGGAGACGGGTGGTTTGCCATTTGGTTGCCATGTTGGTTTGTTCGCGGGTAATGCGAATGGGGAGTTGAGGGTGCGCAACTGTGTTGTGGTTATGTAGTTGCGTTAGGTATGTCGGTGAGATTATAGAGGTTTCTAATGAGTCATCTAGTGGTCATTGAGTACTAATTCAGTACTAGATGATAAATTGAGCAAGGGGCTATTTTGGTCGTTGATGTACCCACATTTGTCGCGATAGATTCACATCTGGGAGAGATAAGGATAGCGCTAGATTTCTATAAAGCGCTGGGCTGGACCATTCTCATGTGGAATTAAGTACGAAATTACATGGACCGAATTTCTATTGTTCTAACATAGTAGTTGTTTGTAAAGTTCGAGCAAGATGCTGACCCTACTTCTTTGTTTAGCTCTATAGCGGTTAGTGGCATTATAAGATGATCTGGAAAAGTGTGCCAGAGTAGGGCGTTTATAAAGAACGTGGGCACCTCGAGGTAAATCAGACTTTGAATTGCTACTTTAATTTGACATACGGCATTGGGTGGGTGAGATCCGAGCACTGAGCACGACCCAGAGGATCTGATCTTGAAAAAAGAAGCAGCGCCAGAGCCGACGAGTCCTAAGGCTGCACATGGGAATGATTACAGCTGAAAAACGGGCCTAGTGTATTAAGAGAGTGACCCGCAAAGGGAGACTACAGATTATGACGCGGACAGTTAAGATTACTGCGGATCGACAAGTCCGCCCGGGCCTTAGCATGACTATCACCATTTGGATACCCGGATGGCTTAACACGGTACAAAAGTATAAACCCTGGCACTTAACACAATTGTGATGAACTTGTTCCATAGATGGTGTGAACAGTTTACTGCCGGCCACAAGGACGAGGAGATCATGTGATTTACCAAATTAAATGAGTAGCTGCTGGGACTCGTAATTATGTTGGGGGGTTATCGCAGACGCTTGGAACATGCAGGTACTGTACCTTTGTTAGACTGTTTAACCAGGCGGTCTAGGGACGGTGAACAGGGTTGGGAACAAGGACTATGGAGTAATTAACTGGAGCCGGATTGTTTGCGTTTGCCCCTGCTATCCAGGCCGGGGGTTACCTGCCAGGGGTTGTATGTAGGCGTGAAGCCGGTCCGGTTTGCTAGGACTAGGACAGCCCCTGGCGTGCGATCATCACGAGTGCAGGATTTACCTTGCGGCGCATGAATAGGAGGTTGGGGTTTCGTAACGGTCTCTTGGCCCCAAGGAAAACGGTGGATCATTCGGGGAGAAAAATTGCAAAGATTTTATAGTTCAATAGTTCATGGGATGACAATCAAAGAAAAAGTGGACAAGGTTAAATACGGAGGCCCATAGATATAGGGAATTGCGTGGTTTACTTAATTTCCTAATTTCCCACGAGCGCATTTCACTGTTTGGTGTCCATGGATACGCGAGGTATTTCGGCAGACCATTCTGAATGCTGATTGGTGTACCTGAACATCAATTTCCAGATGGGGCAACCCGGGGGTGGTTGTGGCTTCTGATTGGCTGACCCCTGACGCTGGTAATTTAACAATTTCGGGCTGCAGGAAAGAACGTAAACAAAGAGGGAAGGAGCGACTCGAGCCATCAAGTTACTAACAGAGTTGCTAGCAGAGTCCACAATATGGAGTACGAATGGTCTGACCCGCGATAAACCATCACCAGTGTAATCCTAGAGAGACGGGAGAACAATCATGCCAAGCGACACAGCCAGCGTCTAGCCGGGCACTGTAGAGCGTTCAACAGAGCCAAGATAATTTCAACCAAGAGCCAAGATCCACATTCGGTACTCTATGTAGCATGGAGGACAGGAGAGAAAGGCAAGACAAGCCCCTTTTTACACTGCAGTGAGTGGGGCGTGCTTGGGGTCTGGTTACCGTGCTGTATTGCCCCGTAATAACCAAGCTGCTCCTCTCTTGGCCCCTTGGTGTGGTACTACTACTCCTGTCTTTCTTCCCCCCCCCTTCTCTCTCTTCTCTCCAGCCTCAATCATTTTGTGTTTTCCTATCCGACCAGAGGGATTCGTTCTCTCTACCACATTCATTTGCTTCGGAAAACCCGTCACTCATTAAACAACTCTACGACTTCAATTTCATTTGTGTACAGCCAATTTACGACAGCGCGCGACCTGATTTAATGTACGTGCGATTGGCCACTGGAATATCAATATGCGATGCGGCCATACAACCCAGGAGAGATTCACACTGCGCTCTAAATTGGGACTTGTATCGAGGATGCGACAACAGCAGATCAGACAGAAGATACGATGGACTTACCGTGCTTGAGTCGATTCCAAAGATGCGATGGAACTACTCCTGGGATGTGCTGGCATGCGGCGCATAATGTTATATCGGGCGGCGCATTTCCATATGGGCGCCTGATCCATTCAATAGACCTTTCAAGACAGCAGAATCACTGACTGACCACTATTTTGCAGACTCATACTTGAATATTTCGAATCGCAATGTTGTTCAACTCTGTTGCCCTGACTCTCGCCTCGGCGGGCTCCCTGGTGGCCGCCCATGGTCACCACGGCCACGCCCACTTCCACCAGCGTGCCGTTGAGACCGAGACCGAGACTGCTGTTGCCGCCGGTCCTACAGCTTATGAATTCGTTCTTTTCGACCCCGCACACCCCGGAACCCCCGAGAAGCTCAGCATGGACAAGGCTTGTGAGGGTCTCGACGACAACGAGTACGAATGGCTCGGTGACGCTGTCTCGGCTGCTTGCTCTACCAGCACCCAGACTCCTACCTCGACCCCTACTCCCACTTCCACCCCTACTCCTACCTCGACCTACGCTCCCGAGATCCTAGTCCAGACCTCTGCTGTGATCTCTAGCTCCAGCTCTAGCTCTAGCTCCACCAGCTCTATCATCACAACTAGCAGCACTGTTGCTCCTACTACCTCCTCCTCCACCGCCGTTGCCTCTAGCACCTCCAGCGCTAGCTCTGGCTCCGGCGCCACTGGCATTGACGCCGATTTCCCCGATGGAGAGATCAGCTGTTCCGACTTCCCATCCGACTACGGTGCCGTCTCCCTTGACTACCTTGGTCTCGGTGGTTGGTCTGGTGTCCAGTACGTCAGCATCGTTGACGAGCTTGTCAGCGACATCACTACCGCTGTTTCTGGCGAGGGCTGCACCAGCGGTGGCATGTGCTCTTACGCCTGCCCTGCCGGTTACCAAAAGAACCAGTGGCCCTCTACCCAGGGTTCCACTGGCCAGTCCGTTGGTGGTCTCAAGTGTGAGGGTGGCAAGCTCTACCTCACCAACACTGAGCTCGGCAACACTCTCTGTATCAAGGGTACCGGTGGTGTCTACGTTAAGAACGAGCTTGGCGATTCCGTTGCTATTTGCCGTACTGACTACCCCGGTACTGAGTCTGAGACCGTTCCTCTCTCTGCCACCTCCGGTGGTCTCCACGAATTGACCTGCCCCAACAGTGAAACCTACTTCCAGTGGGAGGGCAAGAGCACCTCTGCTCAGTACTACGTCAACAACAAGGGTGTTTCCACTGAGGATGGTTGCCAGTGGGGCTCCAGCTCTAAGACCATGGGTAACTGGGCTCCTATGAACTTCGGTGTCGGTTACACTTCCGGAACTACCTACCTGTCCATGTTCAAGAACGAGCCTACTACCGATGCCGACCTTGACTTCAAGGTCAAGATCGTTGGTGACGGCCTCAGCGACGAGTGCAGCTACGACGGCGCTGGTAACTTCTACAACAGCGACGGCAAGATCAGCAGTGGCACCAACGGTTGCACTGTAAGTTCATTACAATTCTTCCTAAACATTTCATCAATCTTAATACTAATAATAATCTCAGGTCGGTTTCTCCACCGGTACTGCCCACTTCGTCCTGTACGAGTAAGCGCCCCATTGACGTCGGGATATCTCTATCCAATCCAATGAAAAGTCCTACGGACTTCAATGAGTTTTTCTTTCTTTCAAACAAACCGCGCCGAGGAGATAAACTCAAGGGTCTCCCTTCGATTATCTCCGACAGTGCTTCTGTCCATAAATGGTTTGTCACTTGAAGGGTTGTCTTCTTCTGTGTATCTTACTTTATTCTATTCGTTCTTGATGTGGGTTATTTGGGGGGAATTTCAATCCGTGTTACTTGTTTTCTTTCTTCTTAGACGTATTTTCTCCGTTTCCGCGGTGGAAGTCGTCGGCTAGATTTATTTCAGTACTTCAAGTACAACCAATCTTGAATCTGCAATTTACCCCCCGCCTTGAAAATTTATCACTTGAAGATACTGTCTTTTCTTACTTTCGTCCATTAATCTGATCTCATAGCTGCTCGCACACTATTCATCGGGCTTTGATAATGTTTTCGTGAAAGTTTTCAATTCTATGATTCTACGAATGATTCTCTTCCTTGACCGCGTCATGTGCAATACTTCACAGAATAACTTTAATCAAAGCATTCATCCAAAAATTTTTGCCCCATTGAATGCCTAGGTGAGATTAGATTGGACGAAGACTGGATGATACTTTGCATTGGTGGAATTCCAGGTTTCTTCCAAGTTCCTAGATAATCAGCCTTCGTATACAACATTCAACCCAATGTCCCACCATATGCTTAATAAGGCAACAGATCTTATCATAAAGTCTCCACGGTAACGCAGATTCCATATACAGTCTCGCCTGTGGAATGTGATAGGCTTCAAATCCAATTGGCCTCTTCTCGCCGGGATCATTACATCATTCCACACTATCGATCACATGAGAGTTCCCCAGGTACCTAGATACAGCCCGGGAATTAATAGGTACCTGATATCCTCAGGATCTCCAATATCCTAGTAAAAGACCAGAAATTCCATGATCTTGGCATTCTTCGTTGCTGGGATCTGGGAGACTCACGGTTCGCATCCGAAGGTTATCGATCTACCGCCTGAGCGTAGTGGCGTCTATAGCATTCTCTCCCCCTTGCGATCGGCCGTACTGAGCAATCGTCATCTTTGATATGTACAATTTCCGCTAGAGCCAGGATTTGGTTTTCCTAAGATAAGAGAGAAAAATCAAATGCTGTACCTAGCTCAATTCGACCAATCTCACGCTTCAAGCATGTACTACATTGAGGTAGGTGTTGTGGACAACTTCCAGGTTTCTTGCACACAACTTGGTTCCTGTACTGTAAGCCTCTGCTTATTGGGTTTACAAATAATTGAAATTGAAACTGAAATTCAATCGGGGCCAAGTTCTAATCCTGTTTTGAAGAAATCAACCTTTCTATTCTCGCCCGGACGCCGACTTGGTATCTTAACGGTTACAACTAGTGTCTTGAAAAGCCCGAACCAACTACTTACCTTCCAAATTGCAATGCAACCTGGGTCTAGAAATGAAACACGCTACTGTATACTATAGGACTCCGAGTAAGAATAGTATCTGCTTTTCTTATGGATCATCAATTTCTCATTTGTCATGTTTGTATCACGAATGAATTGCGGAGGCTGGCAACTCGCCTATGGTTGGTGTACTGTACATTTGTCCCCACGGGCGCGGTCAATGTACAGTATGTATGCCCCGCGATACTGAAAATTTTTTCTGATTAGCGTGTCTTGACGTGGTTCTGAAATTAAACTAAGTCTGTAAAACGACTGACTTGTATGTATGCTATCATTCGGTTAATTGCAATATTACTACTTCAAGTATGATTGATTGGGGTTTGATCTACTACTACCATTTAATCAATTATTCTTCAGATTTCTATAGATTTGGATTTAGATTTAGCTTCTTGTCTCGTATCGGTGGCAATTTTAGCTACATTTTTCTGACAATTTATCTTGAGGTCATCAAATGCCAGTGGTAACTCTAGGTGAAGAGACAAGACAGGCTTGTCATAGACTCGCGTGCCCGTCACGCTCCACTCGGCACGTGATTTCGTACGCGGAACGCGCTTTGTCAGATTTCGAGGTTTATAGATCCCAGCTCTATAAGATATTGTATACTTGGGATCTATATGCTTCGTCTTAAATCTCAATTCCAAAAAGTAGGAGCTGTGTTTTCTTGAAATTGTAGCTATATTTCAGTGTCCTCGCGAAGTTATAGTGGATCCTGTGAGTCCTCGTCGGCGCCTATCGAACGCGTCTCGGGCTGTAAGCGTGCATTTCCGCGAAGGGCGAACGAGACCCTCCGCCCCAGTGCATTCCACCACCACCACACACCTTGCCTTCCTGCACCTTTTTCTCCCAAGCCATTCCTCCCCTTCCCCTCCCACTTTCTTTTCCTTTCTGGCTCCTAATTAGAGGAGGGTGAGGTATCCTCGGCCTTTTAATTCTATTTACCTCTTTACTTTCCATCTTCCATTTCCTGTTTTAGGAATACGTGACGACGCGAGTCCTGGCTCGACTCGTTTTCGACTAGTTTTCGACTCACTCGAACGGAAAAAAAGGAGCTCGTTTGGACTTGGTCTTCTCCCTACGACAATGGATTCTTCTCCGTCACGGAGCTCTTTGGCTCCTGTGGCCGGCGTCAAACGACCCGCGTCTCTGTTGCCTGCCTTCGAACCTTTGAGCTCATCGCCCTCTCTTCCTCGGCCCTCAAAGCGTGTTGCACGCGAACCAGCTGTCTCACTCTATCCTACACCGGTCCCAACCTCGTCGACACATATTATGTCCTCGTCCCCGCCGCCTGTTACAGCTGCTCGTTCCCCGACGCGTCGAACTTTCTCTGCTACTTCAGAACGAGCTCCTTTGTGTGCCGTGCCTACATTGATGCTGCCGGAAAATGGAGAACCGCTTCTTATGGGCCGATCGAGTGCATCTTGCCAGCATCAGCTTGCTGCTAGTCGGATGATTTCTCGTGTTCATGTCAAGGCTACTTATAAACCAGCGCCGAACCCCTTCGATCGGGATAGAGTTGAAATTATGTGTATGGGATGGAACGGAATCAAGATCCACTGCCAGGGAAAGAAGTATGATTTGGCTAAGGGCAAGACATTCACTTCGGATATCAAAGATGCGGATATCATGATAGATGTGCATGAGGCTCGAGTTTTGGTGCAATGGCCTCGTCATGAAGTTGATAGAAAGGACTGCCCGTCCACTGATTCGGAACAGACTTGGGATGAAGGTACCCCAACCCAAAAAACACATTCTCGAAGAGTTTTGCAGGATAGTCCATTCCCTCAAAACCAACGATTGGCTTCTCCTGTCTCCCCATCGCCTGCTGTGCAAAGGACTTTACCGCCATCGTCTCCCATTTTCACCCCATCCCGTTCTCGCGCTGCTGTCGTCGTATATGAAGATGAACCATCCCCATTGAAGCGTCATAATACTGTTATTGGCTTGACTTCCCAAAGCGTCCGCCGTGCTAGTGCTATTCTCCAGAGTGACCTGAGTAGACATGAAGAGGATTCTGATAATGACGAGGAAAATGACCCTATTATTCACTCCTTTGGTCCGTTTGGCGAGAACTTGCTTCCGCGTTTGGCCTCATTCCGTGCGGATGACTCCCCTATACGCTCTGCACGATCCCCGCGCAGCCTGCTGCCAGCTCAGCCCCTCCAGCCAACTCTTTCTCCCAGACAACCCGCCAAAACTCAAGAGCCCCAAGAGAGCCGAGAGACGACACCTACTAAGGAGAACCCTCACCCCCACCCTAATCCTGATGGTGAAGGCTTTGAGCGTGTTCGTAACCACGCTGTCAACCAATTGGCATTCTCTCGATTGTCCTCTACCCCCTTCTCCACCATTCTGAACAACCTGCCCCCTTCATTCTGGCGATCCAGTGCCAGTGGCTCTGGCCCTTCACGTTCTGATATTCGATTCATTCTTGAAACCACCAAGTGTATTGGCAAGGTTGCTCGTGAAGGCAAGGATGCTGCAGGCAAGCCTCTCGAAAGCGAGTTCTATTATGTTCCGGATGACGATGACGACGATATGCGCCGTGAAACTGTGGTAAATAACCTAAGGAAGCCCGGTCTCCGCAACTGCCGTAAGCAGCACAAGGTTCGTGTAACTTCCTGATCTTCTCGCCTCCTAAACCACCCACTAACATCATCCTTCGCAGCAATACTTTTGGCGCAAGCCCAAATAGACTCTCCGGTAGAACAGTTTCTTCCAGTTTTCGCAAGCTGGATCGACCTTTTCAGTACATATTTGAAGTGTTCTTGTTCTTAGTCGCCCCTTAGATGACGGTGACATGCATAGCGTGGCGTGAGGCATACCCTGATTTTAATTCCTTTCTTTCTCTCCGCTTGTTTTTCTCGTTCCAGCATGGAGGTTACGACCACTGCGTCTTGTGTGTCGCTTTGTGTTCCCATTCAAAGGAAATGGGAATAAGAAAGTTTTTTTCCCCTTCTTATTTCTTATGCTTGATGGTTCCCTGATCTGATCTCGACGGCCGTTTGGTTTCTTGTTCCCTATTGTTGTTCCAAGGTTCCTTTGGTTCCCTACTTGTTCTGACATTCGACTTACTCCTGCTCGTGATGTATAACATCCCACTTAACTTTGGGTTCTGCAGTTATCCGTGTACACTGGTCTCTTGTTAGTGTTTTATCTGCCTTCTTGTTCTGGGTTTTTGCCTTTGAGCTGTCATGACTTGTACGTTAGCTTGTTCAATTTAAAAGTATTAGCCGAAGCTTTTCTCAATGTAATATGTAGGTGTAGGAATTATCAAGGATTCAGACTTTTGTCAATCATATGTACCAGGTGAAGCACTCAGTTATAATGCATACCTGGAGATCTACACAGCTCGTTGGCAATGGTGGGGGGCGGGTGGCAGGCTGTTTTAAGTTCCTTCCAATGAGCGCATCTCTCGCCACCACCGATATCAAAAGCGTCCCCGCTCAGCTTCAAGCTTCTTCTTTCCGTCCTTCAACTCCAGCGAAGCAAACCAATTCAATCCCTATCTACAATTCAAGAACCATTGAATAAAAGACAATCAATCCATTCCCCAAGCTTCAAGCTTCAAGCTTCAAGCATACCATCACTATGCAATCCCATACAAACGAAACCGAGTTCCCAGACCGAACCCGAACCAGAGATCCAGTTATCCCTACCCCTAATAAATCTCCTATTGACGCGCCTGAGGCTCCAGAGTATAAGGCGAAATTCCCTAGTCAGTCTTGGGTGCCGAATCTCGATCGTCGACAGAGTTGGAGCAGTGAGGATCGCAAACATATGATGCAGGAGAGATTGTTGGATATACCTGAGGGGAAGGAGAGTGGGTTTTCTGAGTCTGAACATGGGGATTAATCACGATCTTGAAAGTCGAAAGGATGGTACTCTGTGAGGCTGTGGATTTCTTTTTATGGCAAATTGTTATTCTTTGTGCTCAAAGCAACGTGAAGTTGTATAGGTGGATTGAGTGATGATCAGATTGTATTCTATTCTATTCCGTGGGCGGGTTTGGTTTTTACTAAAAGTCTGTTATGAAGTATGATTACTATGGTTATTAAGGAGAATGAGAATGATTATTTTTATTGCTTTGAAAGAAAGTAAAGTGTAAATTGTATAGACCATTGTAAGATGTGGTGATATACTAAGTCCACCTGGGGGCAAGTCCCGCAACGCCGATCTGCAAAAAGTCCACCCATACCTCCGCACCGCCTTGGAACCAGCCCGCTCTCCCGCACCACAAGTAGCTTCATCTTTCTCGCTTCCTAGTTTCTCTTCTGATCCTTCGTTCATTGCTCCTTTCACTCCCCCAATGTGGCGTTCAGGTCACTTTTCTTTCCTTTCAGACATTCTGAGAGGAGCCTATACCTGAAATCCCCCTCCCACGAACACAGGCCATGGAGCGCCAGAAGAAAAGTATGCCCATCCCACCCTGACAAGGTCTCACACCTCTCCGACCGGTACTGACTTCCATTTTCTCCAACAGGGGAGCTTCGTGATCTGAATGAAAGGGCTTGGACAGGTGATACAGGTATCATCCCTGCGCACTCACTCCATTGGAGCGCCCAGTTCTCGGACTCTAACTCTAACTATTTATGATTCATAGATGTCTTTCCCGTTAGCAAGTCCCTCGATTCAGCCCTGAAAAAGAATACGGCTTTTATCAAACGTCTCCGTACTGGAATCAGTCCTTCCTCTCTATCTACCTTTCTTTCCGATATACGCACTCTATCCCTCCACAAATATCTATCCGAGATCATCACCGCCTGCTATGAAGGTTTGACCAAGCTTAAGTCGCCTGGGGAAATCGCTGTTGGCGTCGAAATAGTATGCGCACTACATCAACGTTTCGGTTCCGCCGAGTTTACAAGGCAAATTGGCTGGTTACTCGGTCGTGGGCTAAGTTCACCTGATAAGGCCTCTCTCAAGGCTCTTCCGCAGGAGTACCGCGAACGAGAGGAAAAAGAGCGTCTATCACGACACCGAGTTCTTCTACGTGTTGTTACGGAATTATGGCTCGTTTCTGTTCTCAAGACACTGGATGATGTTGAGAGGCCCGAAGATCTTGGCACAAAGGGTAAAGATGGTGTGGTGGGAATCGGAGGAGGCAAGCAGGCGGATACCCCGCTGAAATCAAAGGTGCCAGCCGCGGCAAAGGATAATGATAAGGCAGAACCATTCCCGCTGGAAGTTCTGAAGGAGCTTCTGGGCTATGATCGCGACCATACAAATTTGCCGCTTGCTGTCCTTTTCGTGAAGAGTTTCAGCTGGGATATTCTGGGAACGAGGCTTGCGGATGAAGGGCGGAAGAATGTTGAGGCGGATGGCGCTACCACGACTACTACCGGTACCGGCTTAAAGCAGGAGAGTACGGAGGGTAGTGATGACCTTGCTGCTGATGCTGATCCGCCACTTATTTCGGAGACGGTTCAGCAACGGTTTAAGAATATTTTGAATCGTTATCTGGATGACGTCAAGGCGCATGTTATCCGTGATCAGAAGGCTTTGGCTTCACAGAGCCGCCGAAATGCCGAAGCGTATGTTAAGAGCGGTGAAATTTTCGAAGACCGTCAATCCAACTTTGAGAAGCAGTCGAAGTCTCTTGAGAAGCTCGTTGCCAATACGCAGGTGTTGTGTGAGGCCCTTGGGGCTGAGATGCCTGATCTGGTTGAGAAGGAGACGAACGATTCTGCTAATAGTGGCGGCATTGGCCTTGTGAAGACCACGGATTATTTGCGTGGACAAGGCGAAGGCGCTGGTATCTGGGAAGATGAGGAGGAGAGACGCTTTTACGAGAATTTGGTTGACCTTAAAGGAAAGGTACCGGCAGTCTTGCTTGAGGATGGGAAGAAAAAGAAGAGCGAGACTGAGGAGGCTGGCAAGAAAAAGGATGGTGAAAATGCAGCTGAACCAAGTGCAGAGAAGTCAGACGCTTCTGAGGATAAATCTGCCGCAGAGCTTGAAGACCAGTCAACCGCCATCGCCAGCAAGACAGTCGGAGCACAAGTTGATTCTCTTCTTAACAAGCTTCCAGAACTGCAGACAAAGGATCAGGTGGATCAGTTCGCACTGGACTTTTGTTTCGTCAATTCAAAGGCTTCCCGGAATCGACTTGTCAAGGCCGTTTCCGACATCCCCAAGGGCCGGGTTGACCTGCTGCCCCTGTACTCTCGCTTGGTTGCTACGCTGGGCCAATACTTGCCAGACATCCCCCAGGGACTGACAACTTATCTCGACGAGGAGTTCCGAAGCCTACAGCGCCGAAAGTCTAAAGAGTTCCTGGGCCAAGTACGCATGGGTAATGTGCGGTACCTTGCTGAACTAACCAAGTTTGGTGTGGTACCAGAACATATCATCTTCCACTGCTTCAAGGTTTCGCTTGATGACTTCTCTCGAATGAATATAGAGATCATTGGCAACCTTCTAGAGAACTGCGGTCGATACCTACTGCGCAACCCAGATACAGCTCCTCGGATGGCCTCGTTCTTGGAGACATTAAGCCGAAAGAAGACTGTTCAGCATTTGGCTCAAAACGAACGCATGGTGATCGAGAATGCCATCTATTATGTCGATCCACCACCGCGACCTGCCATCCAGCAAAAGGAGCGCACGCCAATGGAGCAATATATACGTCGACTTATTTATCTGGATATGAATAAGCGCAACTACACCAGAATTCTTAAGACTATCCGCAAACTCCACTGGGAAGAAAAGGAGGTGGTTGATATTTTGGAGCGCATCTTTAGCAAGCCCGTCAAGGTGAAATATGGAAGTATTCACCTTTTGGCAATTCTTGCTAGCGCTCTATACCGATATCATCAAGACTTTGTTATTGGTGTGGTCGATAACGTCCTGGAGCATATCACTCTGGGCCTGGAACAGAATGACTTCAAATTTAATCAGAAGCGCATTGCTGAAGTCAAGTACCTAGGCGAGCTTTACAACTACAAGATGGTCGACTCGCCTGTCGTTTTTGACATGTTATACCGTATTATCACCTTTGGTCATGAAGGTGGCACTCCGGTCCCTGGCCGACTTGCTTCACTGGATATGCCTGATGATTACTTCCGACTTCGGCTTGCTTGCACTCTACTTGATACCTGCGGTCACTGCTTCGATCGGGGATCTGCCAAGAAGAAGCTTGATTTCTTCCTGACATTCTTCCAGTACTATCTTTTCACCAAGGACCCCATGCCCATGGACGTGGACTTCCTCATCCAGGATACATACTCGGCATTGCGCCCTCAATGGAAGCTGGCTCCCGATGCCGAAGAAGCGACCCGTATATTTAGTGAGGCTGTTGCTCAAAATTACAACACGCCAGAGTCTGAGAGACCAGTTGAGGTCGATGAAGATGAAGCAGATAGCAGCTCCTCTGAGATGGGACTAGAAGAAGATGCCATTCCTGAAATTGATGACGAACAGGAGTCTAGCGATGAAGCTGAGGTGAGCTTTTTGATATTTTATATGAGAAAAAATAATAACATTCTAACGTTCTATAGGCATCGGGTCCCAACGCGGAGATGAACGATGAGTCCGATTTCGAGGACGAGCAGATTGTTGTTACGCGACAGGAAGAGGAACGCGATCCAGAAGTGGAGGCTGACTTTGATCGAGAATTCGAGAAGATGATGGCCGAAAGCATGGATTCGCGACGCTTCGAGCGCAAGGCCATTTTTGACATTCCCCTTCCTATGAAGCGACCTGCTCGAGACATCGCCAATGAACACTCATCCGACTTCGCCGAGTCGGTGCCAGAAGAGCCTGTGGCACCGAAAACCATGGCTTTCTCCCTAATGACGAAGAAGGGAAACAAACAACAGGTGCGATCGCACTGTCTCAAAAACCGAAGGTTGGCTATGAAACTGACAAATTACAGACCCGCACCATCGACATGCCTTCGGACTCTAGCTTTGCTGTCGCTATGCGAAGTCAGCAACAAGCAGACCGCGAGGAACAGCAGCGTATCAAGAACCTTGTTCTGAACTACGAAGCTGCAAACGAACCGGAGCCCACCGAGAGTGAGTTGAAAATCTCCGTTCCTTTTAATATCCACCTAATCGATTTCAATCAACAGCCTTCGAGAAGCGGATTCCCATTAGCCAGAGATTGGAAAAACCAGGTCCCAACCGGGGCTCGTTCCGATCTCGAAAACTTCAGCTCAGTGATGTGAACTGGTAGAACAAGGAGCATGCATTGGATTTAAATTTTCCACACTGTCAATCGGCAGCATCCTCGCAAAGGAACATCAAACATCAGAAGAACTACTCGCAAGAACATTGTTCAGATGTAGTTCATCGCCTTGGGCTTTATCGACGTGCCTTTCCTTCCACTTGCATGGATTTCCGAGCCTTCCAGCACTACTGAGAACAGGCTGAAAGATTATAATCTCGCTGCACAGGACTCTATAGTTCTTATGCTATTTGGGATGATCTTATCACGTCATTCCCTCTGCATTGCGACTGCATGCATTTCCTCCCCTATCCCTTGTTGGACGGTCATATTCAGGCCAGCTTCATCTGATCTCCGAGATAATATACTTGGAGATTGGCTACAGGAGTAAAGAGTGAAGAATGCGAGGAAGAGAACAACCCTGAACCCAAGCCCCTAAGTCCCTTTGCCTTCGGGCAGCCTCTTATTGTTCCTGCACTAGGCAGAGTGCCTATCGTTAAATTGAAATTAAGTACAGAATCAATGAGATATAAGTAATTTCTTAGATTTTGTCATCTGAACATCTGTAATTAAAAAAAGGAGTATTTTAAAATAGAGCTGATCGTGGTCACCCTTTGACTGGCAGTTTACCGGCAAGTGGAGAGAAAGCCAAAGCGCATTAAACTCCGGCTCTGGGAAACTCGGAGAACCCCGTTCCTGTCTGTGTGCACGGCGATCACAGGTTAACGACATTTTTTCTTCTTCCAGTTTTGAGTAACTACCTAATTGTAATATTGCAGTTTTTTTACTATCTAGAGATCTTTTCCCCAACCCAACCAATTAATTAAACTCCATGTACAATACTGATAAGTAGACAGTTCATGCATGCGCGCCATTTTCCGCACCAATCCAGCCTAGGTAAGTCCAAGCAAACATAGATAAGCGTGAAGAGAAAATGAGAAAAAAATAAATTAAAAAAAATACTTCCCTCATCCACATCCAAGATGGTGTGATTGGCTTGCGTTGTCTCTAATCTAACGCGGGATTCCCCCTTCCTAAATATTCAACACTCAATATTGAATTATCTCGATCATTCTTTTAAGTTACGAACTGCCAGGTTTATCCACGGAGCAAAATGGAGGGGGCTCTCAAGGGCAGTTACGCAGTACCCTCTAAAGGGGAAGAGCACGTCGTACATGATGTTGAGAATCCTCCACCACCACATCCTGGCTCTGACGCTGGAAGCGTTATTGTTGATGATGGACGAATTGTTACCCAGCATGAACAGCTAGGATTACTTCGGGGGTTATCGCAGCGACATGTTCAGATGATTGCGATTGCGGGTGCCATTGTATGTAATATACCCCAGGGATACTCTTACCCATCACTGGAATAAACCAAAAAAGAAAGTTCGATCGCTAATAGTGATATTTAGGGCACGGGATTGTTCCTTGGACTCGGTAGTTCCATTGCTACCGGTGGTCCATTAGGTGCTTTATTAGGTTATGCACTTGTTGGACTTATTGTATGCGCTATCCAGTTCGCACTTGGTGAAGTCTCCGCCTTACTCCCTGTAACGGGTTCTTTCGTCCGTCACGCCGAGGTCCTCGTTGATCCCGCATGGGCATTTGCAGTTGGTTGGAATGTTGTCTACGGGTGCTTTATCAGTGTCCCGAGTGAGATTTCTGCCTCGGTAGTACTGATCCAGTACTGGACGGATATCAATGCCGCGGTATGGGTGACTATTCTCATCGTTGTATCTGTTGCCGTTGCGGTTTCGTTCATCGGCGTCTACGGAGAAATCGAGTTTGTTTTCGCCATTTTGAAAATCCTCCTGGTTGTCTTTGTCGTCATTCTGGGATTGGTTATTGATCTTGGTGGTGTACCGGGAAAACCACGATTAGGCTTCCATTACTGGAAACAACCTGGTCCATTTGTGGAATACATTGCCTCCGGTTCGTGGGGCCAGTTTCTTGGTTTTTGGGCCGTCATGACAAATGCCGTTTACTCGTTCGCTGGTGTTGAGTCTTTAGCTATGGCAGCTGCTGAGACTAAGAATCCGCGACAAAATATTCCCAAGGCCTGTAAGAGGGTCTTTGCAAGAGTTACCATCTTTTATCTTCTTGCTGTTTTGATCGTGGGCATGTTAGTTCCTAGTACCGATCCTCGACTTGGTGATGACTCCGGAACAGCTGCGACAAGTCCTTTCGTTATTGCCGCTAGTGATGCGGGTATCAATGCTATTCCATCGATTGTCAATGCTGTTTGTCTCGCTTCTGCGTGGTCAGCTTCGAATCAGAGTATTCTGGCTGGAACGAGAACTCTCTATGGTCTTGCGATTAAGGGACATGCTCCGAAGATCTTTCTTCGCACTAATAAATGGGGTGTGCCATATTTTTGTGTGTCGTTGCAAGTTGCTTTCTCTTTTCTGGCATATATGTGTGTGTCTAATAGTGCTATGACGGTGTTTTGGTGGTTTGTTGATCTTACGGCTGCTGGATCTTTGATCTCGTGGATTTCTATTGCATTGAATCATATTCGATTGCTCCAAGCGTTTAAGGAGCAGGGAATTTCTCCGCATTCATTGCCGTGGCATAACAGCATTACTAGTATGTGGTCCTACCCTATCCTCTTCCTCTAACTCAATTTTGAGGATTTGAACTAACATGACCAAGGATACACCAGCTGGTTCGCTTTGATCGGTTGCACTGTCATCTTGTTGACAGGAGGCTTCGCGGTATTCACGAAAGGAAGCTGGGACCCAGCCACATTCGTGTCTTCCTATCTGTACGTGTTCAATCCTTGGTCGCTGTTTCAAGTTTGAAAATCACTAATTCCGAACAGAGATATCCCGCTTGTCTTATTCGCATACGGAGGCTATAAGTTGATTCGCCGTACGAAGATAGTACCATTGAGTATGGTGCCAATTCGCCAGGCACTAGATGAAGCTGAAAATGATCCTGAAAATGTACCACTCACGAAGGATACGATATGGCAAAAGATTAATATCTTTTGGGGCTGATCGAGGTGTATCATTGATATAACTCTGCATTGAGATTAGCATAGCTCCACACCATAATATGATATTCGATGGCCTAGCCATTTGCTTGAAGTGATCTTACCTGAAGTAGCCTTCTTGTATCCGGTCTCATCTCTCTGCTCATGGATCAGCTGGGACGGCGTCTTGCTCGCTTAATTTGGCCGATCCATGAAGCCTCTAGCGTCCATGATGATTCCTTTTTCATCTTTTATAAACAGGCAGCCACGCTCCGGTAAATAGGACATTGTTTTGGACCGAATAGGACTTGAGCATTTAGGTAGCTTCTATGTTTGCGATTACCGGTTTTTGTATCCATTCTGAGCTATTCGTCAGGAAGAAACCCTTCAATGTTATTTGGAAGCATGTGTTTGTCGAATGCTTCGTAGTACTTAACTGTCGACTGTATCAGCATGGTAGGCTCCGGCCTTCGGATCTCGTCATTCGTCATTCGTCCCCGGGAAATTCGCCAGAAGCATATCTGCGTTGATGGACATGCCGGCAGACATGATAGCAGCAGAATTGGGTGAAAAGATGCTTGATTGGATAGAAAGATGGATCAGGCCGAAGGAGGATGAAAGTGGATGAAGAAAAAGAGAGAAGTGTGGATGAAGAAGAAAGAGATTTCCGGAGGGTGGATGGGAATAAATAGTAGAGTAAAGTTGAAGTGAGAAAAGAAGCCGCAGACCTAGTAAAAATGGAGTAGTATATAGGAAAAGAAGAAGTTTTGGTCGCGTATAGTATTGGGTGATTGATATATGAGGGATAAAACAGTTAAATAGCTACATGAAGGGGAGGGAAGGTTGTAGAGAAGGTGATGGTATGGCAGGATAGAAGCGAGGTGAAGGAGAAAGGCTGAGAAGTTGGACCAGTGTGGAGCGCTAGTGTGAGATGGAGTGTAAGGATTTACAGGTTCTCGATATTTAGCCATTCGTCATCGTTCTAACTAAAAGGCCGGGAGAAGCATTGGTTACTAATTAGAGCTGAAGCCTGCATGTGGAGGATAACGTCTCTATTGCGGCGTAGACCCCAGCTACTTCACTGTGTTATTTGCCTTATAGAAAATTACCTCAAGGAGAAGTGATTGTGCGTCAGAAGTGAAAAGAAATCCTTTAGATATGGGGTTTCCTCTCTGGATGCTGATCCCAACCCCACAGAGCTCTCAGGGTCATGCTCCACCCCCGCTTTTTCCAAGCTTAATGACACTAGTTGTATAAGCGAGGTCTTGATTCCAGAATCCCGGCTAAACTGAACGACTCTATTACACTATATTAAACGTCTTATTAGTGTTTTTGGGAGCGGCTGAACCATTTGCCCCAGTTTTCCCCAGATTTCTAATCATCTTGCCTTCAATTGCAACTTTCAGAACAACATGCCGGAAAATCGTTTAGCGATTTTCGCACCCGGACATAGAAGTCCGGCACTTGATCATGGCTTTTCAATCTTGGCAAGCAAACATGAAGCGGGGAAACATTCACTCTTTGGCTTATAAAAGGGCATCGTGAGATGCTTCGAGTCCATAATCCTCAAGCACACCTGCAGCATCAGTCCTCACATTGACTTGGACCTCCAAGACATTACAGGAAATGTTAAGTAACTGTTTGGCTTCGGCCATTATTTTCGCCTTAAGTGCCCGATGTGCTCCTACTACCCATGCCTTGAGTGGTGGTACCACTGTCGGCGAAGGCTTGCTCATCGACACTTCCTCCGGTCCCATTCAAGGCTTCGTGAACCTGACAGCACCAAATGTCCGTCAATTTCTAGGTGTTCCATTTGCAGAGCCACCAATTGGAGATCTGCGATTTGAACGTCCTCAAAAGAAAGAACCCAATGGAACCATCGAAGCCTTTGCCCTACCTAACTCCTGCATGCAACAATTTAACTCCAACAGCTCGACTCTTTTCACCGAGTACGAGATGGGCTTTCTCATTAGTGGTGGAAACTCAGAGGATTGTCTATATCTATCTATTTGGGCACCTGATGTTGAAAATATTCGTTTTCAGCAGCGTCCGCTACCTGTTTTGTTATATGTACCTGGTGGTGGGTTTACTAGTGGAGGGGAGGCGTCGCTTTTCAAAGTTCCTGATAAATGGATACAACGAACGCAGGGACATATTGTTGTTATAATGAAGTAAGCCAATGGCCATTTATTTGGTTTGATGTGGATGATTATTAACTTATTGCCATAGTTACCGTGTCAATGTCTTTGGATTCCCCAACGCAAAGGGCCTGACAGATCAGAATGCGGGATTCCTCGATCAAAGATTAGCGTATGCAGGATGCCAAATTTCTCCGTGTTCATGACTGCTGTTCTGCTTGCTAATCTAGTTATCTGTAGTGTCGAATGGGTCCAGGAAAACATCGCCGCCTTTGGAGGTGATCCGGGACGAATCGCTCTCTGGGGACAATCAGCTGGTGCTGGGAGCGTTACAGCTTATCCCTATGCCTACCCTGATGATCCCATCGTCACTGCTCTTATTGCTGAATCGGGTGGTCCAACTATTATCAACAATCAGGATTATACACAGAGCAACTTTACATTTTTAGCTGGCCTAGTTGGATGCAGTGGTTTAAACGCAAGTGCAGAGCTTACTTGCGTTCGGGGAGTACCAGCGCAGACATTGGAGAATGCCCTGTCATATTATGGGGGCAATGGAACGCAGCCGGCATTAAGTTTTACGCCATCTGTTGATAACCAGACTGGCTTTGCAAACTGGACAGAACGAGTATTGGATGGAAAGATTGCGAAAACGGTACGTCACGATGAAGGCAGAAACAATTTTGATTATTTAAATTATGCTAATATATGCCTTTTCTTGATGGAATAGCCCCTCATTATTGGTAGCAACGCGAACGAAGGTGCCGGTTTTGTCTCTTTCACAGAAGATGGACCAGGCGCTGCAACACTCTTCAATGAGACCGAGTCAGTAATTGCTTGCCCAGTAGCCATCGAAGTCAAAAACCGCAATATGGCTGGAATAACAACCTACCGATACCAGTATGCAGGGAACTTCTCGAATATCTCTCCTTTGCCATGGTTCGGCGCCTACCACAGCTCAGAACTACCTATGGTATTTGGAACGCATTATGAATACCGAGGCCCTTCTACTCAGTTCGAATGGGATGTAAGTTATGCTATGCAGGCATTATGGCTTTCATTCGTGGAGGATCCTTCACGTGGACCGGCCCGTCTTGCACTAGATGGTGTTTCTGGGAACCCTAATAACGCGAGCTATTTCGCTTGGCCGGCATTCAAGCAGGGGTCTTCTAATATGTTGTTGCTTGCGGAGGATGGTGTTCTTATGCAGCTGGTGACTTCTGCGCGTATTGATGATTATTGTCCGAATCTTTAGTTAGGTAGAAATGATAAGTACTATTAGCTGTATCCGGCAATTCCGGTGAATATAAGAAGCTAGGGAGTATTCCGAGATAAGTCCGATGGAATAATCCCACAATCCTGGTGTCCCCACAATCCCGCCCACCCTTACGAATTGCTGACCGAAGAGAATCTTAATGCCAGTCTCCTAATTTCTCGCAAATCTTGACATCTCAAGTGATATCAATTTGAATAAAATCTAGTCTACCCTATTTAAAAGACATAACCGTGTCGAAGCACAGGAAGGACTGCTGTTCTGTACTCCATTCTACCCCATACCGGGGTACATAAAGGGACGTGTTTCATTTCCCCGGCCCCCGCTCCACAGCCCGGGGCAGAGATTGGTCATCCGATCTATGAACCCCATCACCAACAGAACGGCTAACTTTCCACACGCGGGAGAGACAAGGCTTGTTCCTTTGGTTTCCCCCCTTTTACCCCCCATGGGGAGCTTAGGCCCACGGTGAACTGCTTTTCCGGGGCCCCAGCTTATTAGAACGGTTATTTGGTTTTCCCTTGGCTTTCCTTTAAAAGGAGATCGGGCGGACGTGGCGTTTGATTAAAATGCTTGTTCCTGCCAATCAGTATCACTCATCATAAGAGGAAAGGAGGACATAGCTCGCTTCCTCTTGAGCTCTTTGCCGGCCTGTACTATGTATTCCTCGACTTTCCCCCCAGGGACCTAGTGAAAATTTCAATCCAATTCTGAATTGCTCTTTGTTCCTCTTTTCTCCTATCATCTCCTTCCGCTATTTTATCTGGGATATTATTAACCTCCGCAGGACAAAGCCAGTTCTCCATAAATTGTCCTCGGTTTATTCATAGATAATCATCCGTCAAAATGGGCATTCTCTCCTTCGTGGAGGATCGGCCTACGCCGAAATCAGTGTATAACTGGCGCGTCTATCTTCTTGCAGCCGTTGCCTCTTGCACATCATGCATGATCGGTTATGATAGTGCTTTCATCGGCACAACTATTTCTCTTCCATCCTTCGAATCTGAATTTAACTTCGCTGCCATGTCACCTTCTCATCTGACTCTCATCAGTGAGAACATCGTGTCCATCTACCAAGCTGGTTCTTTCTTCGGTGCTATTTTCGCTTACCCCATTGGCTTTTACTGGGGTCGGCGAATGGGATTGTTGATTGCTGGTTTGGTCTTTGTTCTTGGTGCTGGTATGATGATGGGTGCTAATGGTGCGCGGGGCTTGGGTCTTATCTATGCCGGTCGTGTTTTGGCTGGTGTGGGAGTTGGTATGGGTTCGAATATGGCGCCTATCTATATTTCTGAGCTTGCGCCTCCTGCTATTCGTGGTCGGTTGGTTGGTACATATGAGCTTGGATGGCAGATTGGGGGTTTGGTTGGATTTTGGATCTGTGTATGTTTACTCTTTTCTACTTTTCCGTCTCCTCCTCTCCGGGGGTTCATTTCGTCGATGTCCATGGAAAACATGGATACGAAGCTGGTGAAAATATACTGATAATGGGACTTTATAGTATGGCGTTGAACAAACACTCCCTTCAAGCACTAAACAGTGGCTCATTCCATTCGCCGTCCAACTGATTCCCGGCGGATTGTTCCTACTCGGTTTGATCTTTGTCAAAGAGTCTCCTCGTTGGCTTCTTTCTCGCGGACGACGAGCAGAAGGTCTCAAGAATCTCTGCTGGATGCGGCAGCTCGAGGAACACGATGTCTATATCCTGGAAGAAGTCCGAATGATCGACCAAGCGCTGGAAGAACAGTTCGATGGCGATGGCAGCGGATTCTGGAGACCATTCAAGATCGCCTTTTCAGACAAGCGAATAATGTATCGATTGTTCTTGGGAAGCATGTTGTTCTTCTGGCAAAATGGATCCGGTATCAATGCGATCAACTACTACAGTCCTACCGTCTTCAAAGAACTTGGCGTTACAGGTACCGATACCGACCTCTTCACTACTGGTCTCTTTGGCGTTGTTAAGACTGTTGGGACATGTATTTGGATTCTGTTCCTTATTGAATGGGTTGGTCGACGTCGTCTTTTGATGATCGGTGCTGCGGGCAGCTCGATCTCCCTCTGGATTGTCGGAGGTTATATCCAAGCCAATCCTAGTACTGGTGGGAAGATGACGCCCGGTGGTACTGCGGCCATCTTCTTCTTCTATCTCTCTACTGCTTTCTATACGCCAACATGGAATGGAACACCATGGGTTATCAATGCTGTAAGTTCATCATGCATCCTATTCTTCTCATGCCGATTCCGGTAGTATTTGCGCGTGATACTAACTTGATACAGGAAATGTTTGGACCAAACGTCCGATCTCTTGCGCAGACTAGTGCTGCTTGTTCAAACTGGCTCTGGACCTTCCTCATCTCTCGTTTCACGGAGCAGATGTTCGCCGCCATGGGCGCTGGCGTCTGGTTCTTTTTCGCCTCTTTGATGCTATGCTCTATCTTCTTTGTTTTCTTCCTCATCCCAGAAACAAAGAGTATTCCTCTGGAGAGGATGGATCATCTTTTCGAATTCAAGCCGGTGCGAACTGCCCACGCAAAGATTATGGCGGACTTGCAGGAAGAGGATGAACAATTCCGACAGGAGCTTGGAGTTTCCACAGAAAAGGGCGAGGTTACTCAAGTCGAGCATGCGGTTTAAACCCACCTATTTTCAGTTTATATGATTTAATGTAGTTTCATCGCAAGTGTTGATGCTTGCGGTGGTCTCAAGGGACATTGAGCAAATGGAAAGAGGATGAGAAATGCTGCTATAATATCAATGTTACGAGAGCTTGAAGCTTGGTTAAAGTTATGGTTATGATTCTCCAGGGCTATGCTTCAATGAAACAATCATCTAGCTTGATGTCTTCTTGTAAAGACTTTACTGCTAGAGTTCCTTGAGATCACTTCAAATTTAAAAACCTCAGAACTATCTCTCTAGATCAATATCTCCGGATAGGGCAGACATCTAGAGTGATGATCTATCGAAATGAATTTCCAGCTATTTCAAGTACTAGATATCAGTGATTTTAATATGAGAAGTAGGAAAACAGGACTAATGTAACAAGTCTATTCTATTTTCCCCTGATTTGATTTCAGACCAAACAGGAACACAAGACATATCAATACAACTAAGTTACACATGGTGACGAAATCAGAATGGAGATCGGAGCGCGGAACGGGGAATGAAAATGCTGAAAAAATCGTGGAGAGGCGGATGCAGCGAGTTAAGTCGGGAGAGACAGAGAGAAATTTTATATGGTACACACCCCGATCCTAGTCCTCGACTTGCGTGAAGTAGGGATCATTTCCAAAGATAAGATGCCAAGTCTCATCTCCGGAAGGAGTCAAACAAGATGAAAACATTTGAGAAATGTTTTATTTCTCAGTCTTCTCGATCTGCTCGTTCTTCTGCTCGGCATCATGGGCAGCCTTGGGGACTAGGACATCACCCTCATCGGCGGCGGCCGGGATACCTTGTTCAATGGGTTGAGCAGGTGTCTCCTGCTCACTGGCAGGAGATGATTGTTCAGGTGAAGCGGGGGCAGGGGTAGGAGGAGCGCCCTCAGGACCGGCCTCCTCGTCGTCCTCTAACTCGGCACCGTAGACATCGGGGTGTTGACGGAAACAATCTTGCATGTCCCTATGAGATTGTTAGTAAAAGCACTAGTGATTCACACCCTCAGCTCAGATGAACATACTTGAACTTCTCAATGCAGTCCATGCCCTTGGGCTCCTCCTCAGAGTACACGAAGCAGCTGAACGCGGCCTTGAAGGCCTCTCCACAAGGGCCGTGGGCCATACCACCTAGGCAAGGGCAGTCCCAGTTGATCTCGCCAGTCTCTGGGTTAAAGGCAGCTTGTTCACCGGCTTCCTGCTCGAGCTGTTCCAAACCACCTTGCTTAGCCTGGGCGGCGGCCCGCTCTTCCCGAATCTTGGGGGTAATGGAATCGAGGGTCTGGGAGGATGCTTTGGAGGTATCTTCTTGCAGGTAGGAGAGAACAGAGACTATATAGTAACGTTGACAGTTAGTATTGTTCCGAATAGATCCATTGGGTTCAATTGCGACGGTTTCCGAGATCGCAGGGCCTCGGGTACGCAGATCGGGAAAAATGGATCGAAGACAGGTCTAGGACACAGCAGCTGGAACATACAGGAAGGCTCCTCGGAGAAGACACTACTGTTGTTGTAATAGTAGATGGCACCACCAGCCAATCCAAGACGAAGCACGGTGCTCTTCAAGCTTCTGGATTTCGGTGTTGGACCAGTGCTTATCAATCGGGTGTTCGCCGGACCACGGGCGACAGCAGGCGCGCGCGCGAGCGCTCTAACGGCGGGACGGAACATTATGGTGGTATATGTTTCTGGAAGACGGATTGACACCGTAGGAAGCCTCCAAGAAGTGAGGGAGGGGTGAAAGGAGTGGAGGGGAGGCTGTCGCCGACGGATGGAGAAGTTGGTGGAAAGAGAAGATGGGTTTCGGCCTGAGGTTTTGATCCGGTTTACAGCCAGTCACGTTGCGGCGCGGGTCAACCTACTTTGACTACACACTACGCGCCACTGTCAGTACATATATTGATTTGAACCTCTATACATTTATTAAATGTTTCATTTTAGACTACCTATGCTTCTGAATAATTTCCTAATCAACTAAGATGCCCCTATGAGATTCCTCACCTGCTTCTATACCAGTAATGGGGCGACTGGGGATTGATTGAACATATTGGCCGAACTGCCTAGAGCGAGGATAGTAAAACCCGCGTATAAGATGATAGGAAACCTTTGTAAATAGAGCTAGAACAGGGAATTTTGAAGCAATGACCAGATTTTTAAAAATTTATTATTATATCCAATGAAACTTAAGCTCAGTCAATGGTAATTAAGCTATGTCAATGGTTTTTAAGCCTCATCAATGCTTTTGAGCTCCGTCAATGCTCTCCGCCCGGGTTCAATGGTTTAGTTTGAAGCATTGGCTTATTGGCTTGAGACCGCCTCAGTTACCGCCCAGAGGCATTTCTGCCCACCTTGTTACACGCGAGCATTCAACAACTCTCCGGACTCTCTCCCAACTGGCTCTAGTCGGATATTAGTGCAACGGGATTATCCTTGATCAGATATGGAGTGGGATCCAAGTCTTTTTTTTCGTCTCGAGGGGAGTCCTGCGCCGTATGCTCTGTTGATCTTGAATCAGCCAATCAATGAGCGCGCATTTCAGGTACTGAATGAACATGGTGAGTGGGCTTTTTGTTCTCTGGGAGATTATATAGATAGAATATTTCCTATTCTGTTGTGTTTTCGTCTTCGGATTTGAGAATAAGTTCTTATGATCTTGTCGGACAAATATAGCTTCCTATATCATTTGCGCCGATGGTGGGGCCAACCGTCTATACGACTTGTTGAAAAGTCAAGGGCAGGAATCAACAGAAGTAAGTCGGACATTGCCGGATCAGATCAACTATTTCGAACATGAAAATGTTTTTGTATTTTGAAGATCTTTTACTTATTCCTAGCACGATATTGCTGAAATCCTTGATAATCATTTATCAGCTATATAATGATATCTTTAGAAACTAACATTGATATGCACTACAGCTCCCTGACACCATTGTCGGAGATCTGGACTCACTTAATCCAGAAGTAAGGAAACACTATGAAAAGCATGGAGTGCCTATCTTAGAAGATCCAGATCAATATTCAACAGATTTCACCAAATGTCTGAAATATCTCAATACGCACTCATCAGACATCATCGCATCTCCTCGTGACCGCAAGAGCTCTACATCCCCATTGGGCCCAGACCCAGTGCTTGAAATTGTTATTCTCGGTGGTCTAGGTGGCCGCGTCGATCAGGCCTTCTCACAGATTCACCATTTATACATGATGTCCCGGGACCAGAGAAAACTCCGCGAAGCACACCAAAGCAAGCAAGGAACAAAAGATGTCTCTGCTGAAAATGATGAGCCCAATCCTGCGTCTGGGGGAAATCTCTATCTCGTCTCTGAAGAAAGTATTACTTTTGTGTTACAACAGGGGAAGAATATTATTCATACACCAGCTACGAGACGTCCGGATCTTGACCAAGCTGCTCGGAAACGCAAGCGTGATGATGAATCTGAACCGGTATATTTCTTTGAGGAGAATATCGGTATTATTCCTCTTTCTGCGCCTGCCTCCATCACGACCAAGGGGTTTGAATGGGATGTAGAAGACTGGCATACGGAGATAGGTGGTCAGCTATCTACGAGTAATCATATCCGCGCAGACACGGTTCACGTGGAGACATCGGTGCCAGTACTTTTTACCGTGGAATTGGCGGAAAGACTTAAGCGCTGATGAATGATGGGGACTATTTTGCATTTTATGATGAAGAGAATGATCTTTCGGAATGTTTACTATACTTGCTGATTGATACCCTTGGTATAGAGTCAATAATAAAGACAACAGTCATTAAAGGCCAAAGGAACCCCCTGAAAAGAACCAAGAGTAGAATAGACACCCAAGCCTAGCGCCGCCTCTGATGAAGCGAGAGAGAATAAGAAAGGGAAAAAAAAGAAAAGGTAGGAAACAGGAAACAGTATCGCATATCGCATCATCGCATATTCAAAACACTTACCTCAAACCATAACCCGCAAGCTTTAAAAACGAACAGCAAAACACGGGAATAGAGACGCAGACACGTCTCCAGACACACAGGATATCATCCAACAGAATAAGTACAATACCGGATTATATACCGGAGTCGCACAGCAAGAAGAAAAGAAAAATGAAAAAGGAGCAGAAAGACAAAACTGTTAAAGAGCACATTCACGTCGTTCCTCCCTACTAACTATGGAGAATCAAGACTCCACCCATCTCCTCGTCTGCACCTCCACATACTAGACCACCTGTACAGCCCAAGCAGACGCAGGAAGACCAATAAAAGATCTATGAGCGGCGCAGAATAGCCTCGTACAGAGTACCAACGACACCAATGGCGGATCCAGCCAAAAGACCCTTCCACTGTCCGGGGATGGCGTAGTTGACCTTTGCGATCGCATATTTGCTATAGAGGCCAGCATAATCGTAGTGATCAGCATACACCTTGTAGACCAGGATAGCCTTGGCGATGTTGAAAGACAGAGGGTCAAAGCTGGGGCGAGTTGGAGCCGAACGGCTACTACGGCGCACAGGCTGAGCACCACCAGTAGCAGCTTGCCAGCTCAAGTTAAAGAAGTAGGCAGCCAGCAAAGGCACGAGCAAGTTGCTGAGGAACCAAAGGGTGAAAGGTGCCCAGAAGTTGGGAGTAAGCAGAACAAAGAGATCTGGGATCTTGATGTGGAATGCGGGCAGGAAGGCGGCTGGAATGGCAGGAGTAGTAGTTAGGTATCGCAGAGGAATAAGCTCGTAGAGAACGCTGCTCAGTTCTAGGAGGACGAAGATTGTCTCTACGGCCTTGAGGCTGCTTAGGGTTGCGCGCAGTGCGTGAGAGCGCTCAATAATGCCGGATGCGGACCATGCGCTTTCTAGACCCTCGCGCATCTTAACAGTCTGTCTGTCAATGGCATCGGTTACCACGGCGGGAGAGGGAGGAAATTGCACATTTGCTGAGTCGACGACCGAGCGCACAGTGGAGCGAGCGGCGGAGCGCGACGCAGAAGCGGGGGTCTTCTTTGTTACGGGTGTTTTGGTGGCATCGTCAGACTCACTGTTGTTATTGGTTAGTACTGGGATTATCGTATGATGTTCGCGCGACAAATGCGACGCGCCGGGGTGGCACTGATCAGTCATGAACTGATTAAGGTAGAAAGGCGTCTTACGTAGGTTCCTCCTTTGCCTTAGTAGATCGCCGACCAGGAGTCCGCGCAGGAGTCTTCTCAATTGCAGTGAGTTCAACCTTAGGCTCGCGCTTCACGGGCGATCCTCTACGAGGAGGAGAGGCCAAGCGCGAATAGAATTCAGCGAGCTTCTTGTCATTCGAGAAGATGGCACGGTTATCGCTGAGGTGCTTGTCTAGTGCTGCGACCAGTTCATTTTTGTTGTAGTCCGAGAAGCTTCAAATAAAAAAAGACGGTTAGCTTTCACATTATTGTTTAGATGCGACGATACTCGTGCGCGACAAAGAATAAACATTACATACTCTGGCAGGTCGGTATGCTCGGCGAACTCGACCAAGTCTCCTTTGCGGAGCTTGTTCAGATAAGGAAGACCGTTGGACATAATGGAGGTAGTATTCTGATGAATCGTCAGAGCCAAGAACTATATGAAAGGTGGGAACGTACGAACCAATTCATCAAATCACGAGGATAATGTATGAGGGGAAGGAAGATGCAAGGAGGAGGGGAATTGAATTAGGCCTGGAATTGTTTACGCCCGCGGGATCGCCAAAACAAAACACGCTAGCGCGTTCCTCTTTTGTTCGCAAGTTCTTGGGAATTCTTTTCCACTGGGAATGGGGGAGGGGGAAATGAGATGGAAATGGTTTATTGGATTGAAAATCACCATAGAAATATTTAGAAATATGTTTTATGTTTGATTTCTCTGGAAAATTGAATATATGTTTGGTTTCTATGGTACAATTGGGCCTTTCGGTCCGTCTAGTCTATCAAAGGGAGTTGAGAACATAGGGTTATAAACATCCAAAACAGCAGTGACAACCCTGCTTAAAACCCTTCCAAGAATTCCTTGGAACAAAGTATACAGAAATTAAAGAAAAAAAAAAAACGAAGATAAGAATGAGGGAGAAAAAAGAAATGTAAACCTCTCCAAAAGAAACGCCATCCCAATGAAATAGGCCCTTTTCAGGAACTTATGCAGGCAAAATAAGACATCATAGAGGCGAGTCCTTTGACTCTTGCCACGCTTCAATCCGTTTAAGTAGGTATTGGTACATAACCAACATCGTCCCAGACTGGATGCTGGTCCATACACCACGCGGACCCACACCACGAAACCACCCCGCGAGCCCCTCCGTGCGGTAGATCATTTTCAATCCCGTAAAGACAGATGATGTATCCAAACGAGGTGCCCCAGGTGGTGCGACCGATGTAGATGGTGATGATGTGGAGATAGGGCGCGATGATGTTCGTGAAGAGTGAGTGTGAGGATGGGATGAACTAGGTGTGTGTGGTCGAGGGCTTTCTTTGGGCACATGGTGATCTCCAGTATGCTTGGTTCCTGATGATCCAGTGGGGTTTGCCGGGGGATTTTGTTGGGTTTGGATTCGCGTCTTCACCACATCTAGCGGACATGTAATGACACCCGCCATACCTCCTGCTGTGGCTGCAGTGAGAATTTCTAGACCCAATCCAATGTCCCTTTGACCAACCCATTCCTTCGCTAGGTTCTGTTCTTGCTCGTAAAAGGCGAATTGGAGAGCGGAGAATGGTAAATCACGGAAAATAGTCGCTTTGTAACCGTGGAAAAGTGCCGATACACCTTCCTGTCGCACGATTGTTCGGAATGCATCGGTCGTGCTGCGGTAGTTGTATCCCGAATGAAAATATGGGTTGTTATATCGGCCTTGTAATTGCAGTCGGGTCTTGAGTACCTCGCTTGGCACGTAAACGATCGATGCAGCCAAGTCTGCGAAGAATCCTCCAGAAAGATATGCGATGTTGGGGTTGACGCCTCTATCCAGCATTTGGCGCTTGGTGAACTCGTATACACCGAAGAACGTCACCGTACCCGGGAAGGAACCCCAGAAAGCTGGAATGACACCACCGTATAAACCTCTGAGAAATCCTTCTTGACGGTAGATAGTTGCGTACGACGAGGTCATCGATGTGTATTTGGGCGGGAATGTCGGGTCGCCTTGTTGTCGGGTCTTGACGGTATCCAGCGAGTGCATCAACATATCACCACATGTTCCTCCAGTTCCACCTGCTATCATAGCCTAATATTTCACATACGCGTTAGTAACATAGCCTAGCACGATACGCTAATTGTTGCGAGAACAAGAAAAGTCTCACATGTAGATAGGGCGGACGGGGCTCCTCCTCCTCCAACAGATGGTCATTCCGCGCATGGCCGGCGGAGCCACCAATAACTATACCATGATGGGCAGGTTGTGGGCGAAGGGAAGGGACAGGGTATTCATTATTCGTTGTTGAGTCCGCAGCCGGTGTTGTCGAAAACAGGCCGGACACTCGCTCGGTCAGGCTCATGGCAATCTGTGCCAGAGACTGTGATCCCGAGAACAACGGGACCGGGGGGTGATTAAGGGAGGAGTCAATAAGGGAAAAGAGAAAAGTATCACCCCCGGTAAAGTAGTAATATAGCAAAAGAGTGACGAGTAAAAAGACGATGAATAATGGAGAGGTTCGTGTCTCTCGGGGCCGAGAATCAAAAATCTGGTCGGCGATGTTTTTTCTCCGCCCCGTGTGATGCCTGATTCCGTAGGCATATATAATACGTCATATAGTAAGAGGGATTTAATTGGACAATGAGATGAAGATGAGTGATAATGGGTTGACCAATGAATTAACAGATTTATGTACTATATTACTGATTCAACGAGTGAAATGAATACATCGAAAATAGGGGGCCAACAGGGCAAATGAATCAAACGATTGGAGATAGGTCACAATTCCTATAGTTTATCCCTCACTACTTCATTTCTTGCCAAATCCGTGCTGCTGGAGGAAGTCCGCAATCTGCTTATATCCGGCAGTGGCATTGTAGTGCAGATTGAGACCATGTCCAGTGTTAGGCTGGATATAAGCGGAGAAAGCCTTGGTGGAAGGGAAAGCCAGCTTAACACCAGCAGCAATGGAAGTTGCAGCACCGCCAGTCGCAGTACAATCACCGCCACAGAAAGGAAGATCATTAGCACCGTCAATGACGAAGACAGGACCAGTGAATTCACTACCAGAAGGAACACTGGCAATGGTCAGAAGTTCACCAACAGTGACAGGCTGCTTGGTCTGCTCCGCGAAAGCCAGAATCTTAGGATCAAAGTGCTCAGGATAGAAGAAAAGGTACTCGTTGTTGCCCGAGTTCGCATTCGTCAAGTATCCCAGGCTGTAGTTGGAGGTCTTACGGTCGACAACTGCGCGGTTGAGACGTGCTTGCTGGAAGTTTGCACCAGCGAGAAAGAGTGAGTTGTATGAGGCGTTTAGCGAGAAGCCTGTGAGGACGAGAGCATCGGAGAGATCCGGGTATTTCGCTGATAAAGCGTATGTTTGGGCTGATCCGAAGGAGTGTCCGACATGGATGACCTTTGAGGGCTTCTGGTTGATGCCTGGGACTGAGCCGTTGCGAATCAATCGGGTGATCTGGGCGAGGGCCTCAACTTCTAGGAAGGATTGAATTTCGTTCTTTGGCTCGCCGTGAGAGGAATTGCCGAGTCCTAGACGATCATAGGAGAGAGTATGGTAGCCACGGGACAGCGCATAGTCGACGTAGGAATAGTTATAGTTGTTGAAGGGAAGGTCCCAGTAACTGAGTATTCATGTTAGGAGTATATTCGAGATACCATTGAGCATATTAGAGACTTACGTCTTATCAAATCCAACTCCGTGAGTTAAGATTTGTAGGTTGACACCATCGCTCGTAGGCTTGTTCGGTACACAGTATTGCGCCGAGATGTTATAGTGACCAGACACAGTATGGTAGCCTGTCAATGCAGTCTCTGTGAAATTGCCGCCCTGACGAGTGGCATTCAACACAAATGTGGTCGCATCCTGGTTGGTAACAGGTGTCTTGATGCCATTGAAAACAGCATTACGTGAAGAAACAGGGACCTCGATGGTAGTATTGTAGCAAGTTTTAGCAGAGACAACACCAGCCGCGAGGAGCCAGAGTCCAATAGAAGAGGCAACCATTTTCGTTCCGAAGTTCAGGACGACTAGTACAAATTCTTCCTGTCTTGATAGAAGAAACTCAGGATAAAAGGGTAGCGGGATACTGCTTCTCTTGAGCAGGTCTCATTTGACCTGTAAACTTTAAGTTCCAAGACACTAAGGCAACTATTGGACAGCTACAATTTGCAAGGTTAGCCTATTATGATTCTATGACTCTATTTCGACATGATCGTCTGTTTTGACAAAGATGTATACTCGTAGCAAAACTGGATGCACGGTTTAGCAGGGATTAGGGGGTTCAAGTGGAGCTTTGGCCCCGGGGGCATAATTAGAGTGGACCGCAGATCCAAATATGGCGCAACAAACGCCGAGTCTGGGCTAAGGTGAAAAGTGTTTAGGTGCAATTTCGTGCAAACTCTGCAGGGATTTGGAAAAGTTGAAGTGATCTGTGCGAATCAGGATTCGGGGGTGTCGCTGGATTGATCCACTGGACTCAAATTTCAGCACGGAGGAATTAGTTATAGGGGATCTATCCAGTTTGTGGTTGCTGACGGGGCTTACCTGCCCTTTTCACATTTGTCAGACACATGTGGCAATTATAATAACATTAGGCAACATTATAGTCGGCTGGACCCGATCATGACCTGGAGATGAAGTGGCGTGGAGGTTCAAGAGGCTCAATTCCAAGGATTGTATTTAAGCTCAAATATGACATAACCACCTTCTCCAACGACATTGAACCGTGCTTATCTCCGGAGCTGCGACTTGGATCTTGCAGGAGCTCTTGTCATCATTTGAAATACCAACATTATAAACGCGAAAGGCCGATTAATGCCGACTTTACTTGGTCAGCATGCAGTCTAATAATATTTGCTCAATTGATGTTCTCTTCGTATATTCAATGAGACTTGAATAACATCACAATATGTAACTTTCTCGGTGATCTGTATAGATGAGGGGATATTGTGTGACTATTCTTTTCAAGGCTACAAGTATACGAGATGGACTATTTGAGACATAAGGTCATCAGTGTAAACTGAGATTCATAAATCTGGCTAGCCGAAACCAAAGACATTGGCACAGGTTACAGGAACAATGCATCACGAATTTCTAGAATAAGAAAAGTTGAAACAAAAAGACAAAAATAAAAACAAAAGACATGACGTTGCGTTACGTATAGCTTCATCAGGGCGGTTATGCTCCACGGCCGCCTCTTTTCTACAGAGGAAATAGAGGAACCTAGATGGGTTCATACTCCCTTACTCACACACTCACACAAACCCCGCCCCTCGTACACTCCAATCAGCATAAAGCCGAATTGGTAGATAGGAAAAGACCCATCGCTTCATTCCTTCCGCCGCTGAGAAATCGTTCACTGAGACGTGCGATCCCCAGACCGCGGTACTTTCGGACATGATAAGAGCAAGAAGCATTCCTATGTATATTTTGCGTTTTGCGCGCAATCCAAGACTCGTTTACTGAGGCTTCTTGTTGGCGGCAGCAGGTCCAGAGATGTAGCGGCCGATGTCGGTAGCCTCGTAGACCTGGCGAATAACGCCCTTGAAGGCCTCCCAACCCTGACGAACCTGAGGGGGAGTGCCCTGGTGAGAGATAGAGGCATCGGCGCGAGCAGTCAGAGAGCGGACAGCCTGCTGAACGAAGGAGCTCTGGGCGTAGCGGGCACGGAAGAAAGACAGGTAAACAACCAGCAGGACCCAGCTACCCTTGGAGAAGGTGACGGCGGAGAGAACCAGACGAATGAGAAGGAGGATCTCGAGGGTAGCAACAACACCCATGCTAGCATCGTAGTACTGCTTGATGAAGCGGCCAATGGTCTCGGCGAGAGGGTTCTGCTTGACTGCGGGCTTGGAGGTGGGCGAGCCAGTAGAGCTGGCACCGGCACCCTGGGAAGCAGGTTGCAGGGTGGGGATCAGGTACATACGGCTGTAGGTCGCAACGTGGAAGACAGAGTATACGCTGAAGGGCAGAAGGGCCAGAATCAGCTGGCGCGAGTACAGCCAGACGAGAGCCATTCCTGTGGCACGTTAACATCGATTCAGATATCTCTTTATCATCAATAGCACTCACCAAGGTATTGCACATTCTCATCGGAGATGAGCTTTTTCACGATTTGGGGAACGCTTCCTTGGACCCCACGAGCGAAGTGGCCCTTGTAGACGACGATTCCATAAGTGACAGCGGCCGAGATAAAAGCGAGTCGATAAGAGAATCGTGCAGCGGAGGAGTAGTAGTTGAAGAAGATGAATGACAGAGAGTATCGGAAGACGGAGAGCAAAAGCGTGAGGTGACTGTGGGCGGTTAGTGGTGTTGCTTCTAGGAAAAGCGATTGTGGGTTATTTCCGAAGGTGCGACATACCCGATGAACCAGGCAAACCTGTGAGAAAAAATGAGATTAGTATTTGATTAGATATACATTGGAGCTCCATGCAGCTCTTGGAGACAAATTGGGGATTCTTACTGAAGGGTTTGAGCCAGAGTCTTCAATCGCTCAGCCAGAGGCAGAGTTGAGGGCGGAGGAGGAGCCATGAGGATAGGTGGAACTCAAGATACCGAGTACCGAGGCGGATGAGGAGAAGGGGGAGGGAAAAGAAGAAGAGAGTTTTAGTTCCTGCAGCAGATAGAGCAAGGAGCAAGGGGAAGTTGCAGGGAAGGGGAAAAAAGACGAGAGAAAAAAAAGTTGAGGTTGTGAAGGAGGCTGGGGGAGCGGGGATGGAGTTGTGTGTTACCTGTGCTTTCCAGCTGGAGCTAACCAGACCCTCTCCGCCTTCTGCCGTGGTGACGTCGAGCATTCGCAAATCAAGCTGATCTACCTGTATAGATAAGAGAAAAAGGACTTAATATTTTAAGAAGAGCCTGAATAGTATGAAGCTAACTATATGTACAGGATTTAGACGTGTGTATTTTGGAGGATATTTCGATATTATTTCCATGTCCCAACCACAGTGGAGTTGCCCTATTCCCAGGATCCGATCGGTTTCGTCTTAAGTGGGACCTTTGAGATCCATTTTCTCTTAACACAGTGAGGTGTTCATGCTTATCTTCAGTGCATCAGGGCTCAGATTATACCTGTCATACAAAAAATCCGAAAATCCAACAGATTGAGGGATCGCTCTGGCTCCGAAGGCTCCGGCTGGACTCGGCCTGACCGCTATTTCTTACAGCTGTTGGAATGCACATGCGCAAGTCCTCGGTTGCGTGCTTCGGGCTGAAACAATTACAACACCCGTTGCTCGTGTCCTGGGTACTTAGCTGCCTGTTGATACATTGATTTATACTTTGCAGATCGCCCGACAAAAGTTGATACCTGTTGTCCTCCGTGAAGTATGCAGTCTAGATCTGAATGGATAATATTTATTCTTCGTAGCACCTTTCGGGCCCTTTTTGCTATAGCTTATTATCGTCTATACAAACAACCACTCAGTCGAAGTTAAAATCAATATTGGGGGGTTTTTTATATAGTTCATATCAACCTATACCGTTTTGAAGACCTCGAGACTCGATTAATTGGGGAAACGGACGCCCTTCATATCATCCCCGAGTTGTTAAATGCGAAATATTGCTGTCCCTGGTGGTCGGGTCGCGTGCGCTTGAACTGATTAATAGGCATAGTTAATTCTTGCTCATCTTAAGAATGATAAGGGCCGAATCAAACTTTGCGACGTGTTATAAATCATGCACGTCACTATTCCCGCGGCAAATAAAACCGAGCCAGCATCTAGGTCCAGACACCAAAACTTATACGGTAGGTAGGTCATAAGAAGGGATATATTTCCCCCTCTCCAAGCATCTAGAAGCACAATTCTCGTCCTTTAAATCGGCCATTGGAAACGAGTTATATTCCAAGACTTTCTCTATTGACAAGCTCTGGCCTCACATCCTGATCTCTAATTATACATACCCCCTTAACGTCAACAAGGCCAGCCAGTATTAAGGATGTGCTTAGCCTCCTGGGCGTAAGTGCACCCGTTGTGTACGCTTGAGTCCGAGAAACCTGCAGACCACATCATGAAACCACCAAAAGCGCCATTACCCTGGTACTGTCGAACCAACTGTGCTAGAGTTTCAGGGCTTGCATAGTATCGTGAGCCAGAAGAGGTGCCTGTAGAACCATCAGGAGCGGCAGGAACACCGAGGAAGATCTTCGCAGAAGAAGAGCGAGTATTGGCGACATTTTGAATTCAATCATTAAAGTTCGGATTGGGGATAGAGCAGTATGGATTATTGTAGAACTGAATCCAAAGATAATCAAAATGCGAACTAGTGATGAGGGGCTGCATATAGGGCTCCGGAATTGGACATTGGGGTGCACCAGTGATATAGTATTGATGACCACTATCCTGTGAGAACTTTGAACGAAGAGTAGAAATCATATACTGGTAGTATTGATTACCACTCCAGGCTTCTAGGTCGAAATCCCAACCGTTGACATAGGCATAACCAAAGGGTGGTGGCACACCGCTATACCCTGAGTTACCATATGCAGCCCAAAGGTTTGAGCCAATGGTTTCTGCTTCCCATTGAGATGAAAGCCCGTAAGCGCCAATGGCGCCGCCAAGTGAGAGTATGCCCTTCTTCCCTCTACTTTGACAGAGCGAAATGGCTTGGCTCAACGCCTCGCAGTTTTGGCCCTCACCGAAGCTGGTAATTGAACATGATTGGCCTATAGTTCCATATGGAATGGTTTGGCCATTTCCGAAGACGTAAAGGAAGGCTAGAACGATAATGTCGACACCAGAATCGGAGTTGCAGTAAGAAGCGAGATCATTATTCTCAAAAACATTGCCGCCATTCTGGCCCCAGTAGACCACATTCTGATGGTCTCCATTTCGGCGAGACTTTGCATGATGGACGGCAGTTACCGTAGTGACTAAAGTCCCAAGAAATGTAAGAATCGATTGACGCATTTTGATAAAGGGTAGTCTGAATTATGATGGAGTTCAACGTATGATGTTCAAGCCAGGAACATCAAAACCACCCTAAATATTTGTGCTTGAAGTGGTTGATATCAATTATGAAGAGTAAATGGGAAGAATATAAGATCCAGTCTTACTAGAAAAGATAATATGCAGATTATTAGCACACAAAGATGGAATGGAAGCTCTGGGGAGAGATTTTGATCCTCTTATAAGCTCCCAACCAACGCTCCTGATATACTATTAGAGGATATTTGAGAACATCCGTCGAATACGGGATTTAAATTCCCCATCGAGCCCAGAGTAGAATCTTGATGTACCCATATGCTACGACAACGGGGAATTCCTATGATCATCGACCTCTCAGTCATAGAGCGGTATCGGCTTTGGACAATTGTAGGTTCTCCAAAAGATCCGATCCGGAATTATTGTCGGAGCATAAGCATTTCATTTAAGGGTTAAGGAAAATTAAGATCAAGATGAGCCTTCGGGTGAGTAGAGTAGATACTAAGCTTACTTGGTAGCATTTCTAGCATTGAGTTCGACGGAATGATTTCGATCCGTTGGTCCGTTAAAGGTTGTTGAAGTTATGCCATCTCAAGAAACCACAATTAGACCTGTATTTCTAATTTCAATCATATAAAAATTATAAGGATCCGCAACTATAGTTGCTTTACCTCCTCCTAGCCAGACCACGACCAGGTAGGAAAGTTTGGTCTACGGCGCTCAGGGGGCGCTGGATGGTACCATTCGAGTATTAGATTTCCATCTATAGAAGGCAGCCCCCATGAATGACTTAAATGTATGGAAGACGTAGAATTGCTGGGCAAATTGGACCTTACAGAGGTCAGTGGGACCTTTGACCGTTCAAAATCCGTGAGGATACCGAGAAAGACATTAAAAGAATCCTCTGGATAGGATAAATGGCGCTGGGTGTAGGTGACAACTCGAGTCTCAAGTTGATCAAGTCCCCTTCTAAAATCTGCAAACACCATGTTTACAGCACGATCTTTCATATCCACTGTCGTGCCATATGATACAAGCTGCTGCACAGGTTCTTCGATGTATTGGCCCCTGCAGTGATACAAAACCCCTCTATTTGTGAAGGCTAGACACAGCAGTGACAGCAAGCCCTCTTGGTACGTCCAGCTTCTCTGTGCTCATTTAACACTAACGCCATTTAAAAAACGCCACTCTTTCTCCTCAAAAGGGCAATCTAAAATCGCCGGCTTTTGAATGTCACGTCTACTTATTCTAGTACAATTGTCACAATATGCAGGGGTTTCCTAAATATAGAGATCATAATGACTCCACTGAGATGTCTTGTATTAAGTGGGCAACTGACTACATTGAGTGTCTAGCCCGAAGCCTGCGTTATGGAGTTACGGAAATCGAAGTTATAAGTGGCTGTTCAAGACTGACATGCTTTATGTTCAATATATTGGCAATTTAAGTTGGCAGTCGAGTATATAAACCCCGAGCTGAAATGAAGAATACATTCCAGCCACAAAGAGATATCCTTTGTTATTCACCGCGAGATTTGTCTCTCTTTCCTATTCGATCGCCAATATCTGAGTTTTGCCAAATGGGTCTTTGTTGTGCTCCACGTATCCCAACTGCTAAAAAGAAAAATAAGAGTGGAGAACTAGCCGCAAACGAACGGATCGGTTTAGAATAAGGAGGAAGGTGGACATCAAACAACCGTCAATGGAAAGGTCTCCGAAGATTCAAAAGATCCAGCCCTGCCATTAGCTCCACACAACTGGTGGTGAGATTTTATTTCGGTAGTTGAGCGAGCGATCAAACACGCCCTTTTTTTCGTCTTCTTTGTCTCAGGAGATGAACACGTTGTTAAAAGGACATAGAGTGGAGCTAAAATGGCTCGCCCCATATCAAATGTTGAGAACGATCTTGGATTGGCATGAAATTCACAACAGGATCCACGGGCGCAACCCGTATCCACGCCGGTCTCATCCGTAACCAACGGCTGTTCCCTTCTCCCCACCGCTCATCCAGTTGTGGATCCCGGGATATCTCACCCGCCAACGGACAAAAGTAAGCCTGGTCTCCATAGTCCAAATAACCAGTTCCTATTTGATGAGCTCGCGGTTTTCCATCCTTCTAGCGTCGGTCTTACCTGTTTTGACAGATGCTAGAATTTTTAAGTGGGATCGGCTCACTGGGACATTCGGATGTCCCCAATGTCCGATCCTGCAGTCCAAAGTCCAAAGTCCAAAGTCCAGAATGTGACATATCATCCCTTGTCTTTTTTGTGTTTTCTTCTTCCCCAACTTCTTCATTCTTGCTTCTGCTTATGGGCGCGCTCGTTTGTTCAATTATGTTCTAGTCGAAATTTTTATGACTCGCTCTGGCGATTTGGTCAACATCATGTCTGGCATTCACGAGAGTCGACGGGGGCAGGACCTGGCCGCGACAATTACGGTGACTGCGCTGGCCGTGGTGTTTATCTTTTTGAGATTTTTCTCGCGGGGAAAGAAAGGAGCGGGACTTGGCTTGGATGATTATGCGATACTGGTATCCTTGGTATGTGCAATTTAACCTTCAACGAACAACTCGTATATGTGTGTCTAACTTTTTTCTTGCGGCAGGTTTTTCTTGTTACGGGGGCGGGCCTCAATATCGCACGTACGTTTCAGTTCTATAAGCTTCCAATCACCAGTCTTATTCTAACGGTTGTGAATAGTGATTTATTACGGAATGGGACTGCACTCCAGCACATTATCAACGGGTAGTCTTATGAGAATCGCCAAAGTGAGCCCTCCAACTGACGCACTTCCAAATTATTTAACTAATTTGTATCATATAAAGCTATCAATCGCTTATGAGTGCTTTCATTCCATAACTGTGGGCTTGGTCAAGATAACCATCCTACTAATGTATTCTCGCATGTTTCCCACTCGAGGTTTTCGCCTTGCCACCATTGTTTTGGGAACAATTACCGCTTCATGGGTTATTGCTATGATCTGCGTCAATATTTTTCAATGCTCTCCTATTGGAAAGGCATGGGATCCATCATTATCAGGGACTTGTATCGATTTAAAAGCATCCTTCATCGGGAATGGCGTTCCCAATATCGTGACCAACATCGCCATTCTGTCTCTCCCGACACGATCAGTATGGAGTCTGCAGACCACAACGACTCACCGTCTATCTGTCATTGGAATTTTTGTTTTTGGTTGCTTGTGAGTCTAAGTCGATATACCTGATCTGCGTTAAATGCAACCGCTGGGTACTAAGCCGACACTAATGTTTCAAACAGTGTTGTTTTCACAAGCGTCTACCGCTTTGCTTCACTTATGGAATTCCAGTACGGAGATACAGCCTGGACGCTCAGCAAAGCATGCACTTGGGGTATGGTCGAGTGCGCTAGCGGCATTATTGCAGCCTGCATGCCCACTCTGCGCCCTTTGACTGCGATGATATCGCCGAAATTCACACGCCCAGAAAGTCCTCAGATGATCAAAACCACTGAGCTTCAGGCCCCTGAGAATGAAAAGTCCTCGGGAATGGCCTTTCGCCCTCCAGACGAGCTTATCAACAAGCCGAGAGTGCATTTGGAAGTGACACAGCTTGAGGACGAGTCAGGTGATGAAGTGCCTCTCAATACTATCATGGTACGGCGCAGTATGACATGGCAAGAGACAAACTCTGGATAGGCGCATAGTTCAAATTTTGGAAGCGACAGTAGAGGTGGATAACTGTATTTGTATAGATATTATTTTCTCTTTTGTATATTAGACTTGAGGCTCAGAAAGCTCCACATATTCGTGAACAAACGAAAACAATGTACTATATTGCCCACTGCGTCCAGAATTCTTCAGTATCTAGAGATGTCATGTCTGCTCCGCGAAAGAGACTGTCGAAAAGGGCTGTGTCGATACCCTGCAGATCCCAATCTTCCCCTGTTTCAGAAATGTTCATTTGCTCGTACATTTGATCGGACTGGAGATTGTTATCATTCCAAACTGGCAATTCATTCATGACAGTAGAATGTAGTTGATCAAACTGCAATGCCTCTGTATTTTGACTTTCAAGTTCACGTTTACTACCGCTGGAATGGACTGGTTGGTTTGGACGTGGTAAGTTCGCAGACGGGTCGGGTGGAAGTTCCGTGCCAGGGTGCGCTAACGACGCAGAATCCGACTTCTTCAAAGACAGAGATTCAAAATTGATCTTGCCGAAGTATGGAATGTAGATGTTAAGTGCCTTGCCACCGTCTGTCAAATTTCCATCACACTCAAGCTCCCCATCATTGCCCTGAGAGGAGCTTGTATTGTACATAGTGCCGCTGGCAGCATTAGCCTCAATAGTCAGTAGATGATTAATTATTCGACCAAGCTTAGAGGTGATCTTGTCTGAACTATGTCGAGCCGTCGAATCGATGATTTCAAGGGTACGCTCCATCATTCCACGATCGCTAGGGCGACTGTGAGCGAGAAAATTGAAGACGGTGCCATCGTTTGGCACTTCGGTAGACTTATTGAGCTGCTTGCCGGCGCTCATATGGGCGATGCACATAACAATAATAGAGATGAAGGCAATGAATTCGTCGCCGCGACAGTAAAAGTGGACAGGACTGGAGGTTCGAAATGCTAAGTAGCGAGATAGAATCTCCCGGCTAGCATTGACAGCTGTTACTTTGCTATGGTCGTACCTATGATCTGTCGATGATCGCAGCATATATGGCAGATGTAATCGGACCAGAACATGATAATGTGCGAACTGATTCATGACACGAACGGTATCTTCAAGTACTTTCGCGTCATCGCTATTGTCTGTTATAAAGCTGGGTAGCCACCATTGAGAAGGCAGATCTGAGGCCACCCTTTGTAACAATCTATCAGTCTCGTGGAGCTTGGCGAGATCATTCAGATCGGACTCAGATCGCCGCAGTATGTTATCTGCAACGACACAGTGGACGCGCTCCAGGCGTTCCATGGGGCTACATTCTTCTAGAGCCTTGGTTGTAGCGAATTGAGTTTTGATGGAGGTAGGTGGTAAACCTAGCATGATAGAAAGATATCGATCCATCTGAACCAGGCGAAAACAGATTCGATCTGGATCAAATATTGCTCGAGTAGCAGGGTCGAGAAACTTCAAGGAGGGTGAATCAAACCCTCGGTTTATGGCCATCATTTGAGCGACCGCAGTAGCTCGACGCACAGCCATCCAGGAGCGATGAAGGTTACCCGCATGATTCTGGTATATTGCTTCCATCATTATACATTCGATTGCCTCGACGGAGCAAATAAGTTCATCATTGGTTGTCACGAGTCTAGTGGCTTTTTCCACCAGTTGGTCCATCATTTCGAGATAGTAGGCGCCTCGATTGCCCAATTTCCGTACATGAGACAGTGGAATCCCGTGAATGAATGTTCCAAGCAACAGGAATTTACGGGCGATGAGTATGGGATGAGAGCCGAGTGGGGGTAATATGAAAAGCTGTTGGGGCGTTGGCAGGTCAGCGCCTGACATAACAGGACATGAAGTGAATATGCCACAGTTGAGACGCATTGTAGGGCCGCTGGGAAGGGTGCATAAATTCGCAAGATCTTCTTGACTGGGCCATACTGCGAGAAGTTCGCGGGTCAAAGCCTCCCATTTATTGACAATCTGTCTGCGTGGGATTGACGGAGCAGGCAATAATTGTCTTTGGCCCGAAGATAATCTGTGGAGGTTTTGGTCTCTCTATTAAACGTCAGGGAAGTCCAGACTCTCATTGGAAGGATAAACTCACTACTGTATTTTGTTGGCTCGGCGTCTCCTTTTGCGTAGGAGTTTGGGGAGTTCCTACGGGAGCAAGAGCAGAGCGAAGCTTAGATGTCTCCTCATATAGCTGATCGTGAGCATCAGCAGTGCCATTTTGGGTCATTGCTAGCTCAATAAGCTTTTCCAGCCGATCAAGTCGAGCCTCCACCAGGTTCTCGGTGATGGGCGGCACGAGGCCATCTGGTATCTCCTGGCTGATGCATGGCTTTCTTCTTCTCCGACAATTACTGCAAATACTATCGGTAGACGAGGAGAAAATGCAGCGCACTTTGCGTCGCTTACAATCCCAACAGCTTTGTGTACCTTTGCGAACCTTTCTCCGCTTGGTCTCGGGACTGTCGTCTCGGTGAACTTCGGACATGCTGTACTTGTTCTGTGACTGAGTTATCCAACTGCAGCATAGATTGCCTCACTCTAAGTGAGCGACAGAGATTCAAAAGTATGCTGAATAATGGGGGAGTAGATGGTTGCGAGCCTCGTCGTACCGCCGAGGTATCTCGGTCGAAGCGTGCGAGTCAGCGGTTGATGGTCGCAGTGTTTCGCCCGAGCTCGGCGGAACCAACGGCTTCGCACCACTCCAATCTTTCGACATGGTGATGTGAACCTCCACCCAAATTAGGTGATCCTGCTTACAAGTCATACATGAATTATGATATACAAGAAAAACATAGAAATTGTCATTTATAATTAATAACTTGAACCGAAGGCTCGGTTCTAGATATTCCTTATATAAAGGACCTTCGATCTGTACAGTCACTATTCATTTTTCAAGAACTTCTTCAGTATTATCTTCTTCATACATACCATTTCAGATAAAGCCTCGATTCGATTATCCTCTTTCGCCTATATTCGTCAGTTTATCTAACATAAACAACCAATATGGTCAAAATTGCAATTGCCGGAGGCTCTGGTGGTAGGTTTGACTGATCTTACCATGTTCTATTTCCTGCTAATAATATTGCAGGCGTTGGACAAGAGATTGTTGATATCCTTGTTGCTACAAAGAAGCACGAAATTCTTTTGCTCTCTCGCAAGGTCAGTGAAATATCTCGTCAGCCTCACTTTCCCCATCCGCCAACTAACGCATTCACAGGACGCTCCAGCTGAATCAGCTTCTCAGGCAACTACCTGGATAAAGACAGACTACAGCAACGTTGATGAGCTCGCACAGATTCTTCAGGGGGTTCATACAGTGCTTTCCTTCGTGACTGAACAGGAGGATCCTACTAGCCCCGTACAGAAGAAGCTCATAGATGCATCGGTTAAAGCCGGTGTGAAACGTTTTGCTCCAAGTGAATGGGTCTCGTGAGTAAAACAGTGATACCTTGGCTGATCAAGATTTACTGACTCTTTGCAGAAGTGGTTTAGCTCATATGAGCTGGTACGGATTCAAGGAAACTACCCGCCAGTATCTCAAGGACTTAAACAAGGACAAGAAAGTGAGAATCCACAATCAAGATTGAATAGATAAAAATCGAACTTGGGGCTTACATGAAGCTTCTAGGTTCTTGAGTATACCTTGTTCCAACCCGGTTACTTCCTCAACTACTTGACTCGTCCCTATCCTTCGACCAAGCACATCCCGCTTACGGACCTGCCATGGGACTTCAATAACCGCCGTTGGTTGGCGGTCGATGAAGGCCAGAATTCTACTTTGACCTTGACTACAGTTGCAGACCTTGCCAATGTCGTAGCTCAGGCCATTGAATTTGAAGGCGAGTGGCCTGTTGTTGGTGGCATTAAAGGAAACGACATCACGATGGGCGAACTCCTCGCCCTCGCTGAGAATGTCCGCGGTACGTCTTTCTACAAGACAGCACGACACTATTTTAGAGGCTTGCTAATCAAAGTTTTATTAGGTGGCAAACCATTTGCCGTTGAACATGTCAAGGCCCAGGATCTCGAGGCCGGAACATGGAAGACTTCGTGGACGCCCGTCATTGAGCATGCTTCGATTCCACCGGAGCAACGTGCCGGACTAGCCCGGTTCTTTACTTCTTCGATTCTTTTGGCAGTCAATGCTAATCAACTTCTTGTCTCTGATAGCTGGAACCAATTGCTTCCTGACTACAAGTTTACTGTTATTGATGAGTTTCTGATTGAGGCCTGGAAAGGCAAGCCTTGAGTTTCTCAATAATCTGTTAAAGACTGTTAGGTCAAACCAATTGTCTTTTTAGAGTCGTGTAATTGAAGTTTCGGTAGTATTTGATCGATATATATATCTACTAGTACTATTATCACGCAAGGCTTGGAGAGAAGTCGGCTTCTTGAAGGAATTTTTTAATCGCTCTAATGAAATGTCTTTTCAGGATACGATTTTGTACCAGGCACTATGTGGCGGCTTCAGTAGGAGCTCTCACCATTCGAGATTCCATGGCTTCCTCGTAAAGTTTTGGGTCCGTCGATTGAAGATCTTGAAGGAATTCCTCTAATGGGTCAATTTCAGGCCCATAGCTGTCTCCGTCAGTTTAATCATCGTAGACGAATCATGGGAGGTTGCTACTTACAATGACCGTCTAAGATTAGCTACACGAACATGTGTAGTGAGCTTCATATCTTGTGTCTCTCGATCACTTAGGCTCAGCAGTCTCTCAAATTCAGATATGACTGGCTTCCCAAAAGAATCATCCCACGGCAAGATACAATAAAGTATGGCGAGCTCAAAAAAGCGAGGATAAAATCCCGAAAATCCCCAGTCAACGAGACCAATGGAGCCGTCACTCTTCAAAATCATGTTTCTCTGAGAGGGATCCCCATGGCATAGCACTACTGAAAAAAGTGTCAAATCGATATATTTATCTCGATGGTCCTTTAGCCTGTTTTTTATATGAATTTTTCGTTCGCGTAGCCTCTTGTTCATATAAACATTCTTGTGTTTTTGCCTCAGATTCATCCACCCATCCATACTTCAGTACAATGTGGTCGGAAATCTTGATGATTCGGTTTGCCATGCATTTGGACCTCGATCATCCCTCCCTTCTCTTCCGCCTGGTGACAGAGCCCAACCAATGCTTCATCGTCTGTGGCTTCGATATCAAAGGACTCCATGGTAGTGCCTAGGCAGCTGATTGTGTGAATGGCTCTGGAAAGCTTGATATTTAATTCGTAGCGCCCAGAATTGGATGTTAATATCAGTATTGGCTACTGGTGAAATAAATATGAGGTTTGCGTGGTTTGTGAGGGGCAAGCATTCCTTGCACATGACCTGAGAATGAGAATCCATGTTCAAGTTGATAACATTTCATATGATTGATGCTTCATATACAGCAAAATGATACGTATGCGAGTTTGAATTTCACTTGCGAACATATCGCGACAGATTGATCAACTTTAATCCACTTATAATCTATTTTTGGTTAACAGCTTCACAATATTTCCCATCACTAGGCACTGAAGAGGCTCTGGAATCACAACGCAGCGAATTATATCAGGTTGAATGCAATTGTCTCTCTGTTTGAGATATCGTCAACATCAAATGTTCTGCAAAATATTGTGAGCAGTATCATACTCACCTTCTTCTTCCAAGGTTTACTGGAACTCCCCAGTAAAGATTATTGTGGAGAAAATCCGTCAATCCTTTACAGACGTCCACCCGAGATGCCCAAAGCGCACTATAGTCATATGTCAATACTGCTTTCCACGAAGTATACGATCATCTCGAATTCAATATTTGACTTCCAAACCATAGAGTTTCCTTAGCTCGAAGATCCACAAATGCCTTAGGGATAATACGGGGAAGAAAACTTACTTCGGTCGCAAAAAATCACATGTACCTCGGCGCGTGCCGGTGAGTAAAGCTTAACACTGAGAATGGCACTAGAATGACACCAAACAAGCGATCTTTTCTACATTCGTAGAGAGACAGGTGAAGATCTCATGTTCGACCACAGAACTACGGCAGTCTAGAATGACCGCTCTCCATGAACTATTGGACCCGGCTAAAGAATACGGTGTATATACGCAAGAAAAGAGGAATGGCATCAAAACTCAAATCAGCGAAGTACTATTCAACTCCCCGCAATCACCACATAAAGACCCTGATCGGGTTATAGAAGAGATCGACTCTGGTGCGGAGTATGCATGGTGATCGTCCATTGCTGGTACAAGTATACCGAAGATCAAAAATTGAATGATTTGAAATACAGATTCAATAGTTGAACGATTTTCTGGCTGTATATTTTGCTTTTTCTTTCGCTACCCCATCCATGTTGGTGGACCTCGGAGTCTCTGGGGTCATATGTTCCCCATGGGGAACGGTAGTTATGAGAAGCCGAGATATCCGTCGGGATCTGGTACTTGACGGTTCGCGACCAGATTTCAGACTGAACGGTCGAACCAGGTAAATGAAAGTGCGGGGTGAACTAAAATTTCAGAGCTGCAACGAATAAGGACTGAAAGTCCATTTTAGAGAATAACTAACGGTACGGTACCGAGCTCTGATCCAAACCACCTATAGATCTACATAAAGTTGAATCAACCAGTAAATGTCGCAATAATACTCAGCAAATTCCAAAGAATTCATGGATTACATTCCAGAACCAGAGAAGATCTATAGCAGACCGAGATATACTCAAGCAGTCTGAAATGAGCACGAGGCCATCGCCCCCAAACAACGGATTTTATTCCCAATCAATACAATGGTAGCTTAGCACCATCAATGAGTTAGTCAATTAATCTAATAGACTCTCTAACCCTGGACCCTACCTTCCTAAGCACTAGCATATACACTGGCCCCCGATAGGCACATCCCTACGCCCGGTGGGGTGCCACATGTGAAATTCAACACATGGTAGCAATCGCTAGCTCGCTCCAACACTAAGTCTCAGTCCCACCAATACAAACTTCCATCAATTTGAGAGAAAGAATTGCACTTTGCTCCCATGGTGGCGTTAGCCCGGGTACCCCAACAATTTGCACCGAGTATGTTCTGCTGACGAGGCCCGTTTTGCCCTTGCTCCGCGGCGCACATATGCAGGAACGGCCGCTCTAACTTGTTCGGGGCCGGTACCAAGGATTTCTAGCCCGTTTCATGTCATGGAGCCGGATAGCCGGTGGGGATTGTCTGAGACTTAAGATTCTAGATCTTAGAATGTTCTTTTGGCTGAATTCCCCGGTTCTGGGTTTTGGTGGTGACGCTAGTTTCAGCCGCTCCGTTTACAGTGTTACCTGATATTAATGGTCTATCATGACGAAGGTTCGACTTGTGTAAAACCTGAATTTAGTGCGGTTTTTTTCTGTTCTCTCTCGATGTTATGGAGGAAAGTAGGGGCGAAAAGAGAATCCACTCCTGCGGGGCCGAGATGCCGTGTTCTATCTTACATGTACTTAGCGATCGTCGTTGGACGGGATCGTTGCTGCCGTTGGATTGGAAATAGAGGGGGCTGATTCATGTAGCTTCGTCACTTTTTGTCTTGTAATTTTTGAATTTCTTTTTATGTATTATGGTGTTTCGTCACTGCATTAGGATGGTAGACGCTGGCTGGTGATACAATGGGCAAAAATACCACAGATAGAGAAACAAAAAAGTCAAATCGTCCCATTCTCCAGGCATGGTAGTAGGAAATGCCCTTAACTAGACCATTTTTGATCCCCCGTTCCTTCCACATACGCCATGGTGCATTTTCCGTAACGCCTAGTACCTCTGAATCGCAACCCGTTTCAGATCGATTTTTCTTTTGTCCCCACCAGTGTATCCTGTGTAGGAAGTAGTATAAGGGTCCAACAGCCTAGTTTAGCCCTGCGCAACGGCTAACGTGCATTGCCCCGCGCAAATGTAGAGGAGGGGTCCCAGTCCTGCGCATTTTGCGACGAGCTGGGAGGGCGGGGTCCTGAGAAACTCATAGACGGACGTGTGTATCGAGCTTCACGTCCAAAGTGAACGTTTCGATCAAATGTCGGGCTTGGACTGGTTACTGATGTCCGACCAGCCATGCGTGAGGGGCTGGGCGATCGCATGTTGTATGGCGCGGGGCTTCTTGGGTTGTTGGTGGTCAGCATTTCGAATCCTTTGCTATCTATGTAGCGATCATCGGCTTCGGCTGAGATAAATTCATGCCGTCGTGCAAATCCCCGTCGGAGTAGATCAAGCCATCCGGCAAACATAGATGGACGAGCGAATAGAGCAAAGTTCCAGAACCCCACAAGAGACAAGAGATAAACCACGGCCAGTAGTGTGGCTTCGTTCGGACCCATTCCCGTTACACGGTCCTTGCATTGCTCTTTAGTGCCACCAAGTCCCAGACACGTGAGCCATGGTGCGGCATTCTTGATGTTAGTTGGAGTGGGGCTGACTTGATCGTCGAGATTGATGAATACGACAGCGAAGAAGATCACGTTCCCAAGAATGATCAGCACTAGCGCAACCCCGCGCCATTGTAACTGCAACACGCGCTGCATCCTGCGCCATGCGTGGCGTGCGGAGACAGTGCGAACACTAGCTGTGTATGAGGGGAGACCGGAACTATGTTCAGTAGTCGAAGCGGATTTGTCGAAAAGTGAACGCAGATAGATGTGCATGCAATAGGCCATGGTTGTCACCTGTAACACCAGAGCGGCGGCGGCAAATGCCATAATCGGGGCCCAGTAATCATCTAGACCCTTATCGATATTTATGTGGCAAATCTGTCCAAATCGGAAAGATACTCCCGTAAACTTGAGCATAACGGCGAGGCCGATGGCAGGAATTCCAAACCCAGCCACGAAGGCGGACCACATGAACTTTGGCCCCAGAACAACCTCCCAGCAGACTTGCAGATGAAACGCGATAGTGCGGATAAAACCTGCTGCGTGTCAGCGGTTAAATCCGTGATTTGTCAATGACATTTCCTTCAGGTAGATGATCTTACTCCACATGACCACCAACCAGCCCCCAAATAGCAATAGTGAACCAGAAAAGGCGCAAGATAAGTCGCTGTACATATCATTAGGTGTGATTTGATTGTGGCATTGATTAGGCTGGGCCCCAAGAGGAACGATGAAGGCGATCTAAGAATATCAGTTAGAACTATTTCAAATAATTCCTTCTCAAGGTTTGCCACGGTACTTGCCTCCATGCAGCAGATGCCCAGAGTAAAGCAGATGCTCAAGTAATGTCGGTTGGTCCATTTCGGAGAAAGAACGGCATATGAGATGAGGATGAAAATACAAAGAGGGAGAATGGCGACGCTGATCCAGCTAGCGACTGCGACTCGTTGAGCAATGTCTATAGTTTAAGTTATGGTTAGATATTGCCATTGGCTTAGCATAGAGGTACAGGTAAACTCACTATCGGCATATCGCCAGTCAGCAAGAGGGCAGGGTAGACAACAAGATATGTTATTAGTTTTGTAAGGAAAGGTTTCGCAGTATCGTCCGCCGATGACTATAAGAGTGGACTGTCAGTTAAAGACATAGAAAGATCAGGATACCATTGATTCCAGCAACATACATCCACCTGTTGAGGGGAATAGATCCTCTTGCAAGAATACTCCTGGGCAGCGTCCGCTTAAGTCCACCATGTTGAAGATTGCGTTAGGTCAAGGCCCGCATATCCTAATTGATCTATATAATTAATCCAACGCGCCAGCGCGACGAGACCGCGCGCGAGGGAGTGAAATCGCGCAGTGTGGAAAATGTGTCAGATGGATCTGGGGAACGGAAATCGAGTCTAAGTGGGCACCACCCTGGTATACATAGTCCAAAAAAGGACCCAGTCGATTTGGGCTTGAGCCACCGGAGGGGAATAAAATCCCCCAAGCAAAAGCAGTTGGAGTGGGGCAGGAAGGTGGGTCTGACTGCGCAGTCTCTTCGTAGCCCGCGCACGTCTACAATAGGCCCTATTCTTTCAGCCCAGCACACGAGCGGCCCTGGTCGCCCGCAGAGGCGTTATTGGACTGAGAGGGGTGTAACACACGGTCCCCTGGAGGGAACCTGAGTACAATCAGCGCTTGGCAAACCCGGTCGACGCGAGTATACATTAGGGTTTGGGTCAAAATTACAAGAGTGAACACTCCCTAGGTAACGATCTTCGTACGACTTGTCTGGTTCTAGTTACTTTTTACTGCAATTTTTTCTTCACAATTGAATTTTTGGGTACGCTTGGACTGGTTTTAGCGAGGGATCAGCATTCAAACAGGATCATTAGCCGTGACAGCACTCGGTCTGGTGGATGTTCTCTCGGTACCACGGTCGCATTCATATTGATTCTGGAAAGAAAATTGCCGCGTGAAACCTAGGATGGGTAATCCATGGTACAGAAGTGAGTTTAGACCATGTTGATCTAGAAACCACGTTTAAGCCACGTTCGGGAGAGGGGGAAGAAGGAGATGGCGAGGTACGGGGAAAACATGAAAATACATCTTGTCTGCATATTCAGGGGCAAAAACTCAACCCACGATGGTTTACAGCTCCCCACAAACAACGTACTGTATATACTCACATTAAATTACACGACTATAATCAATAGCGCATGCTAGTAAGATACAATCAAACTGAATTCTGCTGGCTTTGTGCAACTATTGTCTTGTTTTCCCCTGGTGCATCATACAAACACACAATATTGATTCTATCCTACTCCATACCCGTTGACTTTGTGCTCCATACGGAGACGATTCCCGCAAAAACTCCATAACTCCATAACTTGTCACAATGGCACTGTTTCGACTCAAGCCACTGGGGCCTTTCGCCGCGTCATGTTCTAGATCCGACTTATTTACTTCCTAGTCAAGCTTAGTGGTGACTTAGTCTCCTCGGCAGCCTTAAATGTGCTGCTATAGGCATGCACATGACCGAGGCCCCCACCGCGCAAGCCAGAATGCTACTTAGTGGACCACTGGACACGAGGCGAATACGGAGAAATACACCCCGTAGATCCTAGTTCGATTCTGTCTCATCTATGAGGAGATTAATGAACATGAATATAGAGTTCCACACCAAGAACGGAGCACGGAGCACGGAGATTTCAACATAGAGTGCGGAGTACAAATTACAAACTACAAACTACGAAAATAACTCAGTAGTTGGGTTGTTTGCGTGAGACCATTCTACTTGGCATCCTTGTTTTTACCCCTTTTTTTCTTCCTATAATCAAATATAACAGATGGTACCTTAGCACCCGATTCGTTGAGATTTCACCCATGTAATCTGTTGTGACCATCACAAACAAATCCCAGGACCCCATGGTAACCCAGTCCCAACGTCCTGATTTGTCCCATGACCTCAGCTCGCAGCAAAAGATAAAAAATCAACTCGGATTGTATTCCGCTTCTTCTTCCAATGGCATGATTGAACTGCACCAACTGGAAGTGGCCAGTGCCCACAGACATCTTTTCCCGGTGATCCTCGCGCCAAACCGCCCAATCATCACGGATAACTCGTCTGCGACCGTGATCGCCCCCAACATTTGTTGTACATACTACCAATGATATCTCATGCGGACCTTTTTATTGACAGTGGGCTGACAGCTCGCGCATGACAATTGATAAGTCCAGTCTGCCTCGTTCTATACGTCAATTCATCATTTATCGTTTATCGATTGTGCCATTGACCCCTCAGTCTTACGGTACTTTCCTATCAATCGTCATGTTCTGGACTTGTGCGACCAACTCTTGGTCACTCTGTTCCTGGGATATTTATGGTGTCCCTTTCAGATACATCGATTGGTTCAACAGATCGAATTGACCTTTTTGAAATGGGCTAGTCATATATGCGATCATCGTTATCAATAGGACCGTGCTATATGCTTCTTCCCGTCTCCCCTGTGGGTTTGGCAGCTCGTCCAGTCCAGATTCTTTAAGGATGCGATCAGCTCAGCCTCATACATTTCCTTGAGATTGATCTGCGATCCATGCGCCATCATCAGGCCCGATCGCAATAACTGTCTAGCCATTCCTTGTTCAGAATCCGAAAAGAGCCAAGGCTTCGGTGATCGCCGTTGTACCAATCGCGAACCTCATTCTTCTGCTGCAGGTAGGCCATTAGAATGCGAACCTGGTCTGATAATTTGCCTTGTCCTCAAATAGGCAGCCCCAGAGGATTCAAAGATACGAGGTCCATTTAGCCAAGTAAACTTGGACCGACTGGAAGAAGGGTTCTATTCCAAATCATGAAATGGCAATTTTCCGCAGAGCACAATCAAATCCAGGCATCAAGAGCGAGGAAATACTTTTGGGATAATGAAGAGACCTCTCACCGCATCTCATATCCAGCCGAGCCCACACTCCTCCGTCGTCGATATATGTAGTAAGTGATCAACCGTTAAGGCTACAACTCAACGGCCGAAGTGGGACCAAATTCCTGATCTTCTTTAGTCAATCCTTCACCCGTCGCAAATTATCGCAAGATTAATTCATTTACTATCGCCCCTTCCTACTCTTGGCTGTTAATTTCAATCAAAGGATTGACCTGCGATCCAATTGAATTATCATTTCCATGGTCGCCTGGAGCGGAGCAATCCTCCTTGACATGATACCTCTGATCACAAGCATATGTAACTTATTGCGAGCATTTCAGGGGCCAAAATAAGAGGCATGCATCAAGCTTGATCCACATACAATCAAGTTTGTAACAACAAAGTGATCTGTGTCGTCAAATCAAGCACTTGAACAACAAATGAGAAGCCCACAGGTGGAGATGCCTCATCCTTCACATGAAGGGTTCCGAGTATCCTGTGATTAAAAATTCAAGATCAAATTGCAGCTTCAAGTCACACTCCAAAACAAACGTTCACTAGAGATACAAAGCCGTTATATATATAGCCTCTTAAACAAGATCCCCGATCCAACGTTTATAGCTTCCCCTGAATCGTACGGATATCTATCCTTCCGAGGTCCCGAGATGAATAAATCCACTCAAAGGAACCGAACCGTATGTCCCCACACGGCTACAAATCGCGATACTTGCTTCTTCAGCTTCATATTTCCCTTGCTACAAGGCAAACGGCCCTTTTCTCATGAACGGGTAAGTTCCGGTCCCCATGTGTGCTTGGCATAAGTAAGATTCACACAGAATGCGGAGGAATGCCGGGTGTGGTTCGGTAAACCTTCCACCCTGTGGGGATTTAACGCTTATCGGTGGGGGCGTAGATTACCCTAGAGCCAATACTATTGTTACAGTAGGCTAGGGTTGGGGAGGAGAAAATAATCAGATGGGGATCAGGATATGCATTGTATACTTGAAGGAATAAATAATGTATTAATGGTTTAGATGGTGGAGAATGATAAGGGTAAGGCTAAGGCTAAGGCTATGGGGATCAAATCAAGCCTGGTTCCGACCGTTGAGTAGGGAGCTTGGCCTTTAGTGAATAATGTGACGTAGAATGGAGCGGCTTACGACGCGGGAGACCGATTAAACCTGCTCAGCGGCTCGGAAATGATGCAACTTGGGCCGTGCAGAAGGAAACTTGGCCGAGTTCTACCCTGCAGACTCAAATTAGGCGGATTTCCTGTGGATTGAGAAAGGAGGGGGGTGAAAAATTTTCAACTCTTCTCAGAGTGTATATTTGATTTGACTTCTTTCTACTAATATTATATGACTTTGGCATCTTGACATTGATCTCCCGAGGCTCTGTGAGGCTCTATGGGCTATATCATGTATGGGGTATAGCATTGCTTCTCGCACCACTCAATTCAAACCATGCATGAACAGGTATTTGACCTCAGAATTGCCCTTTGTTGGACGGGGGGACTGGAATTCCTGTAGGCTTGTTCACAAACTGATGTCCGAAGATCGAATTGATCAGCACAATTCCAGTTTAAGGTTGAACTCGATGTCCACGATCCATCTGATGTTGATTGGATAGAAATGGTTCATCGTCCATTGCCGTATGAAGTTGCAGACTAGCAGTTTGAGGTGGCTCTGTCACGTTTATTGACGACCAGCGGGTGCGATGAGGGTGCAATTGAAGGTATAGGGTATAACGGAGGCGATTCAGAACGTATCATTCAACTGCCTGACAAATAAAGGGAGCTCTCATCCCAGTTCCATTCCTTGAGCAACTGTTGAACTCGGTACTCAGTCGCCCAACCCAGATCCGCTTCAACGGCTCGCAGCAACCGCACATTAACTCGACGTTCCCGCGGATCAGTCAGACATTGTCCACTAACAAAGAGAGGCTGTAACGAATTGATACGAACACTCCCATCAGGACGAGACAGAGCTATGCCAACAATCTCACGGCTATGAAAACCGATTTCGGCTTCGATGGAACGATATGACTGGAGTCGCAACGTGATCGTGTTTCGTCGGCTAGTGGTATCATGAGGTTTGTTAATCAACAGCATGATGCGTGCCATGTGGTAATGCTGCATACTTGAGGCACACATGGGGATGCTATGCCACACTTCTTGCAGAGTGACCAAGTCTTTGGCTTCTTCCAGCGAGTTGCAATGTGACCTCTTTGAGGCATCAACCCTTGCACACGCTTGAAATGTGCCTGGTAGTCCTCGATACCAAACGTCTAGTTCGGCTTCAAGCCGGTACCATCGCTCAAGAAGTACCTGCTGGGAAATTCCAAGGGGTCCGCTATCCATGGATTGGTTATCGCTCGAGTTCAAATTATCTCCGGAGCTAATGAAGTTGACGATCTTTGAGATAATCCACACCAAAGCGTTGCAGATGGTGTCTTCTTTCATGAAATCGTCATTGTCTGGGTATCCTGTTGCTGCTGTGTTACTGGGACGAACAAATCCCATGCTATCGAGCCGCAATCCCGCTTCGGTCCAAAGGACCAAATCCTCGGTGTTCAGCCTTGTATGGCACTCATTGATGACTGGTCATGTTGTTAGTAGAGACTTTTGGATAAGGTATGGCGAGTAATGCTAATAAATGACTCACAAGCTGCCAGATAATCCTGCCGTGCGAAATTCCAGAACGCCGCCCTCCGAGCTTTCGAAAGAGCAGATTTCCTCATTGTCTGATACGGACTGTCCCCATCTGAAGAAGACGATTCCAACGGCATTATTCCGACCTCCGCTACGTCAAGCAATGATTTTACGCCGCTTAAATGACGATTCCATGCCGGTCCAGTCGCATCAAGAAATTCATACACCGATAAAATAGCAGTCGCCGCTAATACCTCATCCGAATGAACACCCCGCGATAGCCGACTATTTGATAATCTCCTCCGTCTTTTGCGAGGATTTTCTCCATCTCCACAAAGCTCAGCAGCCTGCCACTGCCCAAAAGCTTCGGGTGTGCTCAAAGGAGGCGGACCCTCTGTATCGGGTTGCAACTCTTTCATTAGCAACTGAATGGCCTTTTCATAATACTTCGCCCCATGCCAGAGGAAGTCGTCGTCTTTGCCAGGCCAGATTTCCATGGCGGCCTGTCGAGAACAGACTCCGCCCATCTTTGCTTTAGCACCTTTGACACGACCTAATTGCTTTGCAGCGTATGCGCAGGCGGCATACTTGAGGAGTGGGTTCGACATTGCTCTCACGGGGACATAGGATGCGAAATACGTGCCAAGGTCGAATAGGTCCATCCTAAGAAATGGTCAATCAACAAAATCATCCAAGGGTTCAACAACACGCGATCCATACCATAAGCCTGGTCCTTCTGAGTAGTGACGCAGCAAGAATGCCACTTCAAGGTCTGTCTCAGCATTACTTTCTACTCTGTGTTCTACTGGCAACCGGGCTGCTGCGGGTCGTGAGGGGAGAGATGCACTCCTTTGGTCTGGAGTTTGGAGAGTTGTCGAGTCGACCGATGGAGACAAGGAGTGGGATGGGTTTAGGAGGAAGTTGATGTTGGTGTTGTTACTGCTGGCCGACAGGGACATGGAGGGGGAGGTGAGAGGTGGCATAGCACTGCCTCGTGATCGACTTGGAGAAGGGTAAGAGACGGTATCGGAAACGGAGGCATGGTCCAAAGGAGAATATGGGTAGCGATCATTGCTTGCGACCGCCGACAAAGCTTCCAAGCCATGTGTTTCTGCATCGCTTGTCCTTGATACACTGCCCCATATTTGATTTTGCGAATGAGCCAGAGCCATCGCACTGGACTCGGCTAGCGATGTCTCGATGTCATCGGCATACGGGTCGGAGTTGTCAACGAAGATAACTGAGCAAATTATCAATAAATATCTCTCTGGTCGCTCGATTTCCGACTCATACCATGTTTTGGAATGTCTAACCACACACTATCTTTATCGAATGTGTTCTTGTACGAATAGAAACCTTTCAGATTACCACGACCTTCAGGTGTCGGCTCGCCTTCCTTATTCATGGACGCGTTCTGTTGATGACGAAAGACGATGCCTTCGCTAGGTCGACACTCTCGACCGCCCTTGCGACATTGTGAGCATTCTGGTTTTTGTTCGTCGCCTGTTTCGGACTGTTAGCGGGGTGGGGCGTGGTTGTTATGATTCAGGGTTCGCAGGGATGGGTACATTTGAGCTTTCGAGTACGGCATGTTAAGCTGCATGGCGCTTAGGTTAGAATTAATTGATGATGGGGAAACAAGCGGGGGGCTTACCAGCCAGTTCTAGAGCGCATGCCGGGCGTAGCAGGCACATGTGGTGAAAGTTTCAGCCCATTACCAGGATGAAGTGTGATGAACCCCGGAAGGAGGAAAAACCATGAAACCTGGAGTCTGCGGGGAGACACCAGGTGACCCGGGGGAACAGCGCGGCCCCCACAACCAAAAGGAGTTTTCTACTCTTGGTAATCCACTGACTTCCAGGGTTCTTTTCTCTCTTCGCGCAAATTAATTATTCATAATTTTTTTTATATATCGCGCATAACTTCCGAATTTTACTTGATTTGGTTTCACTCTTCTCAGGTTTCACTCTTCTCATACTCCTCGGTGTCAAGGCTGGGCTCCGTTCCGGTCTCGGCCTTGTCGGCGAAACGCGCACAGACTGAACACATGCGGGGACACAGCCCGGGGGCCAAGGGCTAAGGGCAATTGTGTCATCAATTACTCAGTAAAAGTGGAAATACTCCATAAAATATGATTTCAGAAGTTCTATGCGGCTCGGTAAATGAATAATGTTATGCATGGCTGATTTGTGATATTGTCTCCACAGATTGGGACCGTGTGCAATGCCAACAGAGTATGTGCTGACTTTACCTAGACAACTTACAATGGATTTATTTACAACATATAAACCAGAAACTGATTTTTTTCACATCAATATATAGAAAATATATGACTGGATATACATCAAAGGTGATTGGCTCACTGACAAGCTGCATGGTAAATCGTTTGTGGATCATTGAATGGGTCACCACATGACTGTCAATATGAATGTATAAGGGCCATAAATCCCATACTATAGCCAAGTACCCAGTACAAAGAAAGACGCGGCTCGTACTACATGAAGCGTTTTTGTAGTTCATAGTATATACAGCTTTGAAGAAAATAAAGACCTGATAATATGTCGATAGCAACAGTATCACGATCCGCACGTCTCGACATCTCAGGCTAGTTCTCGCTCTAGTAGCATTCCTTTGAAACATCCAGCTGTGAGCTTAAATGACAGCTAAAACACATTAAGCTTTCTAATCCTTGCTGTCTTACATTCATTGCCTGAAGAGCATACGCACAGCCGTAACAATAATTGCCAAAAAAAAAAAAGTCGCCTTATATTCAGTGAAAATAAGATCCCATATATCGATTCATAAACCACTGCCAAAATGGTTTCAGGACATTTTTACATCATGTATTCATTATACTCATAAGCAAATACTGCCACAGGATACAATTGATCTTAAGATAGAATTCAGGTTCAGTGTGGAGATGTTCCACCGATACTTCACATGGTTCTGTCGATCCTCAAAGCATCCGGTTCACGCCGTTGCTGATGTGGTTCCTGGATCACGAAAATCATCACGCCCCACTCTAAAACGTGGAATTGAAATGCATTATGATGCGTACCTGCAGATGTAAGATCACTATTAGTCTCAAGGTTTTCGCCGAGGAGTCTAGCCCATCCTTTAAATATCCCCGGATCCACTACTGGCTGGGGGCGACTAGTTGGCTCAAAGGACATCTTCTGGGATATAGTCAATATGAGTCTAACAAATCATTAGAAAGGAGGGTAGGTCTTTGACCTGTCACACTAATAAGACCTGACGAACTACAAAGATCTTCTTTGGGCTTGATGTATCGCTGTCCATATCTTGGTATTGGCAGGCCTCGCATCGCATCGCACAACAGCATTGTATAGTTAGAGTCAAATAGAAGTTTTAGGGCCATTTACTTCATTATTCATAGAAATTGAAGGAAACAGAAAAAGATTATTACTTCATAAGCTCACAGCATGGCCTTCAAGATCTTTGATTCGTGCCTAGGTAGAGTTTAGCCAAACTTCTTGTCAATAAATAATATTGCAAGAAACATGAAAATAACACATATAGTACCACATAATATATACCAAGAATCCATTAAAGCTTAATGCTCTACTTCGCAACCTACTGAGCATCGATATTACTTTATTTGAGCGATAGGCTTGACACAAGTGTTTTGGCAGGTGATGTCTTTTATGGCGACCAGTGTCCAGCTCTAGCTAGTATGGCATACTAAATAAGACTAGAGAAGAGAAGAGACAGACTAGATTTCGAAATAAGCCCTATACACGGCGATTCAAGCTATTTTGGTTTTTGAGACACCATAATTCTGGAAGAAAGACGGTAACATTGGAAGCCTTCCCTCCGCACTCGGCCCTCATCTCAATATCACGCAAGACACCGCTATCATCTTAACAATTAAATAACGCAAGAGCTACTCCTATCTTCAGCAAATTCAACATATAGCCTTCTCCCTTCATAATACAAACTCTATGCTTCGCTCGAATGGGCTCATTTGTGCGAAATTCCTCCAACCCCGAAGGTCGTCGGGCACTCAAAGAATCGGAGGATCCACCATCCACCAGTTAGCGCCCTCTGCTACGTGGGGCACCGACTTGCCGCTTTTATAAACCCCATCCCGTGTCGGGTTCCCGCGTAGATTCCAGTCTGGATGCTCTACTCCATATTGAGCTAAATTCCCGCCGCTCCTGAAATCCGGGAACTCGAGTGATATCCTGGCTTCCTTCTTCCACTCCGTCTTTTCCCCCGCACTCTCGAGTCAGGGATCAGATGACCATCCCAGATTGGGCGCACATTCGCAGTAGGCTTTTTGTCTGCTTAAGTGGCGTCGAAAGGATTCTATTCTTTGGGCTGCCTCGGGTTGCATGCCTTGCTTTTTGGTTACTACGCGGAGATCCTCGGGCTTTGGAGGATTTGGCATGTGGATTTTATTGGTGTAGTTTGCGTCTTGCAATTTGTAGTGGGATTTCTTTAGTTACTCCTTTTACCATGCGGATCCGAGCTACTGCTCCGGGCATTTACTCCGTTCTCGTGCATTGCGTCCTACGTACTTTAGTGTATGCTTACATGCACATGTAGACTGGACTTGTTGGTGAGATCTTTCTCGCTATAGGTCCATCTATGCAGGGATTCATTCTCGTTACGAGATTCATTTCTCGCTTTGACAGGGTTCTTCACGGCAAACTTGCCCTATAATAATCGTATTCTGCAGGGAAGAGAACATGAACGGGGAAAGTTTAGAATGTACTCCGAGAATAAACTTACACAAAGTGATATCTGACTCGAGTGTCCCGAAGGATAATCGGTGTACATACCACTTCAGGACTGACAGGTCAATGCATCCAACGGTAAGTTTCTGGATTGATTCTCGAACTCAAAGCGCGGAAGTTTCGGAGTTTTCTTGTCTTTCTGATTGTCGATCCCTCGCAGATTGACGAGATCGTAGACTTTCTTTGCATCTGTGCCAAGTATCTACGTATGCCCAGAGTTCGCGTGGCGTAAGCAGAAGTAAAAGATCCACTATCCAGGACGTTAGAGTAAGGCTGGCGGGAGTGGCTTTCAGAGGCAATTCAAACTTTTCAATTTCAATTTTTCGACCGTGGAAACTTGAACTTGAAGTCAGTGCGGTTGGCTGTTTGCCCCCAGGGGAGAGGAGGAATCAGAAATGAGGAGCATTGGGGTATCGGCAAAATGGTTAAAATTGATTGCCGCTAAGGTGACGGTGGTGGTGGTGGCGTCCCGCCTTCGGAAGATACCCGAAATATGGAGATATGGAGGTACGAGTGTACGAGTTGAAAGATGAATGCAAGTTCAATAGAGAAATTGGCCTATAGACCGTTTGTATTTTGGGCTGGTATAATAAAGAAAAGAAATTGAGTATCTGACAATAGATACAGAGATATCTAAAGAAAGTACAGGAAATATAGTATCTGACAGCAAAAAAATGGCAGGTGGCGATTAACCACTAGAGCATGTTCAGAATGAAATAAATGGACCAAAACAGATGAGAAAGGGAATAAATATAAATAATGTGAGCATCAAAGCACTCTACAATTGATCAGAGCGGTCGTGACCTCATGCTTTCCGTCTCCAGGATGGAAATGCAGAAGCAAATGGGCCCGAATGTACATGTGCCCCTCCATTATGCATTGACCATTTAGTCAGAGTTGTTGGTCTTCTCCTCGCTCTCTCCGGAGCTCACAGCCATCTCAGCCTTCTCAGACTCCTGGATGACGTTGTGGTCGGGGATGTCGAGGCCAAGCTCGCGCTGCATCTCAACGATTTGAGCGACAGTGAGCTTAGGCAGCTCAGCGGCGACCTGGAAAGGCCACTTGCCCTCAATGTGGGCCTTGGCGAAGATGATATCAATCTCCTCAAGATCACGACCAGCAGTCTCGGGGTAGAAGAAGTAGGCGAAGGGAAGGGCAGAAAAGTTGACTGCGGCGAAGAACAGGTACAGACCCCAGGGAGAGGCGTTGGAGAAGGCGGGAGTGAACATGACGACGGCGAAGTTGCAAATCCAGTTGGTGCAAGTGGAAGCAGAGCAAGCCATGGTACGGGTGCGGAGGGGGTTGATCTCGGGAGGGTAGATCCAGGGCAGAGGGAGCGTAGTAAAGGCGAAGAAAACGATGAACAGGAAGAGACCAACGATGGCACCCTTGGTGTTCTCTGTGCCACCAGCAGCCAGGCAAGCCATGGCAATGATGAAAGAACTACCCTGACCGGCGAAACCGATGAGGTACAAGTTGCGACGACCAACGTTCTCAACCATGAAGAACGAGGGGATAGTAGCAAGGGCGTAGACGGTGGAGAAGACACCACCGAGAACCAAGGCCATACGGGCAGACAGACCCAAGCTGTCCTGGAAAAGGACAGTAGAGTAGTAGATAGCAGCATTGCAACCAGTGAATTGCTGGAAGAACTGGCCAGAGCAACCAATCATCATGCGCTGGAATTCTTGGGTCTTGCCGAAGGTGAACAGGGTCTTCCAGTTGGCCCGGGCACCCTCCACAGCCTGAAGATCGGCCTTCATCAGGTTAATATCGGTGAGGACTTCCTCGGAGTCGGGGGTGGTGCCGTTCAGGGCAGCAAGCACTTCGCAGGCCTCCTTCTCATGACCCTTGATGATGAACCAACGAGGAGACTCGGGGAGCATAAGACCACCAATAGAGACAATGATGGCGAAGATGATCTGGAAGGCGATAGGAAAACGCCATTGGGCGGAGTTGTTGACATAGGACATTCCGAAGTCGAGCCAGTAGGCGATCAGAGTACCAACAGCGATAATGGCACCCTCGAAGCAAACAAGGAAACCACGGTTGTGGGCCTTGGAACACTCAGACTGCCAAACGGGAATGGTAGCGGTGTCAATACCGTTTCCAAGACCTGAAATAACACGACCGATGACAAGCTGGCCCAAACCCCATTTGTCGCTGTAAGTAACGACAGAGATAATAGTACCGATAACCATGAGAATACCACCACCGACAAGCAGAGGGGTACGGCCGATACGCTCACCGAAGCAGAGCGTGAAGATAGCACCGAAGAAACATCCAATCTCGTAACAAGAGACGACACCACCACGCAGGACCTGCACGTGCATAGACGCGGCATCGGCGAGAATGGGGTACTCCTTGGTGAATTCGGAACCACCAATGATACCAGACATCAGACCCTGATCGTAACCGAACAGAGAGAAACCCATAACGGAAATGAAGGTAATACCCCAATGAAGGCTGCGGCCCCTCAGGCCGGATGTTGTAGTCCACATCTTGACTGACCTCGACCTATACTAGAGGGAGGATGCAAGAGGCAAAGATAAAGAAGGCGACGAAGAAAAAGGAGAAGCTCGGACTCTGGGGGTGGGCATGGAGAGCCTTATGTACTACTCCGTACATGCATTGAATCGGGGAGTCAGCCGTTCCTATGCGTCCCACCGTTGGTACGTGGGTACACTGGTACATTGGTACCGTAGCGCCAAGAGGAGAAAATGTTTGGAGGGTGACGTCGCAGGTGGACACTCAAGGCAAGTCTCGCGAGGCATCGGGAAAGGATCAGATGCATAGCGGCTGAGAGTCGGCTCCTTCTGCGTGCAGGTCTCGCGACATGCCAAGGGAGGCCAAGCGGCTAGTGGCTTTGAGTTTTTGGTTTGGGGGCGCCACATACGTGCTTATGCCGCTTCCGGGCGTCGGAACGTGGCGCTGAGAAACTGGAGATTTTCTGGAGAAATTTGAGATTTCGATTTTACGAATGGGGGGGAAGAAGGGGTGGTTCTATTGGAATGTTCCAGGATTGGTATGTTGGAGTATCGAATGTTCTATACCGCCACTGAAGGCGTGGGCTTTGATATGAGCTTTTTGCCGTAGATTTTCTCCATAATAATAAGTATTCTATTATGTTGTTTAATTTTATTTAATTTTATCATTCTTTTTTTTCTATCTTGTCCATTTGCATGTGGAGAACCAACATGGATTGGCTCATGGATCATGGTGGAGGATCTTCCAATCTTTTTACCTCATGGAGAAACTGGTCCGGCCTACCACAGTGCGTCCCCTGCCATCTACGGGGAATTACGGGGATGAAGAAGTGGGTCCAGGGTCTGAGTTTTCTCTTTCCTCCATCTACCATTCGTTCCTTCTGCTACGTTTGGATACATGGATAACCCGAAACTCCTTTTACGCCCAGAAACTGCCTAGAAAGCGGCCGAGTAGGTACAACCGAATCATACTCATGAAACTCGTTTCAGTTGCCTATTCTATTCATTTTGGCCCCCGAACTCTCTCTCCATGCCCCGATGCCGACGGCCGGCGTTCTGATCACGGCCCACCCGAGTCCGTCTTCCAGCTCCCTTATAGGTCCCGAGTGTTGCTCAAGGCCATCCCCGCGGGGATCGCGGTGCGAACAAGGCTTCTCCAGATGAGCCTACTACGTTGGAGGCGTTTTTTCGCACTCTCACAAACCTGAATCTTTGAATCTCGGGCCCCCTCTCTCTTTCTCCACGCCGTCAACAACGTGGTTTTGGTCCGCATATCCGCATCCGCATTGCACAGATCTCCGAATTCCTTCCCGGGTTCTCTATGGCCCCCTGGTCTCCATCAACCCCTTGCGGCGGGGCATCCCCTATTAATAATTAGACAAGGGACTCTTCCCGCATCGAGTCCACTTCTGTAGTGTTACGTGATGCTAACTGGCTATTGGGTAGTGGAGCGGAACCTTGTTCCCGTTCTGACTGCTAATTAGCCGTTCGCTTAATTAACTAATCTGGCCAGCCGTGGATACAATGTTTGAGAAATTTCTACTGTATACGATCAAAAAGGAAAAAGAAAAAAAAAGAAATTAACATGATGCCGGACATTCGCTGAGGTGATCCCGATATTTCTCGGGAAAAGGCTTACGGATTACAACCAGGCCGAATGCTTAGCCGCGCTTTGACAGTAGTGGCGTTCAGGTCTTTGCCATGTGGACGGGGTGTGCCGGTGGTAGAATTGCCATTCCGCGCTATGATCCATGGGTATCCAGATGAATGGCTAGCCCTGAACCGCTTGAGGCGTTGGGCTTAAATCGAATGTTCGATTTTTCATACGTTACATTCAGAATGTCATATTAATGGCACCAGTCATGAGGTCACTTATGGCAATTCCTTCAAGCAGAAAAGGGTAATGGAATGAGAATATGGAGAAATTATGGAGTATAGTCACAACAAAAATAAACAGTAGAACATAGGTACAAGGCCCCCGGGGCCAGAGCCTCGCAACTTCTAACTCTTTAGCGATCAATACTCATTCCATTCGGCTAGGATCGGTAAGACATTCATAATCCAGTATTTTGGTTGGATTCAAGAAAGGTGCATCAGTGGTAGATGTTCCCAGCGAGATTGAAATTAATGTGGAGCGCACAAGAAAAGACCGGTCTTCGTGGTCTCTTGGCAACGCCCAGACTGGAGACGATGTTATTCAAATGTTATGATAATGACGGAATGTCAAGAAAAAAATGCCTCGCGGAGGACTTTCGATCCAAGCTCTGCCCTGTGGGCAAGGAACCGACGTAGACAGGATACTGTTCTACTATTCTGCTAGCTATCACGGCCATTGTACATCAAGAAAGATAAACTCAAGATCTATTGAGCCTAACATCATTATCTCTAACCTGTCAGGAACGCGCGGGGTCCCCACGAGTCTATCTCCATCCCATCCTGGCAAAGATCCTCCGGGAAAAAGACAAAATAGAGCAGAGATGACGATGATCATAAACAAGTCACGCGCCAAAAACCGGTATACGTTAAATTAACTCCGCGATCAATGCCTTTGAAGTTGAATCTAACAATCCTATTCCAAGGCCAAGCCAAGACCCAAGAACCGCCCCATTACACTGTGGATTGATTCCGCGAACAGATGCACACGAAGTATCCGTAAGCCAAGGCGCTAACCTTTCACAGCAAACTTTCCAGCACTGCAATGCACAATGCACAGTGCACAGTGAAAACAAAGCAGTACATTGGCATATTGTGGAGAGCTGGGTGAACAGAACGCCTCGCGGATCATAGTAGCAAATTAGATTTCGTAGGATTACTGGTTAGATTGCTCGGCTGCACGGTCGTCTCGTAAGAGTAGGTCTATCGGGATAGGACTGGGATCAGTCACGCGATGCTAGTTACGATAGGCTGCAATCATTTGCGAGGCAGAGACTAGGAATCCAAATGGTCGAATAGGTTGCATGTGGGTTGTGTTAGCGTGGATTTTTCACTGGGTTTTGGATGGGTTGGGTAGGTTTCGCGGGTCCAGGGGTTTTCGCTGCTTGCGGAGATCTGGTTAAAGCGGCGAGGGAAGAGGGACTAAGGCGGAAATTATGGAATTCCGCGAATGGAGAATTCATAATATTTTTATTATTCTATGCTATTTTTATTTTTATTGTTGCCCTGCGCGATATATACCATATGATCACTTATAAGAAGGAATAGATGTGCAAGATCTACAAAGTAATCTCGTTGATCTTGTGGTCTTGGTCTGGGGTATGGGGCGGAGAGGATTCTCCCTTCATCCTTCTTTAGTCATGCGAAATTACTATGTTTTGGAGTCAAGGCTACAGATCCTCGAGACCATTGAAGAGGAATAAGCAAATACACATGCAGGGGTGTGACCCGAAGCGACACGTAAGATTTGATCTTGACTGACGAATTCGAAATGTTTGTGCTTGATGCAAGTCATCCTGCCTACATGTATAGTCCAGTCCAGACCTATCCAGCCACAACTTGAAAAGCGAGGGGTCAAGAGTCCCAATCTTGAGCTTACATTTTTCTCGAAGGGACGAGGATGCACAACGAAGAAAAAGCAATTATATGCAACTATTCAAAGTACGGTCTTACATTGAGCCTCACATTGGAAAGAGAAATTTGGCATTGAGGAAATCATATTATCCACGCCCCCGGGACGTAAACGCTAAGTTACATACAGCTAAGCTATCATAGAGGATGCAGCTCTATTCGGATATGCACAAGGAAATCTGAGTGGACAGGTATGAGGCCAGATGTGGCCACAAAGTAAAAAAAAATTGGAAATTGAAAGAAAAAGAGGCGGACCAAACAAGATTCGCGGGGAAACACCAGCGCGAGAGTGAATAGGAGATGCGCTAGCAAATCAAACATTAATGAGGGATGGGTATAGCAAACATTGCTTTCGGATGAAATACAAGACAAGAGGAAAACACCAGGCTCAAAGGGTAAATTGAGTGGTAAGTGATTTTGTGCAGCATAGCAAATGTGGTGGAGGAAATAGACATTAAATTGTCGGGGCAGTGGGATTCGGCTGCCCGAGAGAATTGAAGAGGTACTCTGGCGGTACGCGTTGCATGTCGGTTGGTCGGTCAGTGCCAAACGTCTGCGGTGCAGCAGAGTAACCCTGGCGGCGGCGCTGGATCTTGTTCATAATGACACCAGCCGCGACGATGAGGAAGACGCAACCCAGTGCGCAGCAAAAGGCAACCAAAACAACAATTCCGTTGGAATGGTGGCTCGCTAAGAGGTAAGGATTAGCAGAGATTCGATAAAAAAAGATAGTGACTCATCTACTCACTTTTGGTGGAGAACGGGTTCTTGTTCTCGGTGAAAATTTGTGCCATGCTACCAGCATCGCCGTTAGACTTCGATGACAGGATGAATGGAGTCACATCGGTTCCGTTGTACAGGGCAGCCGAGGCATTGCCGAAGTCAGGAATGACGAGTTGGCCAAGAATCAAAAGGGTTTGGTCGTCGCTCAGAAGTGAAACAGAATCGTGGTTCTTGTCGAGAGGGAGAATTTCCAATCCACGAATGACTGTTCCCTCGGAAAACAGGTCACCAGGGGATTGGAACTTGGAGCCGTCGTAGTGTCGGAAATAGGCTGAGCCATTGGACGATGTACCAGCGATCCAAAAGCTGGAGACGTCTGCGGAGGCGGGTGTGAATACAGAGAGCGTTCCCGGGATTTCGGACTGGGATGCACCAGACACGGCAGTCCAGGTTTGAGACTTCGTGCTGTAAGTCGCGACCTGTGTAGTTTTGCCGCCAACTGTCATGTTACCCGCGGCATAGAGGGTCTTCGAGTCTGCCCATTCAAGAGCAACGACGCTTCCACTGATGCCCGTTCCAGGCCAGCTCCAGGAGTTGGCCTTGGAGTCCAACATACACACAGTTGCACATGGTAGAGAACCGGCCGTTTCAAAGTTACCTCCAATGTAGATATCAGATGAATCGGGTTGACGAGCAATAGAGTTGACAGTAACAGGTGAATCACCAGATCCGTAAAGCGTCCACGGCTGAGATGGGAAGTCTTTGTCGGTCAAATCGTACACAAAGAACCCATTCACATGAGAATCGCTGGTGATATTTCCAGTGATATTGCCACCAACGAAAAGGGTGTCGTTGTAAACAGCCATAGACAGGACAGTTGAGTTGCTATCAAAGTCCTGGGGCAGTCCATAGACAGATCCATCAGTGCCATTGACAAACGCAACGTGAGAGATGGAAGATCCACTACTGGCAGTGGCATTGAAATGACCACCATAAATGGTAATATTGCGACCAGATTCATTATCATAGGCACCAGTAACGAAACCACCTGTAGACTGCGTTTTGTTGACGTTGATAGTGACAGGGATAAGATCGATATCGCCATCGGAGCTTGACAGAGAGATTGCATCGGAAGTCGTGTATCCGGCTGTGGCGAGGCTCCCAGCGAGGATGGAAGTATCATTCACAGAAGCGACCGCAGCCAGCTTACCAGCAAACTCCATTTGAGTCACATTGAGGGTCTCAAGCCATGTCTTGTTCGAAGGAACCCAGATAGCGAATCCTGGCACATAAACTGCACTGTTGCCATTGCTGGCACGTATTTGAGTGAAATCGCCGCTGACAGCAATAGTGGTCTCGTTGACGGTAGACGACACATTCAGGTCAATGGGAAAAATTGTTGAAACGGGCCCGTTCAAGCCGTCTGCCAACGCTGACCACTTCTTCGAGGAGGATGAGTATGCTGCGACATGATACAAACCATCAACACCACCGTCAGAGCTGTCAGTGAAGTTTCCACCGACATAGAGATATTCATCAAGGGTAGCCATGGCCAAAACTGCGGCGTTCAAACCGCCCCCTGGCATTGCAGTAGCATTTCCATCGCTGATGGACATGATGTTTTTGATACTTTTCTCGGAAAAGTTACCACCCACATAGATCACATCGTCATACTCCGCCAAAGCCAGGATCGAGGCATTCTTGTTAAGCGACCCGCCGACCATATCAATAGTTGAGTTAGCGGCGTTGTTGGATGATACTGTGGAGGTCGGATCATAGTCGTATAACCCATTCAAATCTCCTGACTCGGAGTCGGAGTCTGAGCTTGAATCCGAATCAGACCTCTTGGTCATGTTGAAAAGTGGGTTGAACTGCACACGCCAAGCAGCAATATTGACATTTCCCTGGCCCGCAACTGGTCGAAGGGTAACACTGGGGCGGAAAGAATCGCTGGCTTTGTCGACATGTCCAGAATATAACGTACGTTGGCTGACATCATTGTTCGTTTGAGGAAAGGTGGTAGAAGATGGGTTTGACGCACTATTCTTGGCAGCTGTGACAGTAACGTTAACTTCACCTCGGGAGTCGCACGTATTACTTTCAACGCATCCGGGGGTAAACATCAAGATTTCGTATTTGCCAGACTCCTTCACGTCAGGTTGGAACACCACCGAGGCATCGGTAGCATTGGCGTCAGTCACTTGAGCAGAAAGGTAGGTAGAATCGGTGCTCCATGTGCCGGTGACAGTCGACTTGGCGCGGTATTCAATATCGCCACAGGTGGGCTCATTGTACTTGTCAACGGCGTATGAAAGAATATTCTGATGGAAGATCTCGATTCCGTTCAAGCCAGCACCTTGACCATACCATGAGTCAATGTCAATTTCCAGACCGGGCATGCCAACAGGGTTAACGAATGTGAATTCCCGGTACTTTTCGCTGGAGTCGTTGGAAAGTGGACAGGACTGGTCACAAGCGGCCTTCTTGCCGGATGAATCGGTATATGTTAGATTCATGATACCATCATCGGGGATGGCGCGGAGCTTAAAGGTCTTTGTACCACGTCCATCCATATGAGTGTTGTAAAGGCGAATTTTCGATGGGTAGAAAGTGTATCCAAACTCCGCATGCCAGAATCCGGGAGCGTTGTCTTCAAGAAGCCAGGTCTGGCCCTTGCCTGCTTTACCACTTGTTGAACAGATAACATTTCGGGGATCGATATAACCACTGAGGGTGGTTTTAGCGTCGGAAGTAACGGTCGCCTCCGCCAGGTTGAGCACCTGCAGCTCGTTCTTAGTGGAATTGGTCGTAGAATTACCAATATCGTCGAAAGATCCTCCGAAAATGATGTGTCCATTGTCCGCCTTCAAGAGTGATGTGACGGGTCCGTTGAGCCCTTCGAAAGAAAGATCGGTCCAGCCATCGTCGGGGCTCCAGGCCATCGCATTGGAACTGTTCTTGTGGGTGAAGGTTCCGCCCACGTAAACACGGTTCGTGCTCTGGTCGCATGCGACGGCAGCAACAGAACCATTCAGGCCTGGCAGAGCCGTAACGGTAGTCGAGTTCGGGTTGAACAGGGCAGCACCACGCGATTCCACACCTCCCAAAGTCGTAAAGTTACCACCGACAAAAATTCCGGCAAAGGTTCCGTCTTTCTTCGTAAAGGAGCACATGGCTTGAATCGGGGCATCGGCGGTCGAAAGGTTCGTGAGAATGCCATTAGGTAGCGGCGTCAGGATTGATGATGTGTTGGAAGAATGAGTGACCTCCGACTGGCCCTCATATTCGTAAAGGGTAACGCCATCGAAATCACCGGTGATCGAGATCTGACCCAGCTGGGACAGGTCTAATTCGGGAAGCGAAACGGCATCGAATGTTAAGGCGTGTACGGTCGGCAAAATCGTCAGGAAGGTCGATAAACCAGCCGCCGCGGGTCCAAGCAATGAAGAGGTCTTCATTGTTTAGGATGCGACGACAGGTGGAAAGTGAGTTGTTCGATCTTTGAATCGGGGTGAGGGGGGGGGGGGGGGTGGTCCAACGAGGAACAAAAAGGGCCGAATTGGTTTAAGGCAGCAATTCAGGAGTAACGCGTAGAAAGGAACGTAAAGAATGTGGCACGGAGGAAAAAATCCGATTTAGAATCAAAAGAATGTGGTATGCATATTGAGACCGAAGTCTCGCTGCAGAAAAGAAGAAATCAACGAATGACTGGTGGTGATGGGGGTGAAGAGAAGAACTTGACAGGGGCGAAAGTGCCGATATGGTGATGTTGATTGTGGTGGTCAAGTCAATACAGCTCATTACCCCCAAATACGTCAAATACGTCAAATACTTCAAATACAGTGATTTCCACCTGGGGCCTGGGGGAATACTGTGTTTGACTCAAGGGGGAAGAAAGAGAAGCAAACTAGCAAGATTCGAATCCACATCAGCACTAAACAGGCGAGATTAACGGGATCTGATCCAATCATTGCTCATACATCCCAGCCTCCCGTCTAATTGTGGGTCTGTAGCCCGTGGGTGATGTTATCGCGGTCATGCCAGTGGTAGAATGGAAAAATTCATACTGTACAGCCTATTAAGATTGGCATCGCGAACTATGACGATGTCCTCTGGATATTCTATAAGATATATTAGAATCCTCAGAGATTTCCTAGATTCACTGTTTTGACCGTCCACGAACCCCTAATATCCAGCTACGTCGAAATGACGGTTAGCTGCTGGTTGATATGAGGATCTACATCAAATCTCCTCCCCTGGTATCCCTACCGTTAACTACTAAACTATAATCTTCAAGCATGAACCATAACAATTGCACATCTATATTGGTATATTGGTGAAATATTGCTGGTTGAGAGCTTCATAGCACTTTTATTATCGATGCCCGGTTCTTCTGCACAGCCCTTTAGCTCCAATACAGAGTGGGTCGACCGGTCATTTCCAGATCAAAATCGATGTTTAGTATGGCGAGTGATCTTAAATATAGAACACAACGGCCCCGGGCCCACAGATGAAACCTGAACGACCGAATGCATACGCGGTCTTCTGGGACATCTGAGATACAAAATGGGTCCTGTGTCTGAAGATTTTAGGCAACGCTCTCCACAGTAGTACGTCTTTGTATGATGTTTTATCTAGTGTGTGTGGTAGCATATTTTCAAGTTTTCTATCTGGATCAGAAGTAAGGGCGTTTCCTTTAAAGTTTATCATACAGCACAGTTCTCTCAGTAGATAAACTTATGAAACTTAGAAAGAATATGGTTCAGTATTTACATAACATAATTAGCGTACGAGGTTAAAATTGGTTGTGGACGCTAGGGCTGCAGCTATAGTTCGAAGGTGGCATGGTGCCGATGACTTCAAGGTGGATGAAAGAGCACCAACTGGTGCCTAAAACAACACCTGGTGGTCCAGAATTGGACACCGTGGAAGGATAGACTCGAAATTTCATGACTATAAATATTCATGCTTAATGAAAACTGCTAGGTAGTGTTTTAGGCTCCCGGGCCTGGGTGAAAATTGAAACTTGAACGGGGCAAGCTATGGATATATGTCCAAACATTTTGAAGTTCAATTGCGACTAAAATGTAATAATTTTCAAAGAAATGTTGCCCAGGTGGTAAATTTGAATTTTCAAACTATTAGAACTTGAAGCTTATTACCTTTATACTAGCATCGCATTATTAGGCATCTAAATAAGAACTGGAGTATGCAATAAACGATGACTGTTATAGATACTTCGGTCTGCTCCAAGCCTCTGGCAATTCAAGCCTCAGGCACCAACAATACCCAAATTGGATGAAGTGGTGACCCTGCGGCGCGCGACAACGCGAACTCCCGAGAAATTCTGAGAAGCTATCAATCCTCCTCCCCACACCCATTCTCCCCCCGTCCAACCTGCACCTCATCTGCGACATCTCCGATAAAACTTTGCTTTTTGATCCGATTCCAGAAATATACTCACAGAGAGCTTCTCCATCATGTACGATCTCCCCTGGACTCCACAAACTCCAACAGCGCTGACTATCTTTAAGGGAGAGCTTTGACAATATCCACCTAGATCTCTCCGAGACCGCCGGCAAATGCAAGTTGGCAGAGAGCGGTCTGGGCTGGCGCCCATCTGGCGGCGGTGACACCTTTACTTTAGATAGCAGCAACATCGGTGGCGCTCAATGGAGTCGCGCCGCGAAAGGATTCGAATTAAGGATTCTATCGCGATCATCTGGTGTCATTCAGCTGGATGGCTTTGACCAAGAGGTAACTGCTTGGATGTGATAATATGCGCCTCGAAATTGCTGAGACTGACTTTTGTTCTTTGTTCTAGGATTTCGAGCGCTTGTCCAAGGCTTTCAAGATTTGGTACGGGATCAACGTTGAGGCCCGCGAACACGCCCTGCGAGGATGGAACTGGGGAAAGACAGAGTTTTCCAAGGGAGAATTATCCTTCAGCGTCCAGAATCGACCCGCCTTTGAAGTCCCATACTCCGAGATCTCTAATACCAATCTTGCTGGAAAGAACGAAGTGGCGGTGGAGTTCGCACTCTCAACGGCGGATTCCAATGGACAGCCTGCTGGTAGAACTAAGAACCGCGGTCGCAAGGCTGCTGCAGGCCCCGATGAGTTGGTGGAAATGCGATTCTACATCCCAGGCACAGCTGTGAAGAAGGAGAAGGCAGAGGATGCCGAGGGCGACGAGGAAGGAAAAGAAAATGATGAAGAAGAGAAAGAGGAGCAAAACGCGGCCAATCTCTTCTACGAGACGCTTATGGACAAGGCTGAGATCGGAGATGTGGCTGGCGACACATTTGCTACGTTCCTGGATATTCTGCATCTGACACCTCGGTTGGTACATCTCTCCTTTCCAACAATTTCATTACTTATCCGGTTTTTAGTGGTCGTTTCGATATCGACATGTACGAATCATCCTTCCGACTCCGCGGTAAGACATACGATTACAAGATTCAATACTCCGCCATCAAAAAGTTCTTCCTGCTCCCTAAGAATGACGACACTCACACGCTCATTGTGCTGGGTCTGGACCCTCCTCTGCGCCAGGGTCAGACCCGTTACCCGTTCCTGGTTATGCAGCTGAAGCTGGACGAGGAAATTAGTCTGGAACTCAATATGACAGAGGACCTGCTGCAAAGCCAATACAAGGATAAGCTGCAACCACACTACGAGGAACCGATCCATCAGGTGGTCACCAAGATCTTCCGAGGTCTATCCGGTAAAAAGGTGATCATGCCGTCTAAAGACTTCGTCAGTCATCACGGCCACCACGGTGTCAAGTGTTCCATCAAGGCCAACGAGGGTCTCCTCTACTTCCTAGATAAGAGCCTGATGTTCGTGCCCAAACCGGCGTCTTACATTCAGATGGAGCATGTGGCGGTGGTGACGATGTCGCGTGTTGGCGGCGCTGTCTCGGCCAGCCGCACCTTTGACATCACAGTGAGCCTGAAGGGCGGTCAGGGCGAACACCAGTTCAGTAACATTAATCGGTAAGTCACTTTGGACAATTTCTTACAATTTCTTCGTGTCATGAGTCTTGAGTCTTGAGTCTAATATTTTACTTCTTTTCTAGCGAGGAACAACAACCGCTGGAGGACTTCTTCAAGGCTAAGGGTATTCGCATTAAGAACGAAATGGCTGAAGAAAGCACTACTTTGCTCAAGGCAGCCCTTGACAACAATGATCTGGATTCCAGTGGTGATGAGGGTGTCGCTGCCGACCGTGGCTCGGCTGATGAGGATTCTGATTCTCCCGACGAGGATTTCAATGCCTCCTCAGACTCTGATGTGGCTGAGGAGTTTGACTCTGACCACGAGAGCAGTGGAGGCAGTGACGAGGAGATGGCCGATGCTTCTGATGGTGGCGGTAACAAAGATGTTGATATGGATGAAAGCACCCGGCCTAAGAAGAAGAGCAAGACCGGCAAATAAACATGTACAGCTAGTTTACAAATCTCTTTTTACTGTTGGTTTTTCTCACTTTCTTTTTTTAACTTTGGGACAGGATTAGTTTATCCTATGGCGTTTTACTTTTTCTAAGATGGAGAACAAATTCTATACTGGAGCTCATCCTATAACCTCGATTAAATCATCAGTGCCACTGGGTTTATTAGGCTGATCTCCCTAAGAATTAGTATAATTAACAACAAGATTAGTTATTCCTTTGCTATCTATAATTCTCCCTCTTCTCTGATATTATTGGGTTAGAGTTGCTGACTGCTGACTCCACTGGGTCCCAGTGGAGAATCACGTGGTCATTTCCCCCGTTTAACCCCTGATCCATTCGATGTTGAGCCACGGAGTACAGACTTGTGTACAGACTGTATACAAGGTAACTGGGGCCCTGTACATGTATAACTGACAAACTCAACATGCAGAGAGGTTCAACCCATATCGTAGGTTTAGACCTTCATTTTTCTCTTTCAACGAATCTTTGAAGTAGTAGATCGGAGATACTGTCCTACATGTTCGAGATCATGATACCTATAAACAGCCCTGGAGATATAGAACGAACTGGCAAGAACGGGGGGAATTGATATCCGACGGGTCAATGCTTCTTGGGTTTGAATTGGGTTCTTCACTTTGTCCTCGGCCAACCTCTGTCTCTGTCTCAACTGCGTAGTTCGTCAACAAAAAATGCAGTAGTAGCCGTAGCTCAATTACCATATGTAGGTGTGTTGGTGAAAGAGCCATGCAAATGCAGTCAAAACCCCCGAGGAATGCGCTCAGTTCTGCGGTGTGTTGTCTTTTGGGATGTATGTGGTAGGATTTATGATACATAGTATTATAGCATTAAATAATTTGATGTATCTTTTTTTCTTTCTTTTCTTTCTTTAATTTTCCCTTAATTTTTCTCTTAATTTTTTCCCATTTCCAACGTGTATTTTGGCGCGGGTCGATCCAAACCCACTCTGTAATAGCTGGCCCGAACACCTTCGACACGTCCCCCCCCTTTCTTTCCCAGACTGGGCCTCAACTTCCCTCCTACTACACCACCTCCTTTCCTTTCCTTTCCTTTTCTCTTTCTAGACCTGTACGGTTTCTCTTCCATTCGCTTTTCTCTTTAATCCCTTTCTTCTGGAAAAATTGCCCTCCCCCCTTTTTTCTTTTCGAACACTGTTCGTTTAGGTATGCACCCATCTCTCCTGACATTTCTGATCATCATGAAGTTTTTTTTTTTTTTTTTTTGCCCTTTCCCTCGATTCCAATGGGACCCCACCAGCCTCTGTCAATGCGGATACTGACGATTGAGTTGAACTATAGGGGTTGTTTAGCTGTTACTTTTCTATCGTCCACCCATCCTACCCCCTAATTCCTTGTCCAGACATTCGTCATGTGTAAGCGAAATCCCCGAGACGAAAGCCGTCATCATCCCCGGAAGGCAGATCCGGCCCCCTCCCATGAATGAATCGCAGACTGATGGCATTTCTCTTTAGCTTCGCCATCTGCGAATGGTTCCCCCGTCGCGTCCCGCGACTCTCCCACCCCCACTCCCAGCAGTGGTAAGGAGTCGCCGTTCGTTGAGCGCAGCAACCCCATGGGAACCGGTATTTCCCAGACAGTTAGCTCCCGCGACCCAAAGGCCGTTGCTGCAGCTGCAAACGATATGAAGAACGTTGTCCGCCGCAAGCTCACCGGATATGTTGGATTCGCCAATCTGCCCAACCAGTGGCACCGCAAGAGTGTTCGCAAGGGTTTCAACTTCAATGTTATGGTGGTCGGTACGTGAAATCTATAATACAGATTGATTCAGCTGGTATGGATTTACCCATGGAATCAATATTTCTGACTCTTCTCTCTAGGTGAATCCGGTCTCGGAAAGTCTACCCTCGTCAACACCCTGTTCAACACTTCCCTGTACCCCCCTAAGGAGCGTACTGGACCCAACGCCGATATCATCCCCAAAACTGTCTCCATTCAGTCCACCAGCGCCGATATTGAGGAGAACGGTGTCCGCCTCCGTTTGACCGTCGTCGACACTCCTGGATTCGGTGACTTCGTCAACAACGATGACTCGTGGCGCCCTATTGTTGAGAACATCGAGCAGCGCTTCGACACTTACCTTGAGGCCGAGAATAAGGTCAACCGCAGCAACATCGTCGACAACCGCATCCACGCCTGTGTTTACTTCATTCAGCCCACTGGCCACTCCCTAAAGCCCCTGGATATCGAGGTGATGCGTCGCCTGCACACCAAGGTCAACCTGATTCCCGTTATCGCCAAGGCCGATACCCTGACCGACGAGGAGGTTGCCAACTTCAAGGAGCGCGTACGTTTTATCTCCTGTTTGGAATCTTTGGACTTTGAGCAATTGAATTTGCATTAGGATCTTTAACTGACATTATTACTCTTAAAATATAGATTCTTGCCGATATCCAGCACCACTCCATCCAGATCTTCGAGGGTCCCCGCTACGAGCTTGATGACGAGGAGACCATTGCCGAGAACAACGAGATCATGTCCAAGGTACCTTTCGCCGTTGTTGGTGCCAACTCCGAGGTCAGCGCTGCTGATGGCCGTCGTGTCCGTGGCCGTAGCTACCCATGGGGTATTATCGAGGTCGACAACGAGGAGCACTGTGACTTTGTCAAGCTGCGCCAGATGCTGATCCGCACCCACATGGAGGAGCTCAAGGAGCACACCAACAACTTCCTGTACGAGAACTACCGCTCGGACAAGCTCACCCAGATGGGTGTTGCTCAGGACCCCAGCGTGTTCAAGGAGGTCAACCCTGCCGTTAAGCAGGAGGAGGAGCGCGCCCTGCACGAACAGAAGCTATCAAAGATGGAAGCCGAAATGAAGATGGTCTTCCAGCAAAAGGTATCCGAAAAGGAAAGCAAGCTGAAACAGAGCGAAGACGAACTCTATGCCCGACATCGCGAGATGAAGGATCAGCTCGACCGGCAACGCCAGGAGCTAGAGGACAAGAAAGGCCGGCTCGAGAGTGGTCGTCCCATCGAAGAAAAGGGAAGCAAGCGGAAGGGTTTCTCGCTTCGTTAAAACCCCAACTCCAATGCCCGCTGTTGATGTCCGCTAATTCCCATTCCAATTCCCATTGCCATTCCCGCCAAACTCTCCCGCTCTCTGAAGTTATTTTTTTCCTTGCTGTCTCACCCCACACTCCCTCTTATCTCCTTAACGCACTGCTATTTTATCTTCCACTGGATGGGCCCACGCATCGCAAAAAGAATGGTTTTGATAATACGATCCGCGGGGTCGCCTAAGACCTTTTCTCCTCTTCTTAACTTCTTGTGATGTACTTTTTGCTACGCCATATCTTGTTCTTGCCCGCTTTTTCTGTGTGCTCTATTACCCGCTCATTTTCTCGTTAATTTTACTTTCCTAGTCCTGGGGCATTTGGTTCTTTTTGGCCGCCTGTCCATGTGTTAGTCCATCGAAGCGCTTCGGCATCTCTTTTACTTTAGTTTGTTATACCTGGTAGTTGTAGTGTATCCGTAGACGTATACGTAGATGTAGATGTCTATTAAGGAAACTACGACGAAGATCTGATATTCCTATACAACCACCCAAGTTGCCATCCCAATTGCCAATATCAATTGATGATTTAACTCAAACCCACACCCATATCCTGACCCCTAGCTTGTGTTTCCGCACACCGGAAAGATAGCTTAAACTTCCCATTCCTGTGAATCGAAACATGAATATCATAAACCCCATCATCCTGACTCTTACTCTGCCTCTGATCTCCTTGATCCACAATCCCCTCCACAGTAAATTTCTCCACCGTCCCCTGATCCGAGTTCCTCTTCCAATCCTTCTCCATATTATCCAAAGAATCAGATACAACACCCCTGTACTCCCATCCCCCTTCCTCCAAAGCACGCGTAACCCGAAACTGATACGAGTTCGGATCCAGATCCAGAGTTACAGAAGAATTAAGATACCACCTGAGATAAACTCGTATCAAATACATGCATATAACCACTCCAACCATACCATAGCACCCATTTAGTAGTCCAGTCTCAGTAATAGGGGATATTGAAAGTCTCCATCTTCTCTTTTTTGTTTCCATATTTTCATATTCAGGGATAGAGAATATGTACGGCCAAAGAGCCCGTAGAACATATTACGATCCGCACTCTGGTATGTGTAACTCTGTTAGCTTAAGTTGATTTTTGATTTGATGATGTTGGTCTTGTATATTATCCTAATCCTCACTTACATTTTGGACATATAAGCGAAAAGCCCCAGAAATTGGATATTGAAAGATGCACGCTTGAGCTTGCTTTTGGAGCCTGTGTCGCCGGAGAATCTTACGGATCGGTCATTTGGGATGATTGAATTTTTCTTGATAGATGGGTCTGTTTTGCCTCGACGAGCGGCGAGTAGGAATTGGAAGGGTTAGAGAATATCATGATCTCGATCAAGTGGTTCCTCTGCTGCCTCGGTGTCCATGGTCCTTTCGTTGGGCATTGTAGGGGTATTTATTGTTGGATAGATACAATGGTAAATGATGAATGTCGGGTATTCAGTTGATGTGGCTGGAAAATTTCAAAGAATGGTGGAAAGGAATGAGCTGGTATAAATATGATGGGGAAGACGTCTGCCTTCTCTGTCCTCATCAGTGTTTGCAGATCGCCGCCTCCTGGCCCGGGGGGGGGGGGGGGAACGTTGTTGATCTTATAGGTCGCGGTATATCATGATGATATTCTGGAGCTCCTGAGAAGTGGGGCAGAACATTAAAAAGATCTTGAGATTATGATGTTCTGGTCTGCACGGCCCAGAGATTGAAACAGTTCAGATCACATTGTATATTCAACTGCAAACTTAATCAAGAGCCAGCTTCGGTATAATCCAATAACTTGAAACAGCCAAAAACAAATCAGAAACTCGTATCTTATCATATCATCTCATATAATATCGAGTACCTCGTCTATATCCATACCAATTCTATCATTTAATCAAACTTCCAGAAGTGACTTCCAAAAGGTCGCCGTCCTCACCGAACTCAATCTTCTTTCCAGTAATCAGTGACTCCTGCAAAGCACAACCAATAGTAACAGCCTTGACAGCAGAGTCGAGACGAAGAGGAGGAGGGGTATTATCAAGACAAGAAGCTGTGAACTCGTTCGCCTCGGTGATGAAGGCGTCGCGGAATCGGCCGTAGTAGTCTGGCGGAATCTCGCGACGAATACCAGTGGACTCGTATAGGTTTACAAGGTTCAATTGGGGCTGTGTGTTAATGGCGACTTTGCCGTTTGTGCCGAAGATTTCGGTGCAGTCTTCTTGACCGGCGGCCATCATGCGGGAGCAGTAGAGTTGAGCGATCTTGCCACCCTATTTGAATTGGAATGTTAGATCTTTTTTCTTTCTCTTTGTGATGCGGTTCATTCTTTTAGGGGGAAAAGAGGGAAGAGAGGAGGAAGGAAACGTACGTAGAACTCAATAATACCAACCGCATTGTCGCGATCATTGTGCTTGCGCAGATCAGGCTGCACAGCTGTAATACCAACTGCAGCAACACTCTTAACCTTGATGTCCTCACCGAAGAACCAAAGAGCGAGATCGATATCGTGAATAGAGCAGTCCACAAAGATACCACCTGAGAACTCGGCATAGGCAACGAAGAATCCACTAGGATCGAGCTTGTCGCAGGTTTGTGAGCGGAAGACGGATGGTGTGCCGAATTCGCCAGTCGCCAAGCGACGGTGTGCATCGCGGTATGAGGCGTCGAAGCGACGAGAGAAACCACATATAACTTTTTGATTGGGGAATTTCTTGATAGAGGCTGCGTAGGCGTCGACCACGGATTGAGACTAGAAAAGAGAAGAGGAGATGTTAGTATGTTAGGTTCTGGTTATGTCGAGTTCTGTTCTGTTCTGTTTTGCATGGGGGTCTCCAATTCAACTTACAATCTCGGGACTGGTGCTGATGGGCTTTTCGCAGAGGACGTGGAGTCCGCGGTCAATTGCCTTGATGGCTTGTTCGGCGTGCACGGTGGTAGCACTGGAGACGACGACAGCTTGGAGAGACTTCTCCTGGTTCAGCATATCCTCGTAGTCGAGGTAAGTGTGGACACCCTTGAACTCGTTCTTAGCGGCATCCAGCTCAGCCTGAACAGGAGAGCAGACAGCAATGAGCTCGGCACGGGGTGTAAGAGTTGCAAAGTGACGCGCATGGCGCATACCTGTGCAAATAACAAATTAAAACCAATTCATTCTTTTGTCTGGTCTTGTCTGGTCTTCTCGTGTGTTCAAAACAAACGAAAAGCACACAAAGTCGGAGCTCGCGGGGTAATTGAAAGTCTTACCCATGCGTCCAATGCCTGCAACGGCTACCTGAAGCTTGTCGGTCATTATGAAGGAATTGGGTATATATAAAAAGATAACGAATTTCGGAGATGATTTGCGAAATATGGAAAACGATTGCCAGATCAAACTAGTTATAAAGCTACAGAATTTCTAGCTTGCTGAGCTGTTCTCCTCCTTCTGCCCCTCAGCGGACAATCAAACACCCGACATCGTGGCTTGGGGGCGTAGCGAGAGTTAGGCTGGAAGGAGTAATCTGCCGGCGACAATTACCTTCCCCAGTTACTCTAGTTACTCCACTTCCCCCACACTTCAATCCCCCCCCACGTTCATTTGTGTACGGGGTTTGGTGGAGGGCGTGTACCTTGGAATTAGGTTCCCGATCATTAAAATATTAGCAAGGCGCGGATAATGGAGAAGTTAATGATTTGTTTTATTTATTTTATGGAACTTAATGTGATTGATATTCCCCCACCTTGTCCACTTTTTTATCCCTTCTGGTTGAGGGTTCTCCGCAATTGAGGCAGCTGATTATTTCTTCCAAGGAACAGAGAGAGACAGAGGAAAAAAAAGTATATTAATTATCGCGATCATCGGAATTTACAGTGATACAACTTAATTTCATGACATCGTGCCAGCATCGCAGTTACTCCGATTCACCGTACCCTTCCCACCCCCACGCGAGCTTTAACGATTCTTGCGTACTCAACGTAGGATACGCATGTTCATCCTCTAGCTTGACAAGTAATCCAAGCAAAGCCTCTTGCTCGAATCTCTCGGTAAAACGATCTCCACACATTCCAATCGCAGCCGAAGCTGTCACCAGACCAGGAGGACTATGCTCGTTGGAAAGCGCAATGCCACATAGTCGCAGTACAATGGATCGCACCTTTTGATCTACTGATCGCATTGCTGTGCGCTGACCAGGTCCTAAACGGGGAAGTTTTGGGTTATAAACCGTGAGGAGAATTCGCGCAAGTTCGAGGAATTGAAGACCTGCAACGTGGCAGTTGTTCAGGTACCACAGCTCGGGAAAGACTTCACCGCGTGAGCGGTCAGGTTCACGGGAATAGATAGGCTTGAAACTGGGCGGGCCCATCTCAGCCCAAAAGGTTTCAAAAAGGACGAGTTCTTCGTAGCGCGCGATGCGCATGTCGGCACCCGGAACTTGGCGAATGATACCCATGCTCGAGGAGATGCTGCGGTCCCTCGTTACGTCTTCTTCTTCGGATCCGTAACAATATTGTAATACATCGGCGCAGTGGATGACTAGTCTATCTGCCCAGACATAGTCATCGGCAGGCTCAAAGGATCGATAAGGTTCACAGGGTTCTAAGGGGAGGCGGAACGTTCGTTGTTTACTAAACGCTGTGGTGATTTCTTGTCGTAGGGCGATCCAGTATGTGGCGTGCCGGAGGCCGTATCCAGACACTGCGGACCTTACTTGGGCATTCAAGAAGATGTGAATTCCCTTTAATCCGTTCTCAGTGTCTTCGCCCATTGATTCGACTAGACATCTCTCATTAACAACGAGTAAGACATGGCCATTGACTTGGATGTGACTTACAATCAACTTCTTCATAAAAACGTAAAATTACAGCCGCGGCAAGAAGATTCTCATCCTGAGCTTCTCGCGAATGGTCTGAAATTGAAACAAGATGCGCAATGCACTCGTTGTGGTAGTGAATCGCTGTCTCTGGCTTAAGGTCCGGCAATATCTTGCCACCATAATGTACTTTATTGCCATGCCAGTATCTCTTGATCCGGCTTAAGTGCCTAGCGGAGGCAGTATAAATGGCATTAAGTAGAGGTGGACATGTTCGAGCCCGTAGTGGCACTGTGCAAGCAAAATTTCTGTCTCCGTCGCATATGTCAAACTGAATAAAAATGTAGTTATTAGCACCGACGAACAGAACATATGTTGCCGAATCTTTGGCACATACCCAGGGGGCAAGTTGAACAACGAAATATCGCATGAGACAGGCTTCGCGCTCATTCAAATTAGGCAGTTCGACACCCGCGGGATAAAGATAGTCTCTAGACCCCGGGGATGCATTGCTGCTATATGAGAGATGAGGAGAAGCTGATGAAAGTGAAGGGTGGATCCTCGGTGACAACTCTACCGCGTACGGCGAATAATTTTTCAGAGTTCTATCATGCACATGAGGTGTCATGAAATGGCCCGATGATTGTGATCGAACGGGCTCGTTGAGAATGGAGCGCTCGTGAAGAGTGTGATTCTCAACAGATGTCTCACCTCGACGTTTCTCCGATACCGTGGAGAATGATACTGTGGATTCATATTCTCGAATGTATAGTTGGGCTATCTCATCCGTTTCGTCGACATAGTTGTAATCCACTAAGATTCGGGTAAGCAGCTGTAAGGGGGAATATCATATCCCGACGTTTTTCGCTGATGCAGGTTGATGCAGTACAGCACCGAAATCATGCCGATGAGGATCTTGTACGGACCTATTCCGATCGGCAACCAAGGCTGATCATCTGCAAAATCATACTGAGCACTTGCACTGGACCCGTGGCGAAAGCCGGACGGAGCGGCTTGCCAGATACAGGAAGAATCTGTGCGCTCGCAACGATGGCATTTTGGCTTCTGCCCATCACCTAGCCGATCGTCAGTATTCGGCTTTCAAAAGTACCTTGCATAAACTCACACTTTACATGTCGACCTGAGACGAAATGATCCGTTAGTTTCTACCGTCGGGTTCGTTATCGATGGCACTTACTGCGGCATTCCTGGCTATTGCCATTTCCGAGTCAGTGATTGGTTTATAATTGATCAAATATGGGTCACGTACCAGGGGACTACCTTATTTCGCCGCATAACGCTATATATAAAAGAAACTGGGGAAGAATACTAGTAGAGATCTAGGAATTCTTCTACGATGGAGGGAACATATTGGAATTAAAGGAAAGTGTCGCCGGAGTTCTCCACATATGGCAAGTGCGGGGGTTGGAAACTGGAGGTTTGGTGCACTATCATTGGCTCATAGTGAGCCTTGGAAATGGGGCGTATCCTTTCTTGGTTCGTGCTACTTCGGCGGCTTTGGGTGACAGCCAAGACGGACAGCCAAGTTTAAGGGCCATAAATGGGCAGTTGTATCATATGACATATCGCTCAAGTAAGTGGGCGTCATCGGTGACAGATAATCCGAGTCCTGCAGATATTCCGAGAGAAATATCTTAAGCTTTGGGATCATTTAGCTTTTGAAAGTATCCGAAGACGATCCAACAGAACAAGGCACGCCTCGCCAACAAAATGGTAGCGGCTGACTGTAAATGGTCAGATGTGAATGTGCAGCTCTTTGGATACGATGTTCATCCATCTATCCCGGTTCAAACAGCAAATTCAAGTATCTTAGACGTGGGCACAGGTACAGGGACAGTAGCTTAAGTAACGCAAAATAAAGGCTGTGAAGGGAAATTCGAAATGTTTTTCCCAAGGTTCTAGACAGTAAGTTGAATGGTTGTTCTAGTTTGTTTTATATCTCCAAGCCTCCCGTACAAGGAATAGTGTTTTAACCCGACCCAAGAAAATAAAGTGGAATGGACCTCATTCGACTGAATCCGTTAGGAGGATTCACCACACTCGATATTTGCCTCACGAGGAAGCAACCCGACAAAGTCAAGTAACAAAGCCACAGTATTAATGACACCATAAAAGAGCATCGGTATAACCCCAAAGAAGAGATTTCCGATATAGCCCCGTCGGAGGATGGTCTCGGCCAATTCCGTCCGAGCAATCTCAGGCGCAATGGGTGACTCAAATGGTCCCATCAACCTGTAAAATGTAACAAATGATGCGCCAAAGCAGTATATTAGCAGAATTTGCAACCCATGGCGACGATACAGCTCAAGGAGTCCTGGAGCACCACCGAAATCTTTAGCCAAAGTACTCATGTACGCGCTGTGGTCCACGCCGTATTGAATTCGAGATCCCTTCGCTGCAAGGAGGTGATAGTGAGGAGGATCCTTGGGCATCTGCATGCGACCTGTTATGAGTGATGTCCACCACATGGCTTGTTGTTCCGCTATGGGTGGGATTGCGCCAACTCCAGGACGTACGAAGCCGATGAATGCGATGTCTGGATTTGTTGGGTTGATAATGTTTCGGATTTCAGCGTCTGATGCTGTCGGATATGACGAGTCAAGGTACGGGAAAGTTTGTTTGTATCTGGGACATAACGTTAGCTTAGGATTGGCAGGTCACGTAACAAATTATAAGAAACATACCCAGAGCAATAAACCACGCAATTTGGCTGGATATTTCTATTTTTCATTCGCTGCCAATCTTTTCGATCGTGATTTGGCTGGAAATGAACTTGTCCCATATCATCAACATACCTCGGCCAGGTGCAAGTGTCGACGACTCGATCAGATGTAGCATCCTCAGGAGGATCAATGTAGCGGTTACCGATCAAGGCTAAAAACGGATTATATGTCTTGTAGGGGCGATTGAGATAAGGCATCGCTTTGTTGCTCTTGTTAAGAAAGACAAATGCCCTTCCTAGTCGCTCCTTAGGAAGAGCACCGACATGCTGGTTCATACCGGCCTGGGTGCCAGTCAGAAACCAGAGAACTCGCTTAATCACAAAGTCCGAAATGCACCAGCGCAATCTGCTGCTAGCCACTGCCCGATGAACATATGCAGTTTCGAACAGATTGGTGATAAGACCATCAATTGGAAGACCACCACTGAAGGTCTTGCCGAATACTTGGAATCGGCTGAGTTGTTTGGGGAAGGAGAGAAAGCCGGTGCGAAAACACATGGTGACTGACTGGGCGTCGGCTTTGATGGATTCATAGGCAATATCTTCAATGTGTTAGATTTGTATTTTCTAAATCACTTGGATCAACTTACCCATCGCTGTTTCACCGCAACCCAAGATAAGGACTTTCTTGCCAGCTACTTGATCGCGGCCCTTGTAAAGCGATGAGTGGAATACGTCACCCTGAATATTCTCAATACCTGAAATATCAGGAACATTTGGCTCAACATGAAGTCCAGTACAGACAGCAATGTGCGAACAGTCAAAAAGACTCTCCTTGGCTTCATCTCCACCATTCCGGTCCACATAGCTCACTCGATGAGCCCAGCTGGAACCATCATCGAGCGGAGACACGCGAACGACGGGACAGTTGAACTTGATATATGGTCCCAGATTGAACCGCTCAACATAAGACCGGAGATAGTCGACATATTCGGGCAATGACACATGATCGGGAGTTTCAAGCGGCAAGCGATGATCCGAGAATGTGGTCAATTGCTTACTGCTTACCAATTCGGCGTTCTGGTAAGAGCGGTAGTTGAATGTGCCGCCGACATCAGACTCACTGTGGAATATACGTTAATATTGAAGGGAGCACTGGGGCCAAGTCTTGAAAACATACGCTTCGAATAGGTACGCCTCGATCTGCTGCTCGGGCGTGGATGCTTCCAGTAAGGTCTTGAGGGTCACCAGGCCACCGGGGCTGCGATAGATTAGCGTCTGGAGAATCGAAGAAGGGACTGGTCATATACCCTGCGCCAATAATTGCTACTTTTATTGTCATTTGGGCTGTTGCTGGTGTTGTATGAAGAATGAGGGTCATTGAATGAGTGCAAGGATTGCGTAGTTTTCCCAGCCCCCCCCCACTTTGAAAGCTTGGTCAAGCTCGGTCGGGGCGCCACTGTCCCATTTCCGTGATCTTGGGTTCATTAATGAATTATTTCCGATTCATTATTTACCCCGACTCTTATCTTATCTTCTCATAATGTATTCCTTCTCTCAAGACAGTATTTTTGCGACCGTGCGCTCCACAATTGCGCCTCGTCATTCCTCTAGCTTCCCGAATCAACTGCCACATTAGGTATCATCTCGGCAGGGGTATTCTTCGGCTAATTTGCTTGTTTTTTTATTAATATTTATTTATTAATTTCCCCTCCAAAAAAGAGACGGAACGAGGGTGCAGGAGACACGCAATATGTCTAAGTGGATGGTCATCGGACACCCCACGGACGAGGTATAAGCCGTTCACTTCTTGAGCTTACTATCTCTAACTGGGCCAAATTTTTGAAAAAGTAGGGTAAAGTCCACAATGAATTGGAAAATTGGGTGAGCAGAAATATGATACAAACATGTTCCAATAATTTATCGACTGATAAATCCGCATGAGAATCAATAATATCATGCATCCAAGGCAAGGTTCGTTGAGAATAGTACTTCATCCTCGCCGATGGCCTCGCTCATCCAGTCTCCTTCAAGATCCAGATCATCCTCCAATTCCACCTCGACAACATCATCTCCATCATCCTGGAGGTATCGGGGACGATCGTATCTTTCCCACCTCGTTCCCTTTTCTAGAGTTGCTTTGTCAATGCTCTTGCTAGACAAAAACTTAAATTTGATTCTTCGATACTGAACTGCAACAATCTGCTCGCCTTGAATTATGGATTGCCTTCTGTGATCTTTTGATCGTTCATGAGAGCTACCAATACTGGGATCAATCAGATTCCCCAGCGGTATAACCACACCAGTAGCGGCTAAGGCAGCGGAAACAGGAAATGTCAGATTTCCACCAAGACTGTTGCTCTCTTTTGAAGTCTCCACAACATGAGCATTTAGGACTGTATGGTATCCAACAACCAAGTAGATAGTCTCGCCCTCGTCAACAACACGCTCAATCCATTTGCGAACTTCTTTCTCCTGAACAATGCCACGAAACCACTGGCTATTGTTGTCAAGATAGTATGTCCTGGCCTCTTTGGCTGTAATGTGGACGGAGGTTTCGGTCCGCCGTGAGATCGACGTTGAAAGAAAAGAGGTCAAGTCTGAGGTGAAATCGCGGCTTTTCGCAAGACTTTCGGTGCCCGCATAGTGCGTTTCGAGTCTCTCTATGATAGAAGAATCGGGAGGCGGGGTTGCGTCGACGTAATCTTGCTGAGGATCATCCACGCTGCATAGCAATCTCCCTAACTTGATTGAAGGCAGCGGGAGAAACCGAGGGAGAAAAACATTTTCTCGCATTTTGCCCAAAGCTCGACTCTCGACTAATAGCAATATAATGGAGATTGTATGGTGATGTTACAGGACTGTTTGTACCGCAAGTGACGGGTCACGAAGGGCGAATTGTGACAAAAAGTAAAGGCCAGAGAGCAAACATGCAATTTATAGCGTGAATATCACACCTGTTGCCTGGATGGTTGCAGATTGCGCAAGGCGGATTTCTGTGGGCTAAAAGCTGCTAGTAGTTCCTCCGCAATATGAAACTAGGAACAGCGAGCTTGAAGGATAGGCAAGAAGTTCCAGGAGTGAAGAGTATCATGTGTTTTGCTTTGTGTTGCACAAAGCGGAGAATTTATGTCTATTCGATTCTGGATTTGATTTCAATTGACATGAAAAGAGTAGGTGAACGATAGAGGAGAAGAAGCCTGAGGCAGACTAGCCATGCGAACTAGTTTGAGAGAGCCCAATGCGCAAAAGTACTTCATGTACCTATGGTTATAGAGGCCATATGTCAATTTTGCCTTGGTGCCTGAGTTTTGGGATGAGGTGACTGGAAACTAGACATCAAAGCAAAATGACTAGTGGCCCCTATGACCCACAGTACTCAGATGAGGCTCAGCCCCGCACAATTGGGCCGCACTGCATCATAATCTCCCCTGCGGAGTAGATGCCAAATATATGTCATCTTCCAAGCAGCGAATAGCTGCTGATTCCAGCGCTTAGTGACCGTCATTCATTGGTGCAATTATTCATGGCAGCCTGTAAGCGAGACACTGAAGACCCGGCGTACCTCTTATCTCAAAATAAAGGTCCCCAGCGATGGGAAATATATCCCAACCACATCGAATCGAGACCACGATCTACTGCGCAGACAAAGCGCTGACCTACTGAACACAGAGAGCTAATATGGAGGATCCTAATGAGCCTGACGACTATGACGAAGGTATCGAGATGTGCCAAACAGCGCTTGCAGAGATGGATGAGAATGATCCTGATCGCGCTGCCTGTCTTGGCGACCTCGCGATGTATCTCATGGAACGCTACACAGTCACCGAAAAGATTGCAGACCTCGAGGAAGCGATTCAAACGAGCCGATGCACGATTAGCATCCTGTCCGAGAATAGCGACGAACTGGCTGAGCATTCAGGCCGTCTTTCAGATGGACTATGGCTTCAATACGAAAACTCAAATGACAACGAGAGGCTCGATGATGCCATTGACGCAACCCGAAAAGCATTCCAGCTTGCTACCGAAGATCCGCCCAAGTCTGTAATATACGGCAACAGTCTAGGAGAGAGGCTACTGCATCGCTATGCCTCGTTGAACCGACATGAGGATCTACAAGAAGTTTTTGATATCGTTCAAAATGCCGTCAAGACTAGGTCTGAAAAGAATCAATTTCTTCCGGATCTTTCTGCTCGCTTAGCATTAGCATTGGAGGAATCATATGAAGGATCAAAGAGCTTGAAGATTCTAGATGAAGCCATCTTTAGCTCCCGTCTCTCAATAGAAGAACTATCAGAGGACGAAATGAATCCTGAGGGGTACATGAGAATGAGCAAGGAGGTCTTCAACATCGAAATAGATGAAACTTTTGATCGAATATTTCAAAAAGCCTGCCAAGATCAACAACTTGAGACTTTGGGTCGACTTTCTCAGCTTGCAAGACTCCTTGGGCATCGATATTCAGAATCGAGAGCAGTGAATGATCTAGAGGAAATCATTCAGGCAAACGATCGTATTATACAGCGTGCTCCAGCTACCGAGGAAAGACTGTATTTGCTGCTTAACGACCAGGCGATTTATCTTCGAGACCATTTCAAGCGCACTCAAGACATGAAAAGCTTGGAAAATGCCATAAAATGGTCTCGGGAGGCTGTTCAAACTTCCCCAAAGAGTTCTGTGTACCAAGCAAGAAGCCTGAACACCCTGGCTAATGCGCTGTCTGATCGGTTCAATCAATCAGAAAATATAGACGATATAAACGAAGGTCTTAGTATACTGAGAAAGGCCATTGAAATCCCTGATCAAGATCCAAATGAACTGTCTATATGGCTAAATGGTCTTAGTGCCATCTTGAAAGCTCGTCATGATAGGTTTGGGCACATCCAAGATCTTGAAGAGGCAATTCAAGCTTCCTCTGAAGCAGTCAAGCAAGCACCCAGCGACTCCCCTGATATATCGACGTGGTTGAGAAATCTAGCAAACAACAAACTTGCTCATTATGAGTGCACACAGCTCACTGCGAGTCTAGACGACGCGATCAATATATCTCGACAAGCCCTTGATAGCAACTCACATGATAACGAAGATCGTGCAGGGGCTTTTGATGCACTGGGAAGTGCACTTACAGTGCGATTCGAAATTACCGGAAAGACCGAGGATCTCAACGAAGCAATTAAAATGCTACATCAGGCCATTGAGGTGTCTTCTGAGGACAAAAGTGAGTTAGCTGGGTGGCTGAACAATCTTTCAGTTATGCTCCGAGCTAGATACGAAAGATTCGGCACCAGAGAAGATCTTGAAGAAGCAATTCAGACATCACGAAACGCAATTATTCTATCAAAAGATGGCCACCCAGGGCTTCCGACATGGCTTGGTGGGCTGGCAAGCCATCTACAGTGCAGATATGAGCGAATTGGAAATATGGAAGACCTCGAAGAATCAGTCACACTGTGCCGTCAGGCAATCGATCTCACACCTTCAGACCATTTTGATATTGGACAATGGTTTGTGAATCTTGCGATCAAATTAGAACAACAGTACGCCAGGAGTGGAAGACTAGATATATTGGAAGAGGCAATCCGCACTGTGCGTCAGGGTATTGATAAGACACCCCAGACTTATTACTACTTCATTACCTTCCAAAATGACCTCGCCAACTTGCTGCAATATCGATACGGAAGAACCAAGCAATTTGAAGACTTGGAAGAAGCTGTATCTTTGATTCGCCGAGCAATTGGTTTGACCCCAGAAAATCATCCTGACCTACCAAAGTGGCTTGCCAACTTGTCTAACAAGCTGCATGATCAATTCAAGCAATCTCACGAGATGAAGTACTTAGAAGATGCCATAATATCAAGCCGCCGAGCCGTTGAGCTCACACCAAATGATCATTTAGATCTTGGTGCTTATTTGATAAACCTGGGCCATAGGCTTCAAAGTCGGTATAGACAAACTCGGCAGCAGAACGATATAGAAGAAGCCCTTCAATTCAGTTTCAAAGCTATTGAAATTACGCCCCAAGACCACCCATCAATGGCGGAATGTCTGATTTATACGGGAAAGGGGCTTTCCCTATATCCTACCCGGAAGACAGAAGCATTTGACTTGTTTTATCGAGGATGGAACTGTGTGAATGCCTCACCTTTGGTGAGAATAAAAGCTGCAGTCTCACTTTTAAATCTTCTTGGTGATGACTTGAATCAGCTTCAAGTGGCTTACATGGTGTCTGCGCAAGCAATCGCGTTGTTACCTCATGTACATAATCGATTTTTGAGTTTCCAAGACCGGCAATACATTGTTGGTCTGTTTTCAGGATTGGCTACCAAGGCATGCTCCCTCGCATTTAAAACCGAAAACTCGCACGCAGAAGCTCTTGCTCTCTTGGAACAAGGAAGGACTATAATTATAAGCCTTCTCCTAGATGATCGAAGTGATACATCTGAGCTCAAATCCGCGAGTCCTGAACTATGCGCGCAATATGAGAATCTTCGTGTCGAGCTCGCTAGGCTTTCAGAGAGCAAATCATTGAAAGGCCCAGAGCAACTCACAACTCAAGCACGTCAAAATACAATTGAACAGCTGGAGCAATGCATTACGGAAATACGCGAGCTTCCTGGGCTTAGTTCTTTCCAGAAAGGACTCACCGAGGAGCAGATGATTAATGTGGCAAGGGAAAATGGCACCATAATCATAGTTAACATAACGAATATTGGGAGCCATGCAATTTCAATTCGCTCAACAGAAATCTCGTCGATTTCGCTTCCAGCGGCTGATTCAGTTCAAACACAACGGTGGATTGAGCTGAACTTGACAACATCTTCATCGCGAGATCGAGGGAAGATGAACAAAGCTTATCGTCAATTTCTTATCTGGCTATGGCGCAGCTGCGTGAAACCAATTGCTGATCATCTGGCCTATCCAGTCCAACAAGATCCCGAGAAACTTCCAAGAGTCTGGTGGATTGGCTCTGGCCTTGCAAGTTCTTTCCCATTCCATGCTGCCGGAGATGCTTCTCCAGGATCAACAGAGAATGCGTGGTCTCGGGTACTATCCTCTTACGCATCATCGATCAAGGCGTTGAAACACTCGAGAGAGCGTTCTGCCGCTGTCACCTCAGCTCAAAAGAAACCCATCAAGGCACTTGTTGTTTCAATGCCCGAGACTCCAGGTGCATTTGAACTTCCAAAGGCAGAGATCGAGTCATCTACTGTCTCACAGATTCTAGGATCTTCAATGAACTGCGAAGCTCTTCACAAACCAAACGCGGCAACTGTGTTAGATCACATGTTCCAATGCAAGATTGCTCATTTTGCCTGCCACGGAGTCTCGAATGTAACAGACCCCTTTCAAAGTGGCCTTCTCCTTCAGAGCGGAGACTCGAGCAACCCAACTCAAGATATTCTCAGTGTGCGTAGTCTTTGCAATAGTGATAGCACCTTGGGCGGAATGGCTTTTCTATCCGCGTGTTCGACCGCAGAGAGCCGGGTCAAGAAGCTCGATGATGAGATGCTGCATGTCGTGAGCGGTTTTCAAGTCGCTGGATTTAGACATGTTATTGGATGTCTTTGGCCTGTGGATGACAATGTTTGCGTGGAAGTTGCTAGCTCGTTCTATTCTGAGCTTTGCCAGGGTGATTCTTTGGAGTCTGAAGATCGATCGATTGCACTGGCTCTTCATAAGGCCGTTTTGAAGATTTCAAGCAGCAGGGAGTATTGTAGGCGACCACTTCACTGGGCATCGTATGTTCATTTTGGCGCATAGGAATGTGTAGCTTCTGACTTGAGGGTTGGTAGAACCAATGCTTTCTTCGTTATTAGTGACGCTACTTAGCTGTATACGGTTCATCGACCAACTACATATTATTTTTCTCTTTTGCATCAATGTGTTGATCAGATTTAGTTTTATAGTTTGAGCGCGGGTAGTGGAGTGGATAGATGGGCTAACCGTGGTTGACTTCTGCGTGAGCCAAAGCCTTGTAGTATTAGCCATTGTATCCAACAGCCGCTTTACTAGAAATTATTCTAGATCTTGTGAAAAAGGAAAAGAAACAAAAAAGAACAGAACAAAGTGGCTTGTGGTTCTCCAAATGCCAGCGACAAACAATTCTGCTTACCACCTTGAGCCATCTTATAACGAGCTAAGCCACCCTTCAAGTTCGAAATATCACTTCGTCTGCTGCTGCCACATCCTTCCACCATCATGGAATACAACCCCAAAAGAATATGCATCTATGTACATGTTAACGACATAGACGTTAATCTCTAGCGACGTCATACTCAAACTATGGGTCGACGGGCTCTATCAAGTAGCAAATTTCACCCAGACTATCATCTAATCCTCTTATGTGGATGCTAGCAACCATAAGAGACATGCAATACTACTAGTATAGCAACTTGCAGGACCAGTTGCTCGCCTCATCCGGGTCGCCCTTCCCATGATACTTTGCCTGGTATGGGTAGTGGCAGATCGGACGCTGACGAAGCACATCAGTTGCGGTAGTATCGTTCTTCCACTTGGTTACAACGATGATGCTGTCAGGTGCGGTTCCATTCTCAACCCAAGACATCATGGCTATGATTATATCGTGCTTAGCGTCTCTATATCCTGGTACACTGTAGGTTCCAGTATTGATAGTGGCCGCTTGGTTGGCACCAGCGATGTACCAAGGAGCATTCGTGTTGTCAGGAGTAGAGATACAGTGCCTGTTTTGGAAGAGTGAAAGATGATTAGAATGAAGTGAAACTTGATATTTGTAAGTGAGAACTTACTCCATGCCGGGAATGAGGAACATTCTGTAAAAATCATCCATCTCAATACCCTGAGGCTCCAAAGCTCTGGAGGCCTGATCATAGTAATAGATACTAGCGTCCGGGGAGACGTATGCATCCGACAGCCCATGGTAGTGAAGAAACTTGCCACCCCGTTTTTGGGAAGCACTAATATCGTATTTGTCGGCAGTGGCGTTTCCGGGATTCAGTTTATCAGCGAGCTCCATGGTGCTGAAGTCAAGGTCTTCCCAATTGAAGCTGTCACCAAGACCCATAAGATCACGCGGATACCACAGCTGCTGGTCAATGGTACTATCCTCACCTAAGCCGATGTTTCCAAGTAGCCATGCAGCCTCACTTCCCTTCCGAGCTACATGTGACCATAGACATAAGTCTGGTTACGCCGACCCAATCATTATAGATCTTGTAAAGTGTGTTGAGCTGTGCAGCCGTCAAGCACTCATCCGCAGCGCTGATAGAGTTGCACATCAATGTGTTAAGTTAAAGTTGCATCCCTGGGGGTTGGAGATAATGGTATCCACGAGACCGTCTTGCGGGTCACATTGTCTCAGAACCTCTGTCGCCAAAATATCAAACATCCTCTCTGGAATCGTGTGAAATGAGTTGGCAGGGGCCTGGTAGGTAGTCTGCTTAAGGTTGTACAGCTGTTGGTGGGTAGTCCACCATGCAGGAGCACTTGCCAGGATACCATCATAGTCGTCAGGATAGCCTTGCATGTTCTTCATACTCTGTCTTCCACCAGTTGAACATCCGTAGAAGTAGCTATACTCAGCAGCTGAGCCATACCACTCTTTGATAAAGAGCTTTCCCAGTACTGTGACACCGTGCCATGCCCGGTAGCCCCAATCAATGACGGCCTGAGGTCTGCCAATTGCCCATGTGCCGGCCGTATCAACCCCAACATGACCCAGGTTGCTTGATAGGGTTGCAAATCCATAATGGGTCCCGGTACCCTGTAGACAGTATGAGAAAACAGTTCAATGCCATGATCTTTGAGGTAGGTCGCATTTCACCCCAGAGAAATTCTTACCATGTCAACCCAATTGATGCCTCCCCAGCGGCAGTTGTTCTGTTGAAAACGGTTATTATCGCCATGCGCAAAGTTCAAAAGAGATGAGAGCATACAGCAGCCTGCCATTCCATTCGAATGGCATAATCAAGCCAACAAGGTAGCTTGAGTTCTCTCCGACTTCACATTGATCTGCGCACCGCATGATTCAGGGAGATTGGTGGGGTACTCAGAGACGGAAGTATAATTCATCGGATTGAAAGAGCCATTCTGACGGATATAGGTCGTCCACTGTACCCTGGCTTGCGTTCCATTGGCATCAATATATCTTTGAAAATTGGAGGCCTTGCATCTAGCCTGGTTTGCGTTTACTGAAGCAGCAGTCGTAAAGCCCACAAAGGCCGCCAGAGTGGCAACTGTCTGGAACCACATGGTAAAGCTTCCAGGTAGAGGAGAAAGTAAATTTGGAAGGCGAGAAGCTCTCAAGCACGGATTTCGAAATGTACACTTCCAAGGTCTGGTGATTAGGTATTTAACTAACCATGGCAGCATTTAAACTTTTGGATCCTATAACGCTTGGACCGGTCAAGCTTCCATTCAAACGGACGCGTCATGATGAATCTCAATTAAGCAGCATCTAGACTGACACGACAACGGGATATTGTGTAAGTGTCCATGCATTCAATCGTATGAAGAAAGGATCTTCAGGAACGCTTAAAATTTCCACGAAAGTTTCAAGCTTGAATTAGTGTTCCTGCTGTCGAGTGTGGTGCATATTAATTGACCGGCAGGGACTGCACGAAAGGGCAATTCAACCGTGAACGCGTAGCAGTTTCCACCTGATACCCAAAATATTCTTATCTGGACGTTTTATCAGAGTTATTCTCTTGACTAGGCCCATAATTTGATCTACTGCGCAGTCATATAATGCGGCATTGAGGATATTTACGGTATTGATCGCCCGCTCTTGCGGGGGTGTGCGCTTTCCACTATAGCTTCAGCGTAAGTGTCAAGCGAAAGGATTGGCACCTACGTCAGTGGCTAGAGCTGTATACTTTTAAGTCCCACATCCGAAGTCATTTCGGTTCTTGAAATAAAGTATCAGGGTGCAAATCTTGATGACCGGCTCAAACTTGAATGCACCCATGTTCATAGCAAAGACGGATACTATGTGTTTGCTCACAACAAGTAGTAGAGCTTCATAAAGTTTCGCGAAAAGCAGGATGGCGTTCTCCAGCATGTCAAACATTGGATTTAATTTCTTTCCAATACATTTGCCGAAGAAGATCATATCGATACCCCATACAGAGTACAAAACTCTACAGTGCCTGGATTGTCGATCCCTGCGATCCTTGTGGGGACTGACTTTGCGGAGACTAATCTACTTTAGGCTCGGCCCTGCAGCCCGAAGCGTTCCCGAGTCTGAAGATTGAAGTCAAGTTTGGAATTTGGAAAAAAAAGGTGCTCGGCATTCAACGGAGATGCCGCTGAAAAAGTCAAAAAGTTTTCACGTATATTGTGTGAGATGTAAAGACATAATGGGTAAACATCAGGGCAATTTCACGGTCGATCTCAGGCTGAATTGAGCATTCCAGGCTTTTGGATGGATGACGCAAGGGTCAGCTGCTTGATTTCCAAGTGTCTTCTGCATTCTTCACTATTCACTATCGGCGATTATGACGAGGCAGCAATCATGCCGCTTGGGCAATTTCCTGGGGAGACCAGGCCACGTCAGCACTTCAGGTGTGCAGCATAATGTAGAATTGCTCAAAGCCCCCAGGAGACTTGACTGGACTAAGGCGAAAAATATCGTCCGTACAAACTTCCATGCGTATGTTATAGGCCTCACAAGGTAGGAAATCTATGCTGTCGCGGGAACCCAACATTTGAATCTTTAAGTCTCCGATATCAGGTAATTGGAATTTTATGTGATTCTCTAGGAATGACTGCTCATGCTTCGATACATTCATCAATGATTTCGCTGTCTGGTTGCAAAGGTAAGCTAGTCCAACAGGTCCACCAGTCACTCTGTTTGTGCACCCTGGGCCAAATCTCGTGAAGAACAGATGTAACTCCATCGGAGAGAAAGAGCTCTCCATCACGGATGACATCAGCCACAATGGTCTCATTTCTCGCTCGTTTTACCTCCCATGCCCTTTTCCCAATTTGTTCTATGGCCGGAAATCCAGGTTTCTCAAGGTTATAATGCGTGAGTAAATATGATCGTGCACAACAGAAGAGCAAATAACGCTCATCGGGAGCAAAACGTTGGTTTCCGAATGGGAGAAGGCGTAGGTCTTTCAAACTGGAATTCCTAATTTTGATCATGTTCCAAATCTGGAGAGCCAAGTTTTCATCCATGGCCGCATTTATGAACGTTTGTCGGAGGACGTCGAGATCTTTTGTTACATGACTGCCCATTGGTGGTATCTTTGGCCGAGCATCAAAGTCTAGATCCAGAAATATTCTTTGGAGATTGCGGAAATTGCCAAAAGCTTTGTACATCTCGCACTCTGCTTGATTACCTCCAGACCTTGGGACCTGAAAACGCAATTCTTCCAAGTTCGGGCAACGAATCGCCATTTCATGGAGCTCGGAAGAATCAAGCCTCGGGTACTCGTGGAGCTTGCCGGCGGCCGGCACTAGTGCTAGTCCCTTCAATGACGGACCATGGTGTTGAATGATCCTTTCCAAGCTTTCGACACTACGGAGGCCCCTAATGTAAAGATATCTCAAAGGGCGGACGGCCAGTATCCCAGCAATTGATTCTTCAATGTCAGTCTTGATAACAACGGGCGGATTCCGGTGGATAAGATCAATGAATAGTCTCTCAAGATTTGGAAATAGCCCAGCAGTTCTGGCTAGACTTGCTGGATCGATAATCCAACCAATATCCAATGTGCGAAGTTGAGAAAGATTTCCGGCGGCGGCTAATTCGTGAAGAAAACCTCCTTGAATTCCGTTGGTGTCGACTGAGAGGGATTCCAGCTGGGTTATTGGCTTAGGATAATTTGTATCAAGCAAGCTTTGCCATGTCGCTCGCATCATTTCGAGGCTGGATGTATTTAAATTCTGATTGCTCTCAAAACAAAGGTGCTTCAACCCCGGGCTAGTGAATAAGAAAGGAAAGACCTCGCTAAGCTCCTGATATCCCTTCGGTCGCTTGGAATCTCGAGGAAGAGACATGACCAGTGTGTGAAGGCCCGGCAGCTGGAGGGTATCCATATCGAACTCACAGCCCCCCATAACCTTGTTCCAGACTTCTGGATTTGGTAGGTTGTATCCAACTTCTTGTCTGTTGAGGATATTGATCTCGCAATAAGGGTGATGGCGTGAAAAGGCTTGCATCAGGCTGGTAGTGAAGTCGCTGCACGCGACAAAGTTGAATTGTTCAAGGCGGTCTAAGTTAGCGATGAGTGACACAACCGGTGCCCAGTTTCGGGTTTTGCGAAGGGCCCTGCGACTCGGAACATTCGAAAATATGACTCCGCCACTTGGCGAGAAGCAAGAGGTCATATAATGCTCCAAAAAGCCTTTTCGCGTCGCCGGCTTGTGCTCGGTTGCTTTTCTAATCGCCCATGGCTCCGACTCCCATCCTTGGACTTGCTCGGTTCCACAGTCTTCTGGTAAGTCCATGCACACAACGGATAGCTTCCTGGCATATTTCTTGAAATAGCTTCCCCGGGGAGCTTCTTTCACCTGTGATAATGCAGCCTCCAGGGTCTGGATGTCCCTGAATTTAAGGATAAGATTTCGATAAAGGATAGGGATTGCCACCTGATTGCAGATATGGTTGACTTGGCTAAAAGAGGACAGATCTTTGGGTGGACAGTATGCAGGTCCCTCGAGCTAATCCTGATCAGCATGGGAAATAACATGGATTAGCATGATCCCTGAACGCCAATTAGTGACATACGTTGAGGCATATTTGCTGTAAAATTTCGTTCGGAAGGCGATTCATCATTTCCAAGGCTCCAAATCGGCATTAATGTCTGTAAACATTTGCAATCTTGAGCAAACAAGGTTAAAGGGGTCCCGCCTCGGCGCCAAGACAACTTTTGAACTGAAAATTGTGAATGAGTCGCGATTGCTACGAGTAGCAGGGTTATCTCCAATCGTCGACATCGCTCATGATAACAGTGATCTAATTTTCGAATACTACCCTTTTTGTCTCACGGTTGGTCAGACTGAAAGTCTCTATGAAAGTGGCTTATCACACTTATGTGGCTTTCCGAATCCCTGTACCTACCCGTAGCCCCTACGACGTAACGCACGAGGAAGTTCGCGCGTATACATTGGGCACCAGTGAAAGTATTGGGCAGAAACATAAGAAGGGCGGCGGGTCCCATCTTTGTCTTTCAACCAGAGCCTTTTGTCTCAATGCAAGATGAAGCTTGGATTTCGATACAGTTTTCCGTTCTGAATATGGCAACTTCGGCTCGCTTTTCCTGTCCTGGATGCAAGAGAAAGAACTTTAGGAGTGTGATTGACGTCAAAGATCACTTTGTAAAGAAATCCCACTCTTTGAATTGCCCCATATGTCAGAGGGTCTTCAAAGATGAGCTTGGGGTTATACAGCATTATCAACAGTCTAGATGTGCTTCAACAAGTATCCCGAAGATGACTCAAAAATTATCACCACCAGCTTCGTTCTCAAGAGATATCCATGCACATTCTTCCGAGGTGGCGGCGAAACTTTCAGAACATGAAATGAAAATTTCCGATGATCATTGTTCATCCAGCTTCTTGCCTCATGTGCCGCCGACGGATTTCGAAGAGAGTCCCGTCCAAGGTACTTGACCCAAAATTCTAATCACTGTCCCATCCTAGACTTACATTCAATGTCACAGAAGCTCTGCCAAGAGTGAATATTGGCGTTTTAAATTTCCCGACCATTATAGATCCCTTAGAGCAGTGTCGCATATTAGAATATTTGCATTCAAAGCGTCATTCATGGAACCGTCTTCGGACCGAAAAATACATACTGGAACCTGGAAACACAAGAAATAACCAGCGTTCTCTCAAAGGTTGCATTCCAGTCCATGAATTTCGGAAAACCTCTCATGCAGATCGACAAAGAGGGGGTTTTTGTCAGGCTATCGCTATTGACTGCGAGATGGTCGGAGTGAGAAAGAAGCGCCAAGTACTTGCGTTTCTTAGCGTTGTTGATCTTTTGACAGGCAAAATACTTATAAGTCGCTATGTCGTTCCTTCGGAAGAGGTAGTTGACTGGAGGTCGGAATTCAGTGGTATAACAAAAGATACCATGAACAGTGCAATATTATCTGGAGCAGTATTTAGTGGTTGGCTAGAGGCGCGCGATAAATTATGGGAGCTTATGGACGACTCTACTATACTAGTAGGCCAGTCTCTCAAATTTGACCTCGAAGTTCTAGGCATCTGCCATGCGAATATTGTTGACACCGCCATTCTGACTGCCGAGGCCGTGTTCCCTTCCATTATCCCTACCAAGCCGTTACCCCGTATGTGGAGCCTGAAGAGCCTTGCGAAGGACTTTTTAAGCTTGGAGATACAGAACAGCAATATTGGTCATAGCGCTCTAGAAGACGCATATGCAGCACGGGAAATAGCCATCTGGTGTAGCAGAAACCCAGAGGGACTGAAATTGTGGGCAGAAAAGGCTCGACGCCGAGAGAAAGAATCTAAGCTCAAAAAGAAGCCGCAAAGTCATCGCAAAGGCAGCTCCAAGGGAGATTTGCCTGTCTCTCAGTCTAGTCGAGTTCAAGAACATGACACTGCATATTACGAATACTATGATGATTTTCGATTATCCGATCTTGCGGAGGAACTCGGATGGCCGGAGGGTTGGGATCCTTGGTCCGATTGATTTAGGATAATACCTGGCCTGTTCACATCCAGATCCCTGAACTATCATGCGCTAGTTACTGAGTAGCTTTCGACTTTTCGTTTTGATTGATCTCACTGAAGATGTTTGTTCTTGTATCTCGGACTCATTGCTGGACTTCATAGTTAGCTCATGTACCTTTCTAATTTATGCGATATCCATGAAACCTTTGTGAAAAAAAGAAAAAGAAACCTGTAAAGTGCATTCGGAAAAGCTTCCATGGTGACATATGATTGCAAATTATTTTTTCTTGCGCGAGCTTTCTCTTCATTGGCCGTTCGTATGTTCTATGCAACGATACGTAGTTTTGAAATTCCATTTTACGAATACCTGCCAATTCGAACATAACCTTGTAAACACTTGGAGTACTTAAGTGCTCGAATATGTGTGTCAATTGTGCACTTAAGAGTTGAAACAACTTGCAGTCCTCGTCACAAATGATGACTACTTACAAGATCCTTGTCCTCTGCTGATTACAACATCGCACGTGCATTCTTCGTCTTTTTTATATAAATTTACCATGTCTCGGGACGCGCCCCGAGGCCTTGGGCGGTTAGGCATACTAATTACCAGAGTACACAATCCATTGGTTCCATACTAGAGCTACAGGTGCTACTAAAAGCTGATTTCCTGGCGCTAACTGGAACTTTGTTCACCCCAATCACGGTATGTTACAAATGCAAAAGAAACACCCAATGAAATTCAAATATTGAATCAGAAACCCGATAACCATCTTTTACCAATAACAATTTCTTTGTTTGAAATCCGACTCGATTTATCCCAAATAGCCGCCCAGGCCTCACTTGGGCAAGTGATAGTATGGTATTCACAGACTTCTTGTCACCATATACCTATGGATTCAGATATGACTCCACTCACAAAACAAAAGTATTCAGGCGCAAAATGGGGGCATTTAGGACATTGAGTCCATCCACCCGAATGGACTGAAAAATAAAACTGAAATATAAAATACAATACATTTTCCATATCAACTAGATAAAACAAAAACAAAAACATAAAAACATACAACAGTCAGGATTCGCATGTGGTCACCCACCATACTACTAACTGACCGGCGTGTGGCTTAAGTACGGCTGAGCGGACGGGAAGCCCTGTTCTCCACACCCTGTGGTCGTATGTGCTGGTAATAGGATGAGGAATACCTATAACTGAATATATCTGGTGATGGACTTGACCCCAAGCCTGATTTTGAAAGCTATAATGTTACTGTAGAGAATATGCCGGTCACACTCCGAGGATCAGTAGTCTAAACAATTGACTAATGTCAATGTGTCTTTCGTAACCGATATAATACGAATATAGTAGACTCAGCGATCCTTATCGTATTAATATTGGAAATAAAGAGGATGAATAAAAAGAATTTAGTCTTGCCGTACGCTTGGGAGAATTTTCCAGCCGCAGCGAATGCTAGATGTATGGGGCTTGATCGGGGGTCTGATTCCGAGCTACCGCGAAGGTGGGTTACAAGTCCCTGTCTTTTGGTCTATATATTCCCACCCGGCTGAATCTTACTCTGTTTAGTCTGTTTCCTTACCTAGAACAACTGGTGTCGCGAATAGATCGATCTCGCGAGCAAAATGAGTCAAATACAACGATCAGCTCTACCTTGCAAGGCCAGAGCTACGGGGATCAACTCAAACAACGGCAACGGAAATAGTACCTAATATAGAAACGGCATTTGAGAGAGATTCAGTTGTCGATCTTGACAACTTAGCGTCGTCTACAACCAAAGGAAGCGCCCCCGTGGCTTCCGTCAATATGGAGACGCAGTACCCTTTACTATACTACGCATCTTTCTTCATGGATGCAGAGCTTCTTTTTCCACTTGCGTTTCAGAATAGACGCGGCTTTAACATTCCTTGTTCCCATGATGGTGGATAATCTACCCAACTACCCGGAGAGGTTGTCGAAAAATTGATAAATTTGTATCTTGACAGAATACTGCCCCAGTACCCAATTTCCTCCGGGCATGAGATCGGCGACATGTTTGAACGCTTCAAAATGTCTTGTGACGGGATCTCGTCTTGATAAACGAGGAAGGGTTCATGGTTTATATGCGTCTCGCAATCACTACTCTTTCTTGCAAAAGCAAAGATTATCGTAAGCTGGTTGCGGTTGCCGAACTTTGCGCCGCGATGCTTTCTCGTGTCTGGACCTTTCTACCACCTTCAACAATGAGACCTCTACCCTCATCAACCATTTGCTGTGGCAGAAGACCAAATTAATTTGCCTTTCCCGTCTCAAAATAGCCCGATTATTTTCGAGAAAGAATATGAATTTGAGTCGGATACAAGTTTGAATCAGATGCCACATATAAGATTCACGGATCGATTCCAATTCCTCAAGATACAGTCTGAAATATGCTCTGTAAATATTGGAAGGCGTCCAATCTCCGATTCTCGATTAGGTTACGAGGATTGGTGCATCGATATGGAAAACAGGATCTCCACAGCCCAAGCATGCTCTGCGACTCCAAAATGGTGCAAGTTCATTGAACTCCATTCAACATTGCTACTCAACATGCCATGTATTCGAAATGCAAATCAAAATGAAAGCCAGGTATTGGAATACTTTTTAGCGGCCGTTCAAATTGTGAATTTGTATTGGAGTATTTGCGAGTCGGAGGATGTGAACTATCCATGGCACGCAGCACACCATTCATATGAAGCGGGTAACTTGTTACTTTATGGTATTTGGCATTATCGCGACTTGATCTCGACGCACTATTCAAGGTCCCGGATCTTTGAGACTGTTCAAAGAGTGTCTAGCATTTTTGTAAGTCAATAATTCCTGGTTCTTGCAAAATTGATTCCTAAGACCGTTCAGATTTTTATAGAAAAGCAATGGCTATCAGCGTGTCATTGTGGCTTATTATTTGATCAAATGCGAATGAGCACTTGGAGCTTTTTGGTAGAGGATAACCCTCCAGATCCCGAGTCAAGAATAGAGGCCAGACAGTTAAATGATTTGGTATTTAGGGAGAACGCAGACTCCCTGTATGCGCAAGAATACTTCTCCACTGGAGTCAGACAACAGTTGCCTGAAATCCAGGTTCCAGGTTTTGATTTAGATGGCCTCTCGCTGGATCAAGCCACGGGATTCCTTCAACTTTTCAACAATTCTACCACGATCATTACCGATATTCCCCAGAATATAATCATCAACGGCCAGCAAATGACGACTCGTATCTCCCTATCTGGTCTCAGTCCAGGCATCAATAGCCCCGAAAGCAGAAATCCCGTGGATACGCCCATTGACGAATCAAAGCTGGGAAAGGCAATGACCAAACTTCCTGTCTGCTCTCGTTGTAAAAGCAACAGGATAAAACGCGATGTTAATCTACCTGCTTGTCATCGTTGTCTCAGGTCTGGTCATGATCGTTACTACTGGGATTACGTTATAGGGAAGGATATCGCCAGAAAGTACGAACCTAGTACGCCTATTTTGAATCCATTCATCGTAGCTGACACCGTGACTAGAGAAATCCATATTTTGAAGAAGCAAATATCACTAGGTCTGAAAACCGATCACATATCACGTCTCTCATGTGGGTCTAATTCAATTGCCGAGTCAGCATCACTCGGGATTGTAGACTCCGTGGCAACTGTGACCAACTTTGGTCATCGTGACCTGTCTTCAAAAGTCTTATGTCCTTCGCCTTACACCTCTGCTTAATCTATTGATGCGATTTTCCTCGGCATCACAAGCATCTACTCTCGGTTGGCAAGCCGGCACAATGCTTTGCATATATTACCAAACGAGCCTCCTGGAACATCCTCACATCCTGAATCCCCTTATCTTCAGAGTTTATCCAGATCACCTCTACCTAGTCAGAGCGTGATGATGCTTCGGGCAGAGGCTCAAGGTTTGGTTTGGTATTATTATAAATCCGTTGAACTGATATATCCAATCCTGGGGCCAGATCTGATACAATCAACTATCAATTCTGCTTATGATTCAGACATGGAAACATGTGACAATGAGCTGGCTGGATTACATCTCAGCTTAATGATTTCGATCGCCTTGATTTTGATGAGCCACAAGATCGGCGCATGCAGGTGATTGCAGAAGCTTATTTCCGCCAGGCGATCTCCAATGGGCTAAATCCAGATTTTTTTTGCGCGGCCAAAAGTTAATTCATTGCAAATAATGCTTCTGTTGTGCATTTATGTTTTGCTGTGTCCGAATGTTACGAATATCTGGAGACTCTTGGGTCATGCGACGCGAATGGGCTTAGATGTGATTGAGGTTCATGGATCTGGTAAAGCAAATTTCGCCAATGTGAGCTTTCTGTACCAAACCCTTTTTACACTGGGAACACAAATCTCCGTATCTTTTGAAAGGCCACACCAACTACCTGACAGACCAGAACCAGTTTCGTTGGAAGACTCCTCTTTCGGCGTGAAAAATGAGGTCACATCATGTTATATTCTTTGGTGCAGATTCAGAATCGTCTTTATCGAGGAATAGCGGGTAATCGCCAACTTACTGTTTCCAACAGTTCCATTTACACTGACTTTGAGTGGATAAATACATGTGCGCAAGACATTCAACAATGGTTTGTGGACTGGAATACACTTCTAGACTGCCTCGCCGATCTATCCAGAGGAAGAGCAAAATCAAACAAACAGCTCATTACGCTATTATGGCGAGCTGCAACAGGGCGAGACTTTGCTTCTTGCAAAATTGACTGCTGATCATCAAGATCCACCCCTCGATTCTTTACAAGAGAGTTCAGTCGGGAGGCAGATTCTTCGTGCTGCTTGCGGTCTATACCAGATCTCTAACTCACCTGTAAAAGCGTCATTAGCGTGTGTGCCTCGTTCCGTGTTTCCGATGACCTGGACCTGCGCGCATGGGATTTTTAATTCCATGGATGTGGTATTGCAGGATAGTTCAGAAGACAGTGCTACCTACGAGGAGGTGTCGGTTTGGATGCAAAAGAGCGTTGAAATGCTGAAGTTTGTAGATGATGGCATGCAATTGAGAACTGCTTGGCTTGTGGGCTACCTACAAACCATATTCCGCTCCAAGTATTCAACAGCATGATCATATCAAACTAGTCAATTTTATCAGACTTAGGCTTCATGTCAGCAATCGACTGATTCTTTTCAATTCCATTGAGTGTCCAATTTGATGCATGAAAATTAATTTCCTAATATGTTAAGTTATTTTCAGCTATTGTAGTGAATAATAGTTTCCATTCCAAGAGCATATACGGTGTGGTCTATAATGCGAGCGAGATGCGGCTATTGGCGCTTAATAGACGCCCTCCTCACGAGTAGGATAGGATCCCTTAAATAAAAGGAAAGCGAAACAAAAATAAAAAACATACAACAGTCAGGATTCGCATGTGGTCACCCACCATACTACTAACTGACCGGCGTGTGGCTTAAGTACGGCTGAGCGGACGGGAAGCCCTGTTCTCCACACCCTGTGGTCGTATGTGCTAGAAAGAGCAAAGACATGGCTTATATCAGTAATCTTCAAGGCCTTTGACAGGTGAATCCTCTCAGTTGCCAGCTCAGCCTAGACCTGTGCACATCCCATGGGAATTCCTACTTACTTAAGTCCCATGGGAGTACTCTAACTATAAATAATCTAGTGTATAATCCGATCTAACCTAAATAAGTAATTTTTTATATTCTACACAACGTTTGTAAATATATATATCTGTCTGTAAGGTTCCTACACCACCACTTTTATATATATTTTACTTAAAATTTAATATATTATTAAATAACTTATTTTATTCTAATTTTTATATATATATATATATTTTTTTTAAAATAGTAAGAAACAAAAAAGTCTTGGCACAATTCATAATATTATACAATTTTATGACTTCTCATGGGACTCCCATGGGAGTGCTTAGTCCCATGGGTCCCATATGCACCTGAGCCTCAGCCTCATGCTAGTGCTAGTCATCTTGGCGTAGTCTCCGATTGGTTGATCTGGGTGGCCACGCGCTCGGACGTGGGGGAACACGCGAACAACCTACCGAATCTTCCCTAAAACCAGTTGCATCATACCAACCTTGAATCTCATAGTTGTTCTTGTTTAGAATTACCATTAAATATTTGTTTCATGAAGGAATTGCAATTTTTTCCTCCCAAATTTCTCTCCGACTCCAGGATGTATCTGTATGGGGACCTGTCGCGCTATCCAGGGGAGGTAGGTAGAACAAGGTATGCCTTCAAATTATTTCATCTCTTGGATTCAAATATTGTGTTGCTTTTGGATAGAACGATGTTCAGGAAGTAGTTTGGTCAACAGGTTAAAAAACCTAGCGTACATTGTACATAAGTTACGCAGTCACTCCGACGCACTGCTCCATGTGCCTGAGCGAGTGTTATTTGTGGCTACTAGTACTACTACTATTCAAGTTATACTAGTAGTCATATTAGAAATATATATTAAGTTCTACGACTCTGAGTCTACCTCTAATATAGTTTTTATCATGATTTTTACCCTGATTTTTAACGCCATTTTTAACGCGGTTTCCGACATGTTTTTCAATATGTTTTTATTGATATGGCTATTTCGACGTGGTTTTCGACATGTTTTCCTGTCTCAATTTTGATCGCCGTGGAGCAGTTTCAACATTCCCTTGGCGGCATGCTCTCCGAGCGCATCCAAGGAGCCCATCCCTAACATTTCCAGAACACTGATATCGAATTCAAAATTCTGTCTCCACCACTGTCTGACTTCAATGGCGACCAAGGAGTCCATGCCCAGCTCGCCGAGGGAACACCAAGTCACCAGGTCCTCTTCAGGCTTTATTAAAAAGCTGAAAAGTTTCTTACCAATTTCCACAGCGAGAAAATGAGCGGAATCGACATTAGTCAACAGAGCGGCATTTTGCTTAGCAGAGATGATAAATGACTTCAAACCGTCGCTGATGGGTGCGCCTGTTGTTGATCCGGTGCCTTCTCCGTTATGGAAGACTCCCATGCGAGAATCCTTTTTCCAAGGTAGTCGATTGTTCGGGTCGCTGAGAGGAATGTCCGTGCGCAAGCCTAAGCAAATATTGTTGTTGATCAGTGCGCTCGCCATCGCCTCCTTGCTTGGCTTGGATTTCATGGCTAGCTCCAACGCGGTAAGAACTTCCGCCTCCGACACAGCGGATGGGAGGGCACCGGATGCCTTCAGTTGTTGCTTAATTCCATCATTTTCGGCCAGAAAGCCGACTCCCTCAACAGCTCCAACTTGTATGGCACAAGCTGGGAGTCCCTGATTCAATCGGTATTGAGAAAATGCGTCTAGAAATGTGTTTGCCCCAGCGTAGTTTGTTTGACCGGGCTGTCCACAGACTCCAGAAATGGAGCTAAACATGACAAAGAACTCAAGATCACATTTGGCGCCCATAGTCGCGTTGTGGAGATTCCATGTGCCCCGGACCTTTGGATCAACAGCATAGTTCCATGCATTTGTTGTCATTCGATCAAGAGTTTGATTGTCCAGTGCCATGCACATCTGCAGGATGCCTTTCAATCGTCCTTCGGAGCGCGTGACTGCTGTAATGACATCTCTCAGACTTGACACATCGCCCCGAACGAAGTCAACATGGCAGCCCATACTCGATAGCTCTTGAGCAAACTCGCAGTGGGAAAGTTTTGTGCCAGCACTAGGAGACATGTGAATAAGGTGACGGGCTCCACGCGCAGCCATCCACGTGGAAACGGAGCGACCAATGCCTCCGAGGCCTCCGATCAACAAGTACACGCCTGACTTGTCAAAAGAAGTAATGGCTTCCTGTGGCTGGATATTGGCATGTACGTTGATATCTCCAGTCAAGTCCCGCATCGCCACAACAATCTTACCGAGATGCACACCCTGCTGCATGTATCGGAAGGCATCCAACGTGACGTCACCTTTGAATATCTTGACTGGTCTAATAGGATGAATGTAGCGCTCCCTGAGTAGATGTGCGGTCTCCTTGAGCAGTCTTCAAAGGAAAATTAGCAAAAAAACGTGAAGCGGGCGTCAAGTCAACTTACCTCTTTGCGATCTTCGGCTTTTTGCGACAAATGTGATCCAAATCAACGCAGGAGTAACTTCTATTTGGCATGAAATGCACCATGTCTAGTTTTCCAAAGCCTATCGCGTCCCGCTTGCTGATGTCAACCATTTTACCGAATTCGGCGATGCAGGACCATGTCGCGTGGAGCAGCTCCCCAGATAGCGAGTTTAATGCCAAATCCACACCCTCCCCATCGGTCGCCCCAAGAATAGCATTCGCAAATGAGGTGTCTCTGGAGCTAAAAATTCTGCTCGGTGACAGCCCGTACCTGTCAACGAGGAAGCGGATTTTCTCTTCACTTCCTACTGTCGCGTAGATCTCAGCACCGATCATCTGTGCCAGCTGAATAGCCGCAATGCCGACGCCGCCACAGGCACTATGGATGAGAATTGACTGGAAAATGCATCAGCAATGATTCACACCCATAACTGGGTCAGGAATCTCTTGAACTTACCTGTTCCTTTCGTAAATTGCCAACCTCCATAATCGAATGCACCGCCGTTGCAAACACACATGGCATGGTCGCGGCGTCTTCGAAGCTAAGACCAGAGGGTATGCGTTCACAGACGTATTCGGAAACAATAACACTTGTGCTAAAACAGATGGATGACAGAATCATCACACGGTCACCCACTTCGAGATCCGCTACACTCGGACCAGTGCGGCGAACGATTCCAGCAGCCTCAAGGCCAAACCCATTTTCTTGGCTCTCAACAATATCCATAGCGCAGAGAACATCCTATGGTAATATTTAGCTCATGAAAGTACTGTATTTTCAACTAATTACACTTACCTTGAAGTTCAATCCTGTCGCGTACACTTCAACCTCGACATCATTCCCCTCTAGTGTTCGCGTCTCTTGATTTGACCAGTGTAGAGAGTCCAGTCTGCCAGGCTTACTAGTGCGAAGGGTGATATTATCATACGGTGCAGATGTAAGCAGCTCCTCCTTCGGTTTGAAAGAATGGAACCGCCCAACATGAACGACGTCATCCAAAATCACGTATTCATAGTCTGGCTTCAAATCTTCCTCATCCAGACGCAACGCATACTTTTGAAACACATCGACGATTCTTCCAGCGGAAATACTGATATTATCGACCTCGCAGGTCCCGAATTCCACCAGTGTCTCAAGTCGAATAGACCTGGCAATGCCGTTTATCTGGGCAAATTGCGGATCCTTACATTGGATTTGCGAAAGCCCCGTGACCCAAAGTAGTCTGGAATCTTTCAGCCCATCCACCATTTTCTTGAATGAATCCAAATGCCAACTATCCATATCGGTAAAGAAAGAGACACCGTCATCCAACACTGCTATCACATCTTGCCTAGGAGGGAGAGGGAGTTCACTCAGTTCACGGTAGTCGACGCTGTAGCCTCTTCGCTCAAGCCTCTCTTGCAGGAGATTTGTGCTGTTTGACTTGGATATGGCTACCAACGTGACACGCTTTTCACAAAAGTCTTGAATGTCTTGCCGAGCAACGATAACAGCGCCAAGCTGACATGGCTCCTCCGCATCGTAGACCACTGCATCTGGAGAGCGGAACCCGGCTGCCGCCAACTCCTTATGCCATTGTTCCCCGCTTATATATGGCTCATCTGTCCTTCCATCACTCTCACCGCACCACCAACCCGGGAGGACTCCCCAGATGTAGTTGACCCACTTTCGGGTAGGTGTCAACTCAATCAAAATGAAATGACCACTGGGCTTAAGCAGCTTCCGCACGTTACGGAGAGATTCATTGAGACATGGGGTAGCGTGAATTACATTGGAAGCAATGATTAGGTCGTAGTTGCGACCGACAAAGCCTTGCTCTGAAGGGTCTTTGGTGATGTCCAGGGTGGCATATTCGATCGATGGATACACGCTGAATCGCCCCTTGGCGGGTGGGAAAAATCCCGGGGAAATATCGGTAAATGTGTACTTCGAGTACAAAGTTCGTTCACCATCCTTCAGATGGTTGAGGATACTCGCTGTGGTACCACCAGTACCAGCGCCGATCTCGAGGATACTCATGTTTGGCTTCCGGTGCGCCAAATGCTTGAGAAGCTGCGATGTATCGCATTGATCCATTTCCGTATAAAGGTTGGTTAGAGTCTCATCAGCAAGAAGAACATCAAGAGCTTCTACCTCGCCAGTGAAGATCTGGGGAATTTGCTTGAAAACTTTTCGTATCGCCGTTGATGGAACCCATGCCTTCGTTCCCCTCAGGCTCTCAACCAAGGAATCGATGCGATATTCAATGAGCTCACTTTCGAGCTCTTCAAGGCGTGGAATGTTGGAAGACTGAAGTTGATGGTCAATCCATGCTCGGTATTTTTGCATGTGAGGAAGTGGAGTGTCCAGGCTTCCGACTGTGCGTCTAGAGTGAATCATGCAAAGCTGACACAGTTCCGTGATCATGTCCGTATTTGGTTTGCGGTCATGCTCCGGTGTCTTGATCAAGCTCGCCACATCTATAAAGTCGATATGGGGTCCCCATTCTAATCTCGCAAAGCCGTCCCGGCTCTCTTCAGGAGCATCCTGAACACAAGAGAGTCTGACGCCGGATGATCGCAAGACGACCTTTCCTTCACTAGTACTAAAGCATTCTCCTTTTCCAATCACAGAGCCATTTGGTGTGTTTTCTGCGGACATGTGGAGGTGAAGGTCTTCACAACAGCGGAGGATACTAATTTCCTCAATTCTCGTAGGTATCATCATCCGAGCTGCAGCATTCGCGTAACCTTTCATTGCAGCGACACTGAATAGCTGCAAGGAAGCATCAATAATACTGGGGTGTAAGTGGTACTCTTGGGTATCATAGTCCCTTGTAGCGATCTGGGCAGTTGCCTCTTGTTTGGTCGTGGCGGTACGGACCTCCGCGAGGCGCTGGAACATTGGCCCGTAATTGAGTCCAGCCTGTGCCATGGCAGTGTAGCAGCGAGCAGAGGGCACTTTTCGAGGTAAATGAGGTGTGTTACACATCGGGGACAGCTCAGATTCGAGAGGCCTCGCTTCTCCAAAGCAGTGCTTTGTCCAATTTGCTCCATTGTGGGACGCAATGCTAAACTCCCACCAGTCAGTGTCTGTGGACTCTGTCAAGCGGTGTCGACGCATTGTCGTTATCATCTCAACTGGGACTCCATTGTCTTGGAGGACAAGGGCAGTGCTGATAACTGCTCTGCGTATCGTGAATCCGTGTCCAGACCCATCCAGCTGTCTCATGGCCTCTCCAACCATCTCAGCATATCCTGCAAATGGGAACAGGATATCAGTACCAATCTTGTGGTCGCGTATCCAAGGGGCATTATCCATGTGGAATAGATTTCGGAAAGAGACATCGAGATCGGTGCTCTCTGCGACACGCATTCCGAGAAGATTATGGTGCTTGTAGGAAGGATTTCTCCATTGTTTGGTCAGCCTCGATTCGTACCAATATCTCTTCGAGTGGTCCCATGGGTATCTTGGAAGGTCGGCAAGAGTCGATCCACTGCTGATCACTTTGTCCAAATGCACCGGATATCTTAGGGAATGCAGCTTGCCAACTGATCCCAACACGGCCTCAACGTCATTCTTACTACGAAGAAGTGTCGACACATAAGGTGATGTATCCAAAGTCTCGGATTGAATCTGCTGAAGTGGTCCTTGGAGAGCTGTATGGGGCCCGACTTCCATGAAAACTAGGTTCTTCGCAACCTCGTGTCGGAGAAGGGATAGCACGGCTGAGCGAAACAAGACGGGAGATTCCAAGTTCTTCTGCCAGTATTGAGGGCCAAGAATCGTTTCCTGCATGATCTGACCATCTTCAACACTGCTGAAGAACAATTTTTGAGGTGCCTTGGCGGATATGTTTTGGATAAGCGTGTGGTAATGAGCGCCAATCTCAGCCATGTGGTGAGAATGGTATGCCTTGTCCACCATGAGTAATCTTGCTAATATGTCGGGGTGATCTTCCTTGATCTTCGTAACTGCACCTTCAACAACCTCGGTGTCACCAGATATGGTAACGCTTCTGGGCGAGTTCTCGCATGCAACACTCACCCCTGGCTGGAGGTAGCGGTCGACATCTTTGGCGCCCATCCCAATAGCTGCCATAGACCCGGACTTGCTTTGTAGTCGAGTCACGTAGCCGCGATAAAAGGCAATCTCAATTGCGTCACACGCTTCAATAGCACCAGCAGTATAAGCAGCGGCGATCTCACCACTTGAATGGCCTATGACTGCGGTAGGCTCAACTCCAATCGAAGCAAATGTGTCCACCAGCGCAATTTGGACGGCTGTGCAAAGTGGCTGAGAAATTTCTGCCGAGCTTAACCTGCTCGTCTTATCTGGCTTCTGGAGCTCGTCCTCAATAGACCAGCTTGGTGAGTGAGGAAGAGTTTGTAAATGAGCATCAAGGGATCGAATGGTCTGTTGGAAGGTCACGAAGGTATTGCAACAAAACATGCAGCGACCCATTTCCGCCCATTGCGCACCTTGACCTGTGAATACCATTGCGAGATTTGGTTTTTCATTTTGTTTGAATGTCACCGAAGATGTAGGACCTTGGAAGAGGTCTACCACAGTGTAGGCGCGATGAGGCAAATGCTCTCTCTTGTTCGCCAAGGTGAACGCTAAGTCAGTGACGCGATCAGGATATCTCAGTATATACTGTTCGTAGTTTGCAATTATTTTCTTCAGTGATTCGGCGGTTGTTGCAGAGTAGACGAGAAGTTGAGGTGTTTTAGTAGGCCGTAGTTCAGCAGAGGAAATCCCGAAGCTCCTTGCCGAATCGAGGACAACATGAGCATTACTTCCTCCAATACCGAACGAGTTGACACTTATTCGCTCACTTCTTGACTTTGGCCATGAAATTGCCTCTGTCGGCACGGAAAGATGAGAAGCTTCCCATGGGATGGCGGGGTTGGGATTGTCGCAGTGAAGGGAAGGAGGAATTATTCGATTTTCCAAAGCCAGAACTGATTTTATCACAGATGCTAAGCCCGAAGCACCTTCTGAGTGACCAAGATTTGATTTGACCGAGCCGATCATGACTCCACCGTGAGGACCGAAAACTCGTCCAACCGCACTCGCTTCGATCGGATCTCCAACTGGTGTACCTGTGCCGTGGCATTCCACATACGCGGTTTGAGAGAAATCGGTGATTCCAGCAGATTGATATGTGTGCCTCATCAATTTCTCTTGAGCAAGCGCATCGGGTACTTGCATTCCACCGGTTCCTCTTCCATCGCTATTTGTCGCAATTGCTCTGATGACTGCCCTTACTGGGTTGCCATCGCGCAGCGCGTCCTCGAGGGGTTTGACGAAGATTGCGGAAATAGCTTCTCCTCGCGCATATCCGTTTGCGTCCGCTGAAAATGCCTTGCAACGTCCATCGGGGGACAGTACGCCTTGCTCTGACATGGCTGTAGTCATACCGGGGCCCAATATTAAATTTGCGCCGCCGACGATGGCGCTTTCGCAGTCGCCTTTTGCAACTGCGGAACATGCTTCGTTGAGTGCAACAAGAGATGCAGAGCATGCGGTTCGTACAGTGACGCTTATAAAACGTGTGTCAGTCAATACTATCCGAGCTAGAAAGATGTATGTCTTGTTACTGACTTACCTAGGTCCAGCCAAATCCATTTCATATGATACACGGTTTGCCAACGCAAAATCTCCATATCCACTCACACGATGGAGTCCATATTGCTGATTCTCCTTTGCGAAAGCTTCCACCCAGTCCTCACCAAAACTGCCCATATAGCAGCCGATTGATCTTCCTCTCCAGTTGGTCACACCTGCATCCTCCATACATTCTCGGGCAACCTCTAGCATCTGCCTTTGGTGTGGGTCCATTCTTTCTACCTCCGCCTTTCCCATGTTAAATAACGACGTATCGATGCTGGCGATATCAATACTCTCGTCGAGAAAATACCCATTTTCTGTCTTTGTAGTATTAGGCTTTGTTGTATTGGAAAAGTATGCAGACAAGTTATATCTGGCCTTTGGTACCGGGCCACGTGCATCCCGCTTGTCAAGCAGAAAGTCCCATAATTGTTGAGGGGAATGAATGCCACCCGGTAGTCGTACTGACATACCGCATATTGCAATTGGGACTGAGGACAGAGGGGCTCTTTGAGACTGTGGAGCGGCGATAGAAGGGCTTGCTCTATTCATGGGTGGGTTTGCAGTGGACATTATGGGGGCATTTCCACCTGAGCCATCCATGTCTGCGATAAAGGCAACCATGATTGTTATAGGCAAAAATTACCGTCTAATGCTCTGGTACAAATGACTGAACTTCAACTACTTATGCACCAAGGGACTAGGGGGGCTATAAATGAAATACATTTACGCTAAGGCCGGATAACTGGAAGCTTTGCCATGACTCGACAAAGGAACTACATTGTCGGAATGCCGTGCTCTTCGCTAGCCCCTATCAGCCCCCACCCGTGAAAGAGAGACGTGTTCATCCAGACGGCTTAATCTAAACTTCAGTGGATCGCAATGAGAGGCTTCAAACAGCCTTGTACAACCAAGGTCCACACATGCACACAAAGAGCACGCGCAAATGAACTCCCATGCAGTCCCACCACCTAACAATATGATTTAATTTTAGCCAAGATGCGCAATCGATGACATCATTGAATTGCCCTTCCCACCATGGCGGTTCACGCACGATTTATAGAAAGAAGGATTCAATCTCAATATTTGTGGGGGCGAACTGATCGCTTCACCAATCTCATCTACCCCCACGAACCGCACCACCAGTTGACGTTGACCAGAACTCCGCCCGATCAAAAAAGTGGGCTTAGTTAAAAAGTGGAAAAAGTGGATCCCCGACACACTAACTACTGTATGCCTCAGCTGGGCCGCATCTCGCATATTTGTCATATTGGGCGTTCTCCATGATTTTGTGTTCGATGGCCCCCGAAGCGCTCGGGGTCAGTCACATGGCCCCCTGTGCTGCTAGTGCATCGACACTCGCATTAGTGCTTCTACTAGTCCTGTGTGACCAAATAGAACGCATATAGATAGGCTAAAATCGACTAGTCGTGGGAACAATACATCATGCTGCCCTACAGTGACAAGCACATATTTGTGCAAGAGCGCTTGAGCTACATATCACGCGGTCAATCTTTCATGCGGTGTCCCCCAATTATTGTCAGGAATCCCTGCTTCAGATCATTCTTTAGCGTCAAATATTTATTTACAAGGCTGTGAGAGCCTGAAAGAGGGGTACAGACAACTATGCTATCGAGAAATTATCCCCATCTTTCACTTCTACACGCGGAGGCCAGCCAATGTGGGGTCCAACACACCCCGGGCGATAAATATCGCCCTCAAATCTATTATCAAATTGTTGACATCACATCCAGCCTACGAACTCGTCACCACCCAGTCTGAGCTGGCACACGGAAACTTTTACATCCTCAACTAGAAAATTCCGTAATCCAGCTGTCTTCTTGTTCTTATCTTGTCTTCACGATGGCTCTTAGCGACTCCCAACAGACCACTGATTGGGGCGGCGCGTTACATGGACCTCGCTTGTACCTGGGGGCAATTGGGTACGAAAATAAATTCGTCATTGGACACCTTCCGATAACCAGGCTAACAAATCAGCAGACTCGGCTTGGCACTTTTTCTAACATGTCTCGAGGCAACAATCGTGAGCACTTCGCTCGTTACTATTACGAATGATCTGCACGACTCGAATCAAAGCAGTTGGATCATTACTTCATACCTCCTTACCTACACTGGTACGCGATTCCGACGATCCATTCATCGATACGCCCGATAGCTAACAGCTCAAATTACAGGATTCTTGGTCATCTGGTCCAATTGCAGTGCCATTATTGGTGCGAGACAGGGTATCTTAGTCGCTTTGTTCATCTTCGTGGTGTTCTCGGGTGGATGTGCCGCAGCCAACACTCTCAGCCAACTGTAAGGCACATAAACCTTATTCTATTTCGAAAACCATGAGCTAACCTCACGATAAGAATCATTTGTCGGGCATTTCAAGGAATCGGTGGAGCCGGTGTCTATTCTTTGAATCTCTACGCCTTCGTGAGAATTTTCCCTTTCAAGCACTTTGATAGGGCTAGCTCTATTGCTGGTGGTATTTCTTCTTTGGGCTTAGTGCTGGGTCCTGTGCTTGGGGGTATTATTTCAAACAATGGCAACTGGCGTTGGGTCTTTCTTTACAAGTACGTGCCCTGTGAAAAACCATAATTCAAACCTGAAATCTAATGATCGATAGTGTCCCGGTCGGTGTCTTGGCATGGGCTTTCATCTTAATCGCAATCCCTGTTCATTTCCCAGAAGCCAAGTCGGGATCTGTGAACTCGAAGTCCGTCTGGGGTGGCGTAAGATCCTTGTCCCGACTTGATGGTATTGGCGCCGCCTTGATTTTAACTTCGTGTTCTTTTGTCATTTCTGCCCTGCAAGAAGGCAATTCAAATTATACATGGAGCTCGAGCCTGGTGATTAGTTTCTTTGTCATTGCAGGGGTGTCCTGCATAGCATTCCTTGGTTGGGAGTGGCTTCTTTTTGCTAGAAAGATACCGATAACGCCAGCCTTTCCGTGGTCGCTGATGCAGAGTCGAGTTTTTATGGGCATTGCTCTGTAAGTGGTTAATGAATTGCCTTGTACTATACGACCTCTCAACTAACGTGATAATAGTGGTTTCCTGACTTCGGGCCTTCCTTTGTTTGTCTGTATCATTGAGATCCCAGAACGTTTCCAGATTGTCAATGGAAGCTCTCCACTCCGCGCAGGGGTAAAGCTATTGGCCTTTTCGGTGAGCTGTCCAGTCGGAATCATTGCCTGCTCTATTCTGGCAGGGCGTTTTTCTGTTCCATTCGTCTATATAATGCTAGCTGGGATAGCGTTTGAGGTCAGTGGCATGTTCCTATTTTCAGAAATCGCCGGTGTAGAGCACATCTGGCCAGGCCAATTTGGATACCTGGTCCTTGCGGGCCTGGGAGTTGGCTTGAGTATAGCCGCATACTATATGGCGGCCCCATTGGTGGTGGAAGAAGATGACCAGGCTACTGCCATCGGAATTGGAATTCAATTTCGGACTCTGGGCGGCGTACTGGGAGTTTCGGCTGCGACCACTATTTTGAACCATTTCCTGGCAACTCGGTTAGCTGGCCACATCCAGCCTGAAGTTCTTGCTGAAATACAGAGGTCAACTGATGCAATCACTACTCTGGCGCCCGAAACACAGGCGTTCATTCGAGAGGTCTTTGCCGATGCTTATAGTGCGCAGATGAAGCTCGCGGGGGCATTCTCGGCGGCACAGATACTGGCTGTTGCTATGATATGGAAGAGGGGAGAAAATGTGCACTTTTTGAAGCCTACTTAGGCTTTTCACTTAAGGTCTTTCAGATCGGTATGAAGGAATTGGTTACTAAAAGCAAATTCCACATTAATTGATCTAAACGGGGATACGAGGTGTATCTAGGTTCAAAATAAATTCATTTAAAGATAAAGTACTTCTTTAAAAATAAAATATATAGTGGGATCCTTACTTAAATAATAATATAGTAAATCTAATTCTTAGGAATTTTTAGAATCTAATTAATAATTTAGATAGTAGAAATAATTCCTATTACAATAAAGGAAGATCCTATTATATATTACTTAATAGAGTTTCTTTATTTATAGATTCTATATAAAGATCTGTTAAGGTTGACGTCAAAGGGTCAGGTAAGTTAGATAAAAACTAGTAATATTGGATAGAGTTCTTTTATGAAGTTATACAGAAACTAATCCTTAGAAGAGTACTACTTCTAAGTATTTATATATTTTATATTAATTGAGTTATAACTTAGTTTATATACCTTACATAAGGGGTCTAGGGCTAGAACCCTCGGTAATTTATTCATCTACTCCAATATCAACATATATTACTCTTTGATCATTCCTTTGGAATATCAATACATATATATATACTATAACAATCATCAACATATATATATCTTATTTATCAACAAAACAAATGCTCCCTATCTTTTAATATCTATCTTTCAGTATCTATCTTTTAGCGTTCACCCTTCAATATCTATCCTTCAATATCAATACCTCAATTTCAAATGAACACCAAGATTTTTATAAACCATCACTTCGCGGAGAATCGGCCGCAAGGACTCTTACTCCGGGGGACCTTTCTGATGCTTTTGTCGAGGCCGATTCTGATGTTGGGGAAGCTGCTCAGCATGTTTGTTGCTACGCTGGCTGCAGAAGCCGTGCCATATTCACCATCCGGCAATACGGCGATAACGACATTGTGCTGCCATATTTTGCCCAATAAACAATCATTGGTATCATTCGGCGACACAAAGTTCGGACCCTCGTGCTCTTCGTCGAGAAATCCCTGTCCAGCAACATATTCCACGCCGATGGCGCAGATCCAGCCAACTGTGTAGTTTTCGGGGCCTGGGATGCTCCACTACTCGAGAGAAATCGGGCAAGAGTAACTGTTGTTTTACTTGGCTTGTAGTTCTTTGACGATGTCGACTGTCAGTCAGCTGTAATATGCTCGAAACTCTTGTCGTTTGCTCTGCAGTGAGCAGGCAGGCCTAAGGCAAAGATACGACACGTTGTCTGATCAGGTATGGCTCTTTGCAAGAGGGGGAGGGGCCCTCGGCTTCTACCAGTGAGGCACATAGACCGACCATTCCACCGTCTGATATGCACTTTCCGGTAAACTGCGCAAACCGATCACATCCTCTACCAGGATATAGCTTCGACAAAAACAATATAAAGCACATATGAGAGTAATTGGTACCAATGACCTTAGCGGGATGTCCAGACGAGGATTCCGAGGCCGATGAATATTCCGCAGACGTTCAGGTAACTCGCGCGATCCTCCCACCGCAGATGGCAAACCTCCCCGTCGACGAGCCGACCAACTTGGAAAAAGGATCTTTTGGCAATACTGAAGATATATGCTCCCCACGAATGTGTACGAGAGCGTATAGGTACTAGCTATACGCCAAAGAACCTTCTCTGCAGCCGACGGGAATGAAAAGTTCCACGCGAACATGAAGATGCACCCAAAAGAGACAATAATTGGCGCCCCAAGAATTTCTGCGGTAAAGTCGAGAACTAGAAAGCGGTCGCTCGGAATACGGTTGTAAGGGATCGTCTTTACCGACCGAGAGAAAATGGGCCAATGCAGTCGCTGAGTGATGCACGTGTAGTAACGCCAAAAGCGCTCGCAGGCATGGGCCTCCTCATGGAGGAAGTCTAATGGCGTGCAGTACCATGTTTCTTGCAGCGAGTGGCCATTCTATGGCTTGGTTAGCCATCTCTCTATGTACCTAGTAATTGTGGCTCACCTCTATCAGGATTTTGTCAAGATGAGTCTCGAGTTGTAAGGTGACTCGTGTCGTGATACCCAGCGGCTTAAAGTACCAGCAAAAAGAAGTAATTAGGAAGACCAATATGAATGACAGCGTGGTAAGCTCGATAGTCGTAAGGGCAAGACCCTGTGCCACTCGCACCAGGCTGTTGACTACCATCCATAGCGCCTGGAAGATCGCAATGCAACGAGCGAGGCCATCGGATTTATTTCGGTCAGAAATATCCTCTCTCGCAAGATCCGGATAGCGCACATAATCCTTGCGTATGAGAAACAATAACTGCCGCCCGTCGACCGGAAAGGGAGTCTTGATGCCTGGTCCTTCGAGAACGAAACCTCCCATATCGGCGTAGAACCCATGCACAATACTCCAGTTGTGGTGGCCCAATTCGTGAAACCCCTAAAATTTCTTTGAGCATGTTTCATATATTTTCGTCATGCTAACGAAGTACCTTGACAGACGCCCGTGCGGATGACCATTCTCCCAGAGTGACCATGAGCAGAAACTCTGGGCCCAGAACCCCCATGAGGGCCAGATGCAATTTGTCGCGCATTTGAGTGAATACTCCATCTCCTGGAGCCGGGATATTAGGACACACTGAAGTCCAGCAACAGAGAAGAATGGTCAGTATACATGTGGAAAGTATGCCCCAAGTGCCACGGCCATCGGGTTCATCGACCCAGCCGTGCGAAGTCGCGTTGAACATAGTCTGGTTGATAGAAATGAATAATGAAGGGCCTGTTATGTGATATTATTAACACTAGGGCTTTCGAAGGATAAATAATTTGGACCGCGACACCGAATGTTTAGTGCTAGCCTTGTTTGGAGACCAACCCTGCATTACTAATTCAGGGCTATGGCCGGGCGATGTTCACGAGGCAATAGCGCTTAGCCTTGCAGCTCAATGCACCCAACAGTTGCCAACGATACAAGCCAGAGTAGAGGTCTAGTCCCGCTGAGGCGAGAGTACCAGTAATCATAACCCGCCTGGGCCATTTGGAGACCGATTTTGAAAATCAGTGTGGGGTTTTTTCGGGTGGGCTCAGGAGAGGCTTAGTGTGGGCTCATGGTCCGCTCAGGGGGTGCTCATGGTTCGCTCAGGGGGTGCTCAGGCGGCCAACACTCTTTTGCCGAGTCGGGCCCTCGCCAGCGGAAATCATTTCACCGAGGGGCTGAACACATATGCAAAGAGACTGGCTGTTTTAAATGGGATATCGCCACCCAATTGTGTTCTACTTTTGATCATCTTGGAAGGTCAATGCGACCATTATGTGACGGAGGGTGATTTCTCACTCGCTCTCACCCTGCTTCTCACCCTACCTATTGCGCACGTAATCGGAAATCTTCCCGCTAACCAATCCAAGTCGAGAGTCGCATTACCGAGGGGCTGTGTGCAGACGCCAAGAGGTTTCAAAATCCTAGATCGTGGCCCAATGATGTTCTACGCTCGGCAGCTGGGAGGGTCAATGCGCCCGTCGAGCGACGAAGGGTGACTTCTCACCTGCTTTCACCCTGCTTCTCACCCTTCTTATCCTCGGTCGTGCAACGCTAAAGTGGCTCTTACCCGTTTCTTACCTAGGTGATATTTACTTGACTACTGGTTGTATTTAAGCTACACGCTGGTTAGTTAGTAGTATAGTAGGTAACTATATACGAATCCTGACTGTTGTATTCTATATTTACCTATTCTTTTGATTTATTAGGAAATTATGTCTTGCCGCCCTCGTCTTTAGCCTGTTTAGCCCTATTGTTACGGCATACATGTATGTTGATAATTGTCATAGTATATATATATATATTGATATTCCAAAGGGAAGGTCAAAGAATAACACATTTTAATATTAAAACAGGCAAATAAATTTCTAAGGGTTCTAGCCCCGGACCCCTTATATAAGATACACAAACTGTAGTTAATATAAAATATATAAATACTTAGAAGTAGTAGACTTCCAAGGATAAGTTTCTTTATAACTTCATGAAAGAACTCTATCCAATATCACCACTCTTTATCTGCCTAACCCTTTGACGTCAACCTTAACAGGTGCCTTAGGATCTTAGTAAATTAAAAGAAGATATTTAGCAACTTGTATAGCCGGCCGACTATACTAGATAGACACAAAATACTGTAGAGCCAATCGCATTGTGAAACAAAGGATACAAGTTATAACGGGCTTAAAGCCTGTAGATATAGGCCCACTGTCGGAAATCTGCGGTAGTGAAACTATAGCCTCAGGCCGAAAGATTTAGGTTGAGTTAGTTAACTTGGGTCCAATAACTTGTAGCGTTAGACATACAGCTAGCTTGGTCGTACGTCCGCAGCCTTGCGTCCACAGCAGCCTCGAGTCTATCAACTGTCGTCTACCATGGCTTTACAATCATAACAGATACAAACTCTTAGAGTGATCCCTCTATGGGGCGTAAAGTAATTACTAGATATCTTCCAGACAGCTTATTGCATTTTCAAGCTACAGATCATGTTTCCTAGGACTCCTCCTGACTCTCACGTAACAAATTTTTAATTTTAGGCGCAGAACCAATGAATACTGAGCTTTCTCGATGAAAACTTCGCTAAGGACTGCGCTTTTACAGCCAAAACTTAGCTTCTTGCATATTCCACAGACAGGGCTATTCGACTTTAGCATAACCTATGAAGCGACGACCGAAAGAGTTGACTTACTCTACAACTTTTAGATTTTAGCATACGGGGACCGTCATCTATCCAGTAAATGGTTTAGAAGCATTTTGAGGGCGGAAAACCGTGGCCTTTCGTGAGAAAGACAGAGCTACTTAGCACAGTTTGAAAGGGGAAAACCGTGATCTATCGTGGGAAACCAGTTGCCTTGGGACATGAAGAACCGTGGCCTGTCGTAGGAAATCAATTATCTTGGGATATGAAGAACCATGGCCTGCCGCAAGGAATCGGTTGTCTTAGGATATGTAAGGAGAACCGTGGTCTATCTCAGAATGGATTCTACCAGATGAGGCAGACCTACCTGCGTTATCCTGAAGGGAAGGTTCGTCCCCAACGCGCAATTCTAACATCAAGGAGGACCCCACACAATTCGACGACTAGGCGCCTGAGGACGTTGGGACTTGAAAGCGGTTCAGCTCATTTGCTCCGCACCTTGTGTCTCATGGCTTCCCTGTAGACATCTTGAAGTCAGATAAGTCAGAACATTAGCGACTTTACCGTGGTTTTGCACTCCTCCGTCGGAACTTATTACTCTAAAATTGTGGCTGAGCTCAACATTATGCCAATTTTCCGTCTAAATGGTGTTAGTGTCCAATAGTTACCAATTGTGTAACAATCTGACAGACTGAGACTTTTCGTCCATTCCGGTGTCACGTGATAGAAGGACATTAAGCTTAGATCATTCGACTGAAACATATTCTTGAATTCTTCTCAACAACCATCACAACCCTCAGTGTAGACTTCTCCTCTTTTTTAAGTCTCCGAGAAAGAATGCCTATCATGGAGGAAGGTGATACTTGGACAACTCTATTTTTCTCTGGGAGCCCTCCAAATATTCTGAAAACGATCGGACTTGATGGCAAAAGCTTCCGACCTTTCTTTGCTGAGGACAATAACTGGGAACTAGGGCACAGGGCCGACATATCACGAATACCGGATGCAAATACTATAAAGGAGTTTTGGCTTCGGATCAAAGGGCACAGCAAATATATGTGTAAAGTCGTATGTGGAGAGACAATACCTAGTATACGCGTACCAGAATTAATCATATTCTAGTATCCTTGCTATTCGAAGTAAGATGCTGCGATATAGCTTAAATGTATAGGATTATTGTCCTCTCGGGAAAGAATAGACGATGCTGTATACGAATTCGATAGATTTTGTGATGAGGTGCCTATGATCTACTAGAATAGAGAAGAGTGCGAAGAACAACGAATAACAACGTTGAGGAAAGGAAAAGAAGAGAGAGAGCTATGCTACATACATGTAGGCGGATGCCACTCTCCAGGCCAATCATCTGATTGGCCTGCATCCGAGAGTGGGTCAAACCGCACAAACGTGCAAACAGTGCAAACATACCCGTCCCGAGTCTTCCTCCATGTAGTTATACTACAGATTTTATCGAGAGGCTCGGGTATATAGTCACATTGACCTATATTGTTCTGTCTGTGAAAGAATATATTTTTCGCAATTCTATGGGGTGGTTACTAATATGCCAAGATCTTGATTCTCCTCTAGATATTGTTAAAAGCAAGCGGTTATACTAGAGGCAATAAGACCGGAATTGTACTTTCGATATATTCTTAGTCAAGATGTCGATCACTTGTCTAAAAACTTCTCAACTATCCTCGAAGTGCTATCCGAAAAGTTTTATACTACTCCGGAGGTGGTCTCGCTAAGTCTATTTGGATAGGAGTGGTATCATTCTTTACTTAAAGACTATCTTCGTTGTCTGGATATTCTATATCGAATTGGGATAACTTATACCGACATTCATAATTTTCACTTTGACCTCCTAATGATATTTACGATACTGTTTTATACGATTTCTCCGAATTGTATATATTTTCTAATAAGTAGCCTTTTCGGGTAGATTCGGGAAACCCTCAGCCTTTAAGCTTTATATCTGCGGGTGAATGTGAATGTGAATCTGTCCTTCCATATATTCACAATCGGTCAGAAAGAAGACTTTATTGCTTATATTATGGCTAACGTACGTTTAGGGCCGTTTCACGAGATCTTTGTTCCTATCTTGTAGGTTCAAACCCTAAAGCTCCTATTAATAACGCACTTTGGGAGTCTCTCAAAAATGAGAAGGAATTGTTAGAGTCAATCATGCTAAAAGTCTCCTATCGCCCGGATAGTCAGTAATTATTAAGTCGTTCCCACATTTGAGATGTTCGAAGGCTATATAATAGATAGTTCAGTGCATAGGTCTTATTTGGAATATTCCAAGGTTCAAATGTTCAAGTACATATCCATATATATGAGGCTGAGTATTTATGTATTTCTAGCTCAATATAATTTTGCTCTTACGTGTTGAGGTTTCCACGCATAAATTATTCCTCCCAAGTCAGTTCCATAATCGCCAAGAAGGATTTCTCGGGCTTAACCACTCGAGTCAGTTTGAACCGGGAATCTGTATCCTTGAAGAGAGCCTCCCAATCTAAGCGCGTACGCTCCTGGCCACTTGTAAGAGTAAACATGTAAAGATCGTAATCCCTGTAGCGTTCTTAGTATATGCTCGCAAAAGATGGATGACGGTAATGTACCTTGATTCACGCTCGGCGAGGTAACTTGCCTCCCCGAATCCAGGGATGATGCGATCATTGATGATAACCTTTGACCCGGATTTTAAGGCTGGAATAAGGCCGGTAAGAATCTTTCGCGCATATTTATTTGACCAGTCATGCAGCGTGTGTCTTAGTAAGTAAATATCGGCACCCTTCGCCGGCTGATCTTGAAAGAAGTCATGCTCTTGAAATTTCACGCGGCTAGTAAGCTCTGGCGGTGTCAATTCCTTTCCTTGAGCGACAGGTCCACTGAGGTCCTGAACAACACATTCAACATTAGGATTGTGCGAGGCCAGAGCTAACGCGATATGTCCAAATCCACCTCCCACATCAACGACTGTGGTGGTTCCACTTTCCTTGAAAGGGAAGTGCTCTATCAGATGGCTTGCCGAAAAGCCCGGAAGCTGTTGATGCCAGGCCATAGCTTTGGAAAACACAATACCACGCTCTGGCATTTCATTCAAAGCTGCGAACACTGGGAGTTTGGTATTGTTATGAACAGACCAGGCCTATCATGGCTCATCAGAAACTATGTGTCATTTGGGGGATATTATTTGGACTTACACTGTTCTCTGGCTCTTCGGAGAATCCATATTTTGTTAGAACATCGGGAATCTAGTAAGTTGTGTTAGAGCATTAGTGTTTTTTGTTTTGAGTGATCGGTTAAAGGGGTCATACCTTGAAGGTTGCTGGCAGGGTTTCTCCTATACCCATCAGACACCAATTGCGCATACCCTCACCCTCAGTCAGGATGCGCGAGCTGGCTGTGTGGACGAAGTAATCCAGTTCTGGCTGATAGAAGACGTGATATGTGGCAGCATGTGTCATGATTCGACGCACGATATTCACATCCAAATTAACCTTCTTAGCCAGATCTTGAACCGAGATACCTTCTTTGGGCACATGATCGGCAAATCCAAGACGGCATATAGTATAAACACTTAAAGTTGGGTTTCGCTAGTTTTATAAGATCATCGTCAGCACGAAGAAGTTTGACGTTATTTTGCGAACAAAGAATCCCAACCAACGCGCAAAAAGAGCGCGTGCAGAGGTACCGCCATAAAATCATATCTATCGTTATTATTATATAACTTACACTCTCCGGGCTCAAATGCATAACAGGATCTATTAACAGATCACGGAATTCGTCAAGCATGTTGATCAACTTCATACGACTTGCTATTCCAGTTTCATCTGGATTTGGCGCATCGCTCCTCAGAGCATCTGGGATTCCATGCTCGAAGGATGGCTCCGGTTGTCCGTGTTTGGCTATAATACCAGCGAGAACGTTCGCAGTCTCGCTGATTTCGGTAGCCCGACCGGTGATGCTGGAGCGATCCATGAAGGTGAGATTGAAGAATGAAAAGTAGAGAATTTGACTCTAGGGGTAGCGAAAGGATATTGGGGTGGGGGGGAGGGGGAAGATTGAAGGATTTTAACTACTAAGATGAAAGATTGCATGATATAACCGATATATTGAATAAAACAAGAAAACCTGAGCAGTCCATGTGAATCTTGTCCATATGACCGCATGAGCTCTAATTAATTCGCGCTATTCATAAGCCCCCATGAGAGAAATTCGGGCCGAAAATGATGATTGGGCAAACAGAAATGGACCCCATGTTTCCCCACGCCGATGTTACAATCACCAAGGTGATGTATTATATCGATCGTGACGCTGTATTGACGTGAAACATTCAGGTTTGCTTTCTTAATTTGCCTTCTTATACGTCAACTGTAAATATTTTTAGCCTACGCACTCAAGTTCCAGCGAAAAACTACCGTGCTAAATCATAGGAAGGTACAATACCCGACCTCCCCAGTTTTGCGATCAACACATTTCTGCCCCCACATGTAAATTTCGTAGTTGATCATGTTGGTAATCTACTCTAGCTTGAAGATGGGACTACGTCGGCTTACGAAGTCGAAGATAGCTGGTCTGTTTTAGCCAATGGGAACAATGACGCAACGTGATACCAGATATTATTGTGATTTGTGCAGGACCCTGAAATTCATCAGAATATACGCAGGAGTCGTCGTGAGGATAAGAAGGGCTTGTTTTGTAGCTAAAGCGTATTTGGGACTTGTTCTGCATTTGGTATTTGATGCCCGGAAAGATCTGTGTCTGACATAGTTAAACACTGTAAGACCTTCCGGTCTAAGAGGATTAGCCAATATTACGGGTGAAAACAATACTTACGTCTTGTGTTCTGAATTAACCTTGGAATAAGATGTACAGTCGCCCCCACATGTCTACTGACGAAGATGGTAATTGATCCTGTAGCATGTATACGTACATAATTAAGAAGTAATCGAATTACGTCTACCGGTACAACATAGCCCCTCAAGACATGTGTATCTTTGCTACAAAATTAGAAATTATGACGAGGGCTTCCTCATGTAACCGGTTAGTAAAAGTTAATAATTTCTCTGATCAGAAATAGGCGAGTGTTCAATGTAATGCTAACTCGGCTGACCTCATGGATGCCGCGATCCTGCCCTGGGCAGTTTATAAGTATCGGTATGGCTGCTACTATTCTCAGCTTGTCTGTTTTCTTACATTTACAAATAGTATATGATATTTTCAGGGCCAATATTAAGTTCTCAACGGTTCTGTTCATACATATCTATAAGAACCTTAAACTCTCTTTTGAATGCTTGAAACGACAAGCACCCTCCACTTCTTTTCATCAAACTCCAAGACAATTTTCATCATGGCAACCTCCGCCGAACTCAATATCCTTTCCCTTCTCACTCAATCGGCCTTATCGTCTGCTTGTATCAAATTTTATCCCAAAGGATGCAATTATCCTCCATTAGAAGTCAGCTATTCTGAATTGTTGGATATCTCTTCCAAGAAAGCCGCGTGGCTTCGTCAGCAAGACTCATTCCGCGAAGGCTCGATTACTTTGATACATTTCAAGAGCCATTTGGACAACATAATTTGGTTCTGGGCTAGCATCATTGCTGGCAATGTACCTGCCCTATCACCGCCACTGGTCAACACTAGCGAAGGCCGTCATGCCCACTTCCAACATTTATGGCGCATCCTAGAGAACCCACTAGTTCTGACGTCTGAATCTCTCATCCGAGACGACTTTGTTGAGAATGATGCCCTTTTTGTCATCCCAGTAGAGAGCAGTGCTGAATTTGATCTCGACTGCGCAACCGATCCCGCCAAGAATCGCTCTGGAATTAGCCATTTCAACACCAATTACACAGTTGAAAGCAATACAAGGAGTCAGCTCAAAGGAATAGCCACCTTGGCGCTCACATCTGGAAGTTCAGGTCATTCGAAGGCAGTTTGCTTGGGCCATGAACAAATATTTGCTTCGCTTCGAGGAAAATTGACAGCGGCTCCAATTCCTGAGAATGGCTGTCTTCTCAACTGGATTGGGTTAGATCATGTTGCCAGTCTCGTAGAGATGCATCTTTTGGCCATGTTTACTTGTGTCACACAGGTACAAATTCAAGCTGTTGAGGTACTTAGCAACCCGTTGGGCTTCTTGCACCTTTTATCCGAGAACAAGGTTTCTATGACATTCGCCCCGGACTTCTTCCTTGCAAGGCTATTGGGCACTCTTGATCAGATCCCCCCAGGAGATCACTGTTTGAAGGATATTGATCTCAGTCATCTCCAGTTCTTGACTTCTGGGGGTGAGCTGAACAATGTGGATACTGGATTCCGTGTCATTGAACATCTGCGTCAGCTGGGAGTCAAGCCTGCCAACTTAATCATTCCTGGATTCGGTATGACTGAGATATGTGCTGGCGGCATCTTCAACAAGAATTTCCCAGCTATCGACAAGAAAATAATGAGAGAATTCGGAGTCCTCGGGGAGCCTGTACCAGGGCTTAAGATGCGTATCTCGCCATTAGAGAGGGGTAACACGAGAGCCCTTGAAGAGAACAAAGACCTGGAAAGGAAGTCTGGACTTATCAATGAGGTGGGTCAACTGGAAGTTCAAGGTCCGATCGTGTTTTCCAGGTATCTTAATGACCAGGAGGCTACCAAGCAGTCATTTACCTCGGATGGATGGTTCCAAACTGGTGACTTGGCAAAGATCGATACGCAAGGCCAGCTATACTTGGAAGGACGATTGAAAGAGCTCATCAACATCAACTCCGTCAAGTATCTTCCCTATGAGATCGAAGATGCTATTGAAGCGGCCCGAATCCCAGGAGTGGAGCCTTCTTTCATTGCTTGCTTCTCTCATCGGAATTTAGAGTCACCCACAAGTCCCGAAATGATATATGTTGTGTATCAGCAGCAATACGATTGGGATGATATAAAAGCACGCTTCAATGCTCTTCACGCCATAGTTCGAACGGTTGTTCTCGTCACCTCTTCGCGACCGCAAGTACTTCCTTTACCTGCTGGGTGCCTACAAAAGACGTCTCTCGGAAAACTATCGCGACCGAAGATAAGATCCGCTCTGGTTGAAGGGAAATGGCAGGAACACGAACATGTCAATGAAAAAGAACTGGCTGCCTATCGGAACGAGAATTTGACTGTTCCAAGCAACAAGACAGAAGAAAAGCTCGTCACATTGTTCCAAGAGGCTTTGGGAGTAGATGTTGAGATGGACGTTGATATGCCGATACTTGACACGGGTATTAGCTCTGTGGAGCTCATGAGATTGAAGCGTGTCGTGGAGCTCTCTTTTAACATTGAAGAACTCCCAATGATCATTATTCTCACCAATACCACCATCCGATCCTTGGCCGAAGCCATCCACAAACTACAGGGCTCGCAAAATGTCGGCGAATACAAGCCAGTGGTCACGTTGCAGCCAAATGGTGAAGGCTCCAAGGTGCCGCTATGGCTATTCCATCCTGGAGTCGGCGAAATTCTCATTTTCCTCGGGCTAGCCCAGCACTTTCCTGACCGACCAGTCTATGCATTCCGCCCTCGAGGCTTCAACCCTGGCGAGAAACCATTCCACAATCAAGAAGATTTATTGGAAGCATACTACCGTGGCCTCAAAGAAAAGCAGCCAAAGGGACCATATGCAATGGCCGGATATTCCTACGGAAGTGTTCTTGCCTTTGAATTGAGTAAGCGATTGGAAGCAGAGGGTGAAACGGTACAATTCCTTGCTTCATTCAATCTGCCACCTCATATCAAGCAACGTATGCGTACCCTTGATTGGACAGCTGGCCTCATTCATATTGCTCATTTCTGCGATATCATTTCGCAAGAACGTGCCGATAAACTAAATTCCGAGCTGCGGTCTGGAGAAATTTCACACCGCGATCAGATTGCTACGGTCTTGGCGGAAAGCGAGCCCGAACGCACTGCGCGACTAGGACTCACACCCCAGTCACTATTCACATGGGTCAATGTCGCTCTCTCCTTGCAGAAGATTGGCTGGACTTACGACCCGTCTGGAATGGTATCGCGCATGGATATTTTCTACTGTCAGCCTTTGAAAGACGTCGCATCTTCTCGTGAAGAGTACCGCAATGACAAACTCAATCATTGGACTGATTTTGCCCGCGATGTCAAATATCATGAAGTTGGCGGCGAGCACTACACTATGATTGGACCAGAGCATTTGCCTAAATTCCAACAGACTCTGAAGAGGGTGATGGCAGCTCGAGGTCTCTAGATTGGCATCTTTTGCCGGTCAACATTTTGATTACGACTTGATGTACATATGAACTATACCTTAATGTTAGGAGCAAAGAGTGAATTAAATCTTGGCAACTTCATTAAACGGGCCACACAAGCGAGCGGGCCACCCCAAAACACCATAGTAGATGCGATATGATCCATGCTCATAGCTCAACAATCACAGGTTTATTATATCACAATGCTTGTCGATAGCTATCGATAAGACTTATGATCACTAGGTGAGATAAATTCTCTAAACTCCATAAATAGTCTAAATATCACCTAAAAAGTATTGGGCTACTAGGAAAAATCCATATAGACCATGGTTGTTGATATATCAACTTGTAATTTATCGCATTTACTATGGTGTTTGGGGGTGGCCCGCTCGCATGTGGATTACGTTAAGCTTAGAAGAATGCCTAGTGCGCCTTAAGACCTGCAATCCGATAGTTGCCAAGTTTTTGATATATGTATCGTACTGTAATAATACCAGTCTGTATTAATAATACACTGGCTGCGACACTTCCACTTTGGGATTGATAGCTGAAGATGATCTCCAATCTGGCCCCCGCAGTCCACTAAATTATGACGTTGCAATGCCTAACTAGTTGTAATCCTGCGTTGATTTTGGACCCCATACAACACACGGATCCCTTCATTCGACGCTCGCATTTGATTCGTACAAGAACAGAAACTCACGCCACTTCAGGGCGGATTGCATTTCTGCTAGTCTATTAATGTCAGACAAGGGCGATTCTGCGCGGCTTCTCTCACCTCCGGTCAGTCTAATCTTTCGTCCTTCTTTCACATCCCAAACTTCAACATGGTGACCGTTGAACATATCAAATATGTGGCCGGCCAGGCTTCAGCCGCAACATGGCCTTTCTGTGCGCTGGCCACTATACTCTTCTTCATGCGAATATTTTCCTGCTGGAGACTCAAGAACCAGCCCCGCGCTTGGGAAGATTTGATACTTCTGGTCTCTTGGTGCTTTGAGATTATTCAAGCCGGGATCTTCCAGAAACAACTAAATGAAGCAAAGGCTCTAGACCTTGCCCGTGCACCTGAAACCATACCGGGAGCTGTCTTCTGGGCGATTTTGATGAATAATTGGTCCTACTTCAGCATCGAGTTCCCCAAGATCGGGATTGCGCTCATGGCTACGAACCTATTCCGTGCAGGACTATGGACGCGGGTCGCAATTTGGTCATTGTGTATCATTGTTAATGTTATGGCTGCTGTTGGGTTTATCATTACCTGGGTCATGTGCGACCCTGTCCAGGGCCAGTGGGATCCTTACACACATCCAAATGTCAAATGTTGGCCTCGCTCTGTTCAAATCGACTTCGCTTGCGTCACATGCGGCCTATCATCACTATTCAATATCGCCCTCTGTATTTACCCTGCTTCTGTGGTATGGGGCCTGCAAATGCCGCGCTGGAAAAAGATCAGCACTATGTGCTTGACAGGGCTTGGCTTGGTGTAAGTGCAATATCCAAAAACAGACAGCACAACACTAACAGCAATTTCTCAATAGGGCATTTATCTTCTCGCTCATCAAGCTTTATTATATGAGTAAGCTTGCTGACAGTCCGGAGCCAATTGAACTTATCTGTAAGCCCGCGCCCGCCTTTCTTTGCACTCCGGGTGTTTCTCCTAACATCCCTTAGATAAATCCGAGGACCTTGGCATTTGGAACCGCATCGAAAATGACTTTGTGCTTATGGTCGGCTTGCTACCATTCGTGCCAGGCTTTTTCAAATCATTCGGCGAATTCGCAAAATCCCATACATCATCCATCAGTTACCGTCTACGATCCAAGACTGGAGAAAGCCAAAGCCGAACATACGACAGCAAGCCATCCGATGTTCGAGATTCGTTGTCTGATGGTAGTCTGGTCGATAAAAAGATAGCTCGGAGCTTTTAGGTGGATTGGTGTGATTTATATAGCCTGCTCTTAAACGCATTGATCTTTCACTCCTCATAAGTTAGTCTTTGGATACACAAGTAAGGGTCACCTTACGATTCAAACGTCACTAATGAAGCACTTGACGAAAATTAACCACAACGTCCATGCAAATCAATGTCAAATATAACAGGACTCCATCTACGTGAATATCATATTCAACCCTTAATAAATAAATAGTCGATATCCGTTCATGAATAGAAGCTTCATCCTGAGCGCCCAGCAACTTTGTTTGGTCTAGACCTGTGCAGACCTATAGGCATACCCATATAGGCATACCCATGGACGCATATAGGCATACCCATTAGCAAACCCACCCATTCATAGGCATACCCATACCGCCTATAACATACTTATAAGTAGCTAGAATAGGACCCGCACTCTTGAAGCTGGAATTGGCCGCTCCACGAACACCTTTATGTGAGCGTGGAAGTGGATGCTCATGAGGCACAAAATATGAGAGCAGGAAATTCAAATAGGACAGCCGTCAAGAAGCCCCTGGTGTCACTATTAAAAGGACAATGCCGGCTCTTGAAACCCAAGATAATGTCATAAAGCTTCCTAAATTCTGGTTTCCGCGAAGAATTAAACAGCTGATCATCGACGACATGGACATGTTCTGCTGTTCCATCTAAGTCCCTCCCAGAATGCTATGGCAAAGTAAGTGGATCCCGAAGGCGAGAAACCAAAGTATTTCATCTCTGACGTTATATGGGGCACTAAACGCCCTAGGGCAGTCAGCCTGTTGTTGCGTGATCTGGCGTCTACATATAAGATATTATTCTGACAAGATTGGCCTTTGAAGCACCCGTGGAAGTTCCCTTCACAGTTGCTGAGACATCTACACTGAGAAAAATGCACGATGGCCATGTTGAGGAGCAGACTATCCGATACCAGTGAGCAAATGCGCCTCATAAATGAATACTTCTTCTAGTACAATTTATAAACTATCTGATTCAGTACGGAATACAGTTGGGGATGATCAGCTGACTTAGGTGACCGACCTAGAATTTCCACCTTGGAACGTTACGTTAATCCAACATCGGCACTTCCTTAGCCCCACCCAGATGATAGAATGACTGCCCTGCCCAGACTGCCCAGACTGCCCAGACCACCCAAACTTCCAAGAGCCACACGTATGTATCCCCCAATTTAATATTTGATGAACACTTAAGAGTTGGCCTTCGTCGCATTTTGTAATATTGTCACTCACAGACTTGAAAAAGAAAATACCTCCAGAATGGCCAATGGATTCCTTCCATACCACGAACCCGGAAGTCTGTACCCAAGCACAATCCTAACCAAACATTGCCCACTCCCTGCTGATCATTTACAGCCAAGGAAATCCTCATTATTGTTTCTTTCTTCTTCTTCCTTTCGCTTGCCAAATGGGTCTCCGCAAAGATCTTTCGAGCCGGCATTATAGGACAAATCGCCGTCGGCATCATCTACGGAGTACCGTTAGCCAATATCCTTGAGCATAACTGGCAGGAGACATTTGTCGCACTTGGATATGTTGGTCTGATTCTGATAATTTTCGAAGGTAAGGTGGTATACGTTTTCATGGGTTTCATAGTGGAGACTGATGTCATCCATTCTAGGCGGTCTTGGCGCTCGTGTGGATCTACTCAAGCAGAATTTCACTTTGAGTATGGTTGGCGCGGCAACTGGGGTTTGTTTCCCCATTGGTCTCTCATATCTTTTGCTCTACCTTGGCTTTGGTTATGGTTCGTTTTAATGTCTGGTACATAGTCACCGATATCTGCAAGCAAGCTAACATAGCCAGGTCCGGTGGAGACATTCATTATCGGCGCTGCTCTTTCCGCGACCTCACTAGGTAAATAATTTCTATTTGCTTCTACTCAAATTTTGGCTGTACTGTGCCTAGAAATGTCGCTGATACGTATCAGGAACCACTTTTGCTGTGATTAGTTCTGCATCTAGCTCCATCAGTCTCTCACAGACTCGAGTAGGATCAGTGCTCGTGAGCGCGGCTGTAATAGATGATGTGGTAGGACTTGTTATGCTAAGGTATGTTGTTTGCTCAAACGAAATGCGGCCAATATATTTAGCTGACCAACTTTCACAGTGTCATCGGTGACCTAGGTAAACTTTCGGGAGATGGCAATGTCAACCTCGGCTGGCTCATCGGGCGTCCGATAGTGGCATCGATAGCTATGGCTATCGTAACGCCAATTGTTACCAAGTGGGTATTTGCGCCTTTTTTCCGGAGATTTATCGAATACCATTTCGCGCGCTTTGACCATATTTCCAACATCATTCTTATGACCCTTGTTCTTGCGGCTTTTATTAGCATCGCTGGCTATACTGGTACATCTGTCCTATTTGGTGCGTTCTTGGCGGGCGTATTCCTCACGTACCTCCCAAGTAATCGCCCGGAAGGACCATTCGTTGTCATGAGCCGTGAGGAGGGTGAGCGCGAAGCGGACAAAAGTCCTACATTCATTCATACGTTTGAGAAATATTTGCTGGGGCCTCAGGAGTACTTGATGGAGCCTTTGTTCTTCTCAAGCATCGGATTCGCGATTCCGTTCGTGCAACTGTGGACTGGAAAGCGAATCTGGAGAGGGGTGGTATACACGCTCCTGATGGCATTTTCAAAAGTAAACAGATACTCCTATAATTCGTGCCTCAATAATCGAGCTAACAAGTTCAATCTAGGGTATCGTTGGGATATGGATACCCATATGGCAGCTTCTCCCAGGCTGTAAATCCCGCAGCAAAAAAGCAAGCCCTGCGCATCAGCTTAACCAGGGACTACCCAAAAGTAGCGAGAGGGGAAATGATCACGATAAAAAACAAAACGAACAGGGAGAGAGAAAAGAATGGAATCGTGCGTGGCTCGCCGCCTTACTCTTAGGGTCTGCTATGGTAGCGCGCGGTGAGATCGGCTTATTGATTATCGAAATCGGACATAACGAAACTCCGTACGTCAGTGAAGAGGGTTTCATCACTGGTGTCTGGGCCATTCTTTTGAATACAATCATTGGTCCTGTTATAGTCGGTCTCCTGGTTCGATTCCACGCAGAAAAAATAGGGGAGGGGCAATGGGGACTACAGGATTCTTCTTTGTCCGTTCCTAGTCAGGAGATCGGCCACGGAGCTGTATAATTGTTTCGGAGCAAGATGATATATCGCATAGAGAGGTCCTACTGTATCGGGTGCGCTATAAATTAATCGACACGCTTCACGCATATCCAGAGATTAAAAGAAAGTGACACCTGCAAGCGCAGGAAGGCTACCTGCAAAGCAAAAAATAATGGTGTCCTCAATATTCACTGGTAGCGTTGCTGCCAAATGATGCAGTACCTACATTCAAGGGTTTTTGTTTCTTTATACGTGGACTTATTCAATACTTTCGGTTAGCAGGGTAGATTAATTCAATATGAATTTTAGGCTCTTTGTATTATGCAATCTGTTACAAAGATGGGTGAAAGACCAGCCCAGGGGCAGTGAGTAGCAAACCCATAACCTCAGCCCTCTACAATATCTTTCCAATGGGAGCTTAGAGTTCTAGAACTGGCATCTTTTCATTGGGTTGTTTCCATGATGTGTGGGACTTGGCGCCAGAATGTGGGCCGATAGCGGGAGTTGTTCTAGAGCGGGAGCAAGACTAGGTAATGAGAAAGAATATTCACATGGCCGGTGTTACTGGGAATCAAGGAATCAGGGGAAGTCTGTCTTATTCATACTAGCTAGGCTATCTTGCGAGGCAGAAGGAAAGGGGGTCACCTGACACGCGGCAACAGCCGGCCTTGGAATTCTGGGCGGGGCGGATCCATTAACAGAGCAATACTGCCAAGAAAGCTCTTTGTGCCAAGTCTGGGTCAAGGTTGCGTTCATCTCAACTATCGCGCTCGGTTTGAGCTGCATGGCCAATGAACTCCCCGGCATCGCCATACGCTTCGTTTGGTCGTATATGAAAATATGACTGAGAGGACCAAAAACTCCGGGATCGATAGTCTCCTTCAAGGGAAAAAGCGACAATACTATTATTTTCATCCAACAATAAAGGCGAAAGTGAATTTGACAACATAAATTTCCATTCTGGGTGAACCACTCACGAATAGAGACTATCAACGCTAGTCTGTATCGTCTGCCAAGCCTGTTCCTTGTGAAGCCTGCTGTGCGCCAAAGGTGGAGATTTGGAGAGAACCGGGAACCGCTCAATGTTCATTTACCGCTCGCTTAGCACCGGAAAGACCTTAGCACCGGAAAGACGATATTCAACGCCTGATGAGCAGGGGCACCTACCCAAATAATCGACAATGGTACCGATGGAACCCATTATGTACTAAACCGCTTGAATGGTGACACTTTGGTCTTTCTACCACCAGATCAACGCTCCGCTGAGCCTATATGGAAATTTGAGAAGGCCCCTTCGGGTAACTATGTTATTGAGCCTACAGAGAAAGAAGATTCAGCTATCCAGTGTGAGGGATTTACTTGCAAATTGCCGCCTGGATCTCAAGAATTTGATGCTGACGAGCTGAAGGGGTATGGTGGTTGGATAATGATGCAACGTGATGCTGAATTTGCTCTAGCCCAGAGATTTGATGATACGCTACAGCCGACCCGCAACTTCGAAGATCGCGGTCCCATAGCCACGGAACGCCAACAATCCAACATTTTCCTACAAAATAGCTACAACTATTTTAGAACAATTTAGCTTTCCGCAGAAGACCTTATATAAGATCAAATGAGAAATGGCACGCATTGGACTTTATTTTATTATATCTGAACAAGATTCAAGTGTCCCTCAATAATAACATAAACACGGCATTGCGATGAAGACTTAGTTTTCGAATTGATTGTGCTTTGTCAACGAAGTAAAAACCCAAGAATTAAGAAGTGGGCGGGGAGAAGATAATCAAACGCCATCTCTACAACCCCTCCAGTGTGATATTCATCGAACATGAGTGGTTTCCAAAAGGCGTTCCAATATCCAAAGTGTTTAGTTGGGTCACCTGTCTTGCTATGAAAAGGGAGGTAGCAGCTCCTTAAATTCTTTGCTGGTGTGAAGTAGTAGTAAAAGTGCATCAGTGCTAACCAGGCGAACAGCTTCATGGTATGAAATTCGAATTCGGCGTGGATATATGATCCGAAGAGGGTAAGAATATGTGAAAAAAGAAATTTGAAAAAAGAAAGAAATAAGCGCCAAATTGGCAAACTCTGCATTTGTATGATGAAATGCATTGCCTTTTGCGCAGTCGGTCCGAGTAATCCCATGATAAGGCCATATATGTCATTACAAGGGCAAGTCTCATCTAGAGAAAGTAGGGTGAACAACTAATCTATCAATATACTACTATGATATGCCTTTCCGCTGATCCATCAAAATGCATACTCATATACTTTCCTGCAGTTTATCAATCTACTAGGCTACAGGCGTTTCACATCATTGTTACTTTATAAATTTTATCCATGGACAAATTTTCTGGACTCAGATTGTTCTACCAGTAATAAATAGACTGTCTTGGTTATGACTTATCCTGTAAAGCAAAAACGGGCTGCGTTGCGCAGTGGATCACCCCTATGAACTGGCTGAACCACCCGTCCAGGACAAAGCTTCTGGAAAATTTTCAAAGCTTTTCTATCACATTCCTTGTCCCCGAATTGGGGAACATCAGTCCCCCATTCACAAAATAACAATTTACGTAGTTAGTCGCTGGCTCGTCGTATGATAGTGGGCCAAGGGCTTTCGGGTCTGGCTCATCAACAAGAATAAGAAAAAACAAAACAGAAAAGAACAGGACAGAATCAAAGAAAATATCTTCATCCAATTTTTTCCTTTCACCTCGCCTCGCTGAGGTTCTCGGAGAGAAGCAAAAACGGTCAAAAAGCCCAGAAGAACGTCATAAAACACCTCCAACCCCCACCCACCCTTCTTTTCCCCGTACTCTAAAACAGAAAATATGAAAATCCGTTTTCATTCATCTCATCTCGCTATGGTTCTCGGACTGAAGAAAAGGACAAAGCAACTGCGGAACGCCGTCAGCTCAACGCCCTATTACGAACCCCCGGACATCTTGTTGACGAAATGGCAGACCTTGCGCAAGATGGTGTTGCCAGTAGCGTAATTCGTGGGCTGTGCCCAGGAGGTAGTGGAAGCCGTGGCGGCCGTGGTGGCAGGCTTCGCAACGGGGGAGGATGCTCAGCTCAGTGAGCAGGGGACTGTTGGCAGCGGCAGCATCCATGTTGTCGCTGCACATTGAGATGTCAGCATAAGTGCATAAAAGACACCCCATACATATCCCCATAAGGGTTTATATACTGATAGTATATTCAACTTTCGCAGGCTTCTTCTTCCTCTTCTTCTCCCTCTTAACACAGAGGTATTCTACGCCACCCAAGGCGGCCACGACAACGAGGATTATACCAGCCCAAAGGCCGGGTGGCACCTTCGCCAGGACGTCAATAGCGGCAGCTCTGGTGGCTGCAGTGGAGGGACAAAAAGGGGTGGTCATGGTGGTTATAGTGGACACCATCGTGGATATGCCTGAAGACTGAAAACATCTGGGCCTTGCGGAACCATAATATACGCTACATTCATTGTGCCTGCTGAGTTTTTGTAATGCAATGCATGTGGTAACTACGTGTATAGCTTCTTACTCCACGAAGAAGGTACGATCTGGTTTCGCGGTTTGATATCGGTTGACCTGAACCTTATGTCAAGCAGGAAAATACAACAACAAGTTCTATGAGATGACTAGGACAAGAGTGTAATGCAAGCTGAGAGTAATCGTAAATCCTTTATTATATAACAGATAGTTATATGATAAGTCCATATTCACTGAAACTTTTAAATATCAATATGTACAAATTGAGATTATTTTGATCAAACCAAAAATTGAAAGTCGGCAAATAGGACTGTAAAAAGTGAGTCGTATATACACCTGGATAGGCAGCACTCTAGGGTGACAGAGAGAATTACTAGTATCTGGTACTAGTAGGCACGAAGATATCCAGAGTAGATTTCATCAATTCCGAGTTGGTTTACTCTCACCGCCACTGAATATCTCGGTTCGTTCTCGAGGCGAAGTTTGGGCAGTCGGAACCGGAACTGTCTACCAGTTGTCATCCGGCTCAATAGCCGTGAAGGACTTTGCAATCGACCAAGCGTGGATTTGAATAGCTTGATTTTTGAAGGGGGGAAATCAATAGATCAGGTTCGCTAGACTAAATACACTTAGATGCTAGCTGGTCAAGGTTCAACCTGTTGAGATCTAATACTTGGGAAATGGAAAGAAATTCAGCCAGTGTAGTATATAGTAGTTATACCTTCGACAGCACCACAACTGCACTACGTAACTATGGATAGTTTAAGTTCTCGATGGGAGCTACGTATAACAGTCATACAACCTTGGAATTTAAGGCATCTCCATCTTTTTTCATCACAGAAATCGGTGTAAAGAGTCTTGGTGAAATTATTTCAAGGTCGCATATCATCCTTATATTTAAAGCTGCCGAGTTGGATACGGAGCGGCAGTGTGTTCCATCTTGCTGTGCTAACCCCATCCCCACATCGTATAACTAGTGGAAAATGGCAGCAGAGAAAGCAACCGAATATGGGTCCCACCCGGTATAAAGTATTAGTCAAACTACTACCAACTTGCTGCAGATGGAGAATTTGGTTTATTTATTTCATTTTTTGCTAAATTAGCTGAAAAGGGACTCAGCTTTTCAAGGCCCGCATTATCTGTCAAATCCACCAACTCAAAGCCGCGGTGTAAAAGCCGAACCCTGAACCTGTTTTATGCCATCTGTATCCTTAGACCAATCCACACGATCCTTTGTATATTGCTCGACCCTCAGCTTCAATTCCATCTTGTGTAATTAGAAATCATCCACAGTACCGAGCCGCAGGATACTGCTTCCCGGGTATGCTTCGCCCACCCAGTACATCAGAGACCCGCATTTCGAGCAGAAATAATTTGTCATGGTCTTTCCGGACGCTATTGTCTTTGACCGACTAAACGTACTCAGCTTTTCACGACCTCCTATATGCGTGAGATGAGAGTCTGCGATAATGAAGTTAGATGCAAACATCGATGCTGGATTGGAAGTGAAAAATAAATAATGGTTGCAAGGCGTTCAAGAAGTGAGTGGTGGCGTGGTGGGGATAGAAAACGCTTGAAACTGGCAAGGCTGACGAATTCGAATCCCCTCTTACTTATCGGCGATTAACTGAAAATAGTTCAGTGTCTCGCACTTGCTACCTAATATCATAAAGGATTCGCATTTAGCAGGCTCTAATGAAGCAAAGTAAAAAAAAGAGAACATACAAAGACTGACCGAACACTTGGCCAATTTAACCGGAGCCAGGACTGTGTCATAAGGTGGGCCGAATGGACCGAGCCACCCACATTTCGGGAGTAAGGCTGTGAGTATCGCGTGCACCAGCATGGAATCTATGTTGTACGTTTGGCCTTTTTTTGATTTGTTCTCTTCGCCCTTTCCGCCTCCACACCGCTATCTTATAGGTGATGGAGCCGAATATCTTTAAAGATGGATAAGGATCAGACACCTAGGCGCAACCCGCAACCGCTGGGACACTCGTACATACCTTTTTGGTATTTTATTTTAGGTTCAATTTCTAGTTTGTTATCAAACTGCACAAGTTACGTTAATTTTTTCGTGCCAGCTACCATGATACAGAGGTCTTTCGGCGTCAATACTTACTGGCGTACTGGGTTGCTGATCGTCAAGATGGGCTACCCGAAGACACAACTCTAGTATCGAAATGTAGTCCATACCATATATTTATTCGGTTAGAGTGAGTTTCCAAGAGTCTTCATATGCCCTTGACTGGTACCTCTTAATCCCTTAGCTACGAGATAAACCTGACAACCAAGACGTGGGAATATACTCTTCCCCAGATCGAGGTAGAAATATGCGGGCGAGGTAATCCGGGCAGTCAGGCAGTGGTAGCAAATTCCGGCGTGCCTTGTAATATTCTCAGCACTCTAGGTAATATCCAGGCCATGACCAGTCCAGAATAGCCGTTACCTTCCAATTGTCGTCAGCAAGGATGTTGCGAGTGGCGAAGACAGAATGCGTGAATACAATTTCATGATCATCTATCAATGGATTTGTCGCAAAATGTTGATAAATTCCGAATGGGCCTAGAGCTAGATCTTTGTTCACCATCTGCTCAGAGTCAAATGAGCCCACCTTCAATTGAGACATATTTACCTGTTGCGGCTGTTTCACCATCAACACCTCCAATGGAAGTGCCCTTGAGGTTGCGTAGCTGAATGATGTACCCACGGAGTTAGTTCTTCGACAATCGATAGCTTTTGGTCAACTTTGAACAGAGCAAAAACAAAAACATACAACAGTCAAGTCTAAGGTTATGGTCACCTAGCGCCCACGATTCGGGCATGGGCGGCGCGCCGCTCTGTTCAGCCCTCTTCAGGGCGATCCAGGCGGATATTCACTCACCTGAATATTCTTCACCTGAATATTCGGCCTATGTATCGGGAGGTACATTCTCACATTTTGTTAGACCTGTGCAAAATCCATAGACCAAAATCATGGGCCTGACCCAACCCTCATAGCCCGGGTCGTTGTATTGGAGAAGGTTGGTTCCAGACGGGAGGGGGATCGTTCGAGTAGCCTTCTTTTCCTACCCCGGGGCTGACTCTTCCATACTTTTGCCTGACCCTAGCTTACTTCAGGCATTTTTTTGTGAACGATGATACTTTGCTCCGACTCCTTCAAAATAGAACCCTCTTTCCATTTCTATTGATCCTGGGCCGCAGCTAGGATGAGAAAACCTTTGCCCCCTGTGTCTCGTGAGAATCAAGGATGACCCCTGACTCAAGGATTTTAATAATTTCTTCTACACTGTGAGGTCTTTGTTCTGATAGAAATGAAGCCATGTTGGCCTGCCACGGCCCTGTTATGTAGCTCTGAAGTTTCAAGCCCTGCGTATTCGATTCTTCGAGGCACCGTGTCAACAGCATCTCGAGATCCAACAATGTGATTTTCTCTTCATCTTGGATCTCTGCTATATCTCCCGGTTCGATTTTTCTGTACTCATGCAAGCAGGTATGAGTGATATTCAAGGTTTTGAATGTGATAAAGCGAAGTATGGTCATACTCAAATGGCTCTTGACGTGTTCATCAGGTTCAGGCTCGTCCTCTGAGTGGAAAATGACACCCAATAGATCAGCAAAAATTTTGATAAGCTTTGCTGAGGTTTTATGGTCGGTTCGTGTGGGCAAAAGTCCACCCAAAAGGCTCGTCAGTGGAGAGCATCCATTCAGAGAGCACGCACATTCGCAATCGTCTAGAGCATTGTTGGAAAGGATTGTTCTCAATAAGAGTTTTGAAGATTGACTCAACGAATCGATTTTTGAAAAATGGTGTCCCTCATCTTTCATCCAATATAAGATTGATCCCACACTATTTCCTATGTCATGCAAGACCGATCCAGACGTTTTTTGGTGATAGATATCAGCACCTTTGCTATTCAACCAGTGAATCTTTCGCAGGAAGACATCCAAATCACAGGGTGGTGTGTTTCTCCAACATTCTGTAAGGCATGTCTGGTCTTTTTCATCGGTTTCATCAACGCCTCGGAAGCCAGCACTCCATAACCGGTCCGCTAAGTCAAGATTGATGCCGACGCAGTCAAAGACTGACCATCTTTGACGTTCCAGAAGTCCTTCCAAATCTACAGAAGTCGATGCCAGTAATGAATATGCTTCAAAAGCATGTAAGTTCAGTAGGCTTTGGGGTTTTATGCGTAATTGTTCTTGGACAGTTCTCGCTAAGTGTGCCTCTGCAAGTCCTTGTAACCGCTGTCTCCGATCAATCAATCCGCTAACAATTAGATCAACAATAGCCTGGTTTGGGTGATAACTGGCAATTTCAAGCTCTTCATTTCCGATGAAGCAATGATGATCATTCACCAAGATCTTGACGCTCTCCTCGCAGTTCGCTTCGCATGCCGCTGTAAGGGCTCTTTCGGTTGGTACATAACCAGATTGAAGAATCAGGGCTAAACCCTCAGCCCAGCGAGTGTAACTTTCGATCCATCGATGAAAATCGACTCCTTTTCTCAGCTGTACAGTCAGTAACTTCCTCGATTTGTATACGAGAGGTTGGAGCTCTTCTGGGAGATCGATATCTTGATTATTTCAGCCTTGCGTTCTTTCCAACTGCTCTTTGGGGTAGAATTACCTTGTAGCTCTTTCTCATCGGCGATTCTCCAAATAAGCCGGAAACTTAAGTCCTCGAAAAAGTCATCATTCCTACGTCCGTCTCCTCTCCACATATGGTAAAAAGGGTTGCAACAATTCTCTTGATGCCTCCAATCAAGAGCTTGTTGAGTCATATACCCCCCAGCTTCAAGTAGGTCTGAACAGATATTAATCGTTATCTGTTGCTTTTCCAGATCGATTCCTTCATGACCGAAATAACTGATCATGCTGTCAGCGGGCGTTTCGCCCCGGTCATTTGCACGGTCCGGAGAGAGGCCCGCTTGTAAGAGGCTTTTGATGAAAATCCTCCAGGTAAGCCATGAACGGGTATTCCAGCGAGAACTGTAACATTGCCATTCAGTGACTCTCTGTAGTCGTGGTTAATAAAAGAGATTCAACGAAATTCTCAGAAGTTCCAGCACCATCTAACTTCTATGGGTAGAATCTGGAGGCAAACATGGTCGGCAAATTGAAACTCACATGTAATATAGTGTCGCCGCTTCGAAGGGTATCCGACTTTGATGCTTTACCTTCACGGAAAGTTTCGAAAAGAGCCTTCTGAGTATTCATAATAACAGCATAGACATCTTGTGCTCTCAAATACTTTTCTGCATCATACAGGATGCTGAATACTTCGGAATTTACAGGGACGATGGCACGGAACTCAATTTTAGGGCTGATTGAGAAGCCTCCTGCTCCGACAGTCCTTGAAAACGATGTTTCAAGGGTTACTCTTAGAGCCCACCTGCGGAATAATTGGCGATGGAGCAAAGTAATGATCCTCTTGCTTTCTGTGTGAAGCTGGCATTGGATGATACAAGCTGAACCGGCGTTGCGCGGTCTCCCGATGCCACATGAACATTTTGTTTGGCGCCAAACCCGCTGAGAGGGAATGACGGTCCCCTGAAGATTCGACTCTTCATCCAAGGTATATTGATGCTTTAAGGCCGGTTGGGCTAGGCCTGGGGTGAGAGCTGGCCCTTTTTTGCGGGAGTTGTTTTTTTGCTATGTTTGAGAAAAATCGTGAGTGACGGCTCCAGGGCGGAATTCTCCCAGGTCTGACTTGAGGGGATAGCTATACCGTCTGTTTAACATGACCTTCAAGCAGCTCTAGTCTGTTTTCAATACTGGTGCAGCGCTGGTCAGACTTTTGAGCCACGAGTAACATCTGGCTTGTATCAGAGGCGCTTGATGCTGAGTACGTTAGGAGTAGGTCAGTTTGATTCTGAGAGATAGACAACATCGCCCTTGAGACTCCAATTAGCGGTGGGACCTTCGCTTTTCTTCTAGTTTGACTCACAAACTCAGAATTTGTAAGGAAGTATTCAAATGGGCTTGCAGCCAGCGCACAGTTTCCAATAGTGCCATCAGTGTGTCACGCTTGAAAGGAAACAGTATCCTATTGATCTGAATTTTGGACCTCAAATCGCTCGTGCTCGTGCTTTTGCACTTATTCAGCATTTTGCTTAACCTGCCCATCCCTTCTTGACAATTAAAGATGGAGTCGAGTGCGACAATTGCAGATTGAGCCGTCAGAGGAGAAAGGAAAACTTGCGAGTTGGCGAGGATATTTTTCAACGCCTTCAAAGTGCTCTCGAAGCTTGTGATACGGTTTGAGAAGTCTTGAATTTGTTCATCATGGGCTTTGTATGACCCATAGTAAGTCAGTAGACCCTGACAGACTGTAAGGCCAAGCGAGATAACTCCTACCGCACTCCCAGCCACAGATAATGGATCGCCCATATGGAATCGTATATATCAGCTTTGGGAATACTCAAGTGCTATGGATGGTGAATGCCAACCTTAGAAGAACGGATGGTATGAAGCGTTTATACTGATAATCATGAAGTAAAGAGCATGGGAATCTCGGTGGATGCCTGACCACCGATGCCCAGGTGGCCAGCCGCATTCTAATTCAGCCTTAAGGGTCAGTGCAAACCCCGCGCTATGGTGGTGGCGTTTCTAAAAATAACCCGGTCAAATCGCACTTGGCCCTTTTCTCACCTCAAAAACAGATGCTGATTTTTAAGCCGCAGGTCGATGGTATGATAGGAAAAATATTATTTGAACTCAGGAGGGGTGTTTACGGTCATTACGGACGGTGATGGGTAGCAGAGTTGTGTCCTTTATTTGTATTAGTAGGAAAAATTGAGTAGTACATGACCAGGATGGCGGCGAGGGTTTTCTTGGGCCCCCTATCCAGAGTCAGCGAATCAGATTATTATGCAGCGCTTCCCTTTTCCGAAGCATTCCTTGAGAATATTCTCAAAGACAGCGATAAAAGCGCAATGGATTGGTCAAATAAAATCGGATTCAGCTCTAATTATGTGGATCCAACCAATATCAAACCAGGGCTTAGGGAGTTTACGTAGAGAGGGCTGAATGGGCTGAGGCGTAAAGATGCAGATGGCAATTTCCGAAGGGAACCACAACAAACACTGAGCAAAAACAAAAAGTAAAAAAACATACAACAGTCAGGATTCGCATGTGGTCACCCACCATACTACTAACTGACCGGCGTGTGGCTTAAGTACGGCTGAGCGGACGGGAAGCCCTGTTCTCCACACCCTGTGGTCGTATGTGCTGAATATATCATACAGCTGAGTCATATAGATCAAGTACTCTCTGAGTTCATTGAGTTTATTGTCGAGTGAAGAATGGGCGAGAGCCGCTTTAGCGTCGCGCGACCAGAGGTGAGAAGGGTGAGTGCGCAATAAATAGGGTGAGAAGTGGGGTGAGAACTAGGTGAGAATTCTGCGGATCGGCGCGCTGACCGCACAGACCGCCCAGTTGGTCAACCACGGCTTATTGAGTATAGCTGTAGGCTCTGAGATATTTGTCTCTTGGCATCTGTACACATCCATGTGTAGGCTCTTTTTATTGGTGGCTTCATGGTGTAAACCCTCTTAGCAATGACCTCGAGCGCCGCTACCCTCGGTACGTTTTGACTTGATGTGCGCCGGGCGTGAATCCGTCCAT